AGGAAGCAACCAGGGAACTTTATCTTCATGCCTACAATAATAACTTTTCACAATAATGGCAAAAACTGGCAAAAGATCAATAATACAGGCTTAAGTGTGTGCAAATGTTCTGCACATACAGCTTAGTGTTCAGGGTTTGTAATGTTGGGTAGACAGCAGAGTGGTTTTTTTTAACAAGTCTTTAAATTATAATCCTTCTGTTGAAAACATTTCTCCATATCTCATATTTGATCTTACCATCTCAGGGCCAATGCACACTCATACACATATAGACACTGATACTCTGAATGAGCAAGTGTCCCTGAGTTCCTCATAATGTTCTACAAACCCACCCACACACTCACTTGATTTTCACACCAGCCTACCCCAGAATCAGTCGAGTAAGAAAACAGAAACTCGAAAGACACAGAGGAAAACAAAAGAGAGATTATCAGTAAAATGCTAATTTACAGATCCCACTGTGTTTAAATGTGTTTTCTATGTGCAGCACATATGTAAAGAAGTAGATTCAGGCAAGATTTGAGCTTTGCATCCAAATAAAAAGTCTCCTAAGAGTTTACCCAAGAGTATCCACTCTGGAATGACTAAAGAAGAATCCTGGAGATGTCTGTCTTATATGAACTATGCGATTTAGTCTTAGCATACATTACACAGTGCTTCAGGCCCCATTGAATACACACAGATGGACAGACATAAACACACACATGCAAACAGAAACTCAGCCGACCCCAAACAACACTAATCCGCCTCCACCCTGCCGCGACAGACAGAGAGGAGGCTGCCTGAGCCTGGAGGTGGAGGATAGCACAAGGCAGCAGGCAGTGCTGAGTTGTACTACTACTGCTCTGCTCCGCTCGTCATCTGGCTCGCCCATGGACAAAGCCCATCCTTTAAAGTGCAGGTCACGCACACCCAACACCACAGATGGGCTGGTGAGTATTTCTGCCCTGCCACTCAATAATTCGTGGGGTTAGATTAAAAAAAGAGGAGCTACATCCTCTCATGAGAACAGGTAAGGATCTGTTCTGTAACAATCTGAAAATATTTGCACCATTTACGCAATGCGCCCGCCCTGCCTTTATTCACTGCTTTCCCTGCCATAGTGTCAGGCCTGTTTGTATTTTTTATTCGCTTGGCTGCCTGTGTGTATACCTGCAAATGTGTTTGCGTGTGAGAGAGCAAACAAGACACCAGGGAAAGCACCATTTGGGCAGCGGAGCCCAGTGTGCTGTGGCAGCAGAATAGGGTAGCACTGGTGGACAAACAGTTTGAATAAATCCTTTGTGGTCGAAGCAGAATAATCTCAAGCTTGTACACAAATCAGAGTCTGGTGACTCTTTAAACACTTTGCAGTGTGTGGTCAAGTGCAAAGTTGCTCTTTCTGTAAAAAAAAAAAAAAAACGATGCTCCCTGCTGGTTTGAGGCCCTCCTGCAGCTTCAAGATAATACTCTCAGTTCAGCTTCAGCGTTTACACTGTGGCTTAATCTATCTTGACGTACAAAGTGGGGAGGTTGGTTCTTGGTTTTAACACAAGGCTGGAAAGTAAGTACAGGTCAGAGCTCCTCTCCTCTAGCTACTTATATTTCACAATAAAACAACATTTTAGTTTATCCACTTAAAGCTCCAATGAGGGTTTTTTGAAGGGTTATAAAACAGACTGAGATGAACAGGGATGACAACAAGAATGACAATTGTTGCATTGTGGTTTTTATGCCTGTAACTTTTGGGAGGTGGGTGGATATGCTGCACAAACAGCCTTTGTTACCTTTTTTCACAGCAAATATTCACAACTGGTGATTTATTTCACTGTAAAAAGACAGCAGGAGATTTTTAAAAATCCACAAAAAGGAAAGAAACCATTAACAACCAGAAACCATAAACAATAGAGGGGAAACTAGTTTGTCCATAAGGGGGCGCCAAAATCAATGCAGACAGAAAGTTCTTCAAAGGACCTTTAAAGTCTAAATCGAGATGGTAAAACACCGCAAACCTAATGAACTACTACTGAGTTTTTAATAAAGCATGAAAGTCTGCATAAATGTGTGCTTTTACTTTTCAAAATTTAAGAAAGCCTTTTTTTTTTTTTTTTCCATAGGTGGGGGGGGGGCATTTAATAAATACACGTCTGTGTAGCTCATTTTACAGCTATTAAAACACAACAAAAAGCTTCAATGTTGCAACGAAATGTCCCTTCATTATAGAAACGGGGTCTAGCAGCTGCTTTGGCTGTAAAGACAATATCAGAGTACATTTGAAAATTAAATTGCACTTTTCACTCCACATTTCCAGGAATGTCTTCATTACTTGCCTGAGTTGCTCGGAAGTCTGTTAATAAATTACTTCAAAAATCAGATCGGAAAGAGTCAACTGTTTATGTAATTCTGCTCGAGTTTTCTCTTCAACTAACACTCCTCCATGGTTAAAAGTAGAGAAAACTCTATTCCCATTTGGGAGTTTACTGGGTGGTGGTAGTGATGATTATGGATGACAAGAATGACAACTCTTTTCCTCAGCACTCATCTTTCAAACGTGACGAGATGTAAACCCATGAATTCTTGACTGCACCTTTGACTTAGGAAATTACATTTTGAAATGAAATCATAAATACTCAATTATTTTTAAGCAGGTACTCCAACAATTAAAGCTCCTGTGAGGGATTTTTGACACTTGTGAAAGAGACTAAAGCTCACATTAACGCCTTTTGTGACATACAGAGACATACGTGACTATCCACTACAAGACACAGTCATTTTTATGCCTGGATGAATGTGAAGGGGTAGGTGTCAGTGGAGCGTTGAAAGAAAAAGCCATTTTTGTTGTTTTAACTTCAATCATTCACAAAGAGAGAATCAGTTTGACGGTCAAAAGTCAGCAAGGTGAGATTTTTGGTCAGGGGGGAGGGGCAAAATGATACAAACCAAAAGTTCCTCACATGATCTTTAAGTAATAATTCAACAGAACAACTTCAGTATGTTTGGACAGGAGTATCTACAGTATAATTGGACCCAAGTGATGAAGTTGTGTACTCTCTCCACCACGGATGAAAACCACCACACGTGTCTAGAGAGAGCATAACTTGGAAATGTAACATATACCACTAGTTTATTCTAAATAAATTGGATGTGTGGCTGCTCTAGGCGTCTGCAGTGAAGCATTTTCCCTACATATGTGAATGTTTACTAGTTCAAACATTTGAACACAAGTCTTGTACTGGGAGTTTTCTGTGTGAAACAGACCTAAATGTGCCTCCTAGCTTGCTTGCCTTAATTTCAGTTAATCAAAGATAGAGTTGAAGTGTCGCCTTGAAGAATTACTTCTCTGTAACACTCACAGATCACACATTAGACATGCAGTGGTATGAAAGCCGGGGTTTCTTTTTGCATAAATGTCATGGAGGCACTCAGATCTGTGCAGAATCAAAAGATGAATGTTTCAGCACTTTTCCCCCCCGTGTTTCATGTTCTGGTACACAGGGGGGCAAAGTGTTTCTTTCCAGACAGCTTGATTTAAATTTACTGAATAAGGCTGTTGATGGTCAGCAAAGCAACGATCGAGTCCCTTCATAAATGTTTCACCACCCTTAGGAGCTGCTCACACACACATATGTCTGTGTGTGTGAGTGTGTGTCTGCATGCATGAGTGAGACGAGGGCGTTTATCTCTCCAAAGACAGCAGAGTTCTTACAGCTTGAGGGGAAATCAGTAGGCAACACCACTGATGAGAAGATACTTGTGTGTTTGTGCGAGCAAGTACACAAAAATAAGTGTGGGTGTGCGCACTTCTTTTAAGCTGTTCAGGCACTGCGGTCAGAGGCTGAGTACTCACACCACCTAGTGGCTTTCAGACCCTGTAGAAGGAGATAAAAACAACCGAACATTCATACCTCGAGACTAATCAACCATTCAGCCTTTCACCTCACAATACAAACATCGGAGTTTGAGCGAAACTAGCAACAAACACCACCGCAGCAACAAGAACACAACGGGGGATAACAAAGTAAAAGAGTGGATGAAGGAAAAGCCGAAAAGATAAATGATTCAACTCAGAAGCGAGGATATGTCCATAGATGAAAGAGTAAATGTTGAGGAAGCTGTAAAATTCAGTTGTGGTTCTCCTCCCTTGGGCTCAGGCTGTGCCGCTTCACCGAGAGGCTCTGAGTGACGGGTGGGGAAGCGTTAATCTGCTATGCTCTGCATCCTTCTCTCACTCTACTCTCCCTCTCTCTCTCTTCCTAAGTGCAGGACATCCCATCAATCTTGTAAACATATAGGAAACACTGCAGAGTTCCTCTTCTTGTTTACTCTGCTCCTTGCCACTGATCACAATGTGAAGGAAGGAGGGTTACGCTCTCACTCTGTCTTCTTATTTTACTCCTACAAATGAAGAACTGTGTATGCAATGTTTAAAGATGACAGTAACGGCTGCCAGCTACATGCAAAATGTGAGATCCAAAATCTGCTCTGAAGCCACAGTTTAATCATGTTTGCATTTTTGAGGGACATGACATTAAGACAAAGTTAAACGTATTTTCGGCTGTTTACTGAACTTGTTACCCCATCTCGTCTTTTCGGACGTCTCTTCGGATTTAAAACCTGCATCTGTCCCTGCTTGTCGCGTCACGGTTGACACAGCTGTCGCCTGCATGGGATCAGCATTAGCAGATAGCATTTCACTGCGTTTCCCCAGACTCCCTGAGCTATTTGTAAGTTTGACTCTCTGCGAGCAAGTGCAACCAGAATCTTTTGTTTCCATTATGCAGCAGTCAGTCAGGCTGAGGGGCCGTGTCCACAAGCTGTCACCACTGAGTGCTGTTAAGTATACCGGCCACGCTCTGGACACTAACTCCATCCCTGCCAGTTTGTCAGAGAAGAGAGGGAAACACACATAAGCCTCGAAACCGTTCCAGGGTCGCCTCTTGCACAGACGCAAACCAAGAATACAAAGTTTAGCATTCAGCAGCTGCTTTACACATGAATATAAAAGGAAAACTAAACATCTCTTCAGTATGGGAAAGTGTTTACCTCCCAGAGCTCTGAATGCATAAAAAAATTCAACTTACAAGTGTGTAAATAAAAAAGACATCCCCCCCCCTTTGGTTCAAAAAAGAAAACGCATAGGGAGTGTACTCAAAGTAGCAACTTTTTTGTCTTTTTCAGATACAACTATTTACATGTAACCAAAGACAGTGTCCTTGAAATGGGTACAAACTGTTTTTTTTTTTCACTCTTCCTGCAATTTCATCAAATGACAACTCAGAAATATTGTATAAAATAAAAATATCAGCTCCAGGGAAAAAAGTAGTCTAAGCATTTTCCATTGACGGCTATGTACAGGAGTATTTACAGTCTAAAATACCATTCAGAGCAGAAATTTTGCAAAGTAATTAACAGTAAACACAGTTGCAGTCTTGTCCACTGCAGCCCTACAAACCAGATCAAAACTAATCTGCTTAAAACAGTTATGGCTGTCATTCAAATCAGTGATCGTACGTGTGAGCAGTACAAGGCGGAGGCATTGTTACAGGTAAAAATGACACTAAAAAGAATAAATAAATGGGAGCTTAAAATGTGAAGTCCTATACAGAGACACATCATGATACAGTTAAGAAGGAAACCATGACGCTACAGTTAGCTGGACATAAAGGGAGTATCAGGTAACTCCAATATCACTATACGTTTCATCAATGCAGCATATTTGGGTGAAAATTTGCATGAGTCTACAATGACGTAAAAGTTTCGCCAATTCTTTCACATAAACTTACTAAGTCCAGCGACTGAGCGTAATCACATGGGATATAATTAAAAGAAACAAAGAAGAACTGGGTAAAAACTTAATGTTCTCAAAACATAAGAAAGACTTAAATTAAATACATTTTTTAAAAAATCAACTTCAATACAAATTCAAAAGGAAGCACACCATTATTTTGTGGTAATTCATCACATTTGTTGTACTTTTATGAGTGTTGCTCTCATTTCATACTGGTGGATAATTGAAGTTTAGAAGATCTCAGCTAAAATATGATCAAATGGAAAATGACTGGAAAGGAAATCTATGATTCACAATAATTTACAAATTCTCTTGAGTCAAATAAAAGACCACTAATTCTAATCCGCATGTCATGTCCTGGTTTCTTTAAAAGTTTGTCATGATTAAGACGAAGAAAAAAAAAAATGCCCTCGAGGAAATAAAAGGGTTTTAAAACATGAAAGAGCGCCTATACAACTTATCGAGGTGAATTTTACATAATGAACGGGCAACGGTGAGGACATGAAATCAAAAAGCTTAAAAATGCTCTCTTTCCCTTAAAACATTCAAGCCAACTGCAAACGTGTAAGTCAAAATGGATGAAAGCATTCACAATCGTATCACACAAGTTTACACATAGAGACATCATTCTAACACCCATGAAGATGATTGTTTTTCATGCTAATTAATGATTTCACCCTTGGCTTTGATGCGGATGAGTCGAGATTAAAATGTGACGATCCATAAAATCTGATTCAGGAGGTGTTCACTCTCCAGCTGAGCGACCAGGGACAGACGAGGCTGTCGCGTTTTCCTCTTACCGTCAAGACCTTTTGGGAGATTTCAGGACCAGCTTTCAGCCCATGTTAATATTTGACATTCTACAGATTATTATGAACCTAAGCTGACCTTCTGCCTGATTCCCAGTTACCTGAGGACGAATCTAGATCTGACTCTGAATGTGACGGGAGTTAAAACTGAAGAAATCTGCATGTTTGTGAGCTACTCGGGCTTTGGTTCAGGCTGTGCTCCAGAGAGAGATGCCTCTGTCAGTGAGAATTCAGGGTGATCACAGCATTTGGGGGGATCAGTGGGAGTAATGGGAATGCTGTTGAACCTCCAATGACCCCTTCTTGGGGTTCCTGTCTGTTTGGGGTTGTGCATTAGGAGTAGCCTGGGATCCCTTTAATGTGCAGAGTGTGAGTCGGCTGTCTGTTAACAGTGCTCCAGGTAGTCGATGACCCGCGAGATGGACTTCTGTCCTGTGGTGCCCATTGCACACTGTGTGAAGAGAAAGCGGAGAGAGAAAGAGAAGAGTGAGAGGGAGCGAACATGTTCCTTTTTTCTGTTGTGAGGCAAAAACAACGATTTTGAGCCTCTGTTCATTTGGAAAGACAATATTTATGGAACAGATGGTTCCGGGCTTCACTTCTGACAAGATGAGTCATATTCAAAGCTTTTTTTTCCAAAATGCACATCTGCGACTGTAATTCTTCACTTCAATATTAATGCTGGAAATATTTTAAGATCATCATTTTTATTTGACTTGACAGCTGAGGGCTCTTTCATTGATGACAATTTATTGATCACAGAGTCGTTTTACGTCACAGCTTTGTGCCACTCGAGGCACTGAACTGAGAGGCTGTCGAGAGGTATTTCAAACAAGTGACACTCAGACAGCCTCTTCTCCTTATTTTAATATTCCCATCTATTTCACTAAATTAAGCGTTTTGCACTCTGTTAATGAAATTAAGTGAAATAAAAGCTTCCAGTTCTTTCTAATTACAGGGTTTACTCATAAGGAAGCTAAATGACTGTGCACAAAAGGCTGCAAACCCTCCAACTATGCAAGAAACAAAAAGAGGATATCTGATGTTGCTCTGGTTTGCTGGCTGCATAAAATCCGGTTTGTTTGATTCAGACCTTAACACCTTAGAAAACTGCTTTTGCTCAAAGGATCCAATTAAAAGGTCTTTGAGTTACTTCAATTCAGATTGCCTGGAGCTATGGATCTCATCAATATTTTTAGAGTTTTACAAAAAACCTCATCTGTACTCTCAATTACATGAAAAAGAGGGCTTCTGTTTAGCTATTTACATTATCACTCAAGTGTTTCCATCTTCTTTCTTTCATTATTACGTTGACGACACTCACCGTGAGGTTCATGAAACTCAAGAACTTCTTCAGCATTTCTGTCATGATGGAGAAATCCCCTTTAGGTAGATGCTCTCTCACAGTAGTCACATTTATCTGAGGCGGACAGAGAGGTGTGTGAGCAACAATGTGAGTATCTCTGAGTGGAAAAATGATCTGCCTTCATATTGTGTGTCTGCCTGATATTCTCACCTGGCTGCCCTGGCAGAGGCAGCCCAGTAGCAGAGCGGTGTAGGAGGCAACAATACTGTCCTCCATATGCTTGCCTGCGTGCTGCAGAGCTACAGTAAACACAAGGGAGAAGGGAGAGGGAAAAAAAAAAGATTGAGGATATCAACAAACAGTACTTCTTCTGGAGGAGAGGGTTGCAAACTCTTCTGCTCTGAGCTGCAGAACAGAATCTGATTTAAAATCCCCTGAGAGAGATTTTTTCTGTCGCTGTAATTCACCGCTCAGTTACCCAACAAGCTGCACCGTGGCTAAAACATTCAGTGAAAGCCGCTAATAGTGCCAATAAGTCCCCACTGTTGTATCGAGCTTATTGGAGGCTGCGCTGCAAGAAAAGTACAAAAAGTACAGAACAAAGAAAAATGTGTTTCGTATCATCAGTACATGAAGCTCGCTAAATAGAACCTGGGTCTGTTGGAGATGGCGATGACATCTGGGTTGTGGAGGTAGGTGATGTAACTTACGAGTAAAGAGGGGTGGGGCCTCCTCATTCAGCGTTTATCCTTTTTTATTAGAGCCCAAGAATTATACAAGGACTTTGCCAGTTACTTTCCTGATTAATTGTTTTGTTAATTACATAAAATAAAAAACTACAAAGTAGAATAGAAAAAAATGAAAGTGTTATCAAAAACCATGTATGGTCTGTTGATAGAGTTGGGTGGTATGACAGTATATACACCATGTGACGGTATAAAAGTGTCTACCGGTAGAAATTTTGGTATACCGTTTATACCTTAGAGAGAGAGAGAGCAGATGTCTGCTGCATCTCTCTGAGTCAGTGTGTAGTTGTCGGCGCTCGCTAACAGGAAAGCCGGAGCGCATCCGTTTGGGTGTGTTTCCGTTGTGAGATTCTTCACATTTAGAAAATGCGACAACAATCAGAAAACAATACGATGCAAAGAGTGTCGAGTGGCTGTTGTTGCTGGAGGTGGAAACACCTGCAACCTCTTCCACCACCGAAAGATGAAACACACCAAGCTCTATTATGAGAGCCAAAAGATGTGTGGCGCACCTGCTGCACCAAAAACTGAAGCAGCTCCTCTCATACAAAGAGAGCTTGGCAGAGTCTTTCGCCAAAGGTACGCCACATGATAAAAATCGCCAGACTAGTCTGGCATTTTGTTCGCATTTGTTTACAAATCCGAGTTTAAAAATAAAAGAAAAATGAACAAATGCGGCAGTATGGTTATTTTTTTTTTAGGCAATTATTGAATCTGCAGGGGGGAAAAAAAACATACCGTGATATATACCGTTACGGTGATATGAAATTACTCATACCGTGACGAGATTTTGTTCATACCGCCCAACACCATCCTTTTATAATGTGTCCATCACTACAAAAGTAACTAACTACTCTCACTCAGTGTGCACACATACTGTTAAGACCTTTTAACCAAGAGTGTTTTTTATGAAGACCATGTATGACAGAAAAACCCAGCTTTCAAAACCTGCTCATGCTTTCCTGAGGAGTTTCATGTGAGAATCATATGTGCAAAATTACCCTCATTTGTTCCAAGTACGATTTTAACCAAAGCTAAAAACAGCTCCTTTTTAAACACACACACACACACAACTTCAAACACACACGTCTACCTTTATTTAGGTCCAACTCTTCATCCTCCTCCTCCTTCTTCTCGCTCTCTTTATTCTCAGCTTGGCTGTCGTTGGTTTCAGCTGCCACCCACTGGATCTCTCCCGACGTCTCCTGCCACTCGCCGCTTTGGTCCAGTGCCGGCTTGGGTGCCTCGCTGATGAGGTCATCAGTCTTCGCCTCAGCCAGGATGGCGGCACGCTCCCTCTCCAGGAACAGCTAGGATTTAGAGAGGAAATAAAAAACACTTGTGAGCTCCAAAACACAAACACGAGAGATTTGAATTATTCAAAGGGAATGAGAGAACAGCAGTTAAGCAGTTAGCCGAGGTATTTCTTTACGGCAAGGTCAGAGAGGAACTGTGTGTGCCAGAAACTCTGGGAGAAGCCTCCAAGTATCGAAAGTGAAAGGTAATTTTAAAGTTAATCACCAATTTGCTCTCTAAAGTTCCTTTTAAGCTTTCACAAAACTTTGCACTAATGAGCCAGTTGGGCAAGGACTTTGGTAAAAGTATTAATAATTATGAAAAACAACATAAATAATGACCGTTTTATCTTCAAACTCCAATCCACAAGTGACTATGCATCGATTTACACTTGCCCATTACTTTCATTTGCAACTCAAGACTGATGTGTTGACTTAAAATGCACAGCGGGTTACACCTCAGGGTTGTGTGGAAGGGTATCTCGCACAGAGGGAGAATTTAAATGATGATTCAGCAAAACTGCATCATCCATATTAATCACTGTAGCAAAGGTTCTTTCTGCTATCGCCCTGAGAACACAGGCAGAACACCGGTTCACCTGTTCATAAACCACAAAGGGTTCCTTTGAAGAGAAAGAAAAAGCATTGATTTTTCCTCATGAGTGCTCACAATGTTTCTTCAAAAGAAATCAGAGAAGAAAACCCCGCGGCCATGACAAAAAAAATCCCCAAATAACAGCAAAAGTATTCAATAATGAGTTACGGCTCAATTCCTACCTTAACCAGAGCAGCCAATGCACCGGTGGATTTAGGCTTGTCATCGGTGTCTCCCTGAGTCTCCGCTGTGCTCGGTGGTGCTGACACTGCTGCTGTGTCGGCTTGTGTCGGGTCAGCAGGCTGGATCAGGCTGTCTTCCAGACAGGTGTCTTCAACGGTGAACTCCATGTCCACCAGACAGTGGCGGTTTCTGGAGCTGTACTCCACGAGGTTAATTAATAAACCGAGACCCTGGTGTGCAAAAACAAAATATACAAATAAGACACAATAAACTGCCGGGAACAAAGAAAAAGCACATTAGTTAAATGTCTAATCTGATAGTCTTTGGTTCTATTCCAGTGTGTCTCACCAGTACTCTGACATCGAAGCGCTGCTCCTGGGGGATGTAGCGTGGAACTCGAAGGACGCAATTCAGAGCTGTCACTATGAGTTGTTCCTGCTCGCCTGTCTTTGTGCTCCCCCATTCTGCAGACAAAGAGAGCATCAATGTTGACCTACAGTGCTACTTTTTCATACAATTTCCTGCTGAGCACTAAGTATTACATATTACAGGAGACTCCATGAGCCTTTGTGATACACTTCAACACCAGAATATCATCTTGATTATTGATTAAACAAGGTTTTGTCATGTGATACATAAAAGGTATGTTGCTTTTCCTTATTTATTGTTTTTATTTTTCACTTTCAGAGTTGTTTTTTTCCCTTTTAATTGACATTGTGAAAAGAATGGAACACCCTGCCTGACACAGTTAGACATGCCACATCAGTAACCGTCTTTAAAAACAGATTAAAAACCATTTTTCTACAGCTTTCTGTTGAACTGTGTGTGTGTGTGTGTGTGTGTGTGTGTGTATGTGTGTGCATATGCATGTCTCCACGTGTGAGTGCAGGCGCAGTTTAAGTGTGCAAGCAATAAAGTTGTCTACTTGCACTTACACTCATATTGATTTCTAATTGATTTTTATATAACTGAGTTTGACTTGTGCATGAAATGTGCTTTATAAATAAAGTTGAATGAACTGAATTGTGAGTAATGGAGATTGTAAATATTGTGTTTTGTATATATTGTCTGGACCCCAGGAAGACTAGCTGTCGTCTTGGTGTCAGCTAACAGGGATCCCTTTAAGTAAAAAATAAACAATAAACTTCAAGTCTGTTTAACTAAATGAATTAAAATGACTCTAACATTGGTGTTGTTCACTTCAGTATGTCAAAGTAAGTACCAAACAAAAACAAGGAATCACATGAAAACATCAAGCCATAAATAAAAATACCATTATCATGTGTGAGATTGAGCAGCACTCCTATGACGGCCCTCATGCAGTCCTCCACCGCCTTGCCCACATTACTGAAGCTGCAGTGGGGCAGGGCTGTGCTGGACAACGACAGAGAGCTGTTGTTTAACGCCCTGCTGTACCGCTGGATCATGTCCTCACAGTACCGCAGAGCTCTGATGAGGAGAGAAAAAAAACAGAATACAAGAAATTATTTAGTAAAATCTAATGAGAGGAACAGTTTCCAGACAAACGGTAATACGGTGAATCAGAGAAGAGGGTGAATGTGAACGTTAACATCGAGAGGGGATTAAAAAACACAGATTAACCATAGACAGGACCCAGACTGCTAACTCGTGTCCAGCAATACTGGAACATTAATCCAAGCTTAATCTGCGGTTAAGTCATCTCCACTGGCTCCAATACTGACATTCATGCTAATCAGGGAGCTAACCGTGTTGTTTTCTGTTTCCATAAGGTCTGTTTTTTTTTTTCATGTTAGGAAAAATCTGATTCATTCATCAAATTAACCCCAATATCATTCGTCTTAATTCTACACACGTTTGTTGTGTTGTAATAAATGAACAGACTGAGCTGTTGCTATATCAGTGACTTTCTCAATGTGTCTCTGTGTCCAGTCAATAACAGCTCCAAGCTGTATCTGCTCCTCACCTGGCAGAGGAGACAATGAGTTGTGAGTCTTTGTAGGCGATCAAGTAACCCTGGTTTTCTGGGTTCTGCACTGTCACCTGATGGCAGAAAATGAAAACGAAGTAAAATCAATAGAGGGGAAAGAACAATGAAAGGCTCGAAAAGTTGTTAAGAAAGACAGAAAGAACAAGGCGTAAGGCTTAAGGCTTTTGATCGCCGACTTTCAAGTTTGATGGTTCATAAATGGCACTCTGCTTTACACAATCAAAAGTTTTGTCAAATCCACAGCTCTCTGTACCGCTCCACTTTTGTCTTTAAGTTTTACTAGCTTGACAATTTGGTGTAATAGACATTCACTCTCTACAAAACAGCACTTACGCTTTCAAGCACCCTCAGACACCTCTCAGCCCCCCATAAAGACCCTACGAGGTTCTCCTTGTCGTCCTCTTGGCTCAGGTTCTGCACGCACTCTTTAACTGTAGTAAGACAACACAAACACAGTATTGATTACTACATCCTGGATGACTACATGAAAGCAAATAGCTGTGACACTTGAACTTGTAAAGCTGAACTTTGCACATATACATAAATATAGAGCCTTGCAAACCGCCCACTTAGTGCCACTTTTGCACTATGCATCCCACACACCTACCTTTGTCTACAATGTGGTCCAAACCTCCTAGTAGCCGCAGTTCTTCTTTAAACCAATCCCCGGCCCTCTTGGAGGTTAAAGAGAGCAATGTCTCCATAGCAAGGTGGCCCGTCTACAAAAAGCAACAACAAAAACAAGTTAAAAATGCACAGTTCTTAAACTCTGACCACAATTTCTGTCTTTAGTTCCTGATATAGGTGGTAAATAAATGTTCTATACTCGAAGCTTCTTATCCGTATAAAGTGGATGATAAGGATTGTACAACTTTCAAATCACTCATTACTAAATTTAAGCAAAGAGTGAGATCACTTGAAATTGACTTTTACGATAAAACTGTGATGTTAAAGACCCAATCAGATGAAAATCATGTTTTTCTTGTTGTCTACATGTTCATATGGTATTTTTCTAATGGTAGAGGACATATCATGAGAAAACTAAGTGTGAAATTGCATTTCTGAGTATTTCTTTCAAACTGCTGTGAATCTCTGGCAGACCCAACCGGTGGGATCAGTGTACATTTCCAACGTAACCAATTCAAGCCCCCCTATGCAGGCCAGGCTTGGAGAAATAGAGAGGAAGATTGTAGAACAAGCGTCTACGTTAGTGGATTGCAATGCTTGTAAGAAAGCTAATCATGATATTAACTTTCATTATGCCCCTAAAGATATTGGTGTACGAGAGCTGAATAGCTCCTATGTTACCTGTTTCTTCTACTACACCAGCAATGTTAGGCTGCAAGCTAATTTGAGGAGAAGCGTGCGGAACAGCGTTGTCTCCACCCACGACTCAGAGGCGAATTACTAATGAGCTACTCCAGCTCTGCATGAGAAAAGCCTTGAAACAACACAGGTAATGTGACTTTGGCTAAAAACTTCATAATCAGAGTTTTAAGACAACTGATAACACTTTAAGTAGTAAAAAAAGAAAAAAAAACTATCGGAGTGGGACTTTAAAGGACCAATTATTCTTTTGTATGCAGTGTTTTTGCTTTTTAGACAATATTCACCAGCAATGAAGACACTTCTCCACACTTAATTGATCATCTATGTTGGTCTCACACAAGTAAAATCAAAAATATGTAAAAATGTTTGGCAAATATACAACCATGTTTAGCCAACATGCGGATAACATTATTTTCTACGATAAGATGTATGGTAAATATATTAAAATGAAGCACAGAGTAACAGAGCGGGGCCCTTTTTCAAACAAATATGGCTTCTGTTAAATTGTTTAGGAAAACAGTTTCATGAACTCCATAAAGAGTGTGTTGAGAAGGTACATAACACTTTTTATCAGTAAACAGACAACCCACCGTGATGTTCTCCAGGTCGAGGTGTTTGTTGTGCACCGTCTCGCACAGCTTCCTGATTTTCTCTTTGACCTTTTCCACTTCCTTCGCAGTGAGCTGGTCCTGGTGGGCAGAGTAGTCCTGGTCGAGCTCGAGCAGCTTGATCATGAGCTCCAGGCAGGCCCTGTCCAGATCCATGTTAAGACGATCCCGGCTCAGAATGTACATCAGGGCAGCGGTGCACAGAGCAAGGTTCTGACAAAGAAACAAAGATCAGATTTTACAATGAAGTGTGGGTAGCTGTGGGCATACAGAGGTGAGGCAATGCAGCCACAATGTTGAACTCTGTGGACACCTATGCCTCTTTCCTGCTGCTTCCTCAACATTAGCAGTCATGGCTTAGAGGATGCAGCAACTCATTATGTAATAACGGCTCATTATATAAAAATTTGCATGTTATAAAAGTTCACGACATAAAATTGACATATGTAATAAATTGTGACATTATGTGCAAAGACCTTATTGTGTTACGGGCTCATGTTTAAGCGATAAAGGTAGCAGTACAGAAGCCCAAAGCGAACATGGTTATTATTATTATTTTTTTTACCCCTGCTTTCTCAGGATTACGAGACAGTTTTCTCGTGATCTCAAGAAAACAGGGGTAAAAAAATAAATAAACCATGTCCGCTTAGGGCTTCAGTATGACAGAGCAGATTTACATCTATTTATATCATGTTAAATCAAAGAATAGGGCTACTTCTAGCATGACAAAGGACCTCTTTTGATGTCAGTGAGGTGTCATTTATTACTTGAATGTTTAGGTTATTCACAAGTTACGACCATCAGCTAAAGAGCATGGATAAATACAAATCTCCCACAGCAAACTTTCAAACTTACTTTCATTTAGAGCAGCAATTAATTAACAGTCATTAAAAAGAAAATGAACAAGTTTTTCTTACTGGGTGTTGTGGAGCATCACTGAGAATTTTGAAGACCTGCGCAACTTTCCCTCTGGCTCGGAGGTGCATCCTGAAACTTGGCATGGCACACCGCGTGGCCAGGCTGATTATACTGCAGCAGAAAGAGAGGGAGAATAGCAGATATGATTGGTCAAAGCAGCAACAGCAGTCTTCTGCTGAAGGCTACGATGAAAGAGACTGAAATGTGGGTTTCTCCCATAACAGTATCACTGTTTGTGATTTCTATCTGCAATATGTTTCTTTTCGAAAACTTCTATTTCTTTTTTTTGGCACTTTTTTTTCGGAGTGAAAAGAGCAAGAAACATCTTCGAAAAGAAGGCGGGACGCCCTAAAACTTTTCTGAAGTTAAGGTTGTCTCTCCTGAGTGGATTCGATTTTCACAGCGGAATGACTTTATGCTCTGTGAGACTACAGAAAAACAGGCTTTATCTTGTGAGTCACCCCAACAAAAGACAGTGATAGAAGAGAGATACGTAAACAGAAAAAGTGGAGGCACAGATAGAAAAGGGGAGATACTGCCTCTGTAGTTCTTGCCTTGTGTTATTTCAGAGAAACTGTACTTTTGTTAATGAATGAGAACCAAAGAGCATCACCAACCAACCAAACCGAAGCGGATCTTCATCCAGAAGATTCACACACAGTCGGAGTCGGTGTTCGAGGGTTGAATGTGAACGGCAAAGCCTGTTTCTCTTTGTCTTTATTCACTCAACCTCTCTGCTTGTTGTGGAAATTAATATTGTTTTGTTTATTTAACTGAGGATTGTTGTACAAATGTCAAATTGTTAATCAATGGAAGTTGCTGTTCCATGTTGCTTTATTCGCAGGCTTGAAAAATGACTCCTTCTTCATAAGATGACAGGCCCTTGTAACATTCAATCAGCTTAGGAAGGTACTTGGTACAAACCAGTATCATCAACATGCTACTAGAAAGAAAATGTGTCAGCGTATACTCACTGCTGTCTTTCATTGGTGTCAGCACTATGATGCTTTAAGTGTCTTATTCCACTTACCTAAGGCATCTTGTGTTGAGTGGCTGACTGCTCTTCAGCCCCGTCTCCAGGTACTCAAAATCATCTGTGAACTCCTGATTTTCTCCAAACTCCACCACATCATTGAAGTGCTTCACATGCTGCACCACGGTGTACAGCTGGCGGAAGGGGAAGGGGGTTAATTACAGTTAATTGGGAAGCTGTGCATCTGTCCAGAGACACAATCAGCTCGCACAAATACAGCAAGGGAGCTGTGCTCATTGTTCAAACGCCTCTCCATTGGTTCCATTAGCAGCAATAGCTGACTGTGCTAATACCCTTCATCAATAAAAACCCAGCATGGGGAATTGGAGCCTGATCAGCCGTTGACTTGGTCTGTTTACCAGTATCAAAAGTCGTGCTGTGTGTGCTCTCAGCATGGCACAGGAGGGTTAAAGATAACACAACTGTGTGGAAACAGCTTTGCTAGAGCTATATTACCTCAGGAGCTCTGTGGCTAATAGGCTGATCTGGGGCCAGAAGTCCCATTTGTAAATGACACAAGCTGGAAGGGAGTTTAATTTAACAGCAACCTTTCCCTTCGCTACTTCGAACCCCACGCTGGGGTTCATGTAAACAAAAGAGAGTATGACATGTCACAAACAAACGCTATCCCTTTATTGTTTCATCCTTCGACGACAGAGATTACTCTGCAGCATGCAAATACATACAGCATGAAATTAACATATCTAGCTGCTGAAGTCGCTGCCTCCTTGTCCTTTGTTTCTCTCTAGATGTCTGAAAACATTTCCGTCTATTCCACACTCACCTCTTTGTGCTCCTTTCTGCATTTGAGAGCCGTGACAATATCCTGGTTGGGTCGTGTGGGTATGGTCTCTGACTTTATGACTTTGGGCGGCGGTGGAGGGGCTTTGAACAAGCCGTCATCTTTATGGGAGTTGCTGTCCTTGCTGCTGCTGGATAAAATGGCCTGGGGAAGAAAGAAGTGGAGAAATACGGCTCATGCTGAAGTTAAGAAATCTGTTTAATGACATGTCTGCCAGATTACCCACAGCTGAACAGTCTGTTAAGCACACACGTTTTTATTAAGTGTTGTTAACAGATGTCGGACGAGGTAGTGCTAAAGTGAAAAAAAAATGGGAGCAAGTTTCAAATCCCAGTTGCCAGAGTCTGATTAGTTTGTCTGAACAAACATTAATTTTCACAGGGGAGGAGTTCAACGCAGAATATACAAGTTAACTCAGGTTTACTTGTCAGGGAAAATAACTCCATGTTTACAGAGAGAGTCTAATTAGTGCAATTAAACAAAACTGTTGACTACTCAGAGACCAATAAAAACATCCTCAGAGTGGACAGCAGGGAATTAACTATTCTGTTTGTAAACTGAATTTGCTGCTTGCATTTGGCTTATCATAACAACTTGTTAGACTGTTAACATGTTTTTTTTGTGTGAAACAAACATATTTTAACATCAAAAATTCACTCATTCATGCTCTTAAAACTTTCTTTTTCCATTTACATGAACTTAAAAACTTGTTTGTTTATATTAGACTACAGGACCAACAATATCCATGATAGTAATGTCTTACCGGAGCGGTTTGAGATCGAGACAGTGGGGGTGCAGGTATCTCTTCGGGCTCAGGTTGGTTCCAGTGGCGAGCGTTGTACACAGCTTTAGCGGGCGACTAGAAAACAGCGAACATGTTTGTGAGCTCAAAAAATGCTGGTATCAACAAGAGCTTAGTGTTTCAAACACATTTTTCATTTGTTGGTCACAGTAACAGATGCAAAAATCCCAAGACACCAAGACAATGCTGACAGTAAACAACAAAATCTGTGAGAACAAAAGACTATAAGGAAATATTTATCTCCATTTACAATTCTAGTACATAGTGTAATCCGTTTGTGGTTTAAAATGACATATCACATAAATATTGCAAACTACAATCATCAAGTTAAACTAAGAAAGCAGCAGCCTCAGTTGGGAGCACAACAGACCCCAAGCAGCACAAAACATTTCATCAAAATGACACATTGCGTACCTAGATTTTATATTGCAGAGACAGTTTGTTGATGATGTTAAAGCAGAACACACACACAGAATTATGGAGACGGATCACAAATAACCCAAAGCAACAGAAAAACATAATGTAGAAAAACAGGGCAAATGAGGGCCTCCTTAAAACACCACAAATCAAATCAGTTACTGTGATTAATATTGGACTGAACTTCTTCATACTGGATGACTATTATGCAGGATAAGGGTTCAAATTAGGACTACAGACTGTTCACAGGGAAACTTGATCCAAGCTAAAGTAGGCAGCTGATCTGGCTACTTGAGGATGGTGCTGAAACACAGAAGCTGACTATTGGACCTACTGGATGTTATTTTTCTCTACTAAAATGTAACACGACTTTGGTATCACAGGGTGTTAATACAGCGATGTTGCACATTTAACACAGTAAGCGGACTCCTGGTTCAGACCACAGCTGAGATCTTTCTTGTGTGAAATTGGTATGTTTCCCCGTACATGTGCACACACTCTGGCTTCCTTCCGCAGTCAAAACACAGCCTGGTTAGAACAACTGGGGACTCAATATTGCCTGTAAATTGTAATTGTGTGCATCTCTGTCAAAGTATCAATATGTACACTGCCTCTCCCCCAACAACAGCTGGGGTTAGCTCCATCCCCCCTCCCATGTCCCCTTATCCCCAATCGGAGCAAGCAGAATAGGTGTTGGGTGGACATGATAGTCTTGCATTTTCAATACTTAATTAAAGTTCCTCATTTTCTAAAAACTGTTAGACACTTTTACTTTTAGAGCTTGTAAGCTATATTTTTAAATTTTTGTTCAAAGATCTTTAAGTGTAAATAATATTGCTTTACTTGTACTTGGCTATTGTCTTTCATTTCTCTCCCTCTGTACACATCATGAATGTAAAATGAGAGCAGTCCAACTGACCCAGTGTCCCCCTGAATTCAAGACATTACAGCCATTCTAGTTTTTAAACAACAAATTAATGTATATGCATGTCTAAAAAGTATACACATCATGAAACAGCATGTAAAAGAAATTAAAACTTGTTTTTAAAATCTTTTGAACTACGAGCCTCAGCCTGTTTATTTTAAGCCTCAGAAGCTATTGTCTTGCCCAACCAGTACTTGATCCAGTGTTGCAAGTTTACACTTGAGTTACCGCCTCAGTCTTGTCTCCAGTCACCCCATCAGTTGCCAGAGCCAGCTCATGGTTGGTGAGATTAACAGACGGTTAGCTCAGCTGGTTTCAACAAGGACATAACCTCTACCCTTAGCATTGCTGTTCAAAGCCTCGAGACTACAACTGAAATTCCCACTCACAAAACTGTGCAACATAGAATAACATTAAAGTAACACACAAATATTTTAAAGTCATTTTGGCTTTTTTTTAACCCTCTTGTACAATTTCATTCGGATGGTCTTCTCTCTGCCATGACCTAGGTCTATTTTTAGATAGGCTGGGAATTTTGTCATGTAAATGTTTATTAAGACAGAAAGGTAGAAAATAAGGTAGAAAAAATACACAGTTAATTTTCCAAGTATGCTGATCACCTTTTTGGGTCCACTGAATATTTTTTTGAATCCGCTGCCACTTTCCTTGGACTTGTCACCTGGTTTTCCTGAGCGTCCTCTCTGCCCCTCAGTGCCACCAGGACTGGAGTCATCAGAGAAATCAAAAGCATCTGTTGAAAAAAAAATTGTTGACAGAAAGAAAAAAGCATCAGTACATCAATATGAGGACGCATTATTTCTTTAGTTCTACTCTCTCAGGCTTTTTAAAAGACAGAATAAAATCCTTGTTGTAGCTTTACTGATTAGAAAATAACTACATGAAAAAAAAGGCTGTGTCCCTTTAGGTTAAGGATCAGCTTCACCTGTATTGCTGCTGGCCTGGCTGTCCTGAGAGTCGCTGGTATGAGGGCTGTCCACACCGGAGCTCAGCGCTGCTAGGGCTGCAGCTACCTTCTTGGCCTTTTTCTCTTTGGCCTGAGCACTCTCGTCATCGCTGTCGCTCTCGCTCAGGTCGTCGAAGCCAAAGTACTTAATCTTGTAGCTACTCTTGCCTGCCATGCCACCTTCAGGACCCTCCTCGCTCCCCTGGTCCTCTTTATCCTCAAAGCCAAAAAACTCAAGCTTGGTCTCAGTCTTGGTCTTCTTGGTCTTTGCCTGGGTGGGTCTGAACCTGAGAAAATACAGTCGGTTTTATTTTGTGTTGTTCTTTTAGTTTTTACAAAGAGATTATGAGAAAATGGAAGTCGGAAACAGGATGCACTCAGTGAGGCTCAACTAAATCAGACATCAAAATAAAAAGTTAACCTCTTCAAACACAATGTTTCTGACCAGAAATCACCAAAAAAATTGAACTAATAAGACCAACATAGGACCATGTTCTATATTTATACTAATAATTAAGTTGACAATGAGCTGGCTTTAGTGTTTAAAATTAAAGTAAATGTATCAATCCATCTAAATATACACCTCAGTTTTAGTCGTATCTTTGGTAACCCTGCAGTTTGTTTTCAACAAAGAACTTAGTCACATAATTTGAGCACAAGTCAAGGCCTACTTATTAACCAGTGTGTCTAGTTTTGCTCAGTGTTTGCTAAAATGAAGCTTTTTATTGCCAATGTTACTTGCCAAGTGTTTTACTTGTGGTATGCATGGAACAAACCTGTTCTTTGTGGGAATGATCTTGGAATAAAATCTGTGATAAACTGAAAAAAAGATTGTTTGCACACCCTGACATTTCAGTAGAAGTGTACTGATCTTGCATTCAATTCAGCATGCATTCAACTGAAACAGCAGCTAAAACTTCAGCAGCAAGTGACACTGTCAAGTTAAGTAAAAGCCTTGGTAGCTCCCCAGGTAGATGTATATGAATACCATGTGTAACTTTATGCCAAAGCATTAAAAATAGACATTAAGATGAGCTGCACTTGATAACATCAATATAAAAACTAGTGCCAAAATACATTGTGCAGTTCGCTCTTCAGCATCTGGAAAATATAAGTTTCTATTCAGTCACAGTGGTTATTTAGAGGCCCAGGAAGGCAAACAACACAATAATTTAGTGCACAGATAAGGATATGCTTCTGTAAAGCACATAGGTGGGATGTATTATTTACATCTTACTTATTTTAATGTGTTTGCATGGCCAAAACATTGTTCTGCTTGGAGCTACAAAGTTCTAAATGATGACACAAAACTTACAAAACCTTAAAAATGGTCTTCAGTGTCTTTTCTATCAAACCCAGGTGAGACATTGGACTGTTACTTGTTACCTGGTAGGTTTGGGTGGCGGGGCATCTGTCTTCTTTTTCATCTGACCTGCTTCTCCCAGGTCAGCAGGGGCAGCCGGAGTCACCAGATCATCAATACTCCGCTCTATTGAATCCTGAATGGTGACATTGCACACTGACAGACATGAAGGGTGCAGAACTGTGTAGTCCCGTACCCTCCCTCCGCCCCTGCCTGCAGGCTTGGCTGCTGGTTTGGTATTGGCAGCAGTACTACTTGCACTAGCAGAAAGGACACTGTTGGGTTTATCTTGGGCACTCGTTTCTGTGGGCTGGCTGCTGTTGCTTCCAGCTGCTTCAGAGGATGTTTTGTTAGATCTACTGGGCCGCTGGTACTTCTTGCAGTTTGAGGATCTTAGGGTAAATGGGGAAGGGGGAATGTTGTCCACTGGTTCTGGTGGAGGCTCTTGATCAGCGTTTGTCATCTCCTCTGATTGCAGTCCATCATAAGAGGAGGAAGAGGTCTGGAAGTCTCTGCTACCACTCGGTGCATCAGTGGTCAATTTAAGGGTAGTGTCTATGCTAGGAGAGGAAGAAAAAGGCCTCTGAGACACAGAGAGGTTCTGATCGACAGAGGGGACTGTGTTTGACAAAGAGGCCGTGCATGCAGATTTTTGGTTGCTATCTGATGTACTTTTGTACCAGGGCTGGTTATTCTTGACAACCTTCACCTCAGTTGTTTGCTTAGCTGTGAATGAAAAAGAAGAATTCAGACAATCAAACAGAGCAGTGCCATAAAAGTTACTAAACCATGAATAAAAAAGTAAATGTTGATGATAAAGCAGTCATAAGAAACAAAAATATAAAAGATGTGACACAAAAAGTTACACAGCAGGTGGTATATAAACTGGGGAATTTAGTTTCATCAGTACATGAGCTTTTGTTGCTGTTGTTTTAATGTTGCTGCTGCCCCCTGTCTCTCTCTTTCACCCTTGTCTCCTACTGTCTCTCTTGTTCTCTTTCTTTCCCCCTGCCCTCTCTCCTCATCTCTCTGTATTCCTCCCCAACCCAACAGCAGCCTAGTGGCTGTCCAGCATGAGTCTGGTCCTACCCAAGGTTTCTTCCTGTTAAAAGGAAGTTTTTTTCGTTGCCACTGTCACTCATGTTAGATGAGATGGGCCAAATCCCATCTTAGGTTGGGTCTTGATAATTCATCAAACAATGAGCGTGGTCTAGACCTGCTCTTTTTCTTTGGAAAGCATCTTAGGATGATGACTGTTGTGAATTGGCGCCATCAAATTTTATTTATATAGCGCCAATTCACAACAGTCGTCATCCCAAGATGCTTTCCAAAGACAAAGACACTCATTGTTTGATGAATTATCAAGATCCCAACCTAAGATGGGATTTGGCCCATTTCATCTAACATGAGTAACAGTGGCAATGAAAAACTTCCTTTTAACAGGCAGAAACCTTGGGTAGGACCAGACTCACCAGGCTGCTGCCCGTGGGTTGGGGAGGAATACAGAGAGATAGGGGGAGAGAGATTTAATAAACTGTTTTGACATACAACAACAGGGTTGCTCAGAAAGTATTAATTACTTACTTGTAGCAAGGGCTGCTGAAGTGGCAGATTTCTGTGTGGAAGTCACAAGTGTGGCCGTGCCCTGCACTGCAGTCTTCTTTATCACATCACCTTCCTTGACTTCTGCCTGCACCACACCATGAGAGGTCTCGGTCTTGGAGTCATCATCACTGTCAAATCCAAATGGGTCCTCTTCACTGTCACTGTCTTCAAGCCTCGGCCTCTTGGTCAGCTCAGACACGTCAGGTTTAACAAGGGTCCTTTTAGCCCCCAGCTGTGCCTTGTAGGTGGTCTCTCCCCATTTGGTGGTCAGCGTGGGCTTTTTATTAGAGAAGACCTCTTCAAATTTAGAGTTAGCTTCGCCTCCCTTACGGTTGTACGTTTTACCAAATCTGGATGTCATGATGGTTGCTTTATGTTACATATTCCCTGTTAAAAGAGACACAACGTAATTGAGCATTCAACATCGAAAACAGCGTTAAAAAAATACTAACATATGTCAGCTAGAGCACAGGTTAAACGAGGTAAGAATCGAAGCTGGTGAGCGTGAATGACGATCAAGATTAAGATTAGAAAGAGGAGAGCTTTTTTAACAATCCAGAGAAGAGGCTGTAAGAATTAACTTAGTATTAGCTCCCGGGTCATGTGTCAAGTACTGGTTGTTAGCACAGAATATTAGCATAGCTAGCTCGTTAGCTCAAGCTGTGGCGCTGTCGGTCGAATAGGATCAAAATAATAGTGAGCGGAAGCGACATGGATGACTTTTAGTTAAAAATGAATAAGCTTTAAAACACACAAACTAACGCCATGCATGCAGTACAGTTGACTTAACTGTGTTGGTTTACAAAAGCTAGGCCTACTCCAGTCTGCAAAGTTACTGTAAACTTAGCAATTAGCCGTTAGCTCCTCAACTGCTAACCTGAGCTAACGTTGGTCATATGTTTACATTTCTCACCCGACTGCGTGAAAGGTTTAAGTTTTAGTTTTTAAATACGAGCCACGCTCTTTAACATGTGCAACTTAAAAAATTGGAAACGTTTAGGAGACATAGCGCGGAAAAGAGCAGAAGAACATACTGTTACCTTTCAACTCCACAGACTAGCTAAGCGTCCGCTTGTTTTTTAGCCAGCCGGCCGGGCCTGATCTCCCACTCGCGCACAAATCAAGCGGGTAAAGTCCGAGAAGCGCACAAGCAACAGCTCTACGAATGCAACTTCAACACGAATATACATCCAGAATAACTGTCGACACCGAAGAAGTGCGACCGGATACCTCCTTCGGCTACTGAAGTCTAAATACAGTGGATAATCCGGACTTTTTGCAATCTGTAGCGCTACTGGCAGCCATTAAAATATCCCCTCCCTCCTCGTTCGTTGCCAAGACCCCCATGTAGTCTGCTGCGAGGAGAGTAATAGCCAATCACCGGTGGGAAGGTTTTCTGGTGCCATTAGATCACGTCAGCAAAAACGACTCTGATTGGTTAAGAACTAAAACCATAATATACTGAAGGGGGCGCTGGAGGACTGTAATAGATTATTTAAACTTGAAGAAGTGCCAAAGTAACGGTGCTGCTGTCACGGTTGTTTATTTTTATAAAGTAGTAGATTTAAATACACTTTTATACCGCTTTTGGTTACTCATAACTCTTGGTAGGGAGTACATTATCTCATTAAAGTTATAAAAGTAATTTCACACAATTTAGAGGAAACATTGCTTTTTAAAGGGTACATGAGCTGGGACTATTTTAACTACAAAATTGTTTCAGTTACAAACACCCCCCTGATGATCAGTTTCTTTTCATATATATGCTTTTTAATTTTATTTTTGTAGTGTTGAGGCTACACATAATTGTTACATAAATTGCCTCAGTGTAGAAAGCACAATTCCTCAATGGGGGCTGTAGTGAAATGAGAATCTGATCAAGTAAATCTTGTAAAATAAATAGATATTCAATTTCATATAGACAAGTATGCTGTGCTTTCTGGACTGACTGCTCAAACACCTGCAGCACACTGGAAACAGAACTCATATGGATCACCATCACTGGCTCTGGTCTGGGGCACAGATGGTGTCAAGAAAATCCTAGGATCAGCAAAGCAAAGTGGTCCCAATAGTGTTAACACTGACAAGACCATTACTCAGCCCAATCAGCCATCATCTCCTTCAAAGCATTAAAGTTAGTGTAAAGAAGGAACATGGGGTTGCGTTTCTGGCAACAGTTGCGGCCAAGTCAAGAACAGAAGGATCAGATTCCAGGAAAGACGTTGGTTTGTTTTTTTTAGTGTTCTTGATCAAATATAAAATGTACAGATTAACTCATGTATTTAAGACTTTTTGAGTCATGTCACATGTAAACAAGTCACTCACAGATGAATATTAGCTCTAGCACGGTAATATTAATGTATCAACAATAAAGTCAATGTTTGTTTTTTAGGTGAGAAAAATATATAATCCTTTTCACAATCAAATGGTGTCCACTGTTTCACAAAATATGTATGGAGATAAAAAAGAAGAAAACAGTGCACCTTTATTTAATGTTGCAGATTTCTGGCATCTGCATACGTTTGGGCTGACAGAGTGTGTGTCATTGCACATCAAGGCTCAAAACTGGTGAGGTAATACAGCCAGGCCCTGGATGAGTGATGTTTTGAAGTTCAGTTCTGGCAGTCCAGCAGTTATTTCATCATTAACAGGAACTTTGCATCTGGGTCCAATACGATGTATACTGTAATCTCTTTAAATGTTATGCTGTATTGGAATAAATGAGTCACACGTTTATGCCACTGCCAAGTGAAACATAAACACCCAGCTCTGAGTGCAAGGTTTGTAAAAGTACAACAACATTTCCCGAAAAATGAAGATGAGAGAGACTGCAACACTGATGCAAAGCCATGAGATGGCAGCAACTCTGTCTGTCATACTACAGTCAGTGTGTATATTTCAGAAAAGTACCTTTGGTCTTTGGCCAAGGATCTATGATCTGGGTTTGTGATACATTTAAACCAAAAGAAGTCGAAGTATGTTCTAATTTCCAGAGGATGTGTATTAATATAGATAATGTTGGATTATGATGCACGCCTATGGGCATTTGACATCATTGGAAAGCATCTGTGTATCATATAGTTCGCATGTGGTTTATGAGAATGGAAAGAAGGTGGTGAGAGGTATAAACTTCAAGGAGTTATAGAAGGCGTAGTCTGGAATTTAAATGTAAAAACCCAAAAGAATGCTAAAGTATTTTCTCTCGTCCCTTAAACAAATTTGTAGAGCAGTTTACAGTTCATTTAATGTTGCTGTAGTTGGCTTTGCATAACAGAACTCTGAGTGGAATTAACGTGGTTTATGGTATAGAAAATTACCCCAATCTGCCTTTTTTCCCCTCAACCCATGAAGTGAAAGCCTTCAGTCCCAGACCTTCCCGTTAAGCCTGAAGCTGGTCACATTTTTTGGTGGTTTCTGCAGTTCTCAGGGGATCCGTTTCATCATCCTCATCCAAAATTTATGTGGTGCACAGAGATCTCTTCCAAATCGCTGAGTGTACTCATGCGAGGCCTTCATCTGTGACCAATGCATCTTGGGTCGGATCACTGTTTGGCCTGCGCCCCTGTCTCTGAGGATAGCCTGCAGAGCCCCTAGCCCAACAATCACACCAGACCACTATTCAAACCCATATGAAGGCAATAAAAACAAATCCAAACCAGATCTCCATTTGTTTTGTGACCACTTCTGTGTGTCTGTATGAGTGTGTGGATGAGCAATGGTTAAACAAACTCTGAACACACAAAGAAAATATTGAAATGTCAGACTTGGTGCAGTCAAGCTGAAAGTGTGTTTTTCTTTGTCTGTTACGGATATTTAGCAGAAGAGAAACACAAAAAAGTTTGAAGGCTGAGCGTGGAAACAAAAGACCATAAACTTTATTTTCTTTTCAGTACACATCACATAATAGACATAAACATTCTACAGTACTTTTTAAAAAGGAGTTTATAAAACAGATTTTCAAATCAGATTTGCTCAACATGTCTCTAAATTGCTCAAGATGTGCAGGGGAAGGCCTGACTGAGCCAGAGTCCATACAAAAAAAGACAAGAGAGAGGTGTTAAAAAATAAGATGTCTATAGTCAATTCTTTTAACTAATTTGTAACCAACCAGTAGTAGAAATGATCAAAGCGATTAAGACTAAGAGTGAAATCACATGGATAAAGTTCAGCACCGCTTTAGAACAACTGTAGGCATTTCTACAGATGCCCCCAAAAAAGCCCATTGGCAGTGATTTTTTCAAAACTGTTGACATAAGATCATAAGTTCGTGTATTTTCTTGCTCAAGAGAAATGTAGCAAACATTCAACCTTTTTACTTTTATCAGGGATCATTAGTCCCATGCGATCATACATAGCTGGCCTCTTGATATCTGTCACAACTGGTTTAATCTGACAGTATTTCAATACATGTAGAAAATAAGGGATATAAAAACATTCAGGATTACACTGTTAATTAAGTTATCCAACTTGTAAATCTTGATGGTAATATTCAGTTTAAATCAGAAGTGATCAGATGCATTGAGTTTCCAGAATTATTCACTGTTCTCAGGAAAACACAAATCCTTTTCTTTGGATAAAATACTTTGAAATCTAGATTTTTTCAATTTATTTATTGAGATAACAAACTATATCAACCCCTCAACATGAGAAAATAAGCTTTGTTACTTCAAGATTAGCAAACACTTAACTTGTCATGTCATGATTACTGCATTGAAAAATATCATTGCCATGTTGGGCCTTCTCAGCCTCCATACATTCCTTTCAAGACAAAACCAGAATTTTCCTGGATGTGTGGCATCACTGGCCTTTGGCCACAGGAGGAGGGCGTGTCAGTAAAAGCCCTCTTCTCAAGTTTAAGGTCCACTGGTAATGAATAAAAACTAGCGCCAGCTCCTGGGTTGTTTCTTATGGAGGGGTCAAGGGTCGATCTCCATGGGAACCACTGTTAGGATAGCGTCCTCATTTCCACGGCGCACAACTACTCTCAAAGTGTCAGCAGTCTTGATGGCAGCGCTGACATCAGTCGCTGTTGAGATCCTCTGGCCATTTATTGAGATGATGACATCGTGCTCTTTAAGTCCAGCACTGGGGGAGAGAAGAAAAAGAGAAGACTGGCTGAGAGCTTTAAAGGCAAGAACATGCAGATGATAGGAAAGTAAAGAATGTTGATTTCCTAACAGATTGTAACAGATAAGAAAACCCTGGAAGACCACACGCGTAAGGACAGTCCCCACTGGTTTTTAACATTACAGTCCACTGTACACACGTGTAAGACTGCTAAACCATGCGCCACGCTATATGTGGCAATGTATTACAGTAGAATTCTCACAGAAACTTGCGTGATTAACCGTAACTTCTAGGAAAACAAACAAACAAAGAAGAAGCATTCTGCTTTACAGTGAGAATATGAAATAACAAGAAAATGAATATAGGTGAAATCCTGGCAGAAACAATGGTGTGGGTACAGCTAGTTTGCATGTCTGAAATGTAAAAGTATACAACATCAAGCTGGTGACACTTCTAGTCTGCTCCTCTCATTGTTGCAGGTATTCAGAGGGAATCCAACAACTGGATGATTTTGTCATTTGGGGTAGCAAATTGGGACCCTAAATTAAGCCCCAAATCCTCTTGTGTGCTGCCAGCCTTAGCTGAGGGACAGGATATTTTGCTGGTTTTAGCCTGAGGTTGTTTGTGGGACTCCAACACAGGCCAGGAAAAAGTTGTGCCGTCTCTCAATATGGGGTGTATGATTGTGGCCATTTGATGCCCATGTCAACAGTTTAAATGCAACTGTTGTATGTCAAACCCATAAACTGCATGAACAATGGACAGTCTCAGTAAGGTCTCCTATTTTTGCCTGAAGAGACATTATGGCCAAAGATGGCTCTCTCTATATTGGAAACGCTGACTCCACTTAACTTCAAGCTGATCTTGAAACTGGCAGAGTAGCAGAGTTGAGGCCATAGCTGAGTAGCCTTTCCAAAAACTACAATGTGCCCATGTACAGGTCAAACTAACCATGCCGGTGCTTAACTGTGCAAAACCTTGTGATCAAATCAGATGAACGGGCTTGAATGGAGTTTCCTTGACTTTTTGAGTCAGCCATACTGCAGTCTGTTGAATTTCTGTGTTGGCTTCATTTTTCAACAAAGGCTGCTGCTGCTTGGTCAACCCTTGCATTGCATTAACGTATACAACCTAATGAGTATAAACAATGCACCCAAAGCTAAAATACCAAACTAATGCTAAAGTTTTCATATGTTTGTAATAGGTGCTTTAATTGTCCACAAACTCCATTAACAGCCTGAGCTGACCTCAGAAGAAAGCATTAGTTGTGTGTTTGTAGGCTTTCTGATGCTCCTATTACTCTTAAACTGTAATTTTAAAAACCCTTGTATATCCCCTGTTCTCATTCATTTCAGAGTACAAAGGGACCATATCCAGAGCATGACACAATTTTGTGTTTCAGTGTTAAAACTTCATCACCAAACATGCATTCACTCTAAAAGAAGTCCTCAACAAAGACACAACAGATTTCTATTTGAGTAAAGACTACAAAAAACTGCTTTGCTCTGTTTTAATAAAGAACTGTATATTTTCTACAAACTGAAGTCTGTATTTAGAACCCAATTGTAAAGTTTACCCATTTAGCCAGACCCCAAGGGCTTGAACAAAAAGGTTGGGGGATCAGAGGGTTGTCACAGACACTATATGGGATCCTGAATGAAAAAAATAATTGCCAGCTTTACCTTTCATCTACAAGACGTGGTATTTTTCCTCAAAATGAGGTGTTACTGAAATTTCAGTTCAGATTTCAGGTTCAATAAATAAAACAGCATGCTAGTTTATAGGCCTGCAGATGTAAAGAATTCCCCACCAAATAAAACAAATATAATGAAGTCCTGTGCTTCAAGAGTTTTTTATGATTCTAACACATCCTACTTGGCCAGGTTTGTTTACAAGTCTGCTGGCAAATATTTTAACCTCCAACATCTGTTGATGAAGACTTAATGATGAAATAATCATGAGAGCGCAGCAAGGTTTGAGCACTAAGCTCATAAAAATCTATTAGCCAAAGGTAGTAATTGAAATCTCACACAGACTCGGGCAGTGATATCAAACGCTGACTCTCACCACAGCTGCTTAAGTGTATCCACATGTGAGCGCAGACCACCACACCTTTACTTGTACCAATTAACACAACTGCAGCTAAGTATTATCCCCTCATTACTCTAAGCTGCACCAACAGAGTGCATGGGAGACTCTGTGGCAGGGTCAAGATTTCCAAGGACAAAAAAAGGCGCATTACACACAAAAAGCAAGAGATGAAAAACATGGAAAAAACAGAGAGAGCCACAAAGGTGTTATTATGCAAAAGAGCATAGTTATTAAGCAATGAGTAAACTCTGACAAGGCCTAGAAGGGGCCGCCATTCAGAGTGGGCTGGATCAACAGGCGCAGGAAAACCACAGCGCAGCTTGTAACCTCCCAGCATGAGGTTTGAAGGAAATAGCTGACCTCAGCGTCTCCCAAGCCCCTACTCTGCTTGAGTTGTGGTAGTGGATGATTGGAGTGGGTTGGATTGTGGGAGGAGGGGGATATTTTAGAGGTTCAGGAACTCCAGGCACGCTGGAGTGAGCCATGAATTAGCTCTCTGCTTGAAGACAGTTGTGCAGGAGGCTTTGTGTGGGTCTGTGAATGTGAGTTTATGTGCAGGCTTGACACTTAAAAGGTGAGAAATAAAACAGAAACAGGAAATAAAATATACCGTCTGTTTGCATTGTGAGAGCGGAGCAGAGGCTGCGTGGGGAGTGATGAGAGTCTTGTGAGATTTAAGTGCACATTTAGAGCTTTAAGTGCCAAAGACAATATCCCACAGCTGAGAAAGAGTCTGGGATTTTGCATGTACACCAAACAATGAAGTTTAAACCAATGGAGTCTGAACTGAGTCTGCACCTCAACAGCCATATGTGCAGAAATATATTCCTTACTTTGCAGCTGGTGTCTTTGCAATGACCTCCATAACATAAGCTCCAGAGGTGATGTCAGGGAAGTCGTGGTGTCGAGTCTTCAGCTCTTTGGCTAGCCTGGACACACAAAGAAAAAGATTTCAATATTTATGTATAAGCATAACGCGAATGTACAATTTAATACATTTACAGAGGTGCATCTCTGAACCGATTTCAGCTACAGTCATTCTTGTGTTGCTAGTAGATAGCAATAAAGGGTTCTTTTCCAGGGCCTTGCCTTGTTCACGTGTGAGCTGAGAGGCAATAATGTGTTTATTAATAATAAATAGAATAAATAGAATGCAAAATAAACCCCATCATTTCTTGGTTCATAAAGTTGCCCAGAGGAGTGCTAGTTCATCTGCTTTTGGAGGGTCTCAGTTTTATTGTTAACCTTGATGTTCTGGTCCTTTGTTTAAGTCTTACAGATCGTTAGCTGCACTTGCACACAGATGAATTATAGACCACTGACTGCTAATAAAAGATGATATACCCTTGTAGTAATGCTAACAACACAAGTGATCAGCATACAGAGCCACTAAATGTTAGAAATCAAAGGTGATTTGATTCAACAAGTCAAAGAGGGAAAGTATCTGGATAGTCTGAGATTCTCAGGTGATTTTGAAAGTAGTGTTAAAAAAGAAAAAGGACGTGCTGAACAATTACCACTTATCTTTGCTTTTCTGTACCTTTCTGATTTCAAATACTAGTTAGCTAATTGTTTAATTCTGTTAAACATTTTTGACTCAAACAGCTTGTCCTGTGAAGAGGTTAAATACCAGAACTTGTTATCTGATCACTTGAATTTCAGACAGCTACTAAACCCTGATTAATTCAACAACAAACCTGCTATCATGTCTGATTTTCTGTAGCTTTGTTATCGCATTCTTTACAATCCCATTCTTTAAAGCCCATCTACAGGAACAGTGTTACAGCATTCACTATAGATACCATGGTACTTAAGTGCAGTGGCTGCTCTAACTTATATTGTATCTATTGTGAATAAAAAGCCCACAAAAACATAAATAAATGAATAAATGGCACATTTTGCTGTTTTTTAGAGCAAATTTGTCTTGCGTAGCAGTTGAAATGTGATTGTCAATACTGCTTTGACAACAAACACAGCACAAACACAACACAAAACTTTTCATATCACAGTCTAGCACCACATGCATGGTTTTAAATCGATATAAATCTGTGGGCAGAACTTTTAAAGAGATAACTGGAGGTAAAGTGGAGCTATTTCCTGTCAAAAAAAAAAGTGTGCAACTTACGCTGGTGTGAGAGTCATCATCCTGACACCAATATACTTCTTTTTGGCAGCTCCTCTCCCTGGAGATAAACCAAAACACAAAACAAATATAACCAATCTTGCACATTTGCCCTCTCCATCTTCCACATGTGGTATTATAAATGTAGGTAGTCTTGTTTTTGCAGTGATATCATCACACAGAGAAATCAAATCAAGCAGCCGTGTTGGCAGTCACGCATAAAATACTCATGTGTTTGCTGTTCCATAACACTACCCAAGGCAAAGGGTGAGAAGCAGTAAAAGTGATAGGAAAAACCTGGCATATTCTGGCAGCTCCTTCTTTATAATTTATATGCAGTGTCATATTTGTGTTGGGTAAAGCTGGGCAACGGTTTTATAAATGCAGGAAATTCATCAACATATCTCATGGGAGCGTACAGAGGTGAGAAATAACTGTTGCAGAAATAGTGAGCGAAATCATAAAGAGCATTTTTGAATAAGCACAAGGGATCTCGGTCCAACCCTTGTGGCTAATTTTCAATATGTGCCTGCCACAGCCTGTCCTGGTGATTGAAAGGAAACAATAAAGAGAAAATATTCTCAGTCTTGTCAGAGAGAGAGAGCTTGTACCTCGAGACTGCCTGTCATACGACTCTGCCAGGAACTCCCGAATTTTATCTGAGGGTATGGCGAAGGAGATTCCAGCTGTCACTTTCAGGGTGTTGATACCAATCACCTCGCCGTCCTATAACAGCAAACCTCAACTTAGTGTCTCATATCCAAAGTAAGTTCTTTTATACATTTACACATAATGAGATGGAAAAATGAGTTCAGCCAGCAACTAAAATGAAAAAAGAAACTTACCAGATTTACTAAAGGCCCTCCTGAGTTGCCGTACTGTGGAACAAAAGGTTTTTCCTCATTATTTTTGACACAAACATAGTATCTGAATATAAAAATGCATTTTTATTTTCTTACATTGATAATGGCATCGGTTTGAATGTAGTCCATGTCTGAGTTTCGAAGGCCCAGCTCTCTGCCCCCTCGCTGAGTGGTGCTGACGATTCCTGTGGTCACTGTGTTCTGGAGGGAGAACGGGCTGCCGATGGCAACAACAAACTCACCTGGCCTCAGGTCTGAAGATCTACCCAGCAAAAGGACAGGAAGCTTGGTCTACAGGTGAGAAACACAGGGACAGACATGGTCATGACACTAAAGGCTGTAGTTTAAGACAAAATAGTGTTTTTTTTTTTGCATGACACTTTCACAGAGAACAGTAAATTTCACCTCAAATTAAATTCATTAAGCTTTAACTGCAATCACTCTCCTGAGCCTTGAGTTCTTGTCATGATCGTGTGGTTTATAAGTAGACAGAGGGAAAATAATTACAGCAAAAACCACAAGTCTTCTAAACACACAGCCAACCACTGTGCATGGCACTGCCTCTGCACAAAAACATTTACTCCTTTTCCACTTCACTTATGCCAAACAACCTTAAATGCAAATAATCAGGATCAAAAGCTCATTTCTTGGACTGGAAGCAGAGCCCAGCTGACAAATCATTCCTAATGGCGAGTATGCGCCAACAAACCACAGATGCTGGAAAATGGTCTGATATGTGGTCAATAATGACTACCTTAAGCTCTGGTTAGTTCTGTTACACTGAGCAGTGGAAACCAGGCTACCGTGAGCATGTCTGGGCAGACAGACACAGAGAGGATATATTTATCCATCCAGGGTGACAGTTTCCTTCTCTGAATGAAATCATCTCTGCTGGACAGCCTGCAGTCAGAGCCCACGCGCCACCGCATCACGTTCAGTCTATATAGAGACTGTGCCCGGCGCCTTGACAGCAGGGGAGTGTTCAAAAACAGGACCTATCCAAAATGGTCCTCCTACAGTGTGTTTCCATTTTGATTGTTCAGAGTTATAAATAGGAGAAGGATGAATCTAAACATTGAGCAAGACAGCAACACAAGGTGGCGAAGACAGACAAAAGGATCATTTTTAACCCTCAGGCCCCGTTGGTCCCTTTTGGGGATGCACACATCTTTATTTCAGGGTTGTTTTCCATATGGCACGCCTTTAGGCAGATGTTTCTTTTTATTTTCTACAATTTTGGAAATGTTACCTCCATCTGTGATAATAGTTCTATAGTTTTCTGTAGAACCAAGCTGTTTTTCAACATATACCCTTTACAGCATGAAAAGAAGCAGTGTCCCATTAATATTGCTTCATTTGCAGGCTAGGCTACTTATTTGTTGTTCTTACTGTTTTCTCGCAGATTACTCAATGTACCCATTTTAGTTCTCTGTGGTAAAAGCACAAATTTCTACTAGCGACCACTAGGGGCCATCATGCCTTTGTAACTCAAATAAAGGGTTCTTAAATAATATATCCCACTGTTTCTGAGGAATCTCATGTTGTGATCATGCCAAATGCAAATAAAATCATTCATGTAAAGGTGGGAATCTGGAAAACTATACGTCCAAATGGTGAAAATTTGTGATGCATTCAACATGTTACTTGCTTAATTCACTTATTTGTGAGAGTTTTAAAAAAAATTAACCCTGAATATTTATGCTGCGTTTGCGTTACCTCCTAAGTCAGAAGTCCTCGGAATGACGTCACACCTAAGTTACTAGGGTAAGTTGGATAAAAGCAAAATCGGAGGCGGAAACAAGATGGCTCCGTCTACGAAAGTTATTTTAGCGCTTCCCTTGTCCTTGCTTATATTCGGACAAGGAAAGCGCTAAAATAACTTTTGTATATGTAGCCATCTTTTTACCACCTCCGATTTTGCTTTTTTCTGACTCGGTGACTGAAACGCAAGTAACTCGGTTGCAACGTCATTCCCAGCTCGGACATCTAACTTCCAGGGTAATTCGAACACAGCATAAAATTCCAAGATCACAAGATTATATTGAAATAATATAGAGGTTATTTTCCGTATCAGCTGATAGGTGAAATACTGGACTTGATATTGGAAAAAACAAAAACAGAATGTCCTCATGGGGGATACAATACTTTTAATTTAGTCCTCGGTATGTTTTTATTGTAAATGATCTTGAACATATGAGGTGAAGTTATAATTAGATGACGAGAAAGCTAATATGAGCCGGTTACTGCTCTCCACTTTACCTCATCTGAACACACTGATACGCAAACAGAAACAAACCCAAATGTCAGACTCCGTTCCTAATTCCTGTGGGCTTGTTTAGCACAGAAGAGATGTCAAACATGACACACACACACAGGCAGCAGGAGTGTATACTTAAACTCGGAAACACGCATTTGGCATGTGCAAACACGCACAAACAAACACCTGACACAGGAGTAGTAAGTGTGTAATCACCACCCTCCATCTGCTCCCTTAGCTCCCCTTCTCCTGTCACACTCCATGTAAGATAAGAGTATAACCAGATGGAAGGAGGAAGTGGGAGAAACACACACTGCTAAGAGAGAGAGAGAGGGGGGATGTCAGGTGGATGTGAGTCACTGCCAGCACATTCAGGACTCAGCTGGACACTGCTAACTGTCAGAGATACTGGTGCTGCCATGGCGATTGTTGCTACCAAGTGGATGCCTCTCTCCAAAATGGCAACTCAAGAGTTTTTGCTGGTTATGCACTCTCTGTCTGTATACATCCCACACCTACATGTTATCACATTGCATTCAAAGACACCACAGGCAAAGGGTGCTAAATGCATCAGCGTGCTGACCACATCGCAGCACCGAGGCGAGAAAGCAGAACAAACACTGAACACGCACATTTCAAAGCTTACGTATCACTTACTAATCGTGCCTACTCAGCAATGTGGAACGACTCGTGGAAAATCCTCCCACCATGTGAGTCTGCCTCTGCTGATCCTGGCCACCCAAGTGACTCACCCTGCTATTTCAGATGAAGGCTACGCTGCTCTGGCACTTCACCCGAAGACACTATGGCCGCACTTAAAGGAAGGAGGCAAGGTGGACAAGGGGAACAACAAACACCGCAAACCACAGGAAGGGAGTCTGAGAGTGAAAGAAAATGAGTCAAGCACCGTTTTGTTTAGTATTACATGGATGTTTGCTGCCCACATTGGTAGAGTCATAACCAGAAAAAGACTATGTTTGGTTCGAGACCAAAATGAGCATCACTTTGGAGATATTGCCAGCGTCAAAGGGGATGCTATTAAGTTTCTGAAAATGAAAGCTTCTTATTTAGGCTTAGAACTCCAGTGAGATGCCGCGGGTTTCTTTAACTAAATTTACGAAGGAAATCCATGTTTTGCCAAGTTCTCCACAGTTTTGATAAGAGGCAGGAGTGAGGCATCAGATAAAAAAGGACTTGTTTACTTTGCTCAGAGAAGTACCTTCAAGAGGCACAGGCTGAGTAAAATTCCTGACTTCTTCCTCCCATTTTTCGCCACTTATCTGAATCCTGATTCAACCTACGGGACCTAGACAGATTTTGTCACGGTCAGGTCATCGCGGACAACGTGGCGAGGGGACAATAGTGTAAATAAGACTCAAGAATGGCTGCAGAGCTGCCATAGAGATGTGTCATTGTTAAAGTTACAGCCTTGGTCCCTCAGTGGGCCATTTTAAAGCCATTAGACTAACTACCGTTTTATGACTGGGGGACCAGGTGCAAACTCAAACTCCAGTCCAGCTTCAATGGTTTAATAGTTTCTAGGGCACATGTGTACTTTTATAAGAAGAGGTCGCCTGGTTATGAACCTCCACCAAGTAGTCAGTAAATTAAACCCCCCACACCTGGCGCTGCTTAAATATACAGCTAGACCACTTCAAAATACACACATTCAAACACAGACGCTGCTCTGGTTGGGTGAGATCAAGACCCAAACTGGATTTAAGTCCCACTACAGTCACTTTCACACTCCTGTTACTTAAACACAGAGGACTTCAAAGTAGAGAGCGTGTTAACTTGTAATATCTACCTTGTGAGATTCATAAATGCACTAATATGTAGGGTTTTGACTGCTGATGTCTGAACCTGTGCCCTTAGGCGCTGAGCAGATGCAGATAAAAATGGGGCAGGATTCAACATGTGCTACATAACATCAGATCATAAGATCAAGCCAGCGAGAGGGCACCGAGTGTGTCTACTTGTGTAAGACTTACGAGTATGTTTTGGCGGTGGTTCGTTTAAGTGTGCATAAATACATGCTTGGGAATTCATGAAAAGCAAAACTATGTATGTCAGTAATTCCACGCTGCAAATATGACAGAAATACATGTTAATCAGAACCACGAGGTAGGTCTCATGGAATTCCTGGGACAGTAATTAACATGTTCGAATCACGCTGGCTAAAGCATATCCCTGCTGACACCAGTGCGGAAACCACCATGGTTTCCATATGTTGTTGGTGAGGCTTGTAGTCTTTAGAATAAGAGCAAACATGTGTGCGAGGTCCGCATGTATGTTCTGCTCTGTTTAGTTTTGCATGAGACGTGAGGGCGTCTCGGCTCCGGCTACAGATACCACAAAACTCTGGACTACACAAATCACGATAATGGGAGGAGATGAGATTTTAAAGTTGAACTAGACCTCTTTTTAACCTTAAATAATAGGTCAGGCTTGTATTTACATTGTTTAAATATGTTCTGTGCTGCCTTCAAGGACACATCCTACCTGGTACATGCTGGGATGTACAGTACTCACTGGCCTTTACTATAAATGTGAACATAAACATTGACACAGTATGGATTTTACTCTAAATCCTTTAGGTTTTATGAGTCTCGGGCTGTTTATTGTTGTCTAGACGATTCTTTATATGGCTGGAGGAGCACACTGGGACCTCCTAAACTCATTGAAGAAGGGGGTTACAGCCTTGCCTGTTGTCGCTGCACAATGTAACACTTTCCTAAAAGCCTACACCCACACTGTGGCATACAACACGTTTAATAAATGGGTTACTGGATAGTAAAAATTACACTTCACTAAAGGGTTAAAGGCTGGTTTTACCAAAAGTACCAAAAATGTGTTGAACTTCTCTGCTGTTTGGTAATAGACCAAGAAGATGTAAGGAGTTTTGGTTTAGTTTGCTGAGTTTTTCTATGAATAGAACTGTGTTTATGGTGCCAAAAGCTTTTAAAATGGATATTCATAAAACTGAAAGGCGACATCCTCCTCCACAAACATTTCATTCAGGGGGACCCACCGTCAATCTTTTTTAGGAGACATTTTCTGAGACAGTCATGTTTCCATGAAGAGCTATTCACAGAAAGAGTCTTAAATAGACGCATCTGGAAAATATATCGCTTATTTCTATCTTTAAGATTTTATCAAGACGCACAAACAAACTCGCTTTGACCTTTTCTGGATTTCTGAGGAAGACCATAAAATCACACCACATCAATTTAACACTTCATGCTTGACCTGGTTACTGTTGTAAAACTGTACAAACAGAGGTGCCTCATAGACTGTTTTCTATTGAGTAATTTGACTTTAGTAAATGACTAACTGTGGTTGATTTCAGACTTTTATATTATGCCTCATCAGCACCCAATGTGACGTCAATGACGGGTAAGTCCAAACAGTTCTGGGTTTTGCTGCTGCCCATCCAGTGGGCTTGGAAAACAATCACGTTGCCAAAAAGGAGGCCAAGACAAAGTGCATGAAGACACAGCAGGGCAAAAGAAAGTGTTTGTGTGTGAATATTGTTCTTGGCCCTTCTCCCGGCTGACAGTGTCCTTAAGCATGGGAACCATTTTGGATTTAAAGACAAAATATAAAGGAGAGACGTGGGGTCAGTGGGGAGAGGAGGATGTGATTCATTTCCCATTTGCTTTTTCTCTTAAGGACAGCATGCAGTGTATTTCCACGAGCAATGGAGAGTCTCCCCCACGTCTGTGCAATGAGCCGTCTTCAACCCATCCCATAACACACACACACTCACAAACACACACGCACAAACTCATCTGAATGACTGATAACAAGCTTGTGTTTGTCCACTGGTACCCTTCATCTGAGGAAATGCTCCCATCTCTTACTTCCTGGTGAAGCATTTAGAAGGAGATTCTGATAAACAGATAAACACAAAAACACGTGCTGAGTGGAGGCACATTCCTTCTTTTCCTCTCTGCACATAAACAGAGAGGGACATAGACACACACACACACATACATGGGTATCCTAATAATAGCCTAAGCAGTCCAAACCAATACTGTGCAAATTTCCCAGAGAGACCGCTCTTGAGACTCTAAATACGAAATGATGGCTAACACAGAGACAGACAGTGTCATTGTTTCAGGGGAACTTATTGGAGACACGAGACATGTTATCTCTGATTTTGGCACATGGGTCAAATTAATGTCTCCTTCACTGAAACAAATTTTAACAGCATCAGTTTGTATTGTTCAAACTCATCTTTAAACTGCGCTAATGGAAAAGTGTTATTTATTCATCAGACAATGACAGCTTGTGCAAAGTCTTGTAGTGTTTACAATAGGATTTTAAGGACACTGCACTTTCACGTAGTATTGGTAGTAATGTTTTAAATAGAAAAAATATGCTGTTCTAGACAGATTCACCGACCAATATGAATAACAGCCAGTACATTAACATGCACATTTAAGTCGAGCTACGCTTACAGCTGGATTAGGCAATTTATCTGGACTACTGTTGTTGTTCCAGATAACAACACTGGGCGAGTCTGCCTCCACTACAGTGGGTGACTACATTCCCCCTTTTCAGCTTGTTACTGTCAGATCATCTCTCAGTTTATGTCTCAAAAAAATCTGTAAAACACGTTAACAAGAGGCTAACAGGATGTATGTTAAACAATGAAAACACCGTCACTTTGACAGCTCTTTGACCGTTTGTTAGGAACGTTTTAGTTTGAATGAGTCTAACTGTCTCCACACACCAAGGGCGAGTAAAACCCTTCGCGCGAATGAATTACATGCTAAGTCAATGCACAGATGCAAATGACTCTGGCAGCGTGAATGACGCAAATTGGGTGAATCTCAATTTGAGCGGATATTCGCATCGTAAATAACTACTCAGCACAAAGGTTGCCTGGTGACGCATGAAAATGGATGGTTGTTCACTGATATCTAAAATGGAGGACAAATTGATCGAGCAGGTGTGTGGGTGCCTCAAATTATACGATACCTTTTCTTTCAATCACCGAAACCAGAATAAAAAGGAGCTCGCCTGGTAAATTGTCTATTACTTGATCCCGCTGGTTGAATTGGCAGGGATTACCACTGAAATTATTGTTGACACGCAAATGATGCGAGTAAATACCATTCATTCACGCGACAAATTAAACGAGTTATGACGGCCAGGGGTGGTTTTCTTCTGCTGAATCATTTGCTCTGATGGACAAGCACCAAAGTGGGCTCTGCATCAGGTTTCCATGAAGACACCCGGAGGGGCGCTTGATCACTTTTTTCTTTACACAATGGCTACCATGCAGAGCTCTGCATTGTAATTTCTCCACTGGAAAGCCCATCTTGGTGCTTCTCCATCATGTTTTCTCCGCTGAAATGGCTTCCTAAATGGCTGTGCAGCAGAGTTTCTCCACTGAAAGGGAACCCTAGAGGGCCCTGAATAATGTTTTCTCCAATAAAAGGGCACATTAGAAAACATAAAACATGTGCGTACCATAGGAAGAACAACCTAAAGGGGCCTCCATTACATGTTCCCCACTGGAAAGCCCATCTTGGTGCTTCTCCATCATGTTTTCTCCGCTGAAAGGGCTTCCTAAATAGCTGTGCAGTAGAGTTTCTCCACTGAAAGGGAACCCTAGAGGGCCTTGAATAATGTTTTCTCCAATAAAAGGGCACTTTAGAAAACTTTAAACATGTTCTTACCGTAGGAAGAACAACCCAAAGGGACCTGCATTGCATATTCTCCACTAGATATCCGACTGTGAAGCACATACAACAACATTTGGCCCAACACGACTTCAGGTTCTCTGCATTCAGCTGCATTTGCAGTATAAACATCCCAAGGTTAATGTCTGCACAGAGCATGCCGTGAAATGGTCTGAAATGACATGGAAAATTCCCCATGCAGTCCGTTTAAGTGTTTTGAAACCATTCCAAGACAGCGTTGTTACTTCCAAGTTTGTAGGGGTCAGTATAAGTCATTATGATGAAATAAATCATATTGACTTATATTCAAAAAGCCTTTAAACCAGAGTTGAGTCTGTCCTGGTAAATCTGTATGAATCCACTTTATTGCATGCATTTCCGAGATAATGTGACGTGTCCAAGTTCTGAGTAAGAGAACAGGATTACTGAAAGTCCTTTTAAAACCAGAGGCACAATGAGTTCTATCTTTATTGTGCTGTTGCCACATCACACAGCACACTCATTATCCCATTAACTCACGGTCCACCAGACATATGGATACATTTTCCAGGATTTGACCACATTGCTGCCTCTTTCTTTCTCTTTTCTCCTATACCCTCCTCTCAGGAACAAGTGAGTACAGCAGGACGTTTTCCCTGTTTCCCCTCTGAGGTTCCAGCTGCTGTAGATGGACTAATGTATTCCCCAGCGTTAAAGGCTAGACCACAGCCCCAGAAACAGACTGGGCTTTTCTACCAATAAAACCCCAATTTCTCATAGAAACTGCAAAGAAAGAGGAGAAAAGCTCAGGGAAAACTCTACTTTCTCACTCATAAACTGGGAAAATTGTTTAGTGATTATCTGTGGCTGCTTCTGGACTGCTGACATTGGCAGCAATTTTTTAACATAGAGAAAACTCTGAGGGATTGAATTAGAAACAAAAGTAAAGACAAATGGGAATGATGGAGGAGAGCGTGGATGATTACAGACATCCAATGCCAGTCAGGACATGAATTTACTTATAAACTCTCACAAAGTAACCCAATCAATGTTTTTAACTCATGAGTTTTCTTTGCAAACAGAAGACAAACTGAGGAAAAACAGAGACATCACCAAATATTAACAGTTTAACGCACCCATTAACTATAAAACCTCTACACCTTTAATTGTATGCACTACTGTGTATTCTCTGTTACTTAAAAAAGGGAAATTCATTAGGCTAAGCACCTTTCAAAGATACAAAATCCAGACTCGACATGTTGACTTGACTAAAGCCACAAAAATGTGGACGTCAGACTTAAATAAGGATTCAACATGCTGCCCTGAAGAATAAACTGGAAAGACAAGTACTGCCCTGAAGAACAAAACACAAAATAAAGCCTGGTCTTGAAAAAGGCTGTGTATCCCTTAGCCTAAAAACTACATGAAAACTACTAAAAGTGCTTCTTACCATTTTCAGAGGCACATAGAAATGAGGGACCATTAGAATTAGAAACAATTCTGACAGTTTCTATTAAAAACAGAAGGTTCATTATGCTATAAAGGGAGGCCACGAGACAACATAATCTACATAGTGCCTTACAAACAGCATTTTTTATATTTCTTTATGAAAATTATTCAAAATTTGACCATTGGGAAAAAGTAAGGGTAAAATGAAACCTCTATTTCCCTCCGTGGATTAATAATCTGGATTACCAAAAAGAGCTGGTATTGTTGTGGTTGTTATACTGATGTGTTTGATGTTGAATCTAAACCCTGTTCTTACAGGGTAAGATGGATTGCAAACTAGTTGAGTGAGGGTATATGACCTTTGTAGATTTGAAGTAATCTTTGGATCTTTATGGCAAAAGTGATTTAGGATTTGGATTGCAGAGACCCTGTTGCCGCAGGAGTGGAGCAGACCATTGGACTTTTAACAGGTTTTAATGTTATTGTTAACTTTGGTCAGTTTTGAACAGAAATTACTTTTTTAAGTTAACATCTTTGTTAATGGACAAACAATAACTGTCCCTCATTAGTAGGTTTACAGTGAGGGGCATTTGTAGAATATAAATCATTTGGCCTTCTAGGGCTTCATCTCTGACACATGGCCATGGAGAGCAGCTTCAAATCGACACAATGGCTTTCACTCTTTGCCAAAACAAGTTTACTCACGGTGCTGATGGTGTTTTCTATCGGGATGACAAACTGGATACAGCTGGCTGTCACTTGATTACAATTACCCTTCTTTATTACAACCACCTGTTGTTTACCAGCTTGTAAAGCCGAGGTGTCATGCGGAGGAATGCTACATATACGCTCAAGGAGAAAGGGGAGAGAAAACATTTCTGCAGCTACAGTGCGGACTGACTTCTGCCATGATCACGTACACATTACTGAGGACTAGGATGATGACATAATTCCCAGAGATTTCTGCATTTATAAATACTAATTTTACACACACAAAAAGGTTGTACAATGCTGAGCATGTCGTGTAACAAACATGGCAAACCCCCCTAATTAGAGATTAGGCTGTCGTTGACATTCAGAGCAGCTTTTATCATAGCATAAGCAAAAACAAAGCACCTGTCACTTCTCTTTTCCGGACTCTTCGCTCACATTGTCAGGCAGACAAAACCTAAATCTTTCATCCTCTTTTAGGAACTGAAGGGCTTTGTAATACACCTTGTGTAGCTGTCATGAGCATCTATTCAGCTTTGTCACCCAGCCATGAGAGTGAGCTCCATAAAGCACTCTGTTCTGCAATGACTTCCAGTCAATAGGCCCTGGATGTCCGCCACACATTCCTCCACATAACTGTAGGGAGTGATTATCATGTAGCGTCCAGTAGACAGAGAAATAAACACAGACAGACAGAGATGAGGAGAGGACAGGAGAGAAACTGTAGCCAGCACATGTTGTGTGCAGTTACGGTAACATAAATGTTTATCTCTTTATTTCAAATGTCAACCCCGTCTTTGACCTCAAGAAAGAGTGTGAGAATTCTTGTGGGATATCTTGTGGTTGTTTTTGCAGCCTGATGTGTTTGAACACCAACAGGCTTATGACACACTGCCAGCCAGCTGTCTTTTTAAGACCCATTCGACTGCACCTGCAATCTCACTTTACTTTACTAGGGCTTTGGATATCCTTACCAGATTTAGAAACAATTCCAGCAGAGTTAAAAAACAGCAGGTGAAGGTTTTGACCTTTTCTCACTATCTTGGAGCGAAGCAGGTTCAAGGTTTTTTGAAGATCCAGTTAATTTGTCATTTTCCTACTGTAACCTCTCACATAAAAATGACAGACTGCTGTTCTCACAGCTCAAAGTCGTATGACTAAAAAAACGAAACTGTAAAAGGCCAACAAAAACCACTTCCAGAATACTCTGAAGATTAACATTAGAAACAGATGTGGTGTAAGAGTTATTAATACGTTATCAAAAACACTTTGTTTTGGGTAAAATTGAAGATATCATCATGACATGTTTTCCTTTTTTTGTCCAACTAATCACTGCTAATGTTCTCATCTAAGAGGAGAGTCTGAAAGTGTTGACTGTGGAGAGTTAAAATACGTAAAAACAAAGTTTGATGAATGGATTTGGATTTTTGAATATACACGGTAAAATGAAAGTCACTGATTCAAGAATTAAAGCTCCTGTGTGGAGTTTTATTTTTTATTTTTACATTTTTAAAACAGAATGAAATTCATATTGATGCCTTTTCGTGGTATCCATTAGCAAATAAGACCATCAGGGACAAGATTGATTGATTTTATGTTGTAATTCTTAATGTCTCAAACTGGTGTGAGGGGTTGAACAGCTGAGGAAACGGCCCTGTTTTTACAAGTCCATTAAAATATTCAGATTGATGATACATTTGAATACAAACAATCAGAAGGATGAGATTTTTTGGGTCAAAACTAAAGTAAAGTATGTCAGAGACAAGAAAAACAAAGACTGTTCTGTTCACAGGGAGCAACAAAATTGACATAAACCAAAAGTTCCTCATAGGTGCTTAAAAAACAAACTAGAAGCCAACTGAGGGAATGAAAGTAAGGTACTTTTTTCAGGACAAGTAGAGGAAAACCTACTTTTCTTGACTTTATAACAACACGCTTACACTCGTGTATACTTCAATAAAGATTACGTGTCAAATTTTGGACTTTGTTATTTTCTTGATAAAAGTTTGACTCTCATGTCTGTATGCTAACATTAACACAAGAGCCAGAGGAACATTAGCTTTGTTTGGCATGAACAGGAAGGCATTGCACTGGCTAATTTGCTTTCATGAAAGGTTTGTGAATATTTTGGCACCCCCTATCTACAAAGCTGTCTTTGTTCCACAAATGTCAAAAAATTCGTACACATTTTATTTGAACATTCTTGAGTCGGCTCATTTTGACTGTGAGGCACTTTTACTCACCGGTGCATCGATCTTGATGAGTGCAATGTCAGATTTCTCGTCCACGTCTTTGATTTTGGCGTCATATGAGCCCCCGCTCTTCAGCTCCACCTTCACCCTGTGCTTGTTAGCCACGACATGAGCATTGGTAACAATCTGGCCGTCCTCTGACACAACAAAGCCAGAACCACTGGCCACCGCCACCTCTCGCTTGGAATAGGTCATCCTGTGGAGGGAAAGCGAGGATAAAGGCTGCTGTTTATTTTCTTTCTTTCTTTCAAGGCCTCGTCTCTTAAATAAACACACTGAAAATGCACCAAAAGTGATGCATGATGTAATAGGAGTGCAAGACAAGAAAACAAAGTACAAACAGAGTGAAGCTTAAACGGATTGGAGATCACTATATAAACAAAAAGCCTGTTACTATACAAAGAAGTGATGATTAAGAACACTTGAAAACAGTAAGAGGGGGAAACAACCGGAGCCCATAGTATTAATGCAGAAGAGGGTGAGGAGGGAACTTGGAAAACAGTGAGCTGCAAATGCTCAAGGATCTCCTAAAAAGCTGAAGTGGAAGACAGAATATAGACAACACGGACGATGAAGGATGAGGAGCGGAGATAAAAGAGCACAAAAGCTGGTGAGATGAAAAGAAAAGCTGTTGAAAGACTCGAGCAGAGAGTAAGGTGCTTTTCCAACTCGTGTGGTCTAGTTTAGTACACAGGTGGGCTGTAAACCCCGGACACACACATACACACATAGGCACACAGGTGCATGAGCCTTACTTGCGGAAGAGTTCAATGTGAACCACAGATGGAGCGATTTTCTCCACAACATCGGCGATGAAGTTGTATTTGTGTCTCGGGCTGTCTGGGTTGTCCTGAGCTGGAAATTGGACACGCAAACACATACGTAACATGTCAGGCTAGGGGGGAAAAAAAACAGACAAAAGACGCTTTGGAGTACGGCATGATGTAAGAGCTGAGTGAGAATAGAAAACCAGTTTATTTTTGTAAAACAGAGAGGAAAAGACAAGATGACAGCTCATCTGCGGTTAAGGCTGTCTGGGCCCAGACCCACACACAACAAACACACTCGCATGCACCTCGAACACTTTACTTTGACTATAAAACCTCTCACAGAAATACTTACCCTGTACCCTTATCTAACCTCATGGTTAATTGTATTTACAGGCTACCATCAAGTTGACTTTTCCCAAGACTAAACTGATCCTTACAATAACTCACACACACTGTCTGACACCGAGTGTGAAGACTGCCAAATTCCCTGAATCATCCCACCATTCATTCAGTGCCGGGCATGTTAGGAAATGTTGACTGATTTACCTGGTAATTAAGTCCTACTCAGAGCATAGTTTAACCAAAGCTATGAATCAAAACTCCCCAGACCTTTTTCTCTTTGAGCTTTCCATCCCTCTATTCATAAACACTTATTCTGCTGTACCTAAAAACTACTTTGTCTCACGAAGACAGTTCTTGCTTGTAACATTATCCCGGAGAGAGTTTTGTGGAGCTCAAAAGTGCTCCTGAGCCCTTGGATATCATTAATTGTCATGAGGGGTTGAGAAAAGACTTTCTGCTCCAGGCGCAGTTAAGCTAAGGCAAGCATGGAATGAGCACCATGTTCACGTACCGAACGCCTCTAAATTATACAGTACCAAGTATTTTATAACTGCAGGGGGAAAATTGTGAACCTATATGATACTGGGTTATGCAACTGAGTTCAACTGTCGTATCTATCTATCTATCTATCTATCTATCTATCTATCTATCTATCTATCTATCTATCTATCTATCTATCTATCTATCTATCTATCTATCTATCTATCTATCTATCTATCTATCTATTAATCTATCAGATATTTCCCCTCACCAAAGGTTCTCATGGAAAGGTTGGCTAAATTATCCCTCCGCTAGCTTCACACCCTAGAGGTTTGTGGTCAGCTCAGCGAGGATTACAGTTATAGAGAGCTGGCACAGTATCCAGAACGTGTTGTTTTTGGAGTCAAACGGGCCGTCAGTCTCTTCAACTTCAACATTTTGTGAATAGTGCCGCCGTCTCACACTCTATCTTACTCTGAGGTATACGCTGAAACACGAGTGCATGATAGCAGGCTCAGAGACTTAGCAGAGATGATTTATTAGCATTGGTAAGTCCTGAATCACATGTTGTGTTAAGCTTGGTTACATTAAAGAGCCTGTGTAAGCCATTGTTACCTGATTTATACACTTTGATGGATTATTTCATAGCTGAGCTGAGCTGAGATTTAAAGGGCTTCTCTGTTGTAAAGTACACTTCTGAGCGCTGATGTGTTGAGAGGAAGTTAGGACACAAAGCTCAAGATTAGCAAAAGCTTCCTATTCACATGTAATCCATGTAATGCTACTTTTTCTCTATTCCAGTGGAAACTACACCTGTGATAAAGCCTACACTACATTATTGTGAATGTTAGCTTATTGTGAGTTATTCTGCCATCTGCACATAATGTAGCTAACTTAGCTAACTAGTGTCTTTAGCATCACAGGTGGAAGCTTTTAGCTTGAAATGTGGGTATGAGATAACCTTAGTGTTGCTTCTATAGACTGTCACTGGCTGCTATCAAGGCTTCTTAAATTGTTTAAAAGATCCAAATACACTGAAATCTGAACGGCATTCTGCTCTGGAGATATTCAGTCAGACTTATTTTGCAGTCCTAGAGTGGTTTGAAAAATGTCTCTTCAATTTCCTCACAAGGAGGAAATGAGGAAAAAAGCACAAAGTAATTTTCGTCGCCTGTCAGTGAAGTTTTATTTTCCACCACTAAAGCCCCCAGTAAGTCGAGGCAGACAGATTTACCAACCTCTTGTCAGAAGTATCAGCCAATTTAAGTTTTTGTCTTTAGAAAAAAATGTTTCAAAGTGGGTCATTTTAGACTTGGCCAAAAGAAACCCTTTTATTGAGGCTTGTTGTGGCTAAATTAAGGTACATCTTCTGACTTGTAAATGTTTTATCACACACAAATAGGTAGAAGGTGAAAAGAGATTATGGAGAAGAATATTTAACAGTGCACACTTGTGTAGGGATCTCACTTACATGTTCTGACACATTTTAATTGAAGTAAGAGGTGTTCATGATGCTAATGCAGCCTTTAAAATCACTCTTTTCCTCCCTCTTTCTCTTCACATACTTATTGGCCTCCTATCCTATTCACCCTGTATACCCATTACCCCTCCTCCCGCTGCACAGTGACCTTCACCGCAGAGTTCCCGCTCAAGATCTCAGCCTCTTTTCTTTTTCAGTTTTCCCATACATAGATCCCGCTGTTTTATTGGTGTCTGCAGGCGGAAGCTGCTTTTTCTCTTCCTCCCCTAGATTGGAGATGTGAATTCAATGAGTTCAGCTTTTCTTCTTCATGCCCTGACACTCTCATTAACCAAGACTGTTTGTCTTATTGTGGGCGAACTGAGGCCTTTAAAAGCAAACTTTTTTTCCACGGTGGTTATCAGTGAAGAGAGTAATAAATACATGTGCTGTTGTTTCTTTGTGGTCATGATGAGTTTCATAGGGAGAGTTTTAAGAACAGCTGCTTTGTTATATGTACACCAAGGTATTGATTTTTGTTAAGTTCCTGTTTTTAATTATTCAGAGTTATAGCATTAAAGTTTAAGATCATGACTCATCTGGTTTCATGAGGCTCACTGCAGTGAAGAGGACTGATTATTTGGGCTTCGCTGCTGTTTATAATGTTACAAACACACACTGGCAGCTTCGAGAGAGGCCCCACTTTGCCACCATGACATTAATTCTGACCAACCAAAATTTTCCATTTCAAAATTTGTCCTATTTTGACTGAAGTTCAACCCGAAAAACTTTCCATTTGAAACTGAAGTCATGGTTGGAAACTCACACACAAACACACATCTAAAAGAGGAGAGTTTCCACAGCATGGAAAGTGGTCCAAATCCAAACCATTTTTGTTTTTCTTTTGTTGTCATAAAAATACACCGGGGTCAACACAAGGACACTTAGAGGCTGAGGATAAGGAAGAAAGAAATAAGACATTATCCCCTTTATAGTTGTCAGAGATCAGAACTGCCATGATAGCATCTTGGCAGCTATAGCAACTCATTTAAGATCCTGTGACAGATCCACAGAAAGAAATATCATTATGTCTTTTTGGTGGAGTTCAGTTTTTGATCAGTTCTCATTATTTAAAGAGAACGCTGTTGGGACTGAAACCTGTCTCAATGATCTGATTTAGATTGTTGAATTAACTTGTTATCATGAAATATTATTATGGGAAAAGCAGCTTTGTTTTCTTTCTGACAAAATGATAACAAGATAACAGCAGTTTTGGTTTTTGTACCTGCCAAGCTATCAAGTTCAGGAACCTGTTTTCTCAACAGATTTATAAAGCATCCGTGGAAGTTTTATGATTAAAAATAAAATCCTGCAGGAATTTATGTGGCAGTTCAGTTTTTGAGTGATTTAACCTTGTCCAACACTGACTAACCAGGAGAAACAAGCCAAGAGAGAGAGGGTGTTTTCTTGCCTCTATGATGTGATTCACTTAGGGATATAAAAATGTATTTTTAGAAACAGAAGAAGAGAAAAGAAATGGTCTGACTCTGAATTAGAAACAGAGGTGAGGTCTCAAATGTGGTCAAGCCCGAGCAAGCGTGAGCATCAAGAACAGGGCAGAAATGATGAGGAAAACAGACAGACAAATAGACAGTCATGCCAGTGAAGCAAGAAGAGGACAAGAAGGAAAAGACATATGGAAAACAAAGATTTTCATCTAATATCAGGAGCGACTCAGACAAGTCAGGGAAAAATGTGTACACTCAGCACATGTCAGTAGCCGGAGTCACAGAGTGCGCTCTGAAACCACAGCCAGCAAAGCCAGAGAGAGCAGCACAGTGACTCAGCAGCTACCAAATGTATGAGTTTGTGTTTTAATCAAGCAGATTATTTAGGGAAAAGAGCAAATTTAATTTTGATGATCCCTGCAGCATCTGGGGCTTAAAAATGAAGTGCCACAACTGAAATTCCTTAACTGACCACTAGAGGCTTGCTCCAGAAGTTAGTTAACCCCCATTAGCTATGTTAAAAAGACTAACTTTACAGCATGTTTACGTGTTCACTGGTGACAAGTAGGTTTTGGTCTCTGCAGCTATACTTTCTTTCTTCTGGGGTCAATTTTTTCTTTACATCTCATGCTTTACAAATGTATCAAGGCCTATATTATGGATGCAGTATGTAAGCACACTAGCGGCCTGGCACCTTAGCGAATTCTAGTCACTGATCTTGGCACCTTAGATGTTCAGTGTTGTTGTTATTGCCTTTTGGGAATGTTCCTCGCTCACTAGCTTGGTCAGTGTTATTGTAATTTCTTACTCCATTTATTTGCGGTATCCACACAAGTCAGTTTTTTTCTTGCTCTTGCTTGAAAAGAAAGCGTTGACATCATCATGACTTGGATCCAACAACTTTTATCCTTTCCTCCATACCTTCAGTTTTATAACAGTTGTAAAACAGTGGACTTAAAATGGCGAAAAGCACACTGTTAAAAAATGGGTCACTTACAGCACATATGACCCCAAGGTCACTTAAATATTTGACCTAATTTCTCTTGCCAAAACTGAACCACTTGCATAATCATCATTTTTACAGTCCAGACATGAAATGACATCATGCGAAGTGCACTTGCATATGTTTTCTTAGCGTGGGGCCAAGAGGGGGGAATAGTTAGAGGAGCTCAGAGGGAGTCGAGTTTCTTTGTAGCTTTGATTGGTCTTCTAAGTCTAAAGCATTGATCACATCTAACGTCAGAGATGGTTAAGAGGTACCACTTAGGACAGCATGGGTAGAAGCTAATCTAAAAACACAAATGAATTGTGACTCTTTGTATTGCAGCTTTAGGACTTGTCACTGGTTGCCTTGATAAAATCAACAGCACTCACCACAGCCTTCCTCTCTCTGACATGGTTACCTGTCTGGGAATGACGTAGCCATTTAAGTTGCTTACATGACTGACAAACAACTGCGGTGATAGAGTCTGCACTGCCACCGCGCCCACACTGTTTTTGATCTCTGTGTAAACCTCCCCCTGAAAAATACAGGTCACTAATTTTGTGTTTTCCTTGTGTCTCCTGCCTGTCTTCAACAGAGGAGGAATTATGGCTTTGAATCAGCGCCAGGCATTCCTTCATGTGACTAGTGAGTGTGATTTATGAGCGACAACAGACACACAGAGACAGAGAGGAACACTGAAAGAGGAGGAGAAGAAGAAGAAGAAGAGAGAGGAAGTTTCCGAGCTTTGAGGAAAAGTTGTTGGTCTTTGAGGCGACAGGTGTTGAAGCTCTTCATCCAGAAGTTTTGAGAATGGACACGTGGTGCACGTTTCAGATGGACATATGTAAAACACATGCACCGCAAAATGGAGAGTGATACAATGTCTTTACCACCTGTGGCCTCACATGTGCGCAAGCAAGAGTGTTTGAGTCAGACCGTTCCTCATTTTTAAGATACATACTTTACTCATGTAGCATTAATGATGATGAACGACTCTCTGATTAAACTCTGCAGCAGTGAGAAGTCATAACACTTCATCATGTTGCTCCTATGATAAGGCCGACATACTTTTCTAATGACACCCTGATGAAGCGCAGGTCCATACTGTAACACTCACATATACCAGTTATACAAATATTTCACATGGGTGCTGTTAATTGTAAGCCAATATCGCACTTATCTGGAACTGAAAACACCTCTCAGTTCAGTTCAGACAGTTTGAACTTGCATGACCTGCAATGTATAAAAACAATCAAGTGGATTAGAGCCATGTGACTGCTTGTTATGCATGCCACAGAAAATCCTTCCATCGAGCTTTACATCGGAGCTCATGACTTCATTCAACCGGGCAGGCAGGAGTCAGGAATAGTGTCCTGATCCAGCCTAATTGTAATGCAGGACTGAGGCTACAAGGACATGAATAGCGGCTTTTGTTATCAGGACACATGAAGATTGTGTGCCACTGAGTGCAGCTGTAAACTATGATATTTGTGTCAGGATCAAACCACAAACACCAAGTGAGCAAAGAAGAAATGACAGTTTACAGTTTGACTGTAGCCAAAGCTTTTGGTGTCTAAAATTAATATTTTTCATGATACAAAAATAAGAGTAAGGTGTTTCTCCTGGTGAAAATAGTGGAGAGAGTGCTCTAAATACAGAATAAATACTGTTAAAGTCATGACCATCCAGGTGTCATTCAGCTTCTCTAAAGAAAACAGCTTTATGGTGTCTCCTCAACCCTGATTTTGAAACTTTGGGTCTTACCTTTCCCGCAGGCTCCCCGCTGAATGAAGAGCACAGGTGGCTGCTGCAGCTTCTGCGCGCGGCGGCTCACCCTCTTCAGCTCGCAGATATTCCGGTATGACACCCCATCGCTTCCACAAACCGGGTCGGTGGTTTTGCACACGCAAGTGCCACTCTTGCTTCTCCTCCTCACCGTCACAGTGTAACCAACCCCGCCGGACACCGAGCACTCCAGCCCCTCTCCGCACATCGGGTCCCCGAGCTTCCCGCTGCCGCCGCACGCTTCGCCCTCTCCGGACGCGCACACCATGCAGCAGTGGCAGGCGTCGAGGGCTTGTCCCACCGGGCAGTCCGCTGCTACCCTGGGACACATCGACTTGTCACACCGAGCGGGACATCCGATAACATACCTGCTGGTGATTTGCGCGTCTGTTGGCACGGACGCAAAGGCTACGATTACGCACAGAGACCAAAACATGATCCAAAGTAGAAATACAGAGAGGTAAAAAGAAAGCTATAAGAGTTCCAGCGGTGCGCTCTCTTCTTGCAGTGCTATGGGATGAGAGAGCTCAGGAGTGAAGCGGGGGGGAGTCCCTTCAGCTGGAGAGGCATTTAACAGAAACTCCACTGCGCAACCAATTACGCGCCCTCACGTTTTTGCTGGCAACGCTTCAGAGGAAAAAAACTTTCAAGATAGTCTCAACAAGCCTGCTGATTGGTGCTTCATCAAAAGCTCGTATGGCAATTAACAGCCGGCATTTGTTCAAGATCTGTGTCACAAAATAGGAGACAAAGTACCCAAGTTGTGCATGAATTCTTTGTTTCTGCCTTCCTGAGTGAGGGGTGAGAAGTTCAAGATCATCACGGTCTGCCAATGTTTTTGCTGACATTGGCATTGACCCTGATTATATTATATACAAACAAATGAAAACAGAATTAAAACCCCAGTGGTGCTGCCCAGATGTTTTATGAGCTGCACACATCCTGCAGGCCTGTTTCCAGTCTCTTTCTATGAATTAGTCACGCTTGGCACTCACATTACTCCTTATAGCTATTTAGGAAAATCAGCAGAGCAAAATAAATTAAACCTGGGGTGGATTGTGGGATTTGTGGCGTTCATGAAGGGTTTTCAAGTTAGCTTTAATTGAAAGATTAGATTGCAAGAGAATTTCATATATCTATTTATGACGTTATCCCAGCTTTGTTGGATATAAGCACCAGTCTAAGAGGGTAATAAACTGCATCTGATAGCGATATCCAAATGTTGTAAACCTTCATCTTTCAAGTTCAAGGGTAAATCAGTCAAATGGTTATTAAACAGTGTCTGTTTTGCCACATACTAAGTAGAAACTTGACAAATTTCCTGTATTAAGTGACCAGGTTTTGGCAAAAACCAGATCTCTGTTTGGCTTAGATGTCTGTGGTAAACTGTAAAAGATTCCAGTGAACACTAAGGTAATAAATCAATGTCGTAAAACTCCTCAAGACAATGTGATTGATAATGGGTGAGACGTTTCGATGAATCAGACTTGGTTTAAACAAGGTGGCTGGATGTTTGGGCAAGAAGAGACGCGGCCCTTTGGGTGGCACGCTTAAACGCAGGGTAACACAAACTGTTTCTAAATAGAGGTAAATAGAAACGGAGGGAAGTTTAAGCCTCTCAAGAACTAGACTACCAAGAAACAGGAACATCTAGACTTCTAACTCTGGAATTCAAGGTAGACTATTTGTCTTTAGTCAAATGAGAGGGTGCACTCATTTCCGAGCCAAGAAATTTGAGCACCATATCATTTTGCTGTGAGACCATACAGCTCTCTCAGAGCCATTATGTGGAAACTCGAGGGGATCACAAGGACGTAGGCGAGAAGTGGTGGGAAAATCCGCAGATGAAAACAACCTCATCTATAAGGAACCAAAGATGGACGACGTTGAGGTCTGTGTGATCTCTGATGTGCTCCAGTCTGCAATGATGTCTTGGCTGTGACTGAGGCCCCCGCGCAGTCCAAATATGGCTCGCATGAAGCCACAGCAAAGCACGGGTTGTCCAATGAGGAGCTGAGATGGAGTATGCGAAGACAGAGTTAAGAGAGAAGTTTTAACTACCTACTTCCGATTCACAGAGAGAGAGAGAGAGAGAGAGAGAGAGAGAGAGAGAGAGAGAGAGAGAGAGATAGAAAGATAGAATCCTTGTCTGATTAAAGAGGCTCCATAAATCACGCTATAAATCTATCTGCACATATGCTGTTAAGTGCAGAGTAACATGCAATAAGCAGTATATCAAGATTAGCTGGAGGGCATGAAAGTCCATCAGCTTTAAAGAGAAAATGCACTCAGTATGAGCAGGAGGAGTACATGTACACATGTACTGAACAGGTGCATTATGAAGCTACGTTTGCTTCACTTTATATCTATTCTTGACAACTTTTCCTGTACTTCACTAAGGATTAAGATTTGACCGACAAAATATGCTGAATTTATCAAACATAGTGAAAATCTAGCCTCAAACATATTAAAACAAAATTCAACATGCTTTTATTTTTAGCATTTTGGTTTCTGTCTTAATACTTTTATCTTCACACTGAGTACAAGTTTTGCCGTTCAGTCAAGAAAATTTCAATGGAACAGAGACACTGAAGTTTCTTCTTCTACCACAAGAGGGCAGCAGGAGACTTGAGCAGTTCAGAGAGATATACTCAAATCAAGGATTTGTTAAGATCACTGGTTTGTATTTTCTTCCCGTAAATACTCAAAATGTAAAAAAGCCTGAGGAGCCTGAGCAAATTTTCAGTGTTTAATTCTTTCAAGTCAACCACATAATAAATAAAAACATTTCAAACCAATTACACCAGACTAAAAAAAAGAGATGAAAAAGCTGGTGGGACTGACATAAAACAGGCACTTAAAAAAAAAAGGATTAGTGTGTTTTGTTAAGCAGTGAGACACTTTTAAAACAATAAGGCTGAGTTGGGGAACACAGGTACAAGAATTATGAAGAGGGGACATCTAAAAGCATAAAGAAAATAAATCAGCTCGTATCTGCACACTCACACACGCAACACTAGGGGCTGTGGAGAAACTAAAAACCTACAAACGGAGAGATGATCTGACATGCTACGGAAACGCATGAACTGAAATGAGTCGTTATTAAACCATGAACCAAATTGTCTGTATTGTGTCTCAAAGATGTAAAATCATCTTCCATCACATCAAACTACAGGCTCAGTCAGGACAAGTGAGTTTGTTATAATACAGTCGTCTGGTAAGCTTATCTAGAACTGACCCAGCCCTGTTGTTGAAGGTTTTATTACTATGAATTACAAACTGTACACAAGTGAACTCTTCTTGGTTACTGATAATGCAAAGTCCATGTTGTCTGGTGATGTCGTAATGTGGCTCGCAAAGTGTCTGATTCGGGCTGTGTAGTGCTGCATGTGCTGTGATAGGTCTAAAAACATCTTGAAAGTACCCTTACTTCACCAAAAAAAGGAGGAATATGCGTCAAACTATACGTTATAGTTATATGTATGTTTCTTAAGCTTGTAGTCATAACAGCTGAATCACCATCACCGTGAAATCTGGTGAGTAAGACGCAATAATGAGCCACAACCTATGCACTGGTGTCACTGGATTTTAAAGAGGAAGAGGCCGCTGCGCTGCAAAAAGCATACTGGACACACAGCAATGCAGACCAGGCTGGAAGTGCCTCTATTTAACAGCCTTTATCTCTCATTAAGGTTAGAGTCATGCATTCAGGGAAACTGGTGGTACACTATTAAGCAGGATCTTTCCAACCAGTTGGCCCCACCAAATGCCAAATGCGGGTCAATTTCCTGTTTAGGCCAGTAAATTTAAGAGGGTTACGCATCAAATGTCTGGTAACTATTAGCACTAAAACAAACATGTAATGATCTTGATGTAATTTAGATTGAATATGTATCACAAAAACCCAATTTATCATTTTGGCTTGTAAAAAAAACATACTTGGCTGGTGAAAATTTTCTTCAGCTGGAAAACTAAGAGGGTTAATTCCAGACCCTGCTATTAAATATTCCTTGTGGAGTCCTGATTTGATTGAAATGAGTCCCCAATTTGGGACAAGTGATGGGGTGGTTAGAATGAGTCCTTATAAACTGGTTATGGGTAGCAGAACAACCCAATCCTCACAAATATCAGCGCTCCTGTAGGCTGAGCTCAACCTCCCTAACAGTTGCAAAAACGGATCGCATTTGAAAGAGCTGCATGTCGGTCAAAGGTCTTCACTCAAAATGATAGCTGAGACTGTCTTATATACCAGTCAGACTTATATCCAGTATTTTACAGCCAAGTTAACCCTCTAATATGAAAGAATTAAGAAGTATAAGTAAAAGGCTCTGCATTTGTTGGTCACAGCAACTCAAATCTTGCATTAATAAGCATGTTTAGTTGTAAACAAATGATTTGACTTTTTGCATCTCCTGCTAGACTTGAATTTTGAGTTGAAATTTGCATCATAGAGATGATTTTTATAATTCAGTAAAAGCTTAACCCAAATCCTTAACACTGTTTAACAGCTGCGGGGCTCTGTAGTAAGAGTATGAATGAATCACACAGTTTAGATTAGTGGGTTAGAGAGGTGATACAAATACAGTCCTCGTTTCAAACACTTTTTCAGCCATGAGGAAATGGCTCCTACCAAAACTCCCTTATTCTCTTGGAGTGAAGTTGTTCACTCTTCCCATAAACACCATCAAACACACCATTTAAGGTTAAAATAAAGCTCTGTCATTAGTTAGGGACAAGTAAAGTAAAGTTTGCAGTTTTGTTTGAAAAGTCTAAGGAAATAAATACACAAATGTACATGTGGCAGCAGGCAGTCATACAAGTGTGGGTGAAGATCAGGTTGTCTTTGGCACATAAGTGCAGTGCAGTGGTTTCTCTGACACACTGATGGAGGAGCTCCACACACAAGTTTGTAGCGTCAAACATCACTTATCTGCCAACAGCTTTGGTTTCAAACACACCTGTCCGACAGTTTCCTCTTTGTCCATGAACTCTTGGTTAACATCATCCAGTTCTCCAAGTCCTAATGTCCAGTTTAGACCTCGCTCACAGGCAGGTCGGCGTCATCCAGGTCCAGAGGAGGTTCAGGCATGTGGGGCTCAAAGCTGCTCCTTCGTCGCCATGGTGACTCCTCCTCAGAGTTACTGATGGTGGTCGCAGGTGGCTCGAGGCTCACTTTGCCAAGCGCGTCTCCTGCAGGGATAGGCGTGCTGGCGTGTGGCTGTGACTGGGCCGCGGCAGCAGGCTCATGAAGTGCTCGCTGTCCCAAGCCAGGCTGTGGGCGTGTGCCGCACGTGACAGCAGTGCCCCACTCTGGGTAGCATGGTGGCATGGCAGATATGGGCGAGCGAGGGACGGGGGGACCCGAGGGGCTGCGGTAGAAAGAGGGACGGTTGCCGTGTTCCTGAGGTGGACACAGAGAAGGGAAAAAAAGAAGGAAAGACAAGACAGTGAGAAAAGTGAAACCCTGACATTTGTAGTTTATTTGAGAAGCGAGTGAAAAGGGAGTTACAGACTTGAGTTAGCACCAGCATATGAAGGCTGATGCAGCTTTAGCAGAGTTGGTGTTGAAGGTGCTGAAGCATTGCAAAAGAGTGGAAGATGGTGGTGGAAGTAGCAGTAGAAGCAGTGGTGGTAGTAGTAGTAGAAGTAGTAGTAGTTATAGAGGAGGTAGCAGGAGGAGTGGTAGTAGTAGTAGTAGTAGTGTCAGCAGGTTTTAGTTGTGGTTGTCTCAACAGGTTGAAGTGGAGAAGCAGAGTTGATTAGGTAGCAATGGTGGGTTGTGGCCTGTTATTTCACATCTTTTCATTGTCAGATTTCAATCTCTGGAAAACAAAACAAAACAGAAGCCATAAGAGGCAGCCGTTGAGCTGTTAGTAGAGTGTTGGTTAGAGAAACATTTGTGGATAAACTGGACTCTCCTACAAGATGCAACAGCAGCACTTTTGAGGTTTATGTGTTATCTAAGAATATCCCTGGAGTATCTTAAGATTTAACAATAACTTTAATCCAAAATAAACATGTCTAAATATACAAGAGACATATCAATTCACAACCTCAATTCCATAAAGTTGGGACACTGTGTAAAACAGATTTTTATTGGCGAGTCAGTTAGACCCAAGATTTGATTGAAAATAGCGCAAAGAAAACACATCAGATATTAAAATGGAAAATTGTTCTCATTTCACAAAAATATGCTTATTTTAAATTTGATGCCATCCACACTTTCAAAAAAAGATGAGACAGGAACATCAAAACTCAGAAAAAAGTTGCTGGAGGAACACCTCTTTACTGATCTAGTTAATTTGGCCAGTAACATGACTGGGATTCAGATCTGCAAATCTGGAGACAAAGAGTCTCCTAGAAATAAAGACCATGATAGGTTCACCACTCTGTGAGAAAATAGTTTAATAACTTTAGAATAATGTTGCCCAGCGTCAAATTGCAAAGAATTTTGGAAGTTCATCGTGTACAGCAGAGAGTAATATCATTAAAATATTCAGAAAATCTGGAGAATAATCTGTACGAAAGGGACAAGGCCCAAAACCAGTACTGGTTGGCCTCAGGCATCAAAATCAAACATGAAACTACATTGGAAATCACTGCATGAGCTGAAAATCACTTCCAAAATCAATAGACTGTGAACACAGCTCATCGCTGCATCTAGTTAAAACTGAACAATGTAAATACCAGTGACTTCTCTGGAGCCTGAGTCCATTTAAGATGGACTGAGGTGAAATGGAAAACTGTCTTGTGGTTCTGATGGACCACCACTGACTTTTTTTTATTCATTGATGCCACGTCCTTTACTCCGAAGAGGAGAAAGACCACCCTGCTTGTTTTCAGCACACACATTAAAAGCCAGCATCCTTGAAAGTATGGGGATGCATATGTGCACATGGCATGGATAGCTTACAAATCTGGGAAACGATCATTTATTCTGAACTTTATAAATAAACAGCTTTTGGAGCAACATATGCTGTCATCCAAACAGTGCCTTTTGAAGGGAAGATGTAGAACATTGCGGCAAGACAATGCGAAACTATATTCTGCTCTGCATTAAAACAGCATGGCTGTAAAGTGGAAGAGTCAGGGTACTGCCTGTGGTGCCGACTTGAAACATTCAGCATGTAATGAAACTGATTATTCAACAAAAGAGACCTCAAACTGTTGAGCAGATGACAACAGAGAGAAGTGGACTTTTTAAAACTCTTGAAACTGATCGACTCAGTTCACTTAGGTATACAGCAGGGTTAGATAAGAGGCGATGTGGGATATTATTGTAAACATGCCCTGCTCCAGACTTTTAAGATGTGTTGCTGGCAACAACTTTCATATGAACATCTGTCCCATTTTAACTTTTGATTTGTTGTCTTTGAACTATTTTAATCAAATAGAGGGTTTAGATAAACTGCAAACCATCCAGTCGTTTTTTTTAATCAAAATTTTACACAGCATCCCAACTTTCCTGGAATTAGGGTAGTACAAGGTTTTTTTTTCTTGTTGAATCCAAAGACCAAAATCAAGCTTAAAGACAGATCCTTGGTGAATGAACTCCACTGGAGTTTTAGACGATTACTAGCAGCTTACAGCAACTCTAATACATCATAACACTAAAAACTCTGAAATTAAAATTCATACTTAAAGGGATATTCTGGCGTAAAATTAATTGAGGGTCAAACACGCTGTAACACCAAGTTAGACACCCCCTCAAGAGATGAATGTTGCTGACTGCTTGCGTCTCTAGTTATACCAACTTTAGTAATGACCGCACGATAGCAATACACAGAAGCCACTCGCTCAACCAAAAAGCCACTCTATAGCCGCAAATAATGCTCAGAACAGCACCTAACTTCATCAACAGTACATATAGGGTCCCAGTCATAGCACTAGCCACCAAACATCTTTTTAACTTAAAAGTTAATTTCTTTAGCAAAGAGACTAAACACAACTCACCTACTCTCTTCCAGCAACCGCTTGTTTATATGGAGACCTCGGGACAGTCCATTACAAACTACAGCGGGGTGACGCAGCTCAAGGAAGAACATTTATGATCATTTCTTCATCATTTCCTTGAATTAATAATCATCATATTAATCATTTTGCACTGCAGACGCGGTAGTTCTTCTGCCTTAGTGTCTCAGTCTGATTGCATTTCCATAAAGAAATTATCATAAATGTTCTTGCTTGAGCTGCGTCAACCCGCTGTAGTCTGTAATGGACTGGCCCGAGGTCTCACTACAAACAAGCGGCTGCTGGAAGAGAGTAGGTTAGTTGTGTTTAATCTCTTTGCTAAAGAAATTAACTTTTAAGTTAAAAAGATGTTTGGTGGCTAGTCCTATGGCTGGGACCCAATATGTACTGTTGATGAAGTTAGGTGTAGTTCTGAGCATTATTTGTGGCTATAGAGTGGCTTTTTGGTTGAAGTTTGTTTATGGCTCCTCAGACCACTGTGTATTGCTATCGTGCGGTCATTACTAAAGTTCGTCTAACTAGAGAAGCAAGCTGTCAGCAACATTCATCTCTTGACCGGGTGTCTAACTTGGTGTTATGGTGTGTTTGACCCTAACTCAATTTTACGCCAGAATATCCCTTTAACTGGAAAAGCTACAGGTTTGTGACACGACTTTGGATTCAGCTTAAACATTTACTTAGTTTAACATATGTGACACAACGGTACAAGAGGTTTAAATGGAAAAAAAATCATTTTTATATATTTTGTTTATGAGAGAAAGAGAAAATAAAAACATACAGGCAGCGGACAGGAGGAAGGAGGAGAGACAAGCAGGATGTCACACATCTAAGACAGGTACACAGCTGCAGCAGACTGCAGAGATAACAGAGCATGAAGGGAAGAGAAACACAAGGTGTGAAAGACACATGTACCCAGTAATACAGACAGAGATAGGAACAGGCTGAAGGTATTCAGAGCCCTGCTGGTCGGGAAAGTCATGCAGCGAGCAGAGTGCATGAGTGTGATTTGTACAGAGATTTTTTTTTTTTCACACTTCTGCGGTGTCAATAACTGTGAGGACAGGTGAAAGCTCTGCAGGTGAAGTTAAGGGAGAGGAGGAGGAGGAGGAGGCACTCATTGTGGGTCTTCTGATGTTTTCTAGAGCCATACGCAACCTGAAAATGTAACTTTTAAGCAGCTGAATGTCTACAGAAATGCTTGATTCTAGTTGTAATGCCTGTGGCGATAATCATTCACATGCTAGAGGAGCTACATCGAGCACACCATAAGTCAAAAACTTTTAGAGATACTTTTTCTCTTACATAATTAACTAGGAACAATTTTAACTCTCAATAAGATAGGCTCAAACTTTGAGGTGGGCTTGAAGTTACAAAAGAAAAAGGAAAGCAAAGGAGGAGGAGAGGTGGATGAAAAAAGCAGCGAGGACGAGGGCGTGAAGGGAGGAGCGCTTGTTGGGTTATCACAGCCATACTCAGGATGTGGTTGGTTCATAGGAAAAATACGAAGAGGAGCATCAGATGTGCCGTCAGATCTGACCCCCTCTCATAATAGTGACAACCACAGAGGGCCAGCCAGTGAGAGGAAAGTTTTAAACAAAGATGAACTTATAGTTTAAAGGGGGGATTTAGACGAGCTGACATACGTGCTGCTGCACTCCCCGATTCGGGACGTATACCTCTGTATACAAGGGTTCGACAGCCGTCTGGCCTGCCGCATCTGCAACAACACAGTGCACAGCAGTATTAGAGCAGATGGGCCGTCAGCCCAGAGGGAGAGGAAGAGAACGTGGAGAGAATGGGACAAAGAAAGAAAGAATGAAGAAGAGAGAGAGGAGGCACAGAAGAGGAAAAAGTTGAGAGAGAAACAAGCAGGAGAGAAAGAAATACACACTGTAGACAAGGCAGATGAGTCGAGAATGATTTCAGTGTAACCAGAGGGGGTCCGGCACTGTGTCCTCTGCAGTCAGGACTGTGAAGCTGCTTTACTTCTATGATCAAACCTGTTTCTGTCAACAGATTTTAAACTTAGGTAGGGAGCTCACAGATCTGGTGGACTTTGAGGGTACCCCAGTCTGCCAACATGAAGTGGACGATGATGATAGACTGTTGAAAAGAACGTAAAAGCTCAATTGTTTGCATCCACCTGGGGACCCGGGGCTTTCCTTTTTACTGTACCCAAACCATGCTGGGGGACAACGAGCAACAGCTACAACAGGTACATTCATATTTTGTCTTACTTCATGAGACCTCTCTGCTTTTGTTCTTCTACTCAATAATTCTTCTTCCTATTTTTGTCTCTAATGCTGTTAAGTGTCAGTGTCTTTCTTTACAACGATAGAAGGTACACATAGGGCCGGGCGATGCGGGAAAGAGTTTATCATGATATATTTATCGTTAAAAATGTGTTAAAGCAGTGGTTCTCAAGTCCAGTCCTCGAGGCCCACTGTCCTGCATGTTTTGGATGTTTCCCTGCCCCAACACACCTGATTCAAATGATCAGCTCGTTATCAAGCTCTGTAATGGCTTAATAACGAGCTGATCATTTGAATCAGGTGTGTCTATCAGGATATTAAAAAAATCACTTGTCAATCTTAACTGTTACCTGTTACTTTTAAATCAAATTTAACATGTACTTGACATAATTTGCAGTGCACATTACTCTGCTTCGTGTCCAACCTAAAAAAAAAACCTAAATACTTCCACACCAACGACGTTTTCGTGCTGTTGACGATGTTGTAATCTGTTGAGCCTTCATCGTTATCACCTAGCCCTACATACACATGAAAACTTTTAAGTTCAGGAAGATGTTAGTTTATGACTGACAGAAAAAGGGATAGCCAGTTCATGTAGACGAAACAATATGCAAACTCTGCACCATAAAGGTTCCTCTTAATAAGGGGACAACACATCAAATACAGGAGCTCATTAAAGGTAGATATCACCCAGCGATGTAAGGACAAAGGTTTCGCTCAGCAACATGACACCAAGAGACAACTGAGTTTCAAAAAGGACAGTGAGGACAGACTTTTGTAAGTGACCAGCATAGATGCTACAGTTCCTGTTATCTGGCGCTATCAGTGATAGCAGGGTTCTTTCACTTCAGTAAACTTCATCCTGATCCACTTGTGCTGGACTGCAACATTTACAGATGCCTTTATTAGGTGCAGATTCAATCGCGGTATGGGAGTCACATTTTTATCATCTTTCCTCTCAGTTTTTCTGCTGCTTTTGTTGAGCAAACTTAATTCCTGACAGTAACGGAGTCCTTCTGTTTTCTGTGTCCCACTATGTCAATCTGATGTATAGCGCTCGTTGCACTGTGCATGTGAGGGCACATGAGTAACCACACTGTGCTGAAGACTGCCTCTTCAAACAGTCAAACCAGGGCTGAGGAAGCATACCCTGCCTGGGCTCAGTATGGGGCACTAACATTCACCAAACAAACACTGCACTTTGGGGATGTAACATACCACAGCATGGCACAGATTGTCTTGAGTGAATCCTAAGGCTCAAGTTCTGCCCATGCAAGAGTAAGTAGAGTTAAAAGTCATTTCACAGGTGTAGAGGTACATTTCAAGACTTATCAGCCTCCACAGTCGATTTATGTTGACCAGAAATCACACTACGGTGCTGCAATGTCGTGCCAAATACATACTGTAGCTGCAGACCTCCCGGGCCCCCGCTGGGCCACAATGGCTCCTGAGACAGCCTTGATCCAGCTGTGCATCTCCTCTGGGCTGTCAGCCTTGTGGAGAGGAAACAAGGAGAGACAGTGAGTGTCAGTGAAGAGTACGAGACAGAAACTGATTCCACTGAGTGTTGGTAGCAACAGAGATTCTGAGTGTGTGGACTAAAAGGAGCGTTTATGTCTTACCTGTATGTAAAAAGTCCTGGAAGTGGTGACGACTTCAAACAGATTATCCCTCATCATGATATCACTGCAACAAGAGTGGAAACAGATAAAGATATTCATCACATCTTTACCTTCACATGAATCAGAACAAAATAAACACCATCCCCAGGAGACAACGGGAAAATGCTGAGACATGTGAATACCTTTGTTTGCACTCCTGGACTTTGTTGACTTCCTTTAATGGGATCATTCTCAGAGGCTCTTTTTCCTTTAGGCGAGAAAATAACCATTCACATTACTTACTTCACTGAAATACAAAGGGTAATTTAACAGTTAGCAAATACATGTCTTTATCGACTAGATCGTCAAGTTCTTCTGCAAACTAAATCCCTGATGGTTGTAACTTTTTCGACCTGGCCATGTCATAGAGGAGACAGAGAGTCTGCATCTGTGAGCCTGTTGATAGCCAAATAGACAGATAAAGCTGTCAAATAAGGGCAGAGCCTGACAAGGACAGGGTATGAGACATGCTGTATTATTCAGAAGACAATGTGTGTGTGCGTGTGTGGGTGTGCAAGATAGGCAAGGGGGGAACAGGGCATGATCGGACATGTGGAGTGAAGGTACTGAATTCCTCAGGCTGCAGGTAAAACATGTTGGAACTGGAGGATGTGTGTTTGGAGCTTCTCTGCCTCACTGTGGAGCTAAATCCCACATATTATCAAATAAAGACATTCTTCACAGGCTTTACATAACGTCATCAAAGATTATTACCAAATCTGACTTGAAGTAACTCATGGAGTTTTCTTCCAGGAGGAAATATCGACGTTTCCAGTTTCTCATCTAGAAAACAAGAACAGGGAAGATGTTGAGAACTTTTAAAATCTAGATACTTGTTTGTTTTGCATAAACATGATTTACTATTTCTGAATAAAGATGAAAAAAGTCATTTACTCTTTGGCATTGTGTGCACTGAAAAAGTTGGACAGATCAAGCAGAAATCTTAACTGTGGGTCATCTTAACATAAACCTCTACACAAAACAAGTTTCTCTCTGACTGCAGCAGTTCTCTAAATGGGGCTGAAAAACCAACTGAAACTCACTGGTACTCTCTCACAGACAATACCTGTTGGACTAAAGTCAGCTCTACATCTGACATATGACTGGTTGGAGAAGCGAGCCATTTAGACCAAAAATAATGTTTTAAACATGTTGATTTTTGGTTTATAATTAGTCTAGAGGTTTTTCTAGATGGGTGTGTATGTGGCTTACAGTACTTTTGCAGGATGCCTCAAGTGGACACTCGAGGAACTGCAATTTTCGACATTTCTGCATTGGTTTCACACCTCAAGATAAGAGGATGCAGCTTGATCGTGACTGAATTGACTCATACATGTCATGCTAAGCTGCTTAATATCAAAGGAAAAAAGTTCCAATTTTCCACGACTACTCGACACGCAGTAACGGTTAACCTCCTGTCGACAAACATGAGCCAGAGCTACTTTCACTGATGTCTGGATTGGGCCTAGAGTGACATTTAACATCTCAAGTATTAGGAGGGATCCTGGAGCTGATGTTAAATTTTCTTGTTTATATTTTTCTTTATTGTAATAAGACACAGAAAGAAAGACATCACAGCAGTAGTTTTTTAAAATCCTGCACATGCATATCACCAAAACAATATCATATGCAATAACAATCCTCATATGCAGAAATAAACCTGTTGTGTTTCTGTGGTAAGATTTGCTAAATGTAGAGGACTTTTCAGAAAGGGGACAGTAAGCAGATAGTAACATTAGGGCAAAACTACATGCAAAGTGTTGTCAGTCCCTGACTATCTGTACTGAAGAACTTGTCTTATTGATACCAGAAGGATAAACCAGATATAAACACCCAACAGTCAGAAGGACTCACCACAGCTCCCTGCTTGACGCAGTAGCCTGATTTGATGACGGTATGCTCCTGAGTCGGCCTGCCCAGGAAGTACGGTAGCTGACTGTGGGAGCGATGCATGGCCTCTCGCTCGGCTCTGTCTGCAGCATCACCACCTTCTTGCTGGAGGGTGAAGGACATGAGAGATTTCGTATAACAAACAACTGTATAGTCCATTCAAAAAGGACACAGAAGCTCATTTATGCTTTGCATTTCAATTAAAAAAAAAAAAAATGAAACCAAGCTTTTTATATTTTAGAGGGTGGAGTGATTACGTAGTATTCATCAGTAAAAACAAGGGTTAAAAAATGAAATACAAAAAAGTACATTGTCTGTCAGTTATTTTTTGACTGTATTTTGCAAATGTCACTTATTAACAGAATTACATTTCATAACTTTTATAAATCTCATTTCTTGAAGATCCTATGAATATATTCCAGTTTCATGTTTTTTACTCTACAATCATATTTGACCACAAAAGACTTTGAGTTGTAAGGGACGGGACACTTGTCACTGGTACAAAAGCCTCCATGTTTTTTTCAATCACCTCGTCACCTGACTCCTAACTCCTTCAGTTACAATTATAAACACAGAAAAGCTAAACCTGTTAATTTTGTGCTATAGGCTCACTGATGCTTGATTGGTAATCACCATTACGCATCTAGTGTTTTTCTTCTTCCACTGCTTTGTCAGATCAACTCAGACCACATAACAAAATTTCTCATCTTTCCATAACATAATTTAGGAATTTCCCCTTGTGAGACCAATAAAGGAGTATCTTATCTTTTTTTAGTATAAATGAAGAAGTTGTGTAGGAGTTCTTTCTAGTATTAACAGATGACTGTCTAACATGAGTCTGGTTCTGCTCGAGGTTTCTGCCTGTTTAAGGGAAGTTGTTTCTTGCCACTGTAACTTTCTAAATGATGTGATGTGCTGTGCTCCACTCATGTCATGTGGTTTAAGATGGGATGGGAGTGGGTCTAATCTTAAAAGATGGGGCTCAGCTTTATTCTATCTTTACATTTGGGTCTTCGTAAATAGAAATGTTGTGAATTGGCGTGATATCAAAAAGATTGATTGATTGGTTAAAGAGTGAAATGTGTACTTCTAGCTAAAGTTCTGTCTATTAAAAGGAGTGAGTGATTTTTAAATTCTTTTTAATACAGTATCATTTTCATACAGTGTTTTATCAATAAAAGACTGCATACAGTGTTCGGACCCAAATTTGTGGGTCATGTTTACCTGTGTCTGTGTGACGATGGGGACTCCTCCAATGATCTCCGTCCTATAAGAGACTTGTTTCTTGAGCCCGACTACATCTGGCAGAGTCTTCAGGTTCTCTGCATTCTGCTGCCCATCAGATAATTTTGGGACCTTAGCAAAACACACGCATACAAAAACACATGAGGATTGAGGAATTAAACCAAAAGACGGTCTTTTACGTGCAAGTTAGCAAGTACTTCCAAACAACTAGGATCCATTTCCCTGCTGGATCATTTCATGGAGAACAATGGAAACAGTCCTTTATGCCAGCACTCAATCCAACAATATAACATCCTGTTAGTCAGCCTCTGATTCACTCTCATCTCTTTTCTTCTCACTCCATTCACTCAAGGAAATAAAAGTTACTATAAGTGTTAAAACGTGCGCCAAAAAGGAAGAGATGAGAGCAGCTGAATCAGTAACCGGGTGTGTAATGTGAGTTTATCTGTGTGTGGGTGTCTCACGGTGATCTTGGTGGCTTTATTAAGAGCGTTGACCCAGTCCACAAGGTCTTGCTGGTCGTTGGCCTGCAGGAAGAACTTCCTCATCCCGGCATTGATGACTAATAAAAAAAACACATTAGTAGGAACATTAGAAAGAGAAAGAGAAACTTTGTTCGGACCTCTTTAATCACAGTCAGACATTCACATGCATCATGTGAATCATTCTTTGTTTATATGAATCACAGGCATTGAAGTACAAAGATGTATTATAAAGCGGGTGTTGAAATTTGCCCTTTAGTTCTGAGGGAGTATGATGGGATCCACTTCCACACATTTCCCTAGAAGTGAGAACAACTGAGTACATGCACTCTCCCACACACTCCATGCAGTTCTCCCACCCTTTATGAAGATGTTGATGAACCAGCTGGATACAGCTGCTTCAGTCTGCCACCACCTACCCACTTCCAACCATAACGGAGACAAAAAAAAAAAAGAGCCCACCGTTACACACCACTGAATATTCTCAGCATGTAAGAGCACAACCAAAACCCAATTTTTAGATCACAAAAATTTTTTGGGTCAAGTGCTGATAAGCCATGGATCAGGATTTAGGAGCTGCAGGAAGAAGACTCGACTCTCATCTCATTCCCCCTCAACCATAAATCTTTTAATTCCTCAGCTCAAACCCTCCTGATGTCTACTCTGTTTCCTTTTGACATCTTGTGAATAAATTACACCAAAGATGGATGGTGAGCTGCAAAAGGCACTAAAGGCTTAAAATTTATGGCACAATGAGGATCAGTCTCCCAGTTCCAGTTGCTTGAGTTTAGACCAGCACTGACACATGCTCCTTTTTCTTGAATTCTGTAACTAAGTCTTTCTGTTTGGTTTTATTGAAACGACAAGCACCAATCAATAAACCTAAAATGCGCCCAGTGTGTGTCCCACAAAGCTGAGCTGTTTGCCCGTAATGAAAATACAGTCGTCTTTGGGTCACTGACAGGAAGGGTATCAGATCTTAGTCATAGTTACACATCATAAAACAATGTGTGCTGCACAGAAACACAGCCCAGAGCCAAAGTTCACATGGATGCACCGCTTTCCGTCTCACACACTCCCACACTGACACAGGGCATGGACTCAACTGTATCATCATAAAAACACATCAATCACATCAGCCCAATAAAAAAAATGTGACGGCCATTGCTTGACCTCTCTTCAAACCAGAATAAAACCCTCATGTTTCCTCTGAAGTTGCTGTGGGGAGCAGCAGCAAGATTTGTAGATATGAGTGAAACATGTGGCGCACACAGCTGTTTAAAAATATCCTCTAACATCTTTGAGTCAGGTTCAGATTAGGAACCTGGCATCCTGTCCAAACCTCAGCGAGGCAAATGTTGTGCACATGCAGACAGACCCCCACACACAATTACTGAAGGCAACACAGTGAGCGGTTGGAAGAGAAAGAGGAGCTAGTAAACACACCAGGAAAAAAAAAGGTCCACTGCTAAATAACCTGCAGATGGTCCATATTTCCAATATCAAGGAGACTGGGGTAAAACGCACTGTGCATTGACAGAGGGGAAGCTGCTGTGAAAAACTTAAATCAAAGCAGCTTGCCAGATGGTCATCTTAACTCCAGAAACTCCCTCTCCTCCACACTTTTGTGACACCGAATCAGAGAATTGGGTCCTTCTGCTTTTAAACTTTCCAACAGCGACAGTCACACCCTCAACCCTCATGAGAAGGCTGAGAGGATAAGAAAGGAGCTAAAGTTTGCACTTGTTTGGTTTGTTACACAATTATTTCTGGATTTTTCAAATGTGGACTAAGGCTAACAGACATGGTGGATACCCTGATACTTTCTACTTCCTACTGATGATATGACCTCCATTCATTTGTAACATAAAGAGTCAATGCATCCAAAAGCTACCCCAAGCAGAGAAAGCCGCAGTGGTCAATTCAAACAGAGAAAAAAAGAGGACAAAGTAATTAAACACATGAAAAAGAATTCCTTTCTGATTGTTTTACAGTGGTAACACTCAGAAGAACCTGAAATCACGTCCACTCCTCCGCACAGGAAGATGCCAGATTGAGTTTGTTTTTGAGAAGAAGTAGCACTTCTCCTCCTGCCTACTGAGTGTCTCTCTGCTTTTGTTGCTATAGTATCGAAACAAGTATCAACATTTTTCGATTTCGTATCTATCATATCCAAGGTCAAAATTCACCAGTATCGTGACAGTTCTGGTGTCCAAATTTAACACCAGTAGACACAATCTGAGCAGATGCCACTCTCCCAACGGCAACAAGGTTTCTCTGATCGCTCACTTTTTTAGGATTTTCACTTTTATTTTCAGTTTGACGACTGAAACTGTTTCAGATTTCTATAATATTTGAAAAACAGGTGAAACAGAGAAGTTACTCAGCTTTCAGATTCACAGTTTGAACTAAGAGACATTTTTTAAACAATTTAAAGCAGACCAATTTAACTGAGACAGATGACCAATGAGTAAATCTGTGATGACTTGTTTTTATTTCCCTTATTTAAAGCTATTAGTGGATTGGGGATGCACTGATCCAATATTTGGATCAGATATCAGCTCCGGTATTGACAAATTAACTGGATCGGATATCTGATGAATGACGCCGATCCATCCTTTTTTAAATTTTATTAATTTTTCTTTTACTACATGAAAATCTTACTTCTTTTTTCTGTGTGCTAATGTGCAATTTGTTATTTGTTAATAAATAATATTAAATAAATTCATATTTGTGTTAATTTGTTACTTTTTTTTAACAAGACTAATCTCAAGCCTGATGCCTTCAATCACAGGACAAGGTATTCAGTTCATTCATTCAACAGTAGTATCGGATCAGTATCGGCTGATACGCTCAGCCCAGGTATCGATATTGGATTGGATCGGAAAAAAATGGATCGGTGCATCTCTATATTGGATATTTATACAGACAAGGGTATGTCTGTAATCAAAAATGAATTCAAAATGTGACTGAAACTGGCTTAAATAAAACCATGGCTTTTCTTTAATATAATACAGAAAGAGACATGTCCAACTGGAATTAATACAAGAGAGAAATTTGATCAGAGAGCACCTCAGAGAGCTAACATAATCATCTCTCATCTTTTGGAGATTTGGAAGCAAAAAAAACTGTAAACATACTAGATTAAAAAAAAAAAAAAAAAGATAAAAGATGGATGTCAAGGTGGTAAATTAAAAACACTGAGCATGATTGTAAAGATAAACGTTTTCTTACCAAAGCAGAACTCAGCTTTTGGCCTCAGCTTAGTGGCATCGCTGACCTGATAAGGACACAGCACAAGTGTTAGCGCCACACTTCAACCAAATACTGTAAATAAATTCTATTTACATATAATCTTATCATGCTGGTACTAGATACGCTCCAGCTACAAAATTTCCTTTTACCTTAGAGATGTAGGTGAGCTTGAGGGAGCCAACACATTCAGCGCCGAGAGGCAAATTCTGAAGCAGAGAAGTAAAAGAACAAAAATATTTATGCATAATAAGAAAGAAAACATCCCTCAGTGTGGAGGAAAGGTGATTTCAGGTTATGGAAAGCTAGTCAAGGACACAGAGTAAATTCTGTACATTCTGTACTCAATGGTAGTTAATTTCAGAGCCTTGTTGTGCCTCTGAAACCAGGGATCCAGATTTAACTTCATTAAAATTTTAGCTTTCTACACCTATAAAAAGAAAGAGACTTGCTGAATTATTCAAAATTTCTCCAGCACTACATGATCTATGAATACTTCATGTAACAGTGCGCGAACAAATACAGCATTTCCAAACCAGCATGATATACAAACCGAGAGGAGAAACACACTGTGCACGGTTACACGGAGGGTCATGAGGCAGAAAATGACGACCACTGGGGTCATCGGGAAATATCAGGGAGCACTTTATGCGGTTGAGATTACAAGAGGACAAAAAAAATCAAAGTTTTTGTCACGTTACACTATTCATTCATTCAATCCTCATTCAAACCGATACACTCAAATGGCTGAAGTGTAACGCACCATTAGCCCTGAACTACTCTTTTCCTGTGGCGTGTGTTTTCTAAATGCTGTCAACTCAAATTACACAATGCAAGATCCCCCACCATGGCCAGGCTGTCTGGCAGAGGGAACCCTCAGTATAAACTTGGCTTTGTGTTCATAATGAATGAAGACAACCTAGCTACAGCAGGCCTATAGGTAGCCTGCAGTTGCACAAGTGGGTTCTGTTCTTGATGATCAACTAGCTCGTGTGCAGATGAATGTAAATTGTCCAGTTTTCAGTCAATAAGTTACACATTTTCGAGGGGGTTTCTTTCCAAAAACAAAGCTAATAGCTAAGCTAACACAGCTCTGTGTAATTACCTGTGGGTTGTCCATGAACCACACTAAGCTTCCCTGCTGTGTGTCCAGTATGAAGTACCGGCGCAGGAACTTGCCGCTGCTCTCGTTCTCCTCTATGTCCAGGAAGCCGCAGATGCGGTTCTGTCGGTCCACGTAAGGCATCTCGCCGTGGGGACATTCCCTGGCCTGCTGGGGCCGGGAGCAAAGAGGAGCAGGGTGCAAAAGGGACCGTGGAGAATTCCTAAAGGACAGAGAGGAAAAGGGTACGAAGAGAGAGGTGTGAGGAGGAGTGAGGGGGAGCGGATGAGGTGTTTTTTGTAGTGAGTCTTTGCTAGCGTGCCTGCTCCTGCTTTTTCTTTCTTTCTCCGTATCTTCTGTATCTCTGCTCTTTCTGCCACCTGGAGCTCACAACTGCCTGCCAAAAGATCATGTGACACAAACCACAACCCCGCCTTTATCCTTTTATATCAGCCTCACCCACTCTCTCTCCCTCTTTTTGCTCTCTAGAGGTCCCTTTTTTCCCTCCTGTAACACACTGTCACTCTCTCTTCCACCTCCTCCACCCACCCTGGCTTGCTCTCGCTCTCCTTTTCCCTCTCCGCTTGCACTTCACTCCTCTCACACTGTCTGTACTATCTCCTCCCCGACTGCTCTCTCATCCGATTTGGCAAGCCTCTGACCGGCCCCTTCTATCTCCTCCCTCCGTACACAGCTGAGCACCCACTTGAGCACAGTCAAAAAGAAACCAAAAAAAAGGAAAAAAAAAAAACGTCACTGAGCTCAGCCATGTTAGACACAAAGGAACGACACAAACGCCTCTCAGGAGAAGGAACAAAATGTGCAATATTTAACCTTCTGAAGTCTGGCACCTCCTTCGGCTGCACAGTTCACTATACCTAATGAGAAGAGTAAATGATCGTTGTACAATCTGTTTAATGCTCTGAGTATGAATGCAGACACGTCAATGTCAAACCTTGTCTGTCTGCGTGTTACTATACGGTTGTGGTCGTATTAGCTTGCTGAGGCTGCTGTCTTTTTGGACTGAACCAAAAATATGTGACTGAAATGAGCCTTTGGAAAGCACAGATAAAGACGCTCTTTCTCCACCATGTTATGAGGACTGTGTGGGTGGATGGGGGCAAAGCTGGGACAAAAGGCCCGGTTGTTATGCATGGATACTGTGCTGAGAGCATCGCAGTTAGCGCCTGCATATATGCGAGTCATCCCATTTGACACACAGGCACCAGAGAGGAGCAGCACTGTCAGAGGCGGCTGTCTCCTCGGTGTACAAAAACGCTGATTGTCATGCGAGAGTGAGAGACGTCTCTGTGTTGAGTTTAGTGATCCTGTACAGGAGGTGCTGCTGCATGCATGGTCATGCATTTCAGTAATGCAGAAAAAGATGCAAATGATAATGCAAAACAAAATCCTGACTCAGTTAAACAGGCACCCATGTACTCTATGTGTTGTAAAGGATCTGCAGTTTAAATGCTGTTATACTTTGTTTTAATCTCAACACATGAACCGAACTAGAATTATTGTCTCGTGTTTGTAAGCCACTGCAAAGGAGTCAATTTGTAGTTTTACATCCATCAATGCAAACCGAGTGGAGAGTGCACTGAGAATATACAAACAAGAATGCATGAATCACCCCAAAAACATAGCTATGGAAAGAGTGATCTCATTTTAAACAAAAGATGTCACCACATTGCAGAAACACCATTTTATGTGCGAGCGTTATATCAGATTATACCTTTTCTTCTGTTTTTCGGGTGAGAATGTGATTGTTAATGGACAGTCGTCTAAAACACGAGGAGCAAAGCTAGTTTGGGTTCTCTAATCATATCATTCCCTGGGATGAATAAACAAATCTAAACAAACCATAAACCAGATGAAATAAAATACTCCTGACTGCTTATAAAAGTATAGATGGACAACCAGAAAACATGATGGCTCTAGTTGTGGAATACGATATTTCCAACGCAGACCACTTGAGTTTTTGTTTAAAGAATTCTGACCACATTTGATTTGACACTTTAAGTACCTATTATCTTTAGTTTTTTTTAATAGTCTTACAGTGTATTACTTTGACAAGATCTTAAACAGCAAGGAGAAAATAGGTTTCTCATTTGTCGTTTTGAACCTACTGAGACTTATCAGCAATCCCTGTAATCCCCCAAAGAGGTTCTGCTCATTTCCGAGCTGCTGAATAGGGGTGGGAATCACTCGTGGCCCTCCAATACTCTAACCATAATACGATATTATTGCGATTTTTAACATTTTGCAATACAGTGAGTATTGCGATACAATATATTGTGATTTACACCATTTTTTCAGCTGTTTATCTAATTTATCATTTGTCTTTCCTTTTTGTTGGTCTTATTTACGCTGTATTTTATTTTCATGTAGCTCATCTTGCAAACCTTATATATATTTGTAGTACAAACTTTCTCCTGCTCTATGATGTCACCTCTGCCAACCTCACTGGATTGCGTAGCATACCGTCTAAGAACCAAGAGACAGCACCTCAACGTGAGTCTGAAGTAACAGCACTAAAGCTGTGTAAGCCGTGTTTGTTATACAGTAGATGTCAGACATCCTCTGGGTAAACTCACTCCCAACATTTGTTGCTAGGTTTTGTCCTCTTCACATGGCAGCCAACTGGTCACACAAGAGAAGTCATAAAACAAGAGGAGGGGCTAACTGGTGCACCCAGTGGAGGGTCAATATTTTTCTTTCCTGACAGTATACCACCGCTGAATCATTTAAAGTCACACAACAGCTGGAAATCTAACAGTGGGACACAAAACGTTGTGTTCTTTTTAATGTATCAACACAAGTTATGCTTACTGCATATGCACTTCATGATAAGGTTAAGTGTTAAGGATGTTCTATATAATGATGGAATCAAAAAAATCTGGGCTTTCCAGTTCAGCTGGAAAGGGTCGTTTGTGTCTCTTTGGCTTTTTGAGCAGCAGGTTCAACACTGCAGCAGGTTTGACAGTCTTTGTACGGTGAAGTACCATGGTCTGTGGTCTTATTTACCACAGTTGTATACTTTCAGAGCAGAGTATATTAATATGCTCTATAGATAATGCTTGGGACATGCTTAACTTCAGTTTGAGCATATAGTTACTGATCTTATATTGACTAAACAATTTTTTTTTACACAGGGGCATGTGTAACTTTAAACATTTTCCCCAAATGTGGGACCATTGTTTGAATCAACTGTCTGGTTTGCCTCGTAACAGGTCAACAGTAACCACCATTGAATTTTAAATGTAGTAACTTTAGATATGCCTCTTCTTACATCCTTTATTAGTTAAATTGATAAGAAAGAAAAGTTGCCACTTTGTTTTGTTCATTTGAAAGGCCTTCAAGTTATACATTTTATTATAAACCAACCATTACAGCCATTACATTATGAACATCTGAACAACCTAATGCAATCGAATGCCACAGCTTCACAACACATAATGCTTTCAGGAGGACATTAGCTTTTGTTGTCATGGTCAAACAGGTGATAAGAGCTTCGACGATTTTGGTTATTCAGGGCCAATACCAATTCTGATCAATAATAGCTAATGAGACCAATAACTGATATTTAAAACCCCTGTTTTTGACAGTAGGGCTGGGCGACATTGGAAAAAGTTTATCACAATAATTTTTTTGTATCGGTTGCTATCAATATATATCACTGTATCAAAAAAAAAAAAACAATTCTCAATCTTAAATGTTCCCTGATACTCTTAAATAAAATTTAACAGTGCTTATTGGAACCATGTCATTTGCAATACAATTAGCTACTGCATCTGTGAGATCTTTGTGTCTTTTTAATATTTTGTCGTAAGGCGTTGTACTAGAGGTAGCAAACTGAATGGTGGGCTGTTTCGGGCACTGTCAAAATAGTAATTGTAATGTTGACTGGTGCTGTGGTCTGCTTTGCACTCACTCCGCTCAGGGTTTGTAAACTTTTGCATTATGTGTGCTCTGCCTCGCAGCACTGCTTCATGTCTGACCTCAAAGAAACACCACTAACGTTTTCATGCCAGTGTTGTCAACAATGTCATCATCTATTGAGCCTTCATCTGCATCATCTTCATCTGCGGTTGTTTGCTACTTGGTTCTAATTCAGCACAGGATTGGTTCATTTGGACCAATCTTTTTGGTGCGGACCCTGAGCAACTCCCCTTTTTATTAGCTATTGATATAGTCTACCAAAACATGCCAGAATGCTGGCTTTCGAAAAGCATATTGACCGTGTCTAATATCGATATCAAGGGACATTAATTTGTCATTATCATTATCATGGACTGTATATACTATGGACAACTTGGTTCTGCCTTCCGCCAGTACATGGATTTGAAGCCAAAAAGCTCTCGGTAATTCCATGTTTTTTCTCCATTTCCTGAAACCAATATTGTACAAAATTGCGGACATTGCTGTACTCGACCCATATGAACACACTGTATGGTCAGAAGATGATTTCGAGATGCTACCACCTCTTAACCAAGTGCATGTGATGAAGTACCTCATTGAAGGAACAAGCTATTATACATTTGATTCCTTCCATAATGAAAAGTCTCTCTTGGCCCACATTTTTTTCACATCTGGGTGGGTACACAAACTGCAGATACACAGTGTCAACAACAAAACTGTTGCTCTCTTTCTTCATTGTTCAGCTTGTCCCTGTACAGTATGTTGAGTCCAAGTTTTGTTCTCTCCATTCCATTCTCTGTTACTATGTAGTCAGTTAATAAAAAGTTGTTCTGTAAAACCTAACGTCATCCTAATTTCATTCATTCCAATGCACTCAGTGTTGTTATGTCTGTCAAAATAGCCGCACTGGCACGTTACACACCACGCCCACCGTGCTGATGTCAGTGCTGCTACAATTAATACAGTCTATGGTCATTATCGTTTTATCGCCCAGCCCTATTTGACAAAAAACAAATAAAAAGCTTTTGTCAAAATTTAGAACTTTATAATGTTAGACAATCCTACACAAAACTTCTCTCAAGCCCTGGTCCCCTGTTGGTGATTACTGTACTTAAATTATGAATGAAGACTTAGTTGTTGGTGGTGTACTGGAGTGTGTTCAGTGGTTGACACTAAGCTGAGTGTCAACCACTGGGTGTTGGTGATACACTCGCTACAAATTCAACAAGTAACGATTAAAATAACAAGTCTCACCTATCCGACCATGTCAACAAAAAAATTATAGTGTGGAGACTTGGCATAAGTACAAGTTCTGGTAGAGCTTTTGTATTGGATTGGATGCATTTTAGTACATACATGTTTTACGCCATAACAGTATAAATCAGTGACTCAGAACGGCCACCACGGGAATAAAAGTTTAGACACGCCCCTGCAAACGAGATAATGTAAAAAAGCACAATTTAGGTGACATGTAAAGGAGCGGGATTACGGCTGCTAGCATTATGGACGTCAAATCACCGCAACAAGCGTTGAGTTAGCGGCAGCAACGACTGTGGTCGCTGGCCTGAACTTAACAGGGAGACATGGCTCATGTCAGCTAACAGCTACTACCCCAAACCAGAACCCCAGACACCACACGTTTACAAAATATGTCACGCTATATTTATTTACCACCTAAACGCTATTTTTCTTACACTGTTGTATATTTGTTAAGTAGAAGCGTTTTACGGGCTAATTTTGACTGACTGGCTAAAAGTTTTGTCACACACGTCAACCGTTGACCTAGCTTACATCAAGCTACACGACTTAGCATGCCTCCTAAAGCGTAACCACCAACTTTGGCTGTGCGAGGATAGAAGTACGTTCGTATTGGAAAGCAGTTTTGGACAATATCCAGGGTCAGCTCACCTGTGTCCTTTCTTATTTGAGTGCTGCCCACAGCGGTCGTTGGTCTCGGTGTGGTTAAGTCGCCTCGCTGCCTCAGCCCATCTCCACTGCTCAGTACACACAGAGCTCCTCCAGTACTGCTGCTGCTAGTGAGAGGGGGACAGAGATCGTGTATTAAAAAGATGATCCCTCTGGAGTTTAAAAATAAACTTTTAAGTAGATATCAAATGTTCAGACAAGATGCATAATGTGGAGTATCCTCTCAAGTATTTTCCCTACTTGTTTACTGCTTTACTAACTGGTATGAAGGTCAGCAAAGTAAGAACTGAAGATCACTGTAAGGGAGAGTGGGGTAAGTTGAGCCAAAAGGTAAGTTAATCCACCCCTTGTTGCTTGGAAATGGTCAAAGAAATTGATCATGTGACCAAATATTAAGGAGATGGGCATCAATTCATGGAGTCTGTGAAGGTTAGAAGCACATGGGTGAAGGGGTCATTTTTCACTCTTGAAAGTGAATTTAGTCTGTCATAAGTTTTGTGAGAATTGTGTTCAGACCAAAAAAGATCATTTTAAATTTGTTATATACATCAATTGTGGTATCTTTGAGCTACAACATGAGGTCAAAAACCATAGCATGAAAGTCCACCATTTTAGCTTAGAGGACTAATAAAGTCATCATAGTACTTCTGGGGTAAGTTGAGGCGTTTGGTTCAACTAAGAAAGTAAAGGAGTCTGATGAGAGGATCAGAGTTTCAGTTTAGATTGTTGAAATGTGTTACTTTTTCTTTTAAAAAAATACAGCTGTGAATGTTCTGAATCAAGAAAAGGGCATTCTCATGTTAAAATGACTTTACAAAACAGCCTTTTAGCAGTAGCGTGTAATAGATAAAAATACACATGAATATGAAGAAGTGACTGTTATTTAGGAGTAGAGAAGGTGAGGGAGGGCTGGGGTGGAGAGTAGGGGGGCAGTAGGGATATGGCTCAACTTACCCCACTCCTATGGACAACTTACCCCATACACGGGGTGAGTTGACCATAGGAGACCACTTTTTTTATGGCATGCTATATTATCAAGACAGTTATGTTCACACTCATTCTGCTGTTTTGCAAGGATGCACAACATCTTGAAATATATGAATGCCTTGATCCAGTGATCCAAAATATGAAAAATGGCTCATCTTACCCCACTCTCCCCTATATTACCTAAAAGTAGGTCTCTGGCTCAAACATTTATCACCTGTGATTGGATACAGTTCTAGGAACTTTTAGCTTAAAGACTTTTTACACTCTGCTTTCTTATAAATTAGACTACCTTAACTTCCTTCAACACTAGTCAATCCAATGGTTAACCTCTTGCTTTTTTCTAAATCATTAGAAATGTATCATGATTCACCAAGAAAACAAGCAGTATCATCTCAAGATTGTGAGATAAACTGGTTAAGATAGGAAACCAACTTTGTCATCCCGATTTAACAAGAAAAATAAGTCAAGGTCCAGATAACAGAATCAAAATGAGCACTTCGTCAAGAGAAAACAGAGTGAATAAATTGTAGTGATTTATCTCAGTTAGAGTGGTATTACAAAGCACTAGCTCCTGGAAAATTAAATCAGAGTACGAGCTCTTTCTTAAATATCGTCTCATAGTGTGGTCCAAGATGGTCTATAATGTCAACATGAGGAGCTGAAACTTTGTCAGGGTGGTGAACAGTGACACCTAATGTTCAAAACGTGCAGCCACGTGGTTTTGTCTTTTCAGCTTCCATGATTCAGTAAATGACATTTGTCATTGCGTAATAACTAATTGGTCTTCCACAAGTCAATATTCCATTAACCACCTCTAATTTTAGCAAGTGGAAGCTATAGATTATATCAGAATATGGATAGTGTTTACTTGAAGCTTGTTCTGGCAGCAAGTCATGTTTTCATATTTGACCACATGCAATTTGACCCCAATGCAACTTTATATTTGACTTGACACAATAACTAGGCTCTCTGCAGATACAAACTATTTATGGGGGGGTTGCAATAAAGGGAGATACACTTAAAAAACATCTTGGGTCAGGCCAACTTTTCATACCTTATATTTGTTTTTAGACAAAAAGATGTGTATTTTGAAGTGTCCCATCTTGTGCATGCCTTTTGCTTTACTCAGACTTTGTAAAACTTTATAGAAGTGGTGAAACAGTCAGTTAAATATAGGCCGCAGATAATTACAAGTCACAGTTTACATTTCATGCAGTCATTACAACTGTCTATGAGAAGCAGAGGCAGTGGGCGTTGACAAACACACACAGGAACTCTCTCTCTCTCTCTCTCTCTCTCTCTCTCTCTCTCTCTCTCTCTCTCTCTCTCTCTCTCTCACTTCTGTTGCAGCTGAAAAGTCTGAGTGAGTTTCACAGGAATATTTTATGTTGGTGAGGAGGTTCACACCAGGTTTCCTGTCTGCTTGCCTTTGTGTGTGATCTGCTGTTGTCTGATAAAATAGAAAACCATGGAGGAGGAGAGAGAGGAGGGAGACATTCACAGGGAGATGAAGCATTTCCATCTGCTGTGGCCTCTCCCCAGGCGCCGCTCTCATAGTGACACCTCAGGATTCCGCTCCAGGGTGCTTTTCAGGCTCCGGGGGGCCCGCTCAGGTAGGATCACTAAGCCCAGTTATACTCTGTAAAGCTGCAATTGCTATGAAATCTTGAAGTGAGCTAGTGTACTCAGCTAACTTGAATCATAAGATTCCATTTGAATGTATTAAATCCAATTCATACAGAAATCTGTCAAGTTTTTGCTGGAAATCAATCAGCCCTCAGTAGAGAATGTCTCGCTTGTATGCTGGTGTTTAACAAGTTTAACTCATTGCTTTTGGAACAACAGCATCTCTATATGACTTAAACAGCAGCACTGGCTTCCTGCTCCCCACACACAGACAAACTTCCTCTCACTCTCTGCTCTGGATATTCACACAAACTTTGTGGTTTTCTCAAAACCTTCATTCTTAAAGTTGAGTTGTGTGAAAGTACCATGGTAATCTCATCTTTTTCTCTCTTTTTAAATGATTTGTTTAGTGCAAAACATATACAGCATGGGTAATTTGTAATATAATGTGTATTATGGTTTATGGTTTCCTCCTTTATGGTCCTGCCCTGTTTAAAAGAGGATCTATATTGTCTTTCAGTCTTTTGGTTTATTGATATTGTAGGGTCAGGTAAATGTGCAGCACATTGACCAAACAGACAAACTTCTCTAAAGGTAAAAAACAGTGTATCATATAATATCATATCATGCTGCATCATATCACATCTTGTTGTAGCATATAATGTTCCATCATAACAGATTTTATCATGTTATCTTGGATCCTATTACATTATATCATATTCTGTGTTACAGTGACATGGTTGCAGTTGGGCTCTGAATTAATTGCTTTTATCCAGTTGGTTTTGTGTTGTTATATTTAATATCAAAGGCTTGATTAAATAATGTATACAGTATGTGGCCTATGCGTGACTTCACTTCAGTGATTTTTACACCCATTAAGATACATATCTATTGTTTAATGAAATGACGCTTAAAAAGATGGTAAAATATGCTTTTTATAATTTTCACTCAGCTGTGTTGTAGTATGAACTCAGAGATTCAGTGTTAATGTAGTTTATGTCAATTTAAATAAATTTGAGCAAAAGGCTAAGATCAGGGGACTACACCTAAATTCAGACCTTGAGTGTTAAACCTTGACCGCAGTGCTAACCCACTTCATCATCCTTTTGTTTAAATGTCAGTGTCACAGTTTACTGCCTGAAGCTTTTTGAGCCCTGACAGCCTGATATATCATTTCAGTCTTTCAAACCACATCCTCCAGCCTGCAGAAGTGCTCATCACCCATCTCGCACGCCTACACCTGCTTTAACATGTGCTGCAGGCATGGAGTGTAATAATGGGCTGCTCTGCGTGAGGCCTGTCTTGTTCCTTAATCTGATTAATTCATTAAAAGTTTGCGGTTATATTTATCTGAGAATTTTCTGTTCCTCTTGTCTACAGGAAGTTCTCTTCAGTGTTTATGGTGAAGTTGTAATTACAGGAAATCATGTTGGGGAGCAGTTAGGACACTGAGACACACTAAGTTGTTTATGTTTGCTGCATGTCTGTAAATTTGGAGCTTTAGGATTTGCATGCCAAAAAGCAACAAGCTGGCTAAGAATCTAACTTGAATGAGTGAAACAGATATGAAGTGTTCAGTAATGTGATGTGTTTTTGAAACAAGCAACAGGGGGAGCCAATCCACCTTTTTTGTGGAGAGAGCCTGGAAACAATGTACAGTCCCTTAGCATTACACAGCCTTGCAACAGCAGTCAAAATGGGCTGCAGGAAGGCATAGTTATTTTTACTTTGAAATGGAAACAGACTTTGGCAAGAGGGTTGGATGACAAGAGGCATGTCCTACTTTAAATAAAGCCTGGAAAAATGGAAAATTGATAAAAACAAGAACATGGGGATGATTTGTAAAATATGCGAATTGAGAATTTAGAGGGATTTTTTTTATTTTTCTTGTTACGATCTTTCACGAATTGGCTTCATAGGTTAAATGAAATGTGTCTTTGTTTTCCTGTGGAATTTAGTGATAGAATGAAATGGTTTACCTTGGACCATGGTATCACTTTTTGAACATTTGTGTGAAGCAAGCAGAAGTTTTACCAACTTATCAATCAGTGGACGACTGAAACCACAAGTCTGTGGATTGCAGTTGTCGAACAGTTGAACAGTCATACCACAGGGAAGGGGGCTGATATGCATTTAGAGGTGTGCTTTGTTTAGAAAAGCTACATTATATTTTTTTCTTTATATAGATAAAATGTGATTTTGAATGGTCTCATATCTTACTGTGGCATACCATTCTTCCTGCATCTTTCTCATATAACAACTAGTCAACAAGTCAACGATACAACAACTATTTTGACAAACTTAGCAAACAGTAAAATTAAGTAGTCATGACACTTCTACCAGGAAGCTTGATGTACTTAATATTTTGGAGCTGTGTCCATTAAAACTGTTGTTTTGTGCTGGTAGCCGTTTCCTACCTTACACAAAGCCAAAACATTTCAGTACTTTTAATGCGCAGCCTTCTTACAAGAAAATCACAAAGTTCTTAAATAAAAGGTCAGAACTTTCGATGCAACTTATGCATAGCTGAAGCAAAAGGCCTCTAATTTTTTCTCTCAGATTAAAATTTTCTTGTCAAAATTCAAAGGAAAGAGATTTGAAGAAGAAATTTTGACCTCAAAAATAATCAGTAGCTTTAATCTTCTTCCGCACAAGTCATGTTTCAGCCACACTCACAAAAAATGATGTTCAAATTTGCTGGTGAGCTTGTAAAACAATAATTGTCTTTTCTTATTATAGGAACACTTTGCATGATGTGAAAATAAAACCATTTGTCTTTCTCTTTTTTTGTCTCCTCTTTTTAAGTAACCCACTCCAACACATGTGCACGGCTTGAAAAGAGATTGTGATGCTGAGATACGTCTTTGCTGTTTGTTGTAAATAGCATGCTGTCCACCAGATGGGTGCTGTTTTGCTCTTGTAATTATACAGGCAGAGAAACAGAGAGAGAAAAGGAGGAAAGGAGGAGAAACAAAGGCAGGGGAGGGTGAAAAAGAGGAGGAAAAACAGAAAAGGAGGTAAAAATATAGTTATATTAATACAGAGGAAACAATACGAGATGACAAGTTGAGAGGGAGGAGAGCAGAATGTAATGAGACGAGGAATTATGAAGATAGCAAAGAAGGTAAATGAGACAAAGGAAGGATGTGATGACAGGAAGATTAGGGGTGAAGGGGACAGATGGACAGAATGAGGGAAGGAGGAGGATACAGAGGAGTGTCAGCTTACTGGTACACTCTCCTCTGAATAACATTGATTACAGACCCTTTTAGTCTGCAATAACTACTTGTTAAATGTCCTGTGCTGCAGAGAGCAGCTCTGCCTCTTCACTGCCCACATACAGTCTCTCCTAAGACACTGAAGTAATGGTTTATCAGCTGTTGAAACATATATCTAAGAGTTCAGGCTCTTTAGAGATAAAGCTTTCCTTCCTTTCAACATCAGTCACACTGCTGAACAACCAACCAACCAACCAACCAACCAACAACACCTTGAATTGAACACGTTGAATTTTTTATATGATATTTATCATTATTTTTTAAATTTGTACTCATTGAGACATTTATTTGTTAGTATTTTCTTCTGTACTTTTTAAAAAAGTCGTTAGTCTTTTGTGTTGTGTTTGTTGTGCACTTAGCTCTGTGTTCCTCCTGGTCTACTTCCTAAAAAGCAAATTTCCCCTTTAGTACAATTAAGTAAAATCTGATTTAATCTAATCCAGAGGACTATTCTGGGTCCATGACTGACAGGGGTCCAAAAATATCAAAACCCATACAGAACAGAAGTGGTAGGGCCTAATGTGACAGTAATATATTATTTCCATGGGGCTGATGATGATGCATTTTACGGCGTCATCAAAAAACAGATGTTATTTTTATGTTTTTTGGAGCAAGCTGAAAAAAGTGGATGGACAGCGTACCTCCATGTCCCCTTTGCACCACACTCTAAACAATACCTGCAGTGGATTTCTCTTATCACCATAGTCTCAGCGTTAAACAACATCCACTCTTCCTTTTTTCCACATTGTTGGTAAGAAAAGGCTATTAAAGCTGACCCTGTGAGTCACTGACCCTGTCATGTTCTTCTCCACCCCATTTCTTTTGTGTGTGTGTGTGTGATGGTGTGGGTGGGTGTTGTTGGAGTTGATGAGCCAGTTGTTGTTTTTTTTCCTTGCTTGTTGTGAGCTTTGGCTTCAGACTAAAACTCAAGAGAAAGTGTCCCTGCTCTTGCTTCTCTCCCCTCCATCTATCAGTAACTCTGTGTGGTTACTCACTCAGCCTTTAACTCTATTAATATTTGCTAAAGCGCCTCAGCAGCGAATGAACAGGATGTTAACTGTGTGTCGCACAGCTTCTATTAATGCCCTGTGTACACAGTGAGCGTATGTGTGGAACGGAAATTTAATAAAGACTTTTCGCTACTGGGTTCAAAATGAAAAATGGTTGACCTGAAATATAATTGTGACCGAAACCTTCGTCGTAAGATTCTTAGCTTTAAAACTGTACACAGAGAAGATGTGAGGTGAGGGTCAGATGAGTGAGGTTGACAGACAGAAAAGGAAAACTACAAACAGGAAAATTAATTAAAAAAGAAAAAGAGCAGAGCTGTCATTATTGGCTTCTCCTATGTCATCAATATCGTAATAGTTTTGTGGACACTGACTTGTGTTTACTAAGACTTACACACACTGACATACACATTAACACACAATTCCCTCTATCAGTCTATCAGCTTGTTGTTTGACAGCCCGCTGCACCTCTCCTTTTCCAGGTGGAACCTTACTATTACATGAGATATGTCTCTCTGGATATCAAAAGTAACCTGATCTAAAATAAAATGATATAACAATATCTTTTTCCAAACACATACACACAGAGAGCAGTGCATGCATGTTTCAAGGACAGCAATCGCTATGTTGCATTTTCCTGTTACACATGAAAGCTAGCTGGGTCATCCAGCATTCAAGCCTCCCTGGCATACAGATGACATATTTACCGTGCTGAGGGGCTCTTCACAACACATAAGAGATCTGAAGTGTGTGTGTGTGACAGAAACAGGAAGAAAATAAGTAAGCACCATGACAAACTCATACTCTCCATCTCTGTCTTTGTTTCAGCTGTATTTAGGATTTATTTTATTTCAAACAGGGATAATACATATTAATGAACATAAACATGTAAATACACAAGATTATAGTCAAAGGCTAATTACCATCTTTAGTCCCTTTGGCAGGTAGATGTCGTCAACAGAGATAGAAAAATCAATAAAAGAACAGTAACAAAAAGTAGCCAGGGAGGAGTAATTACAGGGAGAGAAAACACATCCTTGAAAGCACAGCAGGACTATTTGTGTTTAACTCAGACTCGATGAGAATCGATTTATTTAGCATTCTGATTTTTGCTGATTATATGGTCATAAAACTTATATTTTCTGTTCTTATTTGTGACTTTACTTTATTACTAGTATAAAAACACTTTTTTTCCACAAGTTAACAAAACATTTCTAAAGTCCACCAAATCAAAGGGAGGCAGATTTTTTATAAACTGACTGATTTAACAAACGTTCAAGTTTATCTTTTGTTAAAATCATGAAGAATTCTGATGTGTGGGGTATTTTTCTCACAAGACAAACGATTTCATCATAAAATCATGGGGAAAGGGGGGCGCGCTCCATATTAGTAACCACTCAATGAAATAAACATTCATGAGGACAAAAATAAGCTTAATTAATTTTTTTTAGGTTTTAAACATTTACAAAGTGCATGTTAATTAAACTGATAAGTGTGCAAGAACTGCTTTGTCAGAGTGTTGTTTGATGTTGATCGTCATGGCAGCCACGAGGCATCATATAACCACTGAATATATCAGCGCATCTGCACTTTGGACTTCCTCTTAACACTGTCTACCACTTCATTATTGATAATGTTGCAGTGAGGCTTCATCATGTTTGCTGAGGATGACTGGCTGTAATAAAAGTATAAATAAGGAAAAGTAAACACATTTAACACACAACACAGCTGTATTTTCCTTCTCTCTGTGTAATATTATCCTCAATGGGGACTCCTTCTCTCCTCTCCTTATTTCCTACGTCACTGTGGGACCTCAACACAGAAGAGAGTGAAAAAAAATGAGTGAGACAGGAGCCAGACTCAGCAGCTAGAGGAAGGAGGAAAAAATCTTGACAGGCAGGGAGATGGAGATAAACGCAGGAGGAGGAGGAGGCAGATTGGGAGGGAGAATGAGGGAACTGAGATGGAAACAAACATTAACTTTTAATGCTCTTTATTGGAGCAAGGGGAGGGAGGGAGGGGCGAGTCAGTTGCAGACAGTGGAGGGAGACTGAGGGAGGGGAGGGCTATGAAGTAAGGAATTAGAGGGAGAATAGGAAGAGACAGGAGACAGTAAGGGAGGGAGGTGGAGTGAGGTGGTGTGTGTCGGGAAGAGGCAAGGATCAGCTCACACTGCTGATAATATTCCCTGGGTCAAGTCATGGAACATGACGGTGAGTTTTCTTCCTCTAAAAAAGCATCTTCCTCTTTCTCTGTGCATGTTGTCTTCAGTGTTTTATTGGCATTCTCCCTCTTAATGAATGTCATAGGAAAGATTATACACAATTACACAGACACACACACACATGCAGTCATTATTCACTCTTGTTCTTCTCTTGTGTAGCTTTGTTTGCACCTGTTCGCTCATTATTACTTTTATAAGCACTGTAAATCCTCTGCACTTATTACAAGATTTACGACTGCTTAAAGCATCTGTGTTTAGTTTCAGCTCGGATTTGTTAACACTGCTTAGTTGAAAAGATTTTAACGGGGGTCATAGTGTGTTTTAACAAGCACATGAATCAGTATCTGTGGCTTCACCTGCTTTGCAAAATGAGCATCTGGCCATTGTTGACAGAGATCATTAGCTTCTCCGTTTGCCTCATCTCATAATCTTAAATAAATATGCTCCATAGAGCCATGACAACATCACAAAAGTCATGCATTATGTACAAGAACACTACTTTACAGACAACTACCCTGTGTGCAATATTAATAAGATGCTAATGCTGCGAGCATATAACACTTAATAACATTAAGGTTGGCGAGCTTATATCTTCACTTAACCAGGCTTCTAGTGTGCTGGGAGATAGTGTTTTGGCAGATCTTATGAGGCAATGATCATTGTGTGCTTAACTTTGATAACAATTATAAGTTTGTTTCATTAGAGACAATGCCTCCTCTAATCGCTGCAACTTCATTGTAATCATTCTTTAGGGTAAAAACAGGCCAATAAATCCAGGTAGGATTTGTTGGAAGCCATCTTGAGTTTACTAGACTAAATGACTATAATATGTTGGTGTCACACTCTGTCAGAGGACGCAGGGAGGCAAGGCAGGCTATATCGGGCCTGTGTTATCTAATATAGTTTGATTACCGTTTGCAGAGGTTGTCATAACATATCACAGTGGTTAACTGGCAAAAAGCCGCTGCTGCTGTGTGTTAATGAAGTGAGCCAGACGTTTGGAGCAGAAATGAAGTTCAGACTCAAGTTGTTTTATTCTTTACAGTGATTTATTCCAGTCTAATCTCAGTTTCTTGGTGTCTGTGGGGATATTGCCATCCTTGCTTTTGTGGATTTGCTGTTGTGGTTTTGTGAAAGAGTATTTTGCAAGGCAAAGCATGTAATGTGATGCGTGTGAACACGTGAAGTTTGCCGTGAAGCTTTAGAGTGTATTCATGAGATGTTGACATGAAACACTATTTAAAAAAGTCACTGTTGTAGTTATCATATATAGGACATTTATATGCATGAGAGTTTTGTGTTCTGTTTGTGTCCGTCTATGTTTTTACACATCCATCTTTGGACCTATGCCTGCCGAAGAAAACACTCTTAAACAGTAAACACAGCTTCCCCACAACTACAGAGTCTGGTAAAGTCACAACTCCTGTGCCAGTTTTCAGTTGGCAGCTGTCCCTGTGAGATACGTGTCTTCATCTCTCTTGCACATTCTCATGTGATTAGTAAGCTTGCCCTGAAAACTCTCTGCTCGATTGATGGATCTACTAGTTTGACAGGATCAGTCACCTCTAGCTGCCAAATTCTCTTGGACTAATAATGCATTAAAGTAACAACTCACTGATTGACTTCAAGTCTTTTAGTGCTCTCTTATCAGATCTCGGTGCAGAGTTTGTCGTCTTTTTTTAGACCCAAAGTATTTACTTCCCTTTTCGGTGGTTATAGCCGCAGAAATCTTTGCACACTTGCTGTAACCATGGAATACATGTGTCAAAAAAACTGAGAATGGTCAGCATGTGGTCCTGCCACAAACCTCTTGAGCCATTTGGAAGCTGGCCAAAGCAACCATCTTCAACCAGTGGCTCTTTACTTTAAAACCAACCACATTGAGTCTACATAAGATAAATAATATGCCGACACGACAAAGCAAACATGAGTGGTGTGCTTTCAAACAGATGTTTTAGCAATTGAAGGCAACTCCACTGAATCGGTCCAAATATGGCCTTATATAGTAAGACTATGAAGGTGTAGATATAAATACCGGTCACTGTTTGTTTACGGTCCTTGTTCACTGCCCTCTTATGGCCTCGTATCATACACTTCTAAATCAAGATCACAGCATTTATTTGCTTTATGACACACAGTGTTTGTAATCTGACATTACTATTACATTTCCTGTCTTTGCAACCGTCGCCCTTTGGTTTTTATGGAAGACCCCGCACTACTCTATCAATCTTCCCTCCATCTCTCCTGTCCCCGTCTCACTCGGCTCGCTCTTCCTCCAGCTCTCAGGCCGCCTGTCTGGCAGGATGTCAACTATTGATTTATACAGGCAACATTTTAGCAATGATGGCGGCTTATGGGTTGTGCCAAACAGAATACAACAAACAGGAGATCAGGTTACAGACAGGCTGGCAGACATATGTGAAGAGGAAGAGGGATGACAGGAACCACTGCTGTATCGTTGCAATAAAAGTACGATAGATATCATGAGGTCGATATCCTCATAACCAGGAGCTTTGTGCTATAAACTCTCAAAGAAGAGACAACCTCATAACTGTAGGGAGGTATGATCAAATGATGATTAAAAAAAGGAGAGGGCTTTTTTTTTCTTTTTCCGCTGCATGAGTTTGATCATGTGCTGCATCTAAGTCATCAATGGAGTTATTGTTTAAGTTTAGTTAGTGCCCCCATGGCCACAAGCATTGCAGCTTATTCTCAAATCTATTTCATGTAAGTTTTAATAAGTATACAATTACCTGCGTATAGAAATCATTATGTTTTGTGTTTTTGTTTAACTTAAAACAAGGCTTTGTAACTGCATAGGAGCTGGTTCCCCTCCACAGAGGCCCCAGAAATACAGAACAGACAAACTAATGACATTTATGTTTTCATATTTGGTGGACAAGTGAAATGAAATAGTTGGAAGACAGAGATGAAGAGAGTAGTTGTGCACCCAAATTTTGTATTAATTGACAAATGGAGGATCAATCTACTATCATACATCACAGGAGCTCACTGTCTTTGAAAACCACTCTTTCCTTACTGACAGGGGGGTGAGCAAGGGAGCCTTTTCAGTCTTGAATCTGACAGCAAAGTATCGCGAAAAATCTCACATATTGTACCTTTAAAATCTCTAACGGAATGAGTTTGGGGAATGGTGACTGAGCCTGTGATCGTGATTTTTGATGAAAAAAAAGCCTTTGTGTGCCGATATACCGAATAAAGTCAACTCAAGTGGTACAGGGTTAGAGCCACATTAAGGGAGAAAGAAAATGAAATTATGATGATTTGTTTCAAGAATTAAGTCATAATATTATGAGATGAAAGTCTTAATTGTGGTCTGTAGTTAGTCTATATTAATTTAAAATGGAAACCCTGGAAAAGCAGCCAGCTACCTGCTTAAAAATGAGTAAAGTATATTATACGTTATAAATTTATACTGTCAAAAACGCACCAACAGTGACCACTTACAGCCACAGGTGTCATCAAAAAGCATGAATCAGGGCTCCTCTTTAAAGTAACCTTATTTTTTTCTTTGATTGAACTCATAAGCTACTACGTCTTAGAATTAAAGGACTCTGGTGTCAAAAAAAAAACAAAAAAAAAACATGCAACCCATGGACCATTATCAGATCTGATCTAAAATATAACTCAGTTCTTATTGGTGCATGGGTCATCACAACTTTCTTGCTGGTCCCTGCTTTTTTTTTAACAAGTAGTAAGAGTTCAGAGACAAGAACAAATACTGACAGCACTTTGTGGGACACTGGCCAAACATTGTGTGCTCGTAGAAATATTAACGGCTCGTGTTTGTTATTTCATTTCCAAACTCTTAACTTGTAACCGAAGATAAATGTCAAACAGCAATCACTCTCATGGCTGTTTTACATGTAAATGTAACTAATTAACTTTATTTATTCTACTAACCAGAAGTTTTTGACAGCTATTTTTTTCTTTTTGTCATGATGAGTCTTCAGTGATTGTTTCCTGGAACTTCTTAAGCTTGGCTTTGTTTTTGGTATTGTGTCTGCTCCTCACAGAGTCACACCTGACTGCCAGACTGTTGATATACAGAATTGTCCGGTCCTGTTCTCCTGAAAGGTTTAGCTGCTCTACAACACGTGGCAAATTATCTCAAACAAGCTGTGTGCCAAGTGTCAGTCTTTTAGCTTTGGCTGAATTCTGAGACTTGAACCCTGCCAGAAACTTAGTTTAATAAATAAATCAAGGGGAGGGTAAAAGGGCTCTGAAAAGTAGCACTTAAACAATTATTACCCCCCTGTTCCGCTGAGGCTGCTACTTAATATTTGATGACTCCTTTCCTTTCCTCTGGCCCTCCCGCTCTTTCTCCCTCTTCACCCCTTCTGTCTTTCCTTTTGCTGTTACGGTCAATGAAAAGGTCACACTCCCCCCGTTGATCTCTGTTATTTAGTGTCAGGACACACAGGACCTGGATCCCAAAAGTGTCACCTTGGCTCTAGATTCCCTTACTCCAAGGGAAATCCTCGCGACCTGTGGTGTAACCTTAAAGATCTACATTTGGAGGACTTTGCACTTGCAGGTTAATAAAAGGTCATAATACTGATTCATGCTAAATCTGGAGGATTAATTAGTTTATTCTGACACAGTGACACAGAAGTTGTCCTACAGCCAGATGAAATGTTGAACACACAAATTCTGGCATGAAACACTTTCAAAATGTGTTCAAACTTACAATAACAATATGCAAAACATGTACTGACTGAGGCATCATAAAAATCTTTTAACATGAAGGAAGACAGAGCATACAACTTTGAGTACAAGCTACTTCATTTGGTTAAATTAACATGAGCTCTGGGGCGCTGGTTCAGCTCAGTGGTTAAGTTGTGCAGAGGTTATACACCTCAAAGAGGGGAGCCTGGGTTTGAATAAAACACGTTGCTCTTTGTCACATGTCATTCCACTTCCTTATCTCCAGTTGCCTACTCTGTCCACTGTCCTGTCTTCTTAATAAAGGCAATAAAAGCTCATAAAATAAACTTCATAAGATAAATAAATAGATCTGTACAGTAGAGCAGAGCAGATTTTTGTGTTGATTTGAAGCAGACACTCGTGGTTATAAAAAAGATGAATGACTTTGTTATTTGGTGTTTATGTTCTTCTCTCACTGTCCCTCCTAAAAATGTATGTTATCATTTTAATGTATGTGCATTTTTCTTTTCTAGTCTATCTAATTTCCCATCTGTTAACATTGAGGTGGTGAACATTATGATCAATACTGCAGCCAGCCAGTGAGGGAGCTGTAAGTGTTTGGCTTCACCTCTTAGAAGCTGATTTGCTGTCCATTTTTTTATACAGTATATGAATGATACCAAAACATTTTACCCCGTTGGACCTGTTACATTTGGATGTTTATTTTCAGCCATGTTGGGAGTTTGTTCCAACTGTCCTCCATTGGTCATAAATTTAGGGAATATTCAACCTGTAAAGATCTCAATCTGAACTGTAATGGTCAACAATTTAAGATGCAGTATTTTAGAGCTTAAGCTAAAAAGGTATTAAGTTAAAGTACAGAGCAGTACAGACCACGAATTTTGACCAGCTGTATGTGATTTCCTACCTTAACCTGATTCAGTCGGTCTGAACATGCTGGATCAGCTTGCTTGGTGTCCCGTTCTGATAATTTTTTTTGTGTTATCACAACAGTATTCTTTACTGTCTGTGAACCCCCAACAATTTCTGTGTTTCTGTTACCTCCAGTAAATAACTTTATCTCCTTGTTAATGCAAACACAGTCACTTTCCTGTTAACTTCCCTGAGCACATCCATCCTTCTCTTCTGTTTACACTCTCTCGCCTCTGCTCTGACTTCCTTTTCTCTTGCAATAACCCACTCCTCTTTCCTAAGGACAGTCCTGTTGTTGTCATGGCAACTCCCAGGTGTGAAAGGGCTCCATATTTGTATCCTGATCCAGAAGGACACAAATATGGAGCTGAACTTTGCATCTTTATAATGATATCTGCTTCAAGTAAATGAAGTTTTCACAGTTGTATGTAACGAAAAAGTCTGTTTTATTACCTGGCTTTGTTAAATAACTAATTCTGAGAGGTCAAAGTTCAGTAATAATGTTGATTAATTCTCATTGTGTGCTATGAATATAAGATTAAGTTGTTGTCTGTTTAAAATAAAATGCACAAGACAGGAAAAAGAGACACCAAAACACACAGACTGAGTCAACAATGATTCAGTGAGTAATTAAATTAATATCCTACTGGTTTCGGTCCTGACACTAGATGGCAGTATTAGCCTTAATGGAAAACCACTTTATGTCCACAAGAGGGAAGTTTGATTTGGCAGCGTGTGTGTGTGTGTGTGTGTGTGTGTGTGTGTGTGTGTGTGTGTGTGTGTGTGTGTGTGTGTGTGTGTGTGTGTGTGTGTAGACTATCTGCTGTCTGGCCGCTCAGTTCTGTCTGGCCGGGATCTGAACTGTCTCAACTGACACTTTGTTGACAGTGATGACAGATAAAGCTCCTCCTTTCCCCCTCTCTTTCTCTCTTACACACACATTACCCTAAATAAGACTCCCCTCATACTGAAAGTCAAAGGTAGGAGTGTTTGTCTCAGTTTGTTGCACTTCTGTGTGCTGATATTAAACAGGTATCATTTCTTTAATCTAGTATCAAAGGATTAAAAGGCCATGATGACAAACTGTGATAGATTTTAGCTTCTCCTCCAAAGCTTTTAAAATAAACTGCGGGTAGAGACTACTGTACTGACTGTCCCCCTGAGACCCAGACACTGTCCAGACCCCAGGCTCATTCACTTATTCATCATGGCCTGTAAGCTCATTATGCTGGGTCACATAAGGTTTGTTGGCCCATGAAGATGACGGGGGCAGAAAATGTAAACTTAGTCACTTGACCTTTAAAATCAGATGTTGTGCACTTACTTTTCTTGACCAAATTAAATAAACAGCCTACTCTTAAGAATATACTGTTGTTAACGTGTTGCCTAAGATAACATTTGTGATTTTCTGGCAAAAAAGATTGTAAAACATTGATCATGAGGGTGAAAAACAGAGGAAAGTAGCAAATTATTGATCCATAACTAGTTATATGAGTTTTAAAAAGTTTTTCTTTATTTTAATGGGATATTTTTGATTGTACAACATTTTCAAACACTAACTGACAGTCACATCGGATACAGAAAAACTTAAGTGCAATATCAAACTGAATGTCTTTGGGTTTGTACACTGATGGCATTATGATGGGCAGATACCAAGCTCCTCTTATCATTTCCGCCAGATGTTGCAGCTGTCTCAGCCCGGATTTTATCATACCTCTCTGATTTCTCAAACTGAATGACAGAACACCACATTTAGCTCAATCTATGAAGGACCAAGCTCCTCATCAGATCAATATCCACTAGCTCTATTTGGAACTTGGGTGACATGATTAATGACCAGCTACTCTTTATGTGACTTTGATCACTTGATCATGCTGATTTGTCCTCTAAGACATCAGGAGGATCCCTTACGTTATAGAGCATGCAACACAACTCCATATACATACTCTTATAATATCACACACTGACTACTGCAACTCCTTACTGGCAGGCCTCCCTACATGCACATTTGATCTTCTACAGATGAGCCAGAATGCAACAGCTTGGCTGGTCTTCAACCAGCCAAAAACTGCACATGTTGCCCAGCTGTTCATATACTCCCACTGCCTTCTAGTTGCTACCAATATCAAATTCAAAACCCTAGAATTTATTTGCGAAACAGTGATAAAAACAGCTCCAACCTACTTTGAACCCTTTCTTCATGTCTACACTCCCTCCTGCCTGCTACACCCTGCATATAGCGCCTGGTACTCCCATCGCAAACCATCATTGTTGCCCCAGCAGTGGAATAAATCACCCAACTCTTTTTTGATGTAGTCCTCATTGGTGGAAGTCTTGGACTCAGCACTTTTGTGAATAGCCTAGCATTTAATATTAACCCTAATTATGATGTTAGCTGCATAGGTGTTGATAATGGTGATAATATTGAGGTTAGCTAGGGATCTGACCATGGAAAATGTATTTATCAGTAACTTACAGAGGTTATCTAGCTCTAATAAAAGTCCCAAATGTTGCTTTAGTACAATCTCTATGTAGTTGGCACGTGTGACTGTATTGTCTGATGTTTTATGAATATTCTTTATCAGCGGTGACATAATAACATTTCTGTCAGCCAATAGGCCTGCACAAATTTCATTATATCTACCCTTTATTACAACCTATAGGGTGTGACCTGACTTCACACTGCTGTTGGTTGCAGGAGATAAGTACACACACATTGCACGGGAGCAACATAACACACTGTAGTTTCGGGTTGCAGTTTGTTTCTTAAAACTATTTGGTGATACTTAAAAAATTTGGTTTGGGTCAGAACAAGTGTGCTATACATTTACTGATTAAACTGAATACCTAGGTAACACACTTGTGGCCTATCAAAGTCCCATAAGTCATGCTAAGTATGGTTGCTGTAAGCCCCACCTAATGTTATTCGAAAGTGGCATTATGCATGTGATCTTGTGGGAGTCAATGTTGAATCAAGGTTTTACTGTATGCTTGGTTATGTAAATACTGGACTGCCTAATTGTCCTTGTATTTTTTAATGCAGTGGCTGACAAAGTGTCACCTTAAATAAACTGGGTAGGGCAAGTCTTTGACTTTACAAATACTATGTTATACACACAAAAACAGCATGCTTTGCACCTTTAAAAATATCCCGAAAAATTCAGTTTAGATTTAGCCTTTGTAGCCCAGACTCAAGAAAGTTTGTTTTAGCATAATGGTGATATTGAGCTAATGCTTGTCACTAACAAATTATATTAATCAGTCCAATTAATTGGAAAATCAATAAATCAGTCTACCTCTCTTTCAGATGTAGCCTACAAAAACATCCTGTATAATTAAATACACTTGTCCATGAACATCTGTATTGGTGATCCATTGAATATTATCTGCATTCTGCTGTTAAAATCAGTATGTATGTATTTCAGGGCAAAACTTTTTAATTTAAGATTAGTTTGAAGATATAATTTCAGATATCTAAAAAAACATATTATTTTAACAAATACACATTAGACATTTATATTTGTGTCAAAATATATCAGATATCTCTGCAATGTGGACTTCCACACGTACCCATGTTTTTTTCAGCAAGCAAAACGCTGATGAAGATTAGATGAAGAGCAATTATCAACAATTCATTGAGTACTCTGCAATATCAGAGAAGGGTAGAGTGGGGTAAGATGAGCCATTTTTCATATTTCAGATCACTACATCACGGCAATCATAGTTTAGTCTCTAACTCACATATCTGCATCTATTTCAAGATGTTGTGCATCCCTGCAAACCAACAGAATGAGTGTAAATATAACTGTCTTGATGATATAGCATGCCAAAAAAGTGGCCTCCTATGGTCAACTTACCCTGTGTATGGGGTAAATTGACCAAGGGAGCTGGGTAAGTTGAGCCATATCCCTACTATCCTCATGTTGTAGCTCATAGATACCACAGTTGATGTGTAAAACAAATTTAAAATGATCTTTTTTGGTCTGAACACAATTCTAATAAAACTTACAACAGACTAAATTCACTTTCAAGAGTGAAAAATGTTCATCCATGTGCTTTTAACCTTCACAGACTCCATGAATTGATGCCTATCTCCTAAATATTTGGTAACATGATCAATTTCTTTTACCATTTGGCTCAACTTACCCCACTCTCCCCTACATCAGGTATCTGTACATCCCCAACAATGAAGGTTGTTTAAATCAAACACATTCTCCTCCTGACAGACCATCCATAACAATGATATTGCGGTGTGCTCTGCTGGTGTTAATGACTGTGTCTGAGGGTGTCGGTACCCTGCACCCTTTGACCCCAGCAGCGCCTCTAAACCGGCCGGAGGAATGAGCGGCATTCTTCAGCTGCTGGCAGCGGCAGCAGCAGCGGCGGCAGCAGGAGGAGGAAGAGGTGGGAGGGGAAACTACGACGTAGTACAGACCCACAGTCAGTCAGTCAGTCAGTGAACCAAGTTTCCAGCGACTCAGCTCCCTCAGTCTGTAACTTTTTACGACATGAGCTCACTCAGCGCTTGTGGAGAGGATTTGAGCGGTGGTAGGAGACCGTGATAGTGGGTTTTTAGGTGCGGAGGGCGGGCTCGGTCCTGCCCGGTGCAGCTCAGGAGAAGCAGAATATGGGTCAGACTGCTGTGTCTGCCGTGTCCCAGGCTGCGAGCGGTGAGTGTGTGTACATAATGTGCGTGGAGGAGCACTCCCTCCCTCTTTCTCTCTCTCACACACACATTCCGCTATCTTTTTTCAGGATGTCTGCTCGTTTTCTTTTGTCTTTAACATTTCTATCGAACAATTTATTGAAACTTCCGCAAAACTTAATCGAAACAAAGCGCTACGGGGTGTTGTGCTAATAGGAAGTTAGCTTACATGAAGTGCCTGATATTAATTGAAAGGAAATGCATCATTTTAAAAGTCTCTTTTACTAAATGTACCCCATGTTGTGTTACCTAACTGCTGTAAAACTAATGAAATAGCTAGTGTTAAGACTGCAAGATGTGTTGTGTAACCAAAGAGTTGTTTATAAGGCTGCATTGTTGCTGCTGGGTAATGAAGTGCACTGTTTGATGTGAGTTTATGTATTTAGCAGCCAGTTTGACATGAGTCCAGAAGAGCTGAGAGAGAACAGCTCAGTATTGTTTTCTACTAAAGTCCAGAGATTGAGCAGAAGACTGTCTGAAGCCTTTAATCTTTGTGGATTTACATTAAATTCGCAGTCAAGAACTCAACACAGCATCATCATAAAGTCAACAAGTGGGGCTGCTGCAAGCTACCACTGTTTTCATTATAACTCTATTTTATTTTCATGGTAGATACTTGTCTCTTTAAAGCTGAATCTAAACAAAAATGTGCAGTGCTGATCACTTTACCCCAAGTGATGACCTTAAAATGATTTTCTTATCTTAACAACAGTTCAAAATCCAAAGGCTCCACATTAACCCACATTCATGATATATGAAAGTGACAAATCTCTACCTGTACCAAGACAGAAACAGAAACAGTAAAGGGTGATTTTTGCATAAAATTCATTTAATTTTTGATATATTTCCATCCAGCCATCCACGTATCTAACAATTGATAAATCCGTGTAGCTCTGGTGCCTGCTACCTTTGTTTAGTATTTTTAAAGAGGAACTTACAGTTGAGGTGTGACAGTTGCAAAGGTCAAGGTGCTTCAGTAGTTTAATGAGCAAGTCTTTGGTCTTTGATACAGCGCTGCTCTCAAATGGCTATTCAAAGTATATAAAACTTATACTCAAGGAAACCTGAAAAAGAAAACTCATAATTTCTGCTGCAGCGCCTGTGACTGATAGCACCAACTCATCTGAGAACAGCTGATCGCTTGCTTGTGCGTTACCTGACTAGTTTGCAAAAATTATCTAAAATACGGAGATCTCCATCCAACATATAATTCACACATGCTGAGTGAGGAAGTGCATTTTTAAGTAGATTAATGCTTCTTACTTATTGCAGTTTTTCAGACTGTTGCTGTGTGTTTATTGTGAATGCTTGTGATGCGAAAGTGATTGAAATGTGATTGATTGTGCAGAGCTGGAACATAATGTGTCTCTCTGTCCATTGCATAATGTTGAAATATTGATTACTGGGGAAGTAAATCCCAAGTGTCATGATCTGATAGTATAATTCTTTGAACAATAACACAGTTTTTGCCAATTTCACATAGCTGGCCAAGGCATGATTTGATTCATCCCAAATGATGGGCCTCAAATAAAGTTAAAAACAAAGTGAAAGACCAATTTTATACGACAGTTTAATACATCTACATCAGCAAATTAGAAGCAATCAGAATTATGTGTGACAGCTTCATTACAGAATTCCCTCAGATATCAAAGTGGACAAATAAACATTATTTAATATGGAGAAAAATATATGTATTGGCTTGTCAGTGTAATCTTGCCATACATTAAAAGAGCCCATATGAAAGCTATACATATACTTGGTAATGATGAATTGCTGTTTTAAAATCAGTGGTTACCTTAAAGCATACTTTTACACACACAGTTTGGTTAAAAAAGTCAAAATGAATACTTTTTAAATCAAGGTTCAAATATTTTATCTTCAGTCTTTTATTAACACGACCTCCACTGTTCAAGAGGTTAAAGTTAAGTTGTCTCTGTAAGGTTTGTCTCCCCCCAAAAGGCTTTTCAAAACCTTAAACTTAAACCCCAACTCTCTAAGTTTTTCTATTACCAGCACAAGAGTGTGTAAGAAACAGTTGTGCCTCCTTGCTTACAAACGTTTTTTTTTCCTTTCCATCCTTACTCTTCGGTCTGTCCTGCAGCCATTAAAAGTAAACATTTCACATTTGTTCACATTTTTATGGGGAAGCTTTAAGGCAGCGAGGTACAGGAAGCCACAAAGAACTCCGGATGAAGACAAAACTGGATCTTTTTACGATGCTGTCAGCATTTAGAGTAAAACGCAAACTGTTTTGTAGCTCACTTAAGCCAACATGTATAGGATCCTAGAGCTGTAATTATGATGTATCTGCTCTACATGGCTGCATTATGGCTTATATAACAACACCATGATGTACCCTAAATGCTGAATGTACAGTACTAAGAGCAAGAGAGGGAAGTAACTCTGTCGGGGTCTTGTTGAAAGATCATTTATGTTGAACTGATATCCTCCCACCCTCTCTGAGTTATAACTCTGCGCTTAAACACAACTTTTTAGCCAAGCTTCCTGTTTGGTTTCTTTTTGCTTCTTACTCAACCCAAGCTGTTTGGTCCTGTGAGTATCATGAGTTTAGCAGTGCTGTGTGTGTCTGGCCTACATTGAAGAAAGTTTTGGAAGAAATTACCCAAGTGTTAAAACTGCAGCCAATGCCCAGTGCTGCCCCTCCCTCTGATCCATCCAACACATCTTAAGAACTTTTTTCTACTGCTTTTCCTCCCCTATTTCTACCCCCTCCCCTGTCCCGTGTTTTCTTTTTCTCAGCCTCTTTTTCCACATCTCCATGTCTCTCCCCGTTTTCTCCTCTCTTTTGTCTCTTCCTCTCTTCATGACGTCTGCCTCTTCCCTCCCTGGTGACTTACAGAGAAGGAAGGAAGCCTCTCCCTTTCCCCTCCTACTCAACACATGTTCCTACTATATCGCCTGAAAAAGCGTAATAGCTTTGTCATAAACCACTACTTAAACTCTATAGTATCTGCTGTACATATACAGTACACAACTGTACCATTGTGGTGTGTTTCTTTTGCCTTGAAGCAACACTCACAGCTCTCCTCATAATTCCTGTTTGTGATTACTCCATTGAGATGTCTGCTTTTTCACAAGTTGGCTTTCTGATTACCCAGCTCATTTTCACAGCTGCTGTGGATCCAAATCCTGACTCACTCCTCTAACATGACATTGTGAGTCATTTTTGTTTCAAAGTAAAACCCCTTAGTCGGAAATCCAGGGGCTAAAATCAGCAGTTGTAACGCATAATGTCGTCCTAAAGTTAATCTAATGTGGATACACTGCTGGATATAGAAAAGCTGTAGTCAGTGTTATTTTGGTCAGGTTCTGTTGCTTTCCTTGGTCAGACGTCGAACTGCCAACATTTGCAGTTCTTGTGTGTTAAAGTGTTTTTAAATCTTCATTGTTACTTGGCACTTCCTTCAGGATTATTTGGCGCTTTACTTCGACATCACACTTTCTCTCAGGCAGATTCATTTTTATTTGCTCGTATCTGCATTGATGAGGGCTTTCATTTCCTCCCTACCTTTGGGCTATATACTCAAGTCATTGTGGTGCATGTTTGCACTTTATTTGCCACAGATGCCTGATTGCTGTTTTAGGTGTGATAAAACACTAAGTTCCTCACAGGCTTTACCGCTGAAAATCAGTTTGACACGGTGAAAATTGTAGTTGAGGTTTGGTTGCAGTTAAAGTTTGAATCTACAAATACAAATCAGTTAAGTTATGGAAAGTTCATGTGGTTTTGAGGTGAAAAGTGAATCATTTTTTGTCAGGTTAAAATGGGTCATTTGAGATGGTTAGATTGAATTAAAGGTGGGAAAGGTTGGGGAATTATCATGACCATGCTTTTTCAAAATAGTAGCACTGTCTGTCAGAGGGAAACAGCATACAAACTTTTATCGAAAGTGTTGATGTCTGATGATGAGCTTCTACTAAATCCTTATTCAGTTTGTCTTTGCCACCGCAGTGTAGCTGATTAAGGCTGTTGTGGTGAGGGCCTTTCCCCTGCTCAGGGTGGCTCAATAACTTAGTATGCTGTATTTTTGCATAGGTCTGTTATGTATTAAAGGGATATTCCGATGTATAAATAAGTTGGGGTCAAACATACTGTAACACAGAGTTAGACACCCCCTCGAGAGATGAATGTTGCCGACCACTCACTTCTCTAGTTATACTTTTATAACGCTCGCACGATAGCAATACCCAGCGGTCTACATGGCCAGGCACACACCTCAACCAAAGCGCCACTCTATAGCCACAAATAATGCTCAGAACAGCACCTAACTTCATCAACAGTACATATAGGGTCCAAGCCATAGCACTAGCCACCAAACATCTTTTTAGCCTAGCCTAATTTCTTTTAGCAAAGAGACTAAACAAAACTCACCTACTCTCTTCCAGCAGCTGCTTGTTTTTAGGGAGACCTCGGATGAGTCAATCACAGACTACAGTGGGGTGACGCAGCTGAAAGAAGAACATTTATGATCATTTCTTCATAGAAATGCAATCAGACTGAGATGCTAAGGCAGAAGAACTACCGCGTCTGCAGTGCAAAATGATTAATATGGTGATTATTACTTCAAGGACATTATAAAGAAATGATCATAAATGTTCTTCCTTGAGCTGCGTCACCCCGCTGTAGTCGGTGATCGACTCGCCCAAAGTCTTTGTATAAACAAGCGGCTGCTGGAAGAGAGTGGGTGAATTGTGTTTAGACTCTTTGCTAAAGAATTTAGGCAAAGTTAAGGAGAGTGTGTCAGTCGTAAAGGGCTCAGGCTCTAAAAAAGAACAGCAACAGAGAGCTGTTTTGGAGCAGAAAAGGAGGGTTCTTGCATACAGATGATCTGAGTCATTAATAAGAGCCTGAATTCACATCACTGGAAGCTTCCCAGAGAAAGAAGACAAACCCTGCCCCCACTGATTGCAGACTCCTCAAGCAGGATTATAAATTCTTTTGTAGATTTAATCCATAGTTGTGTACAGATGTGATGTATATGAATTAAATCTTTTACTGGACTTGGCTTGCAGAGACCTTCTCTGTTTCAGCAGGAAGGGAGGTGGACTGTTGGATTTCCAACAGGTTTTAACGTTAACTTTAACTTCTGTTAGTTTTTTTTTCTATGAAACTGCTTGTCAGATTTCGACCAAATGTCAGTTTCTTTCTCCACCTTAAAAAAACGCCATCATCTACTCATACAGCGTATCACTGTAAACACGAGTTGGGGGGAGGTGACATCACTATCGCAGTTGTCTATCATGCTCCACAGTTGGTACTACAGGGACAGCCGTACAGCTGATAAGTTTTCACTTAAAGAAGTGCATGTGCTTCCACTTGCTCTTCAGCGGTGTGTTCCTCTTCGGGCCTTCATGGCAGATATCCAGGGTAATTTCTTTCTTTTTTGAAGAATGAGAAAATGATCGGTTCAAAATTCTTTGTCTTGAGTTATCTTTGTGTGGGAACTTTGCAAATGGTCACACCAAATTTGACTGTAATTGTATGATAGTGTTTAAGCAACATAATCTTTAAAGTACAGCGTATTTATTACTCATACTGCTGGATGGCATCATGTATGATTGTCAAGCCCTTTCCTTCCTGAAGCACCGTCTTCTTCTCTGAAGCTAAAGGTAAACAGGACAGCTAAGTTCAGTGTGTCATCTGTCAAAACAACCAGAGGTTTTCAGTCGTGTAGTTGTTGACTCTTCCCCACTCACTGCCTCTTTCCCTTGCTCTGCTTTCTAAGTAATAAGCCTGTCCATTGTCCCTGTCTGGTTCCCACTCGAGGTTTAATAGTCAGGCTAATGGTGATGATAATCGCTGTTACAGATTTTCCCATCATTAGCGGCTCAAAGCAGCTGCTGAAATGCACCTATTGTTGTGATTTGATATGAACACAGGAACAGGAAATGAGTGTGTGTTCGTTCGTGTGCATCAGTGTGAATGTATATGTGTGTAAGAGAGGGAGAGCTAGATTGGTGTCTGGGGAGAGCATGAGCTGCGTGCCTTTTTCCATGTCTTCACTCTGTTTTTGCTTTTTTCCTTGTAATTGCCATATTGTGTATTTGCATAATGATGTTTTCAAATTTCCTCAGTAGCCGGGGTCATAAGAAGACCAAATCAGTAGCTATCAGTCTTCTTGGTTTAATGTCACACTGAGATTTTACTTCCAAAACAGTGGTGTTGCAAGCTGCGTCATTTTTTTGATCACTTTGAAACCCACCTGACAGATCAGGCTGATGAGACAAACATGTCTGACTGATTTAAGCTCCTTGAGGATCTTGTCTTTTAGATCTCTAACAGTCTAACTTGTAGGGGTGGGAGAAAAAATCGATTCTCAGAAGTATCTCAATTTTTTGTTTGACAGTTTTTAAATAGATTTTTATGTTAATTTTTTTTTTTTTTTGCAAATTTAAGAATACATCTTAAAAACTGACTTACATGTGATGTGTATTTTTTGGGGGAAATATGGTTCTTGGAATAGTCAGTTAACAATCATAATCATTCCACTGTTTCACTGGTGTTAAAAATGCAGACTAAAGATCGAGAAAACCGACAATATCATAAAATCACAATTCAAATCGAATCGGCATCTAAAAAAATTGTAGAAGAATCGAATCTGGAGAAAAGCATATCGTCACAGCCCTACTAACTTGTGTAATAATAATAATAATAATAATGCATCAGATTTCATATAGCGCTTTATCTGAGACCCTCAAAGTGCTTTACATTGGTTACATCATTCATTTGCTCACACAGTCACACTTTGGTTGTGGTAAACTACCTTAGTGTGACTTAGTGGTCACAGCTGCCCTGGGGCAGACTGACGGAAACGTGGCTGCCATTTTGCACCTACGGCCTCTCCAACCACCACCACACAACACTCACAGTCATACACCAGTGGAGGACACACACTGGGAGCAAAGTGGGTTAAGTGTCTTGCCCAAGGACACAACGGACAGACTAGGGATGGGGGGAATCGAACTGCCAAACCTTCCAGTTATTGGTCGACCGTTCTACTTCCTGAGCTCCTGCCACTGTTTTTGGATGACCTGACAAAGGCTGCTGCTGTGTTGACAGGCTGTTTGTCTCTTTGATTTTGTATCTCATATAAAGCCATCTATCTTCATTTTCTACAGGGTACCTCATGCTTTCAGTGTTTTCCTTACTCATGGTATTTTATAGTGTATTATTTCTTTAAACAATGTATTGATCCGCCATCACCAGTAAACGAGAGATAGAGGCCGTCAATCCCCATTAGCTTTAGCTCTTATACAGCGTAGGGATACCGAGTGCCACATAGCAACTAATACAAGGCATTGCTGTTAGAGTCAGGCATTTGTCAGTGCTGGTAAGAGCCGAGCGTAAAGAGGTTATCGATCATTTTATATTGAGTCGATCACTTTGGATATGGTTTTTGCTCCTTTAGATATGCAGAAAGAGAGACGACTGAATAAACTTTTTTCAGCACTTGATATTAGACGTGATGATTTTTATTGGCCCTGGGTAAATGGCTCAAAACATGTTTTTCCCACTTCACTTGATGAGTTTTCGGCTTCAGTCAGTGTGTGAAGAAACCAGGAGATTTGACAGAATGAGGAAAACTCTGCACGTGTGCCTCGTCATCGAACCTTTACTTCATTTCTGAGTGGTTGTTGAGAAGGACATGAGCTGAGATCAGATGGTCTTTGTCAGTATTTGACTGTTGCATCTTTCCTCATTGTCAGAGGCAACAGGAAACATGAATCAGTCTCACGTGTTTGAGTGAAATGTGCTCACCAGTGAAGAGCGGTCTGTGAAAGGAGTGTGAGTGAAATTTCTAGTAATTTGCTGAGGTGAGGGGGTGCAATATGTCCAACATGATTGCTTGAGCAGTTGCAGTTGCGCACACCCTATACACTTACACAACAGGTGTGATGACTTTAAGTATTTTCCCCCAGAACATCACAGCTTTGAGTCCCTCATTACTGAATGGTTGTCTCACTTTAAAGATTGAGCACGCTCTGGTTTCAAAGTTACAAAGGAAGTCATGGTTGGGAGTGGTGGGACACTGAAGAGTTGGCACCTTTTCCCAGAGGCATTTATCTTGTAGCATCGTCAGAGTTTAATAAGTGATGGATGTTGATGTATTACTCATTTGTTGGTATGATGTGTCATGTTTATCTGAACACACTCGGTGGAAACTGAGAATAATATTCATTTTTATAGACGAGCGTATGATCACTACAATATATTTTTTTTCTTTGTCTACTTTAGTTCATCGGGATCAGCCTTTTATGTCCATGTAAGGTGCCAGTTTCATGGCCACTGCTATCTTGCTCTGCCATGTTACATCCACACAAATCAGACTTTCCAGAACCCTACAGGGTCTTTTTTCCTCGGATAGAAAAACAAAGAAGAAGAAGATTGGGTTATTGTTATAACCTGTAATTGAAGTTGTACTAATAGAAGTTTTTGACAATGATGGATTATACTAATGCTGCGTTCGAGTTACTTCGGTCGGAAGTAGGCCTGTCACGATAACAAATTTTGCTGGACGATAATTGTGCTACAAATTATCGCCGATAAACGATATTATTGACACCATTTTTTAAATTATAGATAATGATATTATATGGCATAATAATGCGAGTACACCGTGTCAAAAGTGATAAACTTTGATTTCCACACGAGAACAACACTGGTTGTTTTCGTTGACTAAAATATTTCCCTTTTCTCCCACGACGAAGACGTAACGTTGACGAGCTAAACATAAGTCGGAGATGACTAAAATGTGACGAGACGAAAGTGCGTTTACGTTGATGGGACGAGACGAAAATGACGAACAGAGTTGCAAAACTCAGTCAGTTAAACGCTAAACATATAGGAGCAGCTTCAGTCCGCTCTGACAGCTCGCATCAGCCTGCTGTGCTCCTCCAACACACAGACACACACGCACGCGCGCGCACGCACACACACACGTGGAGTTTTGTGGTTGACGAAAACAAAACTGGTTTAAAGCCGAAATATTCCCACACTTGGGCGGTTGCGTTCGGTTTAGACACCAAAGCTGTCGTGTTCATTCTGTTTGCTTGCTTTTCACTCACGACGCTCACTTGCAGCACTGTATCCAAAAAGTCTGTGGCTGTGTCCGAAATGGCATACTGCCTACTATCTACTTACCTACTCAAGCAGTAGCTACTGCCTACTGACTACTCAAAGAGGATTTGAGTATGCCGCGGCTGCCCGAGCGTTTACACACATACATACTAAATACCCCAGAATGCATTTCGTGCCGGCCGGACGCAGCGCCGGGAAAATTTAAATAGTCCTACCACAAGCCACACAGAACGACTGCATCCCGGACAAATTATATAAATTCATTCAATAATAATATTTTTTTCTAGCGAGAAAGTAAGTGTTTACATCACGATTATGAGCCCAGTTGTTTGAAATAGTGGCTGTTTGTAAATTTGTCTCGGCGTTTTCGGAGACCGAAGCGTCCACTTGGTCGGTGTTTGCGTCAGCAGCCCCCCCTTCACGTTTCCAAATTATTGCGAAGTGTTTTCATAATCAACATCTACACGACACAAACCGGGCGGCAGTGGATGAAAAAAATCACACAAACATCCGTGTATCCATGGTGATAATGCTATACACCACCTGCTGGCCGTGTGATGAGCAGCAGAGGGCTGCAAAATGACCAACACACAACATAATTATTATGACCTTGTTCGGTTATTCCTTGGCAAATACATCATTTCCCGACTACATTCTTTTCATGTACAATGATAATTTCAGAAACCATCAGATTTTCAATCACAAGTAAGAATTAGTAAAGCTCACATAGATTGTCAACTGGAAACTCCCCCGTTTGTATATTCTGAACCATGTGCTCTCTACCAAAGATAATTTTTATTAATCAGAGGTCTGTGCTTAATATGAGCGACCACTTTGATGATGCATTCAGAGATGAGAAGATGCTCAAACTTGATGTAATAAATACATCTTTAATAGACACTTAAATAAATAAAGTCAATTCATACGAATAGTTAAAAACATTGCCTATAATCCTAATTTAAAATACAAATAAATCCGGTAAAAAGATCAAAATATGATAAAATGATGAAAATTGTGTAATGTATACGGACTAAATATTGTTTATCTATTTATATATATATCATTATTATTGCAATCACATGCCATCTATTTCTTTTCAGCCTCGGGAAGGAGGGCCATATTACCAGCTGAGGTGCGCAATGCATTGTGGGGCAGAAGCAGTACGTGAAGCAAGCTCCGTTGCACACTCAGAAATCGAAGCCGATTGAGTATACATCCGGGCATTTCTCGCATACACAAAATTCGCATACTGTACAGTGTGAACGCACTCACACTGCCTACTCAATTCAGAGGCGGGGTTAGTAGGAGTAGTAGGAGTAGTAGGCCATTTCGGACACAGCCTGTGTCTGTGTGCCTGACTGTGCGCGCCAGCCCCCTCGTGACAAAGACACTGAATGACTGACAGGAGGGTTCACTAACTCCGTTCATTCCGCTATAGAGCCAACGCCCCCAGGTGCCGAGAAAAATGCGCAGAGTGAGACCTCTTCTCTCATCCAGCGTGTTTGGTAGCGAGAGAGGAGGAAAACAAACGCACGTCAATTATCGAGGCTGGCAAAGTTATCGACCTCGTTTTTATTTATCGAGCAATAAGGCGATTTATTGATTATCGCGACAGGCCTAGTCGGAAGTCAGATGTCGGAGCTGGATATGACGTCACACCCGAGTTATTTTAGTGCTTGCCTTATTGTCTTGTTTCCACCTCTGATTTTGCTTTTCTCTGACTTAGAAATTAAAATGCTGGTAACTGGGGTGTGACGTCATTTCCAGCCCCAACATCTGACTTCCGAGGTAACTCGAATACAGCATTATATTATGTAACACAGGAGCTTCATGTCCCCAAAGGCCACCAAGGGTTTCAATGTAGAGTCTGTACTCTGCATATAACCACATATTGACATGTCTTCACAGTGGACCTTTGAGTGATGCCTCTCCACCCATCTTCATTTTGAGCTAACCTCTATAAGCTGAGTAAAAAAAAAGGGAGAAAGCAGCCCTCTGTAGGCTGCTCCTCATCTCTGCTTGAGTCAAGTTGAGCAACAGAGCTGTCGCAAGCTGTTGGCAGTCAAGTTGCATTTTGGGTAATTTAAAGGCATCATGTTTTAAGGAAGAAAATTCTGCTCTGACAATTTTGGCCTCTTTCTTACCATGAGGAGTTTAGCCATGTTATAGGAATGAAATAAATGAATGGTTTTTGTTTAACAGTCCTAATAAAGGGCATCCTCCTCGACTTTTGTTGTGATTAAACACAGTTTAAGCCGAAAAAGCATCAGACTGCTGTTACTCCACAAATACTAGAGTTACTGTGTGCCAACCTCTGAGATTCTGAGAAAAGTTATTGAAAGATTTAATACAGAAATTTTAAACTTTTAATCCCCGCTGGTCTCACAGTCAGGAGGCTTGAGTGATTCAGCAGTGGCTGCTTTGTCGCTGAAAAAACAAAAATCCTTCCTCTGCTCGATTCTGAGGAGTCACATACCACCTCTCTTTCCTCTGTGTGGTTCCGGCAGCACACACACACACACACACACACACACTCACACTCACACTCACACCACAGATACCATAAACACCACACACTCTGTCTATACACTGTCTGCAGTTTTCCAGAGAGTTCGAAGTGCGGCTAATCTTTCAGCAGGAAGAGGAGGAGTTGTGGAAGGACATGGATCTGGCCAAGACACACACACATAGGCAGATACATTTTCAGTACAGACACAGAGTTAGTGATAATATTCCTGCTTGGCTGTTGGACCTTCTCCCCCTTTGCTTATCCTAATCTGTTATAACAATGGGTTTATTGTGAGCATAAATATATGAGCTTTTGAACAAAACTTTGACTGTACATGCCAGAAACTCTTCCCAGTGATCTGATATTAATTCTCTTGTTATCTCCACATGTGTGTCCTCAGTTGATGGGTTGGAGAAAGAATCACTTTCCAGCTGTGAAGTCGCCGTGGAAAGTGCCTCCAACACCTCGAATACTCCTGCATCACGGCAGCAGCGAGGCAAGCTCTCATCACTAGGGAAACTGTTCAAACCCTGGAAGTGGAGAAAGAAGAAGACCAGCGACAAGTTCCAGGATCTGTCCAAAGGTATGATGTCCCAAGTTTGTGTGTGTTATAGAGGCACCGCATGAAGACAGGCGTCTTATTCGTATCAACAACACCATGGATGGATTCTATGAGTGGATTGGTGCTGAGCATTAAATGCTGTAAAAGGAGGGATGTGAGGTTTGTTTGCTGCTTATCGATTGATTCCTGCTCAAGTGCTGGCTAAAATAAGAAAGAACAGGAGCGAACACAGAAAGCAGACGATCTTTTCTTTGCAGCTTCTATGTGTGTGTTGTCTCTTTGCTCTAGTCTCTCTATAGGACCATGTCCCTCAGGTTCATTTCAGGATACTGTCCAGGGGAAGAGCAAAAACAATCAATGTGTAAACCTTTTTTTCCTGTCAGAGACAAGAGGCTTCATTTAGAAACAATGCATATGCACAAAACAGCGTTTCGCCTCTGATCCTACCCAGCAGGTAGTGGCAGAGCATGAAAGTGGGGAGAGGTGGTGATATGGCCCACGTGTATGCACAGCTCTGAGGTGGGGGAAATTGGCAGAGGTGGATGGTTAGAGGGTGAATTGTAGTCAGATTATATATTTCACATTTAATACCGTTCAAAGTGCAAAGTAGGAAACCAGACTGTGTCCTAATTTCATCGTCGGGCGCAACAGGCCAAAGTGAGAACAGAAATGCAACAACTTTCCAGCACAGTGACAGTAATATCCTCTTACACTGTGCAGCAACAAAGTGCACAGATACACAGTGATATCAGGGCTGTCAGTGGTATTACTTTTTTAAATGCAGTAAAATCCAATCCAAACATTTCTTTGTTGTCCCAAGGGTTAAAAAAAAAGAACTTAAAAGTGAAAGTTATGACACTTTACTTGACGCCTATCTCTATAACGCATTATAAATGTACAATGTGTTATAATCATGTTATAGCACTGTATAACTATAGTTATAAACACTCATAAATGATCATGATTTACAAGGTCAGGTATTATAATGTGTTATAACTGTTTACAATTCATTGGCAATGCCAACATAGATAATGCAATGCGACTGTTGTTAACCTAACCCTAACCTTGTAAGTCATGATAAAATGCTTTATAATGTGTTACAATTATTGCTATAAAGCATTATGATCATGTATGAGTGTTTATAACTATAGTTATACAGTTCTACAATGTGATTATTATACATTATATATATGTATTTATAATGCGTTATAGAGATAGGTGCCAAATAAGGTGTTAGTTGTCATTTTTGTGGCTATGAGAGCTGGTGCACTTGTGTAGAAATAGAAACTCTTACAGCTTTCAAATCCTGTTTTTTTCTGTATTAAAATCATTTAAATGGAATTAAAACAACAACAAAAAAGATCCCTCACCATGTGGGGTATTGGAAATTTCATGGCAGTTAAGTCAGATTGTGCAAAATTAATCTTAGCATTGTGTTAGGCTTGGTTTTATAACACTACCAAACAGGCTGTAATATCAGTAGCCATATAATGTCATTGGTTAAAACCAATCTGATTGACTGCCAACTCAAATAATTTGCTGATTTCATTACACCACAAAGTGTAGAAGCTGATGCCATTTGTGGAAGAGCACCTGTGGTGATTTGTTTCAAGCACAACCTTAAAGATACTCAACTTTTTCAGCTGATGGTGCCAAAAAAAAAAGCGTGTACAGGAAATTTTTTACAGCGGCAGTTTAGACAGCATGAGATCATATCTATCAATACCATAAATGTATTGTTTACAGACACCTCCTACATGTAATGTCTCTTTTTGGATCAGTGAGGGTGCAGTTGGGTGTGAAATTTAGCTCACTTCCTCTTCAGTGACTCAATACACGGTTCTGTCATGTGCTGCGGACTGTAGTGGGATTGCAGTGGTGTTTTTCTCCAACTGAATAAAGAAGGTAGCCGTTGTGCAACGCTTTCACAGATGAGTGAGTAAAACACGTCTGATAAATCCTGCACTGACTTGACGTTCATCTCTCAGTTTTAGAGAGAAAAATCTCCACCAGACAGACGAGGGAGGAGCTGATCAAGAAAGGAGTTCTTATTCCTGACCAAGGTATGTCTGTAAACTCACCAACAAGTTTCATTTCCATGTTCCTATCTGTGAACTTGACAGTCTCAGACCTGTGTATCATGATTTGGGTAAATCGAAAGAGAAATTATGCTGAAAGATGACCAGTGACAGAGCTTTAATTACAGCTTTAAACATTTAGTCATGTGTTAAAATGCAGTTTGATCACTAACTGCTCACTATCACTATTTTTTCAACAATTATAAGAATTTTTTCTTCATCCCTGCCCTTTAGACTAACTTCATCATGTTAAAAGTTGGATTATTTTGTTCTGCAACAGCAGAACTTAACGGAAAATGCAGGGATTTCTGTGAAAGTACCTGTTTTCCCTTCTTCTCTTTTAGAGGAAACGATCAGTAGTGAAAATCTGAACGGTCATGCCACAGCAACAGAAACTGCAGAGGAGGTCAAAGTTGACATTGAGTCTCCAGAAACAGTGCAGGAGGAGCAGGCCACTGGACCCGCCAACACAGAGGACAAAGAGGACAAAACAGGTAAATTGACCTCATACTTTGACCTCTGATCAAGCTGTAAGCAGCTTCACTTTTGAAAGTCCACACTTAGATAAAACTTTTTCACAGGCAGTTTTCTTATAGACGTCTTTTTTTTCCTGAAATCTTTTCAAAATCAGAAGTGACAGTTTGTTTTGTTAATATGGGGTGACCCTGATAGGAGATCCACTCCCCCATTTCAAGACTAACTTTTAGAAAAGACTCTTCAGAGACCAAATCTTGTATTTGTAGAGCAAAGTATTCAAATTCAAAATAGTGATGAAAACTCATTAATGAAGATCAGAGAGATTGTTTCATGATTCAGTTTCAACATTTAAATGGAAATACAAATGGTCACATGTCTAAATGAAGCACAGATGATTTGGGCGTTTACATTAAACGTGATTAACCTGAAGGATGACAGGTCTTGTGAAGGGAATAACTTTGATCTGTTTTTCAGCCACATAGCTTTTCAAACACAGGTTTTAGGATAATCCTCCTGTGATCGCTCCATTTGGAAATTACGCTTGGTTGCGCCATCATTCTTTAGCTGTTTGACAGTCATTTAATGTACTGTCAAACAGTCTGGCGCTGTAGCAGTAGATGACAGCTGGCCTCCACTGTGAGGGGTTTGCTCTCTTTACTGAGAAATGGCACAATCAGGCATCTTTACCAGTATTGGCATTTTATTTCGAAAGATATTAATGCTTGCTTTCAACAACAGCAACTATGAACAAAGCGGTAATACTGAAACGTGAACATAACAGTTATGGTTACATAACAGTAACATGATGGTTCTGCTTTCCTTGAGGGAAAAAGTTGTTGTTACTCTCCATCTGTGACGCTCTAATGTCTGGTTCAGAGTTTAAAATGTGTTTTCTTGGCACATGCAGATACTCTTAATCCTTAAATCCAGACATCAGCTCTGTAAACAAATAAAAAAGCAGGAAACTCTTCCCACCAGAATGACTCAGAACATGTTGGGTTTCTCACGATTATGGAACTTGTGCTGCTCTTTGGTGACGTTTTGTCGAAATGGTTGAATCAAGTGCAGCTTTTTTTAGTTGCCTTCCCCACGGTTCTGAAATGCATTTGCATCGGTCACAGATTTGTGGCCGACACTGAATCTCTTCTCTTTGGGATCCCAGACCAGGCCTAATGTGCTCAAATAGATATTCCCATTATATCAGCCTGCAGCAGGCATTCACAGTCTACACTGAGCGGTAACCTCCTCCTAATGCCTCCCTCTGCCTCAAGAGACCGGCCCCGGCTCTCCTGTCTGATGCTGCCTAAGTGTTGTGCTGTTTTCATCTCAACCCTGTTAGCATTGAACTCTGAGCCATTTGTTTGTTCATTTGTCGATAAATAGAAAGGTGCAGGGTAACAAATCCTGCATGTATGGGAACAGGACACGCATACCTTCACGCTGAAGGGAAGGTTGATGGGCACAATTTATACACCGTATTTCCAGGCTTATTCTTGTTTGGTATACGTTTTCATGGATGCAGTCTAAATACAGCTGCTCAATACCTATCATGTCACATCAGTATCATGTCTTCCAACTCACCTCTTATCTTTCAATGCCTCTTTGTTTGCTTTTCCGTATTTGTGCAACATTTATCCTTTAAAAAAAAAACCTTTAACATCAAATTTTTTCCTCCCTGCCTCCACTGATGTGCCCAGAGAGGCGTGATACTAAACCCCTCACCCGGGCGAACCAAGCGCGACTTCGAGACGCCCAAGCTAAAAAACAGCCAAGCAGCACTCAGCCCGCCTCTTCCAAAACTGCAGGTGGCACAGCAGCCACAACCAGGCACAGAGAAGGTGCTGCAGGGACTAAAAAGACAGCTAAAACCACAGGCAAGGCAGGCTCATCCACTCAGTCTAAAGCTAACCCACGGAGTACTAACGCTACTGGTCAAGGGACTGGTAAGTTCAGCTAGTTTGGAGCCTGTTTGCTGCCTGCCTGAACTCCCTGCATGGAAAAAGTGCTCGTATCACTGTTTGAAAGGAAACAAAAGTCATCACTAAGACCTCTGCTGCACCAGAAGCCAGGGCTTCATGCACACTCTTGTGAATTCTCTTGGTCAAGTTCCTGTCAAGCGATGACAAAATAGAATTTCCCTGTTTTCCCGACTTGACATTGTCCCTTTCTCACCAGAGAGTTCCAGTCAAGGGAGCGATTGTGTATGTGTCTCGTTCACAATCTTTCTGTTTTTAAAGAAAGCAGAAGTGAAAATCTTTTCTCTGGCTCTGCGAATTTCTCACAGCTCAAATGTGCACAGTGTTTGAGTCTATGTATGTGTGACAGTGAGTGGGGTCAGTGTTGCATGGCTGATTATATGTGTGTATTTGTGTGTGTGCTTGTTTAACCTGCAGCATGATGAGGCCCAGCAGCACAGAGAGCAGAATGTTGCATGTGACTGTAACAGTGTCTTATCTGAAGGCCTCTGTTTATTTTAGGTTCAGATTCTGGGGAAGGGAAACGATCTCTAGATGACATTTAAGTTTGTCCTTTTCCTCAGGCTTTCTGTACCAGCACATAAGGGTGCTTCACTACAGCACTACATACATCACAGGCATACAGGCAAAGTTTAGTGATCTGAAATAGTTAACTGTTAAGAGCAATATGGCTACCAGGATGTTTATTCTTTAAACCCCACGACAGTGGAAGTTATACACATTATGAAGTTTGCATTTGTCAATGACAAAAAATGGCTTACCAATGTTTTTGGACAGAAGGAGTCAAGGAGATCATACTATACTCAATAAAATAATGATGAAAAAAATCACAGTTCACATCCACAGTCTTTTCTTAGCCTAAACAATCAAATAATCTGTATTATTTAATCCTTGTTTTGCCCCAAAGGACTTAAACACACCGTAATACTGAGTTAGACATCCTGTCGAGAGATGAATGTTGCCGACTGCTTGCTTCTCTAGTTATACTGACTTTTGTAATGACCGCACGATAGCAACATACAGCAGCCTCAGGAGCCACAAACAAACCTCAACCAAAACGCCACTCTATAGCCACAAATAATGCTCAGAACAGCACCTAACTTCATCAACAGTACATATAGAGTCCCAGCCATAGTACTAGACACCAAACATCTTTTTAACTTTGCCTAATTTCTAAAGAGACTAAACACAACTTACCGACTCTCTTCCAGCAGCTGCTTGTTTGTAGGGAGACCTTCAGATGAGTCCATTACAGACTACAGCGGGGTGACACAGCTCAAGGAAGAACATTTCTGATCATTACTTTATCATTTTCTTGAGGTTATACTCATCGTATTAATCATTTCACGCTGCAGATGCAGATTTTCTGCCTTAGCATCTCGGTCTGATTGCATTTCCATGAAGAAATGATCATAAATGTTCTTCCTTGAGCTGCGTCACCCCGCTGTAGTCCGTAATGGACTGGCCCGAGGTCTTGCTACAAACAAGCGGCTGCTGGAAGAGAGTAGGTGAGTTGTGTTTAGTCTCTTTGCTAAAGAAATCAGGCAAAGTTAAAAAGATGTTTGGTGGCTTGTACTATGGCTTGGACCCTATTTGTACTGTTGATGAAGTTAGGTGCTGTTCTGAGCATTATTTGTGGATATAGAGTGGGGTTTTGGTTGAGGTTTGTGTGTGGTTCCTCAGACTGCTGTGTATTGCTACCTTGTGGTCGTTACTAAAGTTGATATAACAAGAGAAGCAAGCGATTGGCAACATTTATCTCTCAAGGGGGTTTCTAACTCGGTGTTATGGTGTGTTTAACCCTAACTATATTTACGCCGGAATATCCCTATAATACCGCTACTGACGTAAAATTGTGTGTTTAAAAAAAAAAAAAATAACATGTATACAATCAGAAACTAAAAGCAGAGTTTTATGAGAATACAGATGGTTTTTGGTTTCTTGAAGACACTCCTCATTAATTTGTCAAACACTGATTAGTGTACCTCTTCACAGATTGATGTATATTTGGTTGCACTGGTGCTCCCCACTTCGACAAGTAAAGGACACCGGCAAAAACTTAAAGCATTCCCCAATCAATAAGGAGCACCATAATTATAACGTACATATCATCAACATAGGTTTTAGTTTAGTGATGATAAGCTCTTCTGTGGCAGTCAAGCCCACGTTCAGCTCTGCCAATGAAGTGGAACAGCCAGCAGCATCCTGACTAACACAAACTTTTGACAGTCTTACATCCGTCTTTGTCACACGTTTGTCTCTGAATTTCTTGTGTTAGGTGCTCTTTCCCCATGCTCGGTCATGTTCTCATATTTATGTTGCACGTTTTCTGTGGAAAATAAAAACCTGCTACCTTACCAAATGCTTTACATCGCACACAGAGCTTTTTTCAAAACAGGGCCATTCTCTAAAAACTGTGAACTCTCTTTGCTGCTGGTGCACCTGCATTTACCGCATCAACATCATGAACTTCGGAGGTTGCATATCTCACCATAGGTGGTCCAGGAAACAAAGCTTTCCATGCTCTTTCCATCTTCTCTCCACCCCTTTTGATTTTGCATGAGTTAACTCTGTCAGGGAGTGATTAAACATTTGAATATTGATATATGAAAATATTATGATCATTGGGAATCAATAAAGTTCTTCTTAATTGTAACACCAATTCACAAAAAAGCGAGAACCATGTGGAACAGATGTAGACTGTTCATTACTGTATTTAGACCGACCCCACAACTCTTCTATCAACAAGCTCATGATAACTGCAGCTTTGTCATTTAGCAACAACTAACATCGCTGCTTCTCATCAAACATACAAACGTGAACACACAGCCTGTAAGCTTCCCCTGCACATATCGCTCCAGGCTGTTTAGATTTGTGTGTGGTCTCTCGCTGTCATTACCTCTGTTATTAACGTGCTCTCTTGTAAGCCACAACACAAGTTTATCTGCTTTTTTTCCTCTTCGTTTTTCTCCTGCAGGCTGCTTTCAGTTTAACACAGATGTGCTCATCCAGCTGGCAGGCAGAGAAAAAACTGGAACATTTCTGATATTTCTATAACAGCCCTTCCCTCTTTCTTTTTCATATTAATTCACATGATAACTAAGTAATTGTTGGCAGTGTTATTGATCAGATAAAAGATGAAGAACTCTATGGCTGACTGAGCTACTTGAGGACATATGAGCATAAGAAGAACTGCATTGAAAACTGTTTTTTCTACAACCTGTAAATCTTCTGACTCTGGGGGTTGACAGACAAAAAGCCCGAAAGTCTAGTTTATATCTTTGCTTCTTCTCCCCCCCTCAGTCAAATCCACCCATCCAAAGAAGACAGGAACCACAACAAAAACCACCCCAGGCTCCACCTCAACATCCACCTCCACCCCACGTTCTCGTGCATCTAAGGACAGTGCAGCACAGAACGGCGGGACAGAGGGGAAGACCAACCGGAAATCAGACGTTCCCACCTCTTCCTCAGTACCTCACAAGGCCTCCACAGAGACTCCTAGCAAGCCTGGGGAGTTAAAATCCTCCCCCCTTTCCTCAGACACCAAGACAGCCGCCTCATCTAAAGGCTCAGGCAGTGATTCAGGAGGGACTCACGCTGCTTCTCAACCTGATCCTGAGTGCAAATCTGCCCCTAATGGCTCAACTGCAGCTGAGGAGACCCCCAGGGATAAGGCTGCAGAAACCACTGAGCAGATTCCCCATATCAACTCTGAAACAGAGGACACTTCCTTCACAGAGGGAGAGACGGAGAGGAGCTCAAATGGAGGGGAAGAGGAAAGAACGGGAGGGGAGGGGAGAGAGGAAGAAAAGAAGAAACATGAAGGAGAAACAGAGTCTTCTGTGGAGAACGGCCCGAGGTAACAAAGTCCAACAGGAGTAACACACTAAGTTCTGAAGTCATTAAAGTTTGAATCAGTTTTCAGAAACACATGTGCTCATACTGTTTGGTTGTTTTCGATGTAGTTCGTCTCAGCCGCGAGCCGAAAGGCCGGCAGGCCTCAGTGTGAACACAGAGCAGGCCGAGGTGACGGTGATCCCCGATAGGCCGAGAGACAGCACGACAAGCGACTCCGACTCTGATGGACCAATCCTGTACCGCGATGAGGAGGAAGAGGAGGAGGAGGATGAGTACACAGAGAGTATGAGATTAGTTTTTCAACACATTAAACAGCACTGAGATTTGAATTAAGTGATTTATGATACAAAGATACAGACACAGTGCAGTTTTGATCAATAGCCATACCCGAATATGACCTAAGAATTACTGCATTATGGTTTCTCTATTGAGGGTGAATAGATTCAAGGTCCTAAAAATGCCTCTGACTCATCCTCTCTGTTGTGTTCCTGTTTCAGGCGCTCTGGCAAAGAAGATCCGCCGACGAGACACCCTGAACATCAAACTGGGGAACAGACCCAGCAAGAGAGAGCTGGAAGAGAAAAACATTCTGCCGCGAAGCTCTGAGACGGAGAGACACGAGCTCCGCCAGCAGATAGGCTGTAAACTAGTCAGGTACACACAAACACACACACACACACACACAGAAATCTTACAAAGTGTGAAATTTCACCACAAATTTGGCAGAGTTAAGGAGGTACTTACAAAGATTAGAAATGATCTTATTGGTGTGTCCGTGGGCGGTGAACAAACGATGCCCTAAAAAAATCTGGCCGCAGTTAAGTTTGGCCTTTTCACGCTATGACAGAACAGCCCGTGGCAGAAAGCCCCTGGATTTCTTACAGACAAAAAAAAGGTGACAAATAGTCATAACTGTGGTAGTTATTGTTGCTACGCTTCGTGGTAGCCAGTGCCTTTATAAATTGATTTCATATCTACTACTTGTGAGAAGAGGATGTGATCACAGATTTCTTTTTTAGGCGCCTGAGCCAAAGACCGACCACGGAAGAGCTGGAGCAGAGAAACATCCTCAAGCGTGAGTTTCTAAAACGCCATATAAGGGCTGGTTTATGTCTGTCATTATGTTTGGAGACTTTGTTGTAGATCAGAATCAGATTTTTCTCTCCACCTTTATAAACTCAACTTATTTGTTCCCACACCTAATCACCTTTGAATGAAATCCATGCTCACAGTTCTGTACCAGCTCATTTACCACATGGTTGGTAATACATAACCTTTTGAATTATTCAGTTCTCACAGCGAGACTTTTTGCTCTGACACCTGATGCATCATTTCTGGAGTTGAGGGTGGCATATATGGGTGGATGCCGGGTTTATAAAGACATAATGCCTGTAAAAGGCTTACACTAAGCTCAAAACTATTGCATTGTTTTTCCTCTCAGTTCTACGTGTTTCTTGTATTCTTCCTTTCTGCACAACAAGCCCGGTTGCTGAATGGTTAATAAAGTTCACAGGTTTTAAAAAGAGCTACAGTTGCTGCGATTCCTATAAATATACTCGACACTTATGACTTCACTTTCTGTGAAGCTGTTCTCAAGTTTATTTTAAGTCTTAACACTTACGAAGGAAGAGGATACATCATACTTCTGACGATGGTCTGACTTTTAAACATCAGGTAATGTCTGTCACATACTGCAGGTGTTGAACTTCAGCAATTTAGTGTTTATTGATTTCAGAGTGGTCACACATTGCTGGATATGACTGTCTCAGTTATCAGATTAAAGAAGCACATGTCTGTAAAAGTCATGCGTGACTCTATTAGAAGCAGACCTACACTGAGTGACTGATTCACAATCAGTTGTTTTTACTTACTGCTTCTGAACTGGCTTCATTGACACAGATTGTTTTTCTTTACTTTAGTTACAACACTGCCTAAAATTAAATGACTACAGATCAGTTAATGAGGCTGCATTATACCCAATACACCCACTATGCTTTACATAAACTCTGATACTTTGTCAGATAGTTGAAAAATTGTACTCAATGTCACCAAGCAGGGATTGAATCAGTAAGCTCGGGGTTTTGCTAGATTAGCTTCAGCGCCAACAGAGACTTAAAAAGGGGCATTTGAGCTTGAGGTATTATGGTTTCAAAAGTGTTGTGCTCTTGGACTCAGTGAAACAATTCAACCAGCCATTTCTACCTCTAATGACCAAGTAGTTCTGAACAGTCCAGAGATACTTGTTTGTACTTCATGGAATGAAAATTAAAACTAAGATATCAGACATCACGATTCATCCAGTAAGATTAGCTTCCAAAAATAAAACAATTTTAAGAGGAATTTTAACAAAGCCCAATGAGAAAACGACTTTAAAAGTTCTTGTAAATGCTTTTAAGTGTGGGAGCAGTCTCCCTCTGTGAGTGGACACTTAGCTCCTTGAGGCTGTAATAAAATACATAAAAGCCTAGAACAGCTGTTAAACTAATAATTCGACCCTTGGCCATTACCACTGACCCGTGTACTTATACTAATACTCTGACAGTTGTTGCACAAACTCCATTTGGACATAACAAATCCATACTTCAGATTTATTATGTTTACAGTGTAACACACAGGCATGGTCTGATCAGAGCTGAAAAAAGTTTTTTTACTCACTTTTAGAAGTGTCAAGTGTCTGAGCTGTGGTCCAGATGGCTAACTCTTTGTCACTGATAGGACCAGCAGTAAGTGTCAGGCCAAGATATTCTCAGGCTGTTAACCTAAACACAAATATACACTCAATATCCACCTCGACCGTACAAGGATGCGTAAAAGATTCAACAAAGATGATATACCGGTCAGAATAAGAGTAGCTAAGTGAAGAATTGTGCCTTTGCTTTCTGTATGTTAAAGCAATCACTCATAATAGATAATCATGGAGATGGTTTAAAACCACGTGATGCTGTTTAAAGACAGCAGCTGAAGTTTGTAGCAGTCACAGAAGGTGTGAAATGACTGTTTGTTCTCTGAACGCAGAAAAAAATGAAGCAGAGGAGCAAGAAGCCAAGCAAGAGATTAAAAGGAGACTTTCCAGAAAGGTACTGTAAACACCTACTGCACACACACGCGCACACACACAAACATGCACACATGGGAGAACTGAAAGGACACAGGGGGGCTATATTTAGCTGTTTTGCTTCACCATATGAGTCAGATGGCAGAGAGGAAGGATGAAATCAGCCCATCTAGTGGACAGAGATAGAACTGAAGCTCATCTCTCTGCTCAGAGGTTGTGTTGTCTGTGTATTGTCCCTCTGCTCCTAAAGGGCATGCTTCTTTTCTTATGAAACATTTTTAGATAACAGATGCAGGGAACTGTTTTAAGATTGAACACTCATGTTTCCATTTTGTCATCCTTAAATATAAGTCAGAGGTCTGTAGTTGAATTTCTCACCCTCTTTCTTTTTGTGTGTGGTTGTAGCTGAGTGTGAGGCCGACTGTGGCGGAGCTTGTCGCCCGCAGAATCCTGCGTTTTAATGAGTACGTAGAGGTAACGGACGCCAAGGATTACGACCGACGGGCAGACAAACCCTGGACACGGCTTACACCAGCTGATAAGGTGATAAATCCTTCATATTCCACATTGTGATAACTCTGATTTTAGTTCACCGAGCTACAGGAGGTGGAGGATCTGCTGCATGGATTTAGTACATGACAACAGAACAAGGGTGAACGCCTTGTGCATTAATTATACAGCTGTTACATCCTCTGCACTTCTAATGGCAGCTCTACATAAAATTTTAGCTTCTGGGATTTGTTCTTATTCAGCTCACAAGAGCGTTAGCGAGATCGGGATCTGCTTATGGATGTTTCACTTCATTACAGAGATGTTGGATGGAGAAACAGGGCAGTGCAGGCTAGTCATGTTCATGCACACCAGTGTCAACAAAACATGAGCACAGACTTCTCTCTGTGAAAAAGGAAAGGACTCACCACAAACTGTTGCCATAAACCCAGGAAAACAGTTCACAAGTTTAACTGAGACATGAGTTACACAATATGTCCTTTTGAGCAAATAGTGAATGTAAAAACCTACTTTCCGCCTAAATAAACAGAGGATGAAAAAAATGTGTTGATTAATCACATGACCTGACCTGTTTTTGCAAAACTTCCTGTCTGTAGGAAGAAGCTCATCAGGGTGTACTCGAGGGCAGTTTCTCTGTGAAGACTGCCCCCTGCTGTCGATTTGCAGAACTATAGAAAATATTGCCAAATAATATTGTGCTTTACTTTTCTACCCATGCTATGTGATGTTATGAAAATAGGCCACTTTATGCTGCACAGAACTGGAACAAACTTTGGGTAGTTATGATCATAGGTCAGAGACTTCATCTAATCAGAGTAGAAATCACAACCTGACCCTGTTTGTGTTTCTATGTGTGCTGAGAAGGCAGGTGGACACTGAATAACTGTGTGTATGTGTTTGTTATATCCTCAGGCTGCCATCCGTAAGGAGCTGAATGAGTTTAAAAGCAGAGAGATGGAGGTTCATGACGAAAGCAGACATCTCACCAGGTACTAAAGCAGTCAACGGCTTCTACTGTTCAGCCCAATTTAGCTGTAGCTCTCTCTCTCTTCAATAACAATTCATCAGCATTAATCCTGCTGTTTATTAGCTCACATTGATCAATACCACAATTATTCTGGTGCCTGAAAGCCATTTCCTCTCTCCACGTTGAAGGCAGGATACATTGCACACACCTTAGTGGACTCGAGTTCATTAGCCTCAGGTATTGATTGTTAATAAAGTTCAGCCCTACTCTCTTATGTTCCTCGACTCGACCTTTGCCGTGTAGTTTAATAGCAGTGCAGAATACAAATTTTACACCAGCGACTCCAATTGCGTCATTCTTTCTTTGGTTATGTGGAGCGTCCCGGTGCTTTCGTAGTTTTGACTGGTTTTGTGGATGTTGCTCCTCTTGTATTGTTTCTCAGGCCTCATGAGAACAGTTCAGCCAGGCCAGTCTGAATATTTCTTTGTATTGCATAATGATTTGGAAACAATAGCCTCTTTCTCTACTGCTACAGATTCGAGGTCAGTCATAAATCTTGTGCAAAACTATTCAAAGGTAACATTATACCCACACTTCTTATTCTCTAAAACAGAGAGGAGTCATTCAAAGTGCCTGGGAGAAATCTCATTGGATCAGAAAGCAGCTGCTGTAATAATCAAATTTGCTCATATTTTCCATAGAGATTAGTGCTGTTATATACTTAATTCATAATACTCCACTTATTGAAATGAGCCTGAATGTGACCCCGAGGACAGAGAATAAACTTCTCTCCCTTCTCTGCCTCATTGACTAAACAGTGTTACTAAAGTCCCCACATAATAGAGTGACCGTACGTCCTCTTTTACCCGGACATGTCCTCTTCTTTGCGGGCTGTCTGGCTTTGTCCAGGGAAGTTTATAAAGTCCTTCAAATGTCCGCGGTTTTGTACGGAAGTTTTGAGTTTGTGTCATGTGGACTTACTGAGTTAGAAACGCGTAAAAGACACTCGATCCGATCTGAAAAACTCTGAAAATTAACTTTGTGCGACTCCTTGACTCTGCCCCCGCAAAGTCATGTCCTCTTTTAGGGAAGTCAGAATATGGTCACCCTACCACATAACCTCATAACATAACACCCTAGCATCTTGAGTTATTAAAGAGAATAACAGAATGAGAGTGCTCGTCAAAAAAACGGAGTGTGATGACAGACTTTTCATTTACACACCTCGTTGGAGTTCACAGGGGGATGTAGAATTTCTTCTCAGTGTCAAGAGTTTTGAATTTAAATGTAATAGTATTTTATTTGTTGTGTTACTTGGTTTAAAGGTGAAAGCACCTCTTTAAAAAGGTTTTAGCACTGCAAAGATATCTCACACAAGCGTTCAACTGGAAGCAATGGAAACACGAATGAAAATTGAAGCATTTGGAAACACACAACAACAAAAAGTCCTGATCCGAAGCTTGTCTGTCTGTCTGTCTCTGTTTTTCAGATTCCATCGACCCTAATCCCTCTCGCCGTCTGCTTGTACGTCAGCACCATGAGCTCTCTGGTCCACAGCTCCCAGCTCTTCATCCCCTCAGTACACAGTTCAGTCCTGTCAAACCCCTGGTGATGATGATGATGATATATGTCTGTCTATAGTAATGGCTGCAAGTGTGTCTTAAGGCTTTGGCCATCTATGGACTCTAGTGAAACATTTGCACAGATCTGTCAGAACAATGGTGTGTATAGCGCTCTGATTATTTATTATAGATGACCAGAACTTGCTGGAATATCTTTTCTTTTTGTTCAAACTTTTATGTTTCTTTCTCTTTTTTGGGGGGTGGGGGTGGGGGGGATAACGCCAGGCTTTTTATGAGAGGAAATTTGGGCTTAATTACCCTCAAGAGTAGTGAATGTGTTTTAGGTGTGAGAGTTTGTGTACTTGCCAAGGTATGCCTTGTGATAAACTGCCAAATGGCCAAATATGGGCATCCTCCGACAGCAGGAAATGGGAGCGATTGGATGGCTTCCTGCTGATGTCAGTGCCCATGTCATAGATCAGGGGGGAGCAGAGACAGTTTGTTCTGCTCTGATGTGCCTCTAGGAATTGAATCTGACATACTGCAGTTCATTCGAAGACATATTCAAATTATATCTGCCACTAGGGGGCATTATATCATTAGAGTTATCAACTGCACAGGTAAGACATTTATAGAGAGGAAGAATAAGTGAGTGTTATTTCTGCTGAAGCGCAGGGTTTAGTGGACACCTGAAGCTGTAATAATGAAGTGCAATGGAAATCACTCCAAGTTTAGCCAATCCTGATCCCTCAGCACTCTGGCTGTGATCGTGTACCGCCACACATCCTGCGTTGAGGAATTGAGAGCAAACCTTTGATCGTCAAGTGCTGAACTTGCTGTTTTTTTGGGATCTAATTTTCACGTTTTGACTTCAGGTTTTCATTGTGAGTTTTTTGACTGGAGCTTTCACTCAGTGACTTAGTGCCAATCAATAAGCAGGAAATTAATTACATTTTGGTGTTTTTTTTACTTGAAAGTTTACAGGTTTGATTTTGTTTGGAAGTGATCAGCTGGTCTGGAGGGGGGGGGGGGCAGTACTTTATTTTCTATCATTTTGAACATGTTTTTGTAGTTTAATCTGTCAGAATGTGATGGATATGTAAAGACAGACATGACCTCAAGTGGCCCTTTTACATCTTGCCTTAACATGCACCTTTCAATTAAAATGATTACGAAATAGACTCAAAAAACAAAGTATCGAGAATCGTATAGTAAGCAAGTGGTTATGCTTCAAAATAGAATCCCAGCAGGGTGAGCAGAGATCTCTTCAAATTGAATCTGACAGGGCAAACGATGGCTTATTTTCCTCTTTTTTTCTGATTTGTAGTAAATAAAACAATGAATTCATTAATTAATCCATCCGGGGATAAAACTAAAAAACTTTCAAGAGTCTCCTTCTAACACCGTGATGCTTCAATTCATCATCAGGATGGAAGTTAAAACAGGAGATTGATACCGCTCTCATCTCCATGCGTCATCCATTAGAGTGGTGATTGTCCCATTTAGTCCTCAATGTCATTCACACTTTAGTTTTATGAATCATTGGTTCATTTAATCGTTAAAGTAGGACTGGTAGTGTAACTCTTTGGACTGACTAATGTGATTTTAAATCTTTAATCAAATAAGGAAAGCGGTTAAGGAAGTACTTTTGTTGGAACATGCAGATACATAAATATTAGCTGTATACAGAGATTTTATAACCATGACTTCTATGTGGTATGATCATTTCAATCACAATAGAACTTTATTTAACAAAGATTTAAGGCTTTTAAGTTCTCTATAATAAAAAGTCAACTGCTCAATCTTTTTAAGGTGTCAGGGAGTCAGGGATATCTGCACGTTTAAGTCAGTGGATTTTGGCTCTGATGAAGGCCTGACTGGCCCACAGGTCGGCACATTAAAGTGAAAATTGCACTGATGAAGTGTGCCGATATCTGCTTGTCTTTAAGTGCTTTAGGAAAAATACACAAGAGGTGTGTTAATGCAAGATGTTAAGGGATTTGACAATAATTTGGGGGGAATGTTTAGCTGTTCACAATCAGAACAACAAAACCTAAAAATGAAACGTATTTGTATGAATTAAAAACTCCCTTTTAAAGCTCTTGACATATTTAGGACGTGTAGAAAAGCTTGGTTAGGAAAATGAAACATTACCCCTTATTAGCTTGTATAAAAGTATATATTTGAAACTTAAGAAAGGCGTGTTTCCTCCTAGTGTATTTGGACTCTGAAGGAGATAACGGCTGAATAGTGAGTGACAGATTGAGCCTGCTGACGCCCAAAGGCTGCTGCTCTTATAAAAGATCTCCCACCTCCACAAGACTCATCAAAAACAACGAAAGGACAGATTTACCCTGAATGTGCCGGGGTTGTATCATGAAGTAATGCACAGTGAGAAAACGACAGTATTCAGTGATGTTAATGTGTATGTTGTTATATATTGATTATTTTGTACAGAATGTATATCGAGCATGTGCATACATTGAAATCAGTTTTATTACCAATATGATACAATAGAACTTTGATGTGAATGTTTTACGCTCTGATTTCAGTCGTGTTTTTTTTTTTTTTTGTCACCCACAAACAATGGAAAAGAGTCCCACCTGTTTTCTAGGCAGACCATGTACCAGACATTATATAAGGAGTTAGAAATCTGCAGCTCATTTCGTATTCTTCCCACCTTCACTTGGACTGGACTCAGCAGATGCAGTGCAGCAGGTATTTTCATGGATGGGCAGTTTAAAGCAATTTCAAATCCTTCTTGGAACTCACATTTGATTAATTTCTCTAGATTAGTGGAGTTCACCTTGCACCAGCTTGAAAGAAAGCAGACTGGAGGTGCCTTGAAAAATTGAATAAATCAAAGTAAGCGTTAAGCGAGCAAATAGAAGCTATATTAACTTAGGTGCGGTGTATAACCCTGTTGCATTTTGTGAGTAAGCAAATTCTCTGGGGTTAATATGGTGGACAAAGACTGTTGGAAAAGACCAGGATACTCTTTTCTCCAGGTGTCCTCCCATTTAAAACAGAGATGAGTCAATACAGAAATAACTAACAGAGACTGTCATCATTAATTTCCTGCATCACTGGTGCATAATTCCAAATGTTTTATCTCATGATTAGAAACGGCACCTAAATGAGGCAGCAGAGAGATGTGACAGTTGGTATGAACTCATAAACATGTGGTATTAACTACAGGGAGCGAGTCCTATCAAATATTTTACGGCTGCTCTCAGTTTCATCTCACCTTGTAACCCACGGATCATTGAGACAAAGACAATAAAACTTACAGATAAGACCTGAGAGGCATTAGAAGTCTGGATACATGCCACACTCTTCAGTAATGCTCATAAAGCAGAAAATTTGGATTTATACATCCAGACATCTCCGTTTCAAGTGTGTGCCTTTGGAATAGCAAATAAGTCAGTTTGAGACATTTGCTCACTATCCGAGCCTCTCATCTTATCATAGCTGCAGATTTCTGGTAACGCTTACATCAGAGGATGACTGCTGTCACGCCGGTGCTTATTTAAGCTTCCTTCATCATTTCTCCAAACCCTCCAGTTTTTATGTTGAGCCATAATCAATCTTCTGCTGCTGCTGTTTTTGATCTAAAGCTTCTTATTTGTAACATGTAATCTTTCCGGATCATGTCAGAGTCACAGTGAAGTTTCAGGACTTAGAGGGGATTCCCAGGTGTCACTCAGTCACACTTTAAACCTTCTGGGTTAAAATACAGAGAAAGAGAGATGCAGACAAGAATCAGTTTTTTTAAAGTCACATGTTAATGTCATATATTCCTAAAATCCTTACTGTTACGTCCAAACTGTGTACATTGTTTTTGTATATAAAGAATCATGAAAACATTTATTTCGTCTTCCTGTTTTTTATTTCCGTCATGTGATCAGATCAGTTTGACTCGATGAGAAAAGTAGAGGATGAAAAAAAAGAAAATTTAACATTTAAACACAAAAAACAATCAGTAACGTGTAGAAATAAAGCAATCCCTTCTCTGGCCTTGCAGTCATTGTATTCTCAGCTCCACTTCCTAAAGTTCAGTCTTTTAAAACCACATTTCTTCATTAACTATGCAGAGACATAAAATGGGAAGCGCTTACTCTCTGGAGGATTAAATTTTTAAATACATTAAAGCATTTCTCTTTCAATTTTCTTTTGCATCACAAGAGAGGCTATGAGACAAATTTGCAGCCTTTAAGGAAACTCGGGACTGTTCCAGCTCGTGCCAAATGAGGCTTTTTAGGATATTAAAACAGAATGAAGGAAATCAGCTGTTCTGAATTCTTTTTAAAAAAGGGCAGAGATGACTGTAGTAACTCTTGGAAATGTGCAGTGAGCTGTGATGAGCCTTCTGGCTCTGACTGGGTTGCAGCTTGGGTAACATAAGGAGGATGGATTCAAAGGAGAGAGTATGAAGGCACATCAGGTTTAGAAGGATGTTGGCTCGTCAGTCCACCTCTTAAATCCAGACTGGAATATTCAACAGCTATCTGATGCATTTCTGTGAATTTTTATACAGATGCTCAGTGTGCCTAGAGGGTGAACTCAAATGAATCTGGGGATCCTCTGAACATCCTCCTCACCAGCAATTAAAAAGATTGCATTTTGTTTAGATGTTTTTTATCCCCTCTCAGTATGAGTTGGAACAAAACCAGAACTTTTTATTTGTTCAGTTCAAATCGGTAACACTTGATGTGAACCCACCTCTGAACACATTTATGAATATAAATAAAGCTTTAGAGCAACCCCGAGCACTCATTACAGCTTTTATCAATGTTTATAAGGTGTTATGAGCAGAGAGCATAATGCCTAGTAAAAGTATGATTTCTAATGGAATACAGCTTAAAACTTACAATTATAAGTGTACTTATGGTGCATTATAGGAGGTAGATTTATATAAATTGTTCGAAAAATGTGCCAGTTTTTAGCACAGCTTCACAAAATGCTCATACTCATAGGGTTAACCATGACTATAGACCCAAATACCATCCAGCAAAGCTTAAGACAAATAAAACATAATATGCCTTATGCTTCCTCCTGTGTTAGCTTTTACTACGCACCCACTCTGTTATGGGTCGGTTTTGATCTGTTTCTTAAATCAGCTGTACATTACACTAAAAACATTTCTCTATCATCCAGTTTGGTTCTCATCTCTAGGTTACCTTGTTCGGCTTCATTATCCATAAAAATATTTCTCATAATATTTTATGTAGTGGGCCTCTGGGTCTTTCTTTGTCAGTATACCCCTCACACAGACATCTATACTGAATTGATCTTACATGTCTGGACATGCCTGAGGTTGTTTTTTTGTGTGGGAAAAAACAGGTAAAATGAGAATTTCCTAAATCTCACATGATTAGAAGAGGATCTGGCTGTCAGTGTGGTGCCTGACAGTGCATATATGATTTTAGTTTTTGCTCTAATTATTAGATATTAATCTAACTTACCCTAACACGACAAGTGCCATAGTTTTAGTAAGAATAATTTTATTTTGTTGAAATAGAGTCAAAAAGTCTTGATGCAAAAAAGCTAATTTAAGTGGTTCTTTTAAGCATTTAAAAACAAAAACAGGTCGGTGCAGACCCTAACACAGGAGGAGGATTAAATTAACATGCTTTTTAATGACCAGCAGGCAAGTCTTAAAAGTATGGTTCCCATCTTTAAATAATGTGAAACTGCTCAGTTTGAGGTTTTGGGATCGTAATATCCTAGTGTTTGTGTCCTCTCCTTTTATACCCAAGAGCTCCCAGAAAACTTGTTTTTAAGTGGCCCAACACCTCAAACATGAACACACACTCATACACCTGTTCAAGAAGACAGTCACACCCTTCAGCAAACAAGCCAATCATAGGAGTTAAAAACAGCCCAAGAAAAATCACCAATGTTCTATGAGCAATTTTCATGAACAGTGTCTGGGCAAAGCTTCTGAAAGTTAGTATGCAAACGTTTTGAGATCAGCATTAATCTACATTAATACTGAGCTCAAAGTGTTGTTGCCTGCACTGATGTACTCCGGATATTTCCAGAAACTCTAATGCTTGCTCCCCAAACAGGAAGTCCATATAAAAATGTACCTTCAGCCTTCAATGTGCAAGCACACTGTGATAAATGCGGGACTGAGAGGTAATTGGCTTTATCAGCGGGGCTATTACAACCACATTTAGTCCGAAGAGATTTCTGATATATTTCCTGAATGAACACTAGTTCTCTGAATTCTCTTCCTCCGAATTGATTTAGCCTCATTATTTCTTGCATGTTGGATTTTGTGGATTTGAAGCGCACGTCACCCTGATATCTCTGTCACAAACATCTCTGGACCTTTGACTCAACATGCAGCTAGGTTTATATGGGAGGTTTCCATGCCAATGACCATTAAAGTATCCAATTTCAGTCCTATCTATTCAGCCTCATTCAGAGCCTGCCAGCTTTTAGAGAGGATGTGGGCGTAATGGAGTTGGTTCTTAAGGAGATGGCGAAGAGATGAGAACTACAGAGATTGAAGGCTTTAAGGGGGGTGAGGAGACAAGTAAGGGCTGCAGGGATAGAGACCATCGGAAATGAAAGACTGGATAACCAGCAGAGCTTATGTCGAGGTCTAAGGCCTAACAACTGACAGCCTTTGGAATTGATTTTACAGCACAAAGATGCTTCAGCTTGACCTGAGTGGTGGGGAAAGTGTAAATAGAATTTTTTGATTTGCCCTTGGAGTGTGCCCATTTGTTGGCTTTGCAGCTCCCTGGCTTGTTATATAATTCTATACTCCAACAGCGGTGATAATTGGGTTTAAAGAGCAAAGGAGGACAGCCAGATGACTGCAACAGCTGGTGCGCATACCTGAAAGATGCCCCCCTGGACTGCAGTGATGGTAAACCTCCTGCTCTTTCACATACATTTTTCACCTAAAAAAAAACACCCCAAAAAAACCCCATCTCTCCTCAACTCCCTCTAAAACCGTATCCTGATCGGTTTCTCAGACAGAAGTGTTAACCCTGACCTTAAACCAAACTGGAGACCTTTTTCAAAGTGCTAGACAACCACTTTTCACCAAAATGCTTTCACCTCACAGTCTGAAAAATTCTGCTTCTTGTAAAAATCACACAAAGGACTTTAAAGTAAGTTAATGAAGATTACCAAGAGGCATGGGAAGGCAGACACACAACCTGGAAGTCTACGCACGTGTCCTTTCAAAATTTATAAGGGCAAATATGATTCATAAGTCTAGTACCCTGCAAAATTATAAAAAGTGTGATGGTTTGAGTTTTTTTTCCAGCATGTCACACTGTTCTGCTGACATTCATAACTCTTCCTCAATTACCTGTGCTTTTTGTAAAGGGATTGAAAGGCCATAAAGTAGGAAAGAAGAGAAAAACTCAGGAACCTGAACGGCAGCCTTAATTTTCAGAGCTCAGAAATTTGTGAAAAGATAATACCTCTTTAAAAGCTGTGGGTCCATCAACTAATTCCCAAATCCAATTAAATCTTTTTTCTAACATTTGAAACACCTCAGCTAAAAAGTGTCTGAAACAGATCAAACCAAAACCTTATTAAACTTCATGTCTCTAAGGTCTAGCATTCACTCCCGTTCTCAGTCCGAAAGCTTTAATTCATCCAGACGTGTTTGTATTTAGTTATAGGGAATTGTTTCAGGCATTCACTCCATTCTCTGTCAAAAATATTGAAGTTTTGTTCTCACCGTTTTCACCCAACTGGTTAACCTGTAGAGATGGAGAAAGACAACATAATATGATTAATAAAGCACATAAACGTCAAGGTGGGTGTGGGATTTTAGTGGAGGAGAACGGCAGAAGAGAAGGCCATGAGAAAGATGAGTAAATCAGGTGGGTGTCAAGGAGGTGGGGAGGTAATTGGATTGTGTGAGCGCTCATATTTGACGAAGGCGAATCTGCTTCCTAGACCTTTTCACCCCTTTCGCTGAGCTCCTGTGTAATCAAGGGACAGAAAGGGGATGTGTGTATCACCGGCCAAACAAGCATGAACACAGAAAAGCCAAGTGGTCATTAAAAGATACAATTCACCATGTCAGGAACCATTTAAAAATGCAATCATGCACCCGTTCTGATGCGGTGTCCTGTCTTAGCGAAGCTGTCAGAGGTTTGTGAGGAGGAATGGAATTAATTACCACGACTATCAAGACTCTGCAGGAAGCGGAGCACTCGCAGAGGTGAGGTGATAATGAGCTGCCACGCCAGATTAGATCAATGCAGTGGGAGTCTGATGGGAGATGTTAGAGCTGTCCTGTACTTTCTGACTTCACTGCCTGCTTCAAAAAGCCTCAACATCCAAATAGAGTTAATGAAACTGCTTGAAATGGACTTAAGTTGTCTGTTTGAACTTTGGTGCATCTGAAGATCAGTGGGGACAAAGATGAGGTGAGAAAAACTCACACATGTCCAGAATAATAATACACCTCAGTTCAATTTAAAATGAGAAATTAAATGAGAAAACAGACTGGAATTCATATTGAGGCTTTTTTGTTATATATAAAAGCAAACAAGACCATCAGTGACAGGAGTGTCAGTCTTTATAGTGTAATTTTCAATGCCTGAAATGAGCGAGAGGGGGTCGATGTCAGCTGAGCAGCTGAAGAAACAGCCTTGTTTTTACAATTTCAACACAAAAAGTCACTCTCAACGATAGATGTGACTGTTTAAAGCCAGCAGGATGAGATATTTTGTCTACATAAGCATATAGAGGAAAACTGATTTGTCCAAAAGTTCTTCACAGGAGCGTTGAATAATTCACAACAAAATCAAATCTAACTCACTCATAATTTGGAATTATCTAGACCAAAACAAAGCCTGATTTCAACAAAAACTTAACTGACACACGTTTATATTCTCATTGCAATTGTTTTTCACAGGTTTCTCCATGTTCATGATCTAAATTTAGCATATTAGCACGCTAACAGCTGGTTATTAGCAACTACAAAAAGTGCAGTTGTAGATAGCAAAATTGTTTTTGGTTATGTGGCGATCTCTTCAGATACTGTTGACTGGATTTTTGCCAAATTTCAGTGGGAAAAATAATCAGATCTTAGCTGTGTACCAGTCCTCTGAAGGATGGATTTGAAGACTGTTGAAGTGGGCTGGCAGCAGAGGCACCAGGAATTATATACACATAAATGATCATAAATGTTCTTCCTTGCACTGCGTCATCCTGCTGTGGTCCGTAATGGACTGGCCTGAAGTCTCGCTACAAACAAGCGGCTGCTGGAAGAGAGTAGGTGAGTTGTGTTTAGTCTCTTTGCTAAAGAAATTAGGCAAAGCTAAAAAGATGTTTGGTGGTTATTGCTGTGGCTGGGACCCTGTATGTACTGTTGATGAAGTTAGGTGCTGTTCTGAGCATTATTTGTGGCTATAGAGTGGCGTTTTGGTTGAGGTTTGTGTGTGGCTCCTCAGACCACCGTGTATTATTATTGTGCGGTCGTTACTAAAGTTGGTATAACTAGAGAGGCAAGCGGTCGACAACATTCATCTCTAGAGGGGGTGTCTAACTTGGTGTTACGGTGTTTGACCCTAAATTAATTTTACGCCGGAATATCCCTTTAAGGCACCCACTCTGTTGGGAGTTTTTCTGGTTCATTATGAAGATAATAAGGATAAGAGATTGGCGAATCAGAGGCAAGACTTGATTGAATGACTGACTGACTGATAGGCAGACACACTGGAGGTATTTGATGGAAGGCTAATGGCCCGCCTCTGGTAGGATGATTGAATTATGTTGTGTAAGCATTACCAATATGGCGACCATAAACGACAGGCTTCAAAACCCTGCTTCACAAAGAAATGGTCATTAATCATACCCTCTGTGATCCTCAACCCACCGTGATGTATTTGACTCAGTAATCTCTCACAAATGTGGTTACAGACTCCCTTTGTAAACACACACAAGCATATGAGTGTAACTAAAGGTTATGTCTTTATAGTAAATACTAAAGCTGTCTTATTGCTTTCAGATGGATGCCTGTAGAAGCTGTATTCAGCTGGGTGTGAGGATGAAGTGTCCTTGTGTCTATTTTCACCAGCAAAGATTCACAGCTAGGAAGAAGTGAGACAAAAGGAAGCAAAAGTTCCTCACAGTGGTTTAGACTTGGTATCTATCTAGCCCATTCATCGGTTTATTCTTTCAGAGGAAGGTGACAGCACATGTTCAGAGCCAAGCCGGTGTGGCTAAAATGGTGGTGTTTTCAACAGGTGTGATCTTGTAACAGGATCTAACAATCTGCTGTTCGTGAGTCACCCTCTGCTCCTGCTGATCTCCTGAGAAACCTTGTTGTTGTAAGATGGGAAAGCAGCCAGTTGATCATGTGGTTATCTCAAGTCATCACAGCTTTATTTCTTTTAATACCATGAACTAAGTAATGACCCAAATTACATTTATGTTTGTTTAAAAAATATAAGAACAATAGAAAAATGCTGCTTAAACTTTTATTCTGTGTTGTTTTTGTGGGTTGTGTTCATCTTCAGGAAGTGCAGCAGTATTAAATTGAGGTGTAAAATATTTATGGTCCTGGATTTCAGTCAGAGGGAACAAAAGACTCCTTATATTAGAAATAATAGGCTCTGTAAATCAGCAAGGAGTCTTATGAGCATTCAATAATTTTATACACCTCATTTATGTGATCATTTCTGAACACCTATTCAGCTGGTTTTAATTAAAATCCCAGCAGTGTTTTATGGCAGTTTTTACATCTTTATTGTGCATCTTTGTCGGGAAGCAGGTTTGAGAGTGAGGGACCATGTGAAGCAACAACGAAAGCAGGAGAGAAAAAGAGCACTTAATGAAAAAAAAACAGAAACAGTTTCCATGTCATAAATTTGAACTTGAATAAAACAGAATAAAATATAAGATTTTGTTTTGAGGATGTTTTCTATATTATTGTTATCCAACTGTTTTCATTGTCCAAAGCACGATATAACCTCTGGTGTTGATAAATAAGATCAATGCAGTAGGACCATTGACTATATAGAATGGACAGCGTCTGCCTCCTCGCTGGGTGAAGCCACTCCAAGAACAGCACCCTCTGGTGACAGGCTGCAGTATAGGTCATAAATGCCACCTCCTCCAGCAAAATTTATGGAGCTGTGGACAAACTTCAGAAATTCATTACACAGAACATAAATTCTTTTCCCCCCTGATTGCGATGTTGACGTGTAGTTACTGTAAGACTGGTTTGTGCTCTAGTCCTCTTTTATTTCTGTACGGCTCCATTTTAAAAGTTATTAGGGGGTTCATGTTTTCTATGATTGACACTTGATACAGCCTATGAACGTACGAAGACTGCGTAGCTCACCCAAGGATACGCTGCTTGAGCCGAGCGTCATCTCAGCGTATCTCAGCGATTCTCCCGCCAAATGTGCACAATGCTACTGCGCAAGTGGTGGAGTGTGTACAATGCTACCGCGCAGTGTTGTTTCCAGAAGATGGAGAAAAAATGCTGAATTACTGAGAACTTTTCGGCTCTAAATCTGTATACTGGAAGAAGGTGGAACCAAGTTGTCCGTAGTATATACAGTCTGTGAGTAGTAACTTGTAAGCGCCTAAAGCTGGCTCCAAGAGTTGAGGAAGTCCAAGCTGATCCAGTTTATTATCCGGTGCAAAAAATGCAGATTTGTTGCACATCCATGATCTGAATCTCATGTTCGACCACATCCCTTAAGTGCTCTATTGGATTGCGATCTGGTGACAGTGGAGGTATCAACAACCATGGTACTTTCAAAGTCACTTCAATCCCCTTTGATTTGAACACGCCTGAATGGATTGAGCTGCTGTCATGTGATTTTCTGATTAGCTATTTGTGTTAATGAGTAATTGAACAGGTGTAACTTATAAATGATAAGTGTATAGACTGTAGTATACAGCAGGGCGAGTTTGGAGGAGTGTAAAATCAGTCAGGCTCATGAAATGACAGCAGTTGGTTTAACAAGCTCAAACTCTGAGCCTGTGTTTTTGTTTGAGAAAGGGGAATATCCACACACTTAGTGCAATTTTCTCCCCTAATGCACCAAGCTTTCAGCCTGGTTGAAAGCTCAGCACATTAGAGGGAAAATTGCACTGACTCAGTGTGTGGATCTCCTCCTTTCTATGTTTGAGTTGCTTTTTACTCTGACACCTCAAAGTTTGAGACAGGGTGAGTGGCGGTCTTCTTACTACATATCTATTTCTTTTTTGAACGTTGAAGAAAAGGAGGTACAAAAAAAATTAAACACAAAACATAGCTATGTAAGCAGCTTTCGGTGGGGCTGCTCTTTTTAATTACAGCACAAATTAGAGCAGTTTCAGGTCAAAAATCAGGGTGTCAGCGGAAAGCCTTTGAAATATCATGATTTGATTTTGTTTTTTATCTCGCTAGTAATAGAGGAAAACTATTCCAGAGCCAACAGTCATTTTCATCTCTATCAAACCCTTTTTATGGTGCAAAATGCAGGCACATGTAATCATTTCTGCTATCTGCAGGTAATTTTTATTTTGAAAAAAGGGGGCATGAGAGGTTCCTTTTCATGTGCTTTTCCTACAGTGTGGGTGTAATTGCTTACAATGAAAGTACACCCACCTGCAAGCTTCTCTGCTATTAGCAAACGACAGTCCATCTCCACTGATGTAACAGGAGATCGAGGAGCAGAGTATCTCTGCGCTCATTTCTGAGAGAGAACAAGTCAAGCGGTTTATGTGAGAGTTTCATGTGCGTGTATATGTTCATGTGAGCGCACATCACTGGACCTCACGTTGCTTTCACGCCTGACTTGGCATCGCCGCCTCCACGACTCTCACGGTGGGGACAGATGGCGAGGACTTACCCCACGAACAAACCTCCCAACACACACCCTCAGCCAGACATGATGTGCTGCACATTAACTTCCATGGCACCCACTGACTTGTCTCTCAATCCAACAATGACTCATACACAGCATCCTTTCCCACCAAGTGATTGTATTTGGGTGCATGGGTCTGGCTGACAGTATGCTATGATAAATCACCCAAAGTCAGCAAGTAAAACAACAGGCCCTGCTGTTTTCTGTTGCCACACATCACCTGCTGCTGCCCACTCCAGTAAAACAGGAGCCTTGTATAAGCTGCAGATTTCTATAATTACCCCTTTAAACCCCCCTGAGGCGATATTCATCATGAAATCATTTTCTGTTAAGTATATCAAGCTTAAAGGTACTTGAATGCAGCATGGGGATAATGATCACGATGAGAACCTGGAGCTGAATTTAATCAGCGACAGCTTGAGAAGTCAATTTGTTTTCAGAGATTTAATTACTACTTCTTGTTTTCCAGATCTGTAAGTGAAAAGCAGAACATCTGGCAAATGTATCTCAATATGATTGTAATGATTTTCATATAAATACATGCAAAACACTTAAACGTAGGGGTGGGAGAAAAAATCGATTCACATAAGTATTGCACTTTTTTGTTTTACAATTTTTAAATCAATTTTCATGTTCAAATATTGATTTTTCTTTTTCAAATTTAAGAATAAATCTTAAAAACTGACTTACATGTGATGTGTATTTTTTAGCAGCCTTCAGGCTCCATGTTCACCTTTACAGACAGAACTTTATAAATCCTTGACTTCACTTCACCCCTCAAGGCTTTTACTGTGTCCCATTCCCAAATACAATGGGTTTATGTTCCTTTAAAGAGGCCATGCTTGAAACACTGGTCAGAAATACTGCCATTGAATCTGTGTAGTTTCGTGGTGTAATGTAATTATGCATGAACGAGCTTTCATTTCTTTCAGCATCATACATGTCAACCAGACGCATCAGTTTTGCTACAATGGTCACTCTGGTGGTTTTGCATAATTTAGCAAATTGACGACAAGTCCTGTTTTGTTTTTTTTCACACTTGACTGCTCTACCCATAATGTCTTCATAATATGGACATCTAAAAAAACATGATGCATAATTATCTAATCAACCATCAGACACCGCCGTGATGTAATATGTCAGGCTGCGTGTTTAAGCAGTGTACAGCTGATCTTGAAGCACTCAAATCTGTGGGTGGATAACTGTGTGTGTTTATGTGTCTGTGCCTGATGGTGGTGCAAATGTGAGCGACTGTGTAGGCGGACATCATGATGATTCTGCAAGGTCGAACATGAAATTCACAACAGAAAGATGCCACTCTGGACCATATACAGTCCATGCAACAGATCAGCTTGATGCTCATGTTTTAGGTGAATAAAGGCCTGACCTTCAGTTTTTGCTGTCCAAACTGGCCTCACAAGACTGGTTGGAGTCTGAAGAGTAGAACTAAAATGTCAGTGGAAAAATCTTAAGTCACACAAGCTCTTATAAACAAAGCTTGACTGTTGTCAAGCTTCAGAGAGGTCATCAGACACTTAATAGAAACGTTTTTTCCATTGAGAGCCTTTTTGGACCCACCATTAAGACTGTGTAAAATAAAGATAGGTCTTTTATTTGCTGCCTGCTTTTTAACTTCATTCTCAATACTGACATTCCTCCTCTCCCATTCTTCTGAACCTTAATGCATCAAAACTCATGCCTATAAAACTATTTTTAAAAATTTTCATTGTTTCTTTTGCCTTCTTTGCAGAATTTAGAATGAGATGCATTACCTATTGTCCGAAATCCTTTCAAGCCAATAAAACAAGACAATATTGATTTGGTTTAAGATAACTGACATCTTTAGAGAATTTACTTTACTTTCTCTATTTGTATTACAGCAACACATCTGAACAAAGGGAATTAAAGCTGCTGTGTGCAAATAGGCCATCATCCCATCATTATGAACGCTTTGTTAAAGCACTAAGGTCATGCGTTGTGAGTGTGTGAGGAATGAGGATTTGAGATGGCATTCGAAAAGAGGGGGATTCTATCATAGTATCCCATGTTGCCTGGAAACAAGATGCCCATTACATAAGACAGAAAAGCCCCATTCAGCATGTAACAGTCTTATTATAGTGTTCACACCTTTTTAAAGCTGTCGAGACTCTTAAAGCCGTTAATTTACATATATGTTTTTGCAAATATTGTACTGAACAGCGTAAACTCTTCTGAAGCATGCTATAAATAATGACAAAGTGATGAACTATGTGTTGTCACTTACTGTAAACTTGTTTGTGGGATTTCTCATATCCATGCTTGCTGTGTTTACATTAAGGGTTCTATTAAAAAGGGATTTAAAAAAATGTGCTGTCTACTATTTCCATATATGGACATTTGTTAACATTTAGTGGAGAACAGGACATTTATCTTTCTTTCCTCTAAATACAGGAAAATCTGCAGAAATGTGAAGTCATGCAGAGTCTGTGATTTGGCATTTTAAAGTCTGCATCAGAGTCTTCATGCAACTAACGATGGGAAAGTTGGACGACACAATGCTGTGTAACACAACCACAACATAACTCAGTGTTAGTGAGTCTGATTATAGAGACTGGAATTTGGCGGTCCTTTTTTTAACAACCCATCTACAATGCATAGAGTAATTATTACTTTTGATAGAAATACAAAAATGATCAAATAAATGGCTTCTTACCAATCAGACCCACAAACAATCAACTCTAAAACAAGTTAATAAAGCACTGTCGTAAAAAAGGCAGACAAGAGTGCAACAACTTTAAACCAGTGATTTAATTAATCACAACAGAGGCTTCTAAACATATTACAACACCCGAACAGATTGTGTTTCCCCCATGTGCACATTTTTAATCATCCTCTTGAATAAAACTTTAAATCCTGGGGCAAGAAAGAGAATCAGTGTTCCAAATGCAGAAAGTGTAAAGATCAGAGTCCAAGTGTCTTATGGTTTTTAAGTGAATAATCATTCAGCATGGGCAGGGTCACACAGGGCTGAGGCCTCAGACGACTAAAAAAAAGAAAAATCGTAGCATGACATGGTTTGTAATTATTGCGGCAGAAATCCCAAATCCTACAAAAATGTGGGAAAAATAAAAAAAAAGACACTGTGTTTTCTATGCATCATCGGGTTTGTCTGCTGGTGGTCCACACGGCTGAAGCATCTTCTCCATCAAGTTAAAGCGGACACGCGCTTTGCTCTCATTCTCAGCCACAGAGAAGTAGTTGAGCAGGTCAAAATGTCCCATGTAAGAGCAGTAAGAGTCTCTATGCTGGTTGACCAACCACTCCCACTTGCTGGTGTCAGCATGTCCTGTGCCGATGTATTTGGACTGAAGATGCTCCAACTGACTGTGGATGTTGTATCGGTCGGTCATTGTTGCTGGAATGGGAGTCCCTGAAGCTCTGGTGAGAGGGGGAAAAATATGACTGAATACAGGATTCATGCAGGGGCAGACACTGGGTATAAGAGTGTGAGTGAAAATGGAATGAAATCGGAGGCCAAAGGATGTTTAGAGGTCATATGACATAATGATGATGACATGGCTCGAAACCTATTTGCTTAACGACTTGGATGACCCAAGTGGTCAAGTGGAGTGAATGTAAGGCTTTGTAAGTAAATCCAAAGAACTGAGTATGTTATATTTGTCACACTATCTGACTCATAAAGCTTATTCATATCATCATGATAAAAGTCGAACAAAGGCCTTCTTTTAAGTACTTGGATGTAATGATGGACCGTTTGTACTCCTGGGAAGACCACGCTGAATGTATCTAAGTCAAGAAAACAAATTTACCCTCTACTTATTTAGATATTTTGGTGCAGGCTGACAAATACTTGTTTTGTTCTTGACTTTTATGATCTCAAGTAAGGCTGCACGATATTGGAAAAAAATAATATTGCGATTTTTTCAACCCTGCGATATATATTGCGATATTAAAAATACAGGAATTTTCACCAGATGACCTGAATAACACTTAATGTTATGCTGCACCGCTGAAATCTTGAGGACAGTTAATCTGCTCTGATCTTACCTCTTTTTGTGAATGTTAGTAGAACGGCTTCTGTCTGTCTCAGAGATATTTTTAGCTTTTATTGTGCTGGGACGTTATTGTGGCAACAGATGAACACAGAAGACGTGTTTTGGTCGACATTATCCTTCTTTTAACCGAAATCATTCCAGATAACTGACTTTCCTTTTCTTTTTGGCAACAAATCTTCATTTTCGGTGGATTTCGCTTGTTCGTTGTTCATTTTGCGATCGTTGTTGTTGTTGTTAGCGGTGTTGTGCCGAGAAACGCATGTCCTCCGAGAATTGCATGCACCTCGCAAAACGCGCACTGCTTATAGTAGAGTGGTCCATGGAAATGTACAATTTAAAACCCATACAGTTCTTATTTGTTGGGCTTAACAGTCAGTAAAGTTCCGAAAGTAATTCTCAGCGGACACACGTCTCCCTCCATGTGCAGAACATGTGCAGGGGTGGGTTTCCTCCTCCCTGATTTTGATTGACAGCTGGCAGGGTAGTCTGATTGGCAACTGAGAAGTGAGTCTGATTGGCAACTGAGTTAAGGACGAAGGTGATTGGTGGATCGCTGCACAGCACATGCAGAGTCACATGGAGTGTATCTCAGTCGGTTACCCTTGAAATTAAATGAGTTCATTCACCTCCAATATCGCAGGCTCTGCGATGTGACTATCGCACACACGTACATCGCGATGACGATAGTCAAACGATATATCGTGCAGGCCTAATCTCAAGTGTCCTAAAGTAGGATGTGTCCACTGCTCTGAGGTCGACATTTCTCATCATATACATTCCAGTGAAAAGATTAATATTGGCCAATTTGACCAGAGGCTCCAAGAATGAGCAATAATATGATAAGCCTGCATTGATTCCTAGCCCTGACTCTGCTGTCCAAAAGTCTGTTAAAAGGTTTTGGTCAATATGTTTTAAGTCTGATTTTTTTTGTGTTTGTATCTTGTCTTAAAGGGATATTCCGGCGTAAAATTAATTTAGGGTCAAACACACTGTAACACCAAGTTAGACACCCCCTTGAGAGATGAATGTTGCTGACCGCTTGCTTCTCTAGTTATACCAACTTTAGTAATGACTGTACGATAGTAATACACAGCGGTCTGAGGAGCCATAAACAAACCTCAACCAAAAAGCCACTCTATAGCCACATATCATGCTCAGAACAGCACCTAACTTCATCAACAGTACATATAGGATCCCAGCCACAGTACAAGCCACCAAACATCTTTTACGCTTTGCCTAATTTCTTTGGCAAAGAGACTAAACACAACTCACCTACTCTCTTCCAGCAGCTGCTTGTTTGTAGCGAGACCTCAGGCCAGTCCATTATGGACTACAGCGGGGTGACGCAGCTCAAGGAAGAACATTTATGATCAATCCTTTATCATTTACTTGAAGTAATAATCATCATATTAATCATTTTGCACTGCAGACGTGGTAGTTCTTCTGCCTTTGCGTCTCAGTCTGATTGGATTTCCATGAAGACATGAACATAAATGTTCTTCCTTGAGCTGCGACACCCCGCTGTAGTCCGTAACGGATTGGCTGCTGGAGGAAAGTGGGTGAGTTGTGTTTAATCTCTTTCCATAAGAAATTAGGCTGTGTTGATGTACTGTTGATGAAGTTAGGTGCTGTTTATGGCTCCTCAGACCACTGTGTGTTGCTATCGTGTGGTCGTTACTTAAGTTGGTGTTACGTTGTGTTTGACAATAACTTAATTTTACGCCGAAATATCCCTTCAAGATTTAAATGAGACAAATGAAACTGCCTGGTCTCTGAACTATAATACATGAGTACTCAATGCATACTTCATGTTTAAGAACACGACATATCAGCGTTGCGCCCTATAATCTCAATTTACCTACTTTCTGAACCACAAACTCTCTGGAATTTACTGAAATAACTCGGTGTTTTTATAACCTCGACACGTAAAGCGTCCTCGCGCTTCTTCAGAGAAACAGCTAGCATGCTAATGTTGAATCAATAGCACTCTAGCTAACAACATCATGAACCCGGTGAACGATCGTAAACTTCTACTTAAGAATCTTCACATTCACTTATGCTTCTGTTCAAGTCAAACATGTCACGTTGATAGTAAAATAAGATACTTACTTCAAACGCTGAGGATACTTTGATAACGAGGAAACAAGATGTAAATGGTTTCTGTTCACAGAGCGTCGCGAGGAAGAGAGCGGGGACTTCCGGTGTGTCTCCCCGTGAAAATGAACCGGTTAGAAACAAGGCGGAAAACATCTCATTTCCCTCCAACTGAGTTTGCTTTAAGGGAGTAGCAGAGGTAACGAACCAGGTAAATATGGCTCAGTTTTAGGGAAATAAAGTGGAGTTGTGCTGAGGATACCTGGGCCAGCACATCTGAGAGACCATCCAGTCTTGCTCTGTCACCCACAGAGGTAAGAGTTCCCTTGTCTCGGAAAAATGACTCAAGTTTTCATCTCCCAGCCTTTGAATAAGTGGGAATCTGAAAATGCACTAGAGCACTATGTCCATTGTATTTCCAAGCTATGTCCAACTACTAAATACCTGTAAACATGTGAGTTTTAGGGTTTAGTTACACTTGATAACATGTTAAAATGTACAGCCAAACATAATTATATCTTAAAGGAAGAGCGGTGAGATGCATAACATCAACAATGGAGTGAAAAGGAAGATATCAGAATTCCTTGTGAGGCAAACATCAAAGATATATTCACATTTCATCACAACAGGTTTCTCAAAACCTTAAAAAAAAATAAAAAAGTTTGGTGTCATTAAAGTTACAAGGATTCATCCTCTTGAAACAATGAATGTCATCTTCAAATTGCATTAATACACCAAATAGTTGCTGAGACTTTCCAGTTGAAACAAACAACTTAAACCTCATGGCACTCCAAGAAAAAGTAAATGGCTCACCCTTGTTGGAGAGATACTAATGTGGCACCCGAATCTACATAACCCTGGATATAATACTATATCCAGGGCAATATATAATACAGGACATAACACTGTGGATAAAAACACACACTAAATTTCTTACCTGTTATCAGCCAGTAACCTTAATATTCCAAGTGGCTTTTTGATTATTTTGATTTATGTTTATTGTCTGGCTGGAATGATAAAATGTTTGGGGATTAAATATATATATATATATATATATATATATATATATATATATATATATATATATATTTATTTTTTATTTTTTAAATCATCTTGTGATACTTAGAGAATATCTGTATTTCACTGAATGACCTAACAGTTTCCTCAAGAGGTAAAAATTACATTTTAGGCTTTAATTCTAAGGGGAATAGAGTCATTTTTCATAAAACAGAGAACTCAAAAAATGTTTTATTTCTACATCCCCACAAGAACAAGAAATGTATTGTTCTGTGGAGTTATCTGAGGACAAACCATAGGAAAAATTGCATAACGGTGTCCCATGCGATGAATATATCTTTTATAGCCAAAGGCTTATTTTTCAGCTCTGGTCCCTTGATAGGAACACTTTGCACCTTGGGTAATTACTTGACTTTTGCAAGGGTTCTTTGCTTTTCTATTTCAAACTTTTTATAATGATTTGGCTGAGCTGAAGAACCTCTTCTTTTCTTGGTTTTATGAGAAACAGCAGTGTGATACATAGGTAGATTGATGAAACTTTATTTAACCAGAAAAAACCTAATTGAGATTGAAAATCTTATTTGCAAGAGTGTCCTGGCCAAGACAGGCAGCAGTACATTTACAAAGTTATAAACATAAACAACTACAGAAACATACAGACATAACAACCAGCTAAGTCGCAGAGCAGAACATTTTAGTCAAAACACTTACAGCCTGCTTCATCTTACTCTAGGGCCTTTAATCTACATTTATAAAGATTTAAAGAGACACATTTTTTCTTGTAGCAGATTCCAGTCTGCAGGAGCAGCATATCTAAAACCTCTTTTGCCCCTTTTTAAGACAAACTTTGGGGACAGATAGCAAAAGTAGATTTTGTGTCTGAGTCACAGATCGATGGCTATAGTTTCCAGAACTTTTAACATGAATACAATTATGCAACAAGTATGGTGGAAGCAGGGCCAAGTATAGCCTTGTAAATCAGGATGTGATTTACAAGCCAGTAGTCAAAGAAACAGCTACTATTCATGGTGTCATTGACATGGTCATTTGTTTGGTTGCAATACAATTAATGTCTCAGTGGGCACGATGGTGGTACTACTGCTGTGCAGGAACTGGAGGTAGTGACAGAGGTGTTGTAGCGACAGGCTCAAAAGCCAGCTGAGCATGATAGTGCTCTCTCTGTGTGAATCTTCCCGAAAACATCCTGAAACTACCCAGGTTAGCTGGCTGTGTGTTCATGTTACATCTGGGGAATATTCCCAATAACTCATTTTATGACAATGTTCATGTTAATTCAGGATGAGTTCATATGTTTCAGTAAAATATGACTGCAAATGAGCGAGCAGGAGTGATGACATATACTCTATGTGACCATCAAGCCTAGTTTTGCTTACTCCCACAGTTCAAATCAATAGCAGAGTCTGTCACTTTGTGCATTTGTTGATATTTTTTGTGGAAAATTCAATTAAAAGTAAATTCATGCCTAACAGCTAGCAAGTGTGCCTGTAAAGCTCCCTCTGTGTTGTTTACCTCTTGGGTTTTCTCAACACCTTAACTCAGTGTGAAGTCACACACCTATATTCTTGTTGATCATCACAAGAGCTAAGCTGCGTGAACACCATACAGTGAAAAAACAACATGAAAAAATGCTGCTGATAATAAAGCGAGGCATCTGTGTTTGAGTCACACAAGGAAGACAAATACCAATAAAAGCTCTGCAAGTCGTGTCAGAAAAGTCATGAAAACGCCACAAATCTTCCTTTTGTGTCAGTGATGAATGGAGAAAAAATAAGAATCAGCTAAGTTTGTTACGAGAATAATGGAGATCAGTAAAAGCACAGCGGAGAAGAGATTCATTAACTCTGAAAAGAAAACTCATCCATTAACTGAGGATATTTTTTTTTTTTTCCGAGGTTCACCTTCATGTGTGACTAAACTGAAAAGCACTGCCTCTGCAACCTCTGATTTCCCCCATGAGGATTACTCTTCATTGATCGTCTCTATGGCTGACTGCCCTTAAGAAAAATACCTGATGAGAATATCTGAGTATGAAGGATAACAGTGATTAGAAAAGACGGTTCATTTATCACGGCACACCATGGAGATCCACGGGGATTGAGATTACATTTCTGAGAGCACATCTTGGCAGAAACCACAGGGAGTAAGGTCGAGGCTGTCTGACATTTTCACTGTGGGCTGGACCTACTATCATCCTTATTATTATGAGAGGAAAAAGAGTGAAAGAGCCCAGAAGATGCTGTGAGCCTTAATTGGGTTCTATAGGACTGCGCCTGTGCTACGATGCAGCGTTTTTAGTGGCGTTTGATGGGTAAATTATACTGTATCTTGAGAGTCTTATCGCAGGAGAAGCTGGATGCACAACTAGAATATAAGGGACCTGCATCAGACTGAGGACAGATACAATTATACAGACAGTTTTTCTACATTTAGTGCGACATCCACTCGAAAACAGAGGGCTGAAATAAAAACACATCAGAGACATGCTCTTAAAACACTATAAAACTCTCTTCTCTGTGTGTTTTTTATTCTGCATGTGGTCTTTTCATCAATTTCCACTTAACTTTGTTGCACCCAGCAGTTTGCATAACAAGCACTAGCTTCATATTATTCATCACAGTGGGGTTATTGTTTCAAAATGGGACAAACCACACTGTGTGGAGAACTTTCTGTAAATATCACAGACACATTTGCAGGGTTTTTCAGTTTCATGGAAGGGAATTGTTTGGTAAATCTATTCTCACAAGCAATAATATAATTTAGTAGAATGTACTGAAAAAGTGGAGATAGTTTGTTGGATTTTATGCAATGAATTTACACCACGTTTTTTGATCAGTGAAAACCAGCAGAGTAAAGAATGAATGAATTTAAAAACGACATAACCAATGTGTTAAAATCAAGCAGAGTTTAATCTTAAATCTTAAATTGGTACATGGATTATTATCCACAAAACCAGATTCAACACTCCAAAAGAGAGCAGGTTAATATAGTTGACTTTCCCAGGCTAAGGGTGGGAAATGTAAATATTGTTATCATGTATTATTACAGAGTTCCAGGTCATAAATCGTATAAACCTGATTAATCTGACAGATTGTAGTCATGATACCGCTCTCCAATGATAAGAAGCCACATAGACAATAGTAAGTGAGAATCAGGAGGGATATGAAGCCATATTTTCAAACACATTTGACAGCCTGTTATCTAACATGAGAACGCAGCTAATGTTAGCATTCAGCCACTTCCTATACAATTAGGCTGATACGAAGACAAAACCATTGGTGTCATGTTTTAAGGAGTGACCCTGCTAATTGGCAACTTTTAGTTGAACACTAATATGGTTGTCATAGGAACAGCATGAGATTCACCAGTCAATGGGGTCATCCCTTAAACCCTAAGTCTGATATCTGCCTGCAGGGGCATTATGATTAGATTGGGGAGGGGTACTCAACACAACAAACTGGATTTGGTCTCAGTAGGTCTGCAGTTTTCTCAGAAAGTCAACAGGAGAGATTGAGGGGTGATTTGTTGTGTTGAAAACTGCAATATTTCATGACACTTTGGAATTTAAACAATGTTTAATTAATGTCCAGCTGAGTTTTACATCAATCATAACCCTAAAAAAACTTCCTTTATTTATCTGAACTTTTACATTTGTATTCTTTTTTTGTACTTTCCAAACAATATTATTTTTGTTTTTGTTTTGTCTGACTCTAATGAGAATTTATTCCTCATTTTAGAGATGCAAAAAGACCAATTCATGAAGAGTTATCTACTAGCAAAGACGTGTGAAACACTGTGATTTTTGGTCTCTAATACAAGACAGAGAACAATACAAAATACTAAATTGTGTTGTTTTTTTTTTTCTGGCTGATTAGTCAGGTTCTTTTTTCCACCCTGACAGGTTTCAATCTGAGCTTCATTCAGGTCGGGATAAGCAAAAATCTGTCTGACTCAAGGGAGAAGAACATTCATAACATTTTGATCTTTGACAAAGCTGTACCTTTTCATGGATATGCTATAAGCTTTGTTTTCTGATGAAAAGTCTGATCCTGCTTTCTTTCAAAGCCAAGCATGTCACTCACCCCAAGTCTATGGAAAATTAAAGCAAAGGATGATCAGGCTGCATGCTGTTAATTGCCTCTTTGTTTTACAAAACACTGATGCAGTCTCTCAGTAGCTGTTAATTTCTAACAAAGTGTAATGAAGCCCCAAGATGGTGGTTGGTATATTGGAAATGCTGATTCCAAATAACTTCAGAGGTGAATTTGAGGTCAGTATTGCTGCCTGGCCAACACCCACAGTGTGGTCCTCTATCATTCAAATGATTATGCCTTGTTATATATAACCTTCAGCCCCAGTACTACCAAAATGGAGGTGGCTCAAATAAATTCAGCTCCTGTTCAGTGGCCACAAATGAAGATCTGGGGTAGGGACCAAAATTACCTTCGTAATAGACAGTAAACATATCAATCTATGCTTAAAGTTTCCTTGGCTTGTGGAGCAAGACTCAAAGAGGAATACTAACTGCAGTTTTTGGCACAAGGGCGCAAGATTTTACTTTGTATGGTTTTTGCTTGATGGCCTTGTTTAACACCAACTCAGTAAAAAATTACTGTCAAGAAATAATCAATCTTATTCAATGTGGTCTGGTTTGCTCTTGTTGGCCATAAAGAGGAGTCTATATTGATATCTGCCTGTTCAATAGTTATCTAAATTCTCCTCACAGGAGGTATCACAGAAGGCCATAAATCGGATTCTGTTGGGATCACTTAAAGGGATATTCCGGCGTAAAATTGATTTAGGGTCAAACACACCTTTACACCAAGTTAGACACCCCCTCGAGAGATGAATGTTGCCGACTGCTAAAAAGATGTTTGGTGGCTAGTGCTATGGCTTGGACCCTATACGTACTGTTGATGAAGTTAGGTGCTGTTCTGAGCATTATTTGTGGCTGTAGAGTGGCTTTTTGGTTGAAGTTTGTTTATGGCTCCTCAGACCACTGTCTATTGCTATCGTGAGGTCGTTTCTAAAGTTGGTATAACTAGAAAAGCAAGCGGTTGGCATCATTAATCTCTCGAGGGGGTGTCTAAACTCAGTGTTATGGTGTGTTTGACCCCAAATAAATTTTACGCCGGAATATCCCTTTAAGGCATCCCCCAGGGTTCTATCTCAGGTCCTATTTTGTTCACTGTTTCTATAAAGGACTCGAGTAAGGATATTAAAGGAAAAATACACTTCTATGCTAATGACACTTTTATTTGTATGCATGCTACCTCCAATTGCATCAATAAAACCCCTTACTCACTCCCGCAGTGGTTTAAAGGGTTGGACATCATTGACATTTCACAGACCTTTAGAATCTCTTCCCAGAGTGCTGGCAGTGAGCACTGGTATTCCACTCTGGGAAAACATCCGGCTTATCTCTGTACTTCTCTCTATACCAGCTCTACTGGGTATCAGGTGCAATCAACAGCAGCCCTAGATGCTAAAATATGAAGCCAAAGTGTCCATTTGAGTCCGGCTCCAAGAGCTCAGGAGACCCCATTTACATACACTCACATCATTTGAATGCCCATCTATACAGCAGGAATTTGCATGTTTTACAGCTGGTTCAAAAAACTGGTCTGAGTAGTTCATATCTTCAGCTGTGCACACTGTGGGAGAGGGAAGATTTCTGGTTGCTTTAAGTTCATGAGATTTGCATAATTAGAGGTATTGCCCAACCACTTTAAGAATATCACAAAGAGCATGGTGGCAGAGGCATGTGGATGTCAACCAATTAGCGTATGGATGTTAGATTACAATGACTCTGTGAATGTATGATGTGAAGGGCTCTTAAGCGAGGTGCTCAAGTGGTTTCAGTTAAGGACACCACTTATCATAAAGCATTCAAGGGTCACTCATGCACTCTTGTGTGTTTAAGGATAGACTTTTTTTACTTGATTTCCATGCTTTAAGAGCTCAGATTCTAAATATGGCCTTTCCCTCTAGCTCTTTGTTTTTGCTCTCCTGATAGCTGCAGCTTTATCTCTTCTTTGCAGAGCTGCCCCCACTGTAATATAACAGCCACGAGGGCGTGATAATCAAACTTTGATAGGCAATCTTTTAGTGAGCAGACCTGGGAACTGCAATGCACAGCTCTAGCAGGAGTGGAGGGTAATGAAATCAGGTGGATGGATTGAAGACTGCCTGACTGGATGGCTTTTGCTCCCCTCGCCCCCAAACCTGCTGAATGATAGCCTAGTAAAAATGGAGTCAGCGATATTTCCAGTGATTTAAACCAAGTGCCTTAGATGGAGCACATTACCAACCAGACGGCGTCAGAGGTGGATAGAGAGAAGAAGTAAAAACAAACAGTACCCTGCAGGGTTGTCACAGCGGCTGCAGGATGGCTGATGGACAGGAGCGAGGCGGCCTGTTGGTCAGCTGTGAAACTGCCGGATTTTGCTGGTTTGTAGGTCTGTTTGAGAGCTGGATGATGGCACCTTTACAGGGCTCAGGGGTCTGTCAATTTGCTTTACGATACATTTGCTCAACCAACTGGAGGTGATTTTCTGGCTTGTGTCTTGCTCTTTTCCTGAGGATCTTCCCTGACTCTAATTTCCTCAGCACACTTGAGATTCTCTCCTCTGCGTCCTCGCCTCACCCTCCTGATGCGCTGTGAACCGTATAAGAAAAAAAACCCAACACTTTCTTGGTCAGAGGATGAGAGCTAGTTATTTTTTTTGTTCAGGTGTGAAATAGCCTGAGTTAACCGCTGCTCTATGACAGTGCTTTCTCACTGAAGTATTAAGGCCTGGAGGGCTTAAATTGGATTTGGCATGGCTCTGAACACACAATCTCGCCCCTTTACCAATCCATGGCGCTGAGGTTTTACGAAGGCTTTGTGTTTAATTACTGCTAAGAACTCCTTATTTCCTCCGTTTATCACACATAGAGATTCAATCGGGAGCCTGTTTACTGAGGTCTTTGGCTATGATCTGAGGAAAGCCACAAGAAAAACAAGACTGACCTTTAGGGTTTTTTTTCTCCCATGAGCTTCATGTGAAGTATGAAGCATGCTAACACAAGATCCTCAGATAAACTGGAAAATCATGTATTTCATGGGCAAAATAACTTATACATTTATGTTCTACATTAAGGATTATGAAAAAAATTAAAAAATGTACAATTTTTATAAGTTTAAATTTGAGGATTGACAGGAGTTAAACTGATTAAAATGAGTAAATTAATGAGAAATTAGTCATAATCTTATGTAATCCTATGTAAGCTGTAGTTTTATAAGAAGGAGTCTTAATTACAGGCCATGGCTAATCTATAAAACCACATGTAAAGGGATGTCAGAGCAGCAGCCAGCCCCCTACACTCAAATGATCAACACGCTTCTCCTTGTGGATCTATACCATAGATTTACTGCATCACTCATGGAGCATGATCTATGGAGCGCTGAAAAAAGGCTGTACCGGCAGCTTACAGTGGCTGAGACGTTAAAAATAACCAAAGAGAAGGTGTCACTCTTCTTGTTGATGTCCTCATGTTTTGGCCAGAAGGAGACTCTGAAATTAAATTCAGTCTGTTTCATAGCCAGCTTAAACACCTCACAGGAGGAGTGTGTGGTTAATGTGCGTTAAAGCTCTGCTGCACGGTCAGTGTCACATGAGGCAATTAAAAGCACACCACAAAAACAGCTACCTAAATATTATTATTTGTAAGAGATTTGTATTTGTAAGAGAATAAATCAGTATGAGATTATTATTTTGGTCAGAAAACATTTACTTGTATAAAATAAGAAAAGATATAAATAATCCTACTTTGTCCACTAGGGGGCCTCAAAATTAACCCAAAAGTCCCTCACAGGAGCTTTAACTTATGCTGTTGCATCATTGCCCTATTAGGCACTAGCTCACTTTTTTATTCATAATTTGCATTTATTCAATGTAATGTCATTTATATGTATTTGTTATACTCTCGGATGGTAGGTAGTGTGAGTGGAAGGAAAAAATCACAAACAAGATGTGAATTCTCAAAAATGAGGAGAATATTTATCAGGCCACATCAAAATAAGACAAAAATGTCAATTAATTAAATACTTTGCAAAACTATCCCCGGCAGAGGATAAAAAATATGAAATATTAGTTTAACACAGTGGTTCTCAAGTCCAGTCCTCGAGGTCCACTGTCCTGCATGTTTTGGATGTTTCCCTGCTCCAACACACCTGATTCAAATGATCAGCTCGTTATCAAGCTCTGTAATGGCTTACTAACAAGCTGATCATTTGAATCAGGTGTGTTGGAGAAGGGAAACATCCACAACATGCAGGACAGTGGGCCTCGAGGACTGGATTGAGAACCACTGGTCTAACATAAGTCCAACAAAACTGGATCTCCTCACAGCCTCACATCACCCAGACTGCTGATTTCACTCAGCTCATATGCTCTGCTACCTGCAGCTTTAATCACAGCCTCACAGAATTCAGGTGTGTCCACTCTCATCTGCAGACAATCCAAGGCTGAGTGAATGAATCACTCAATCCTTAACCCCTAACCCCCATATGGGCTTTCACTATATAGCTGACTATGTAGTGAGCTCAATTACCGGAGGTTTCGGACACTACAAGTATCCCGCAACAAACGATGCATGACGGGATGCCCACCACTGGTGAGTGACCATTAGATGGTCACTACATTTTGCAATGCTCTATGGGAAATTTTGAGTCGTCTATATGGGGCATTGGAATTGATCACTCAGGTTTCGGACATCCCTCAAAATGGCACTAACCCCCATATAGTCGCCTATATAGGGGTTAGGGATCCATTTTGGACACAGCCCAAGTCAGAGAAGCTGCAGCAATAATGAAAGGGAAACCGAATTCCCCATAGGGAAACAAAAAAAAAACTACACACACCCCATATTTAGAGTGAAATGTAAACATCATATGCATGTAATTTATGCTTCAAACCAATACTGCTTGGGTGCTAGTTGAATGTGCACCTTCCTTTAGCCTTAACAATAATTGGTGAGGACTCTATGGCTTCATAACAGTATTGTTTTACTAAGTCACTGGCATACAAATTTCAGTGTTAATAAAAATCTTCTCCATCCCATTCCTTTCCTCCAAGTACAAGTTGAGCACTTATTCTCAGTTTTCTTTGAATCACACTAAAACCTTTTTGAAATGCTGTTAAAATAATGCACCTTTAATTAGTGATACTTTATTATCTATGTTTACATAGTGTGTGTGCAGAATAAACGACGTGTAAAATTTACAGAGAATGAAAGTCAATGTACATATTTGCATTAATGTGCTATCAGCTGCATCCTGCAAAACAGTAAATCAAAGCTCCACACAGAGGACAGAAAAAGGCCAAACTTTGATCCTCCTGTATTATCTTTAACATGAATGACTTCACAACCTCATTCTTCTTCTCATCTCAAATGTAATCTAATTTTTCTTTTGTTATTAATCCACTGCACAGATAAAGGTGACTTCATAACAATACAGCTGAATGAAAGTACTCCCTCTGCGGAAGGAGGGCACGTTCAACGCCATCTGGTGATAATCGCTGTGACAGGGAAAATCATGCTGCCAACTCCTATAAGGTAATGCCTGGCTCTTTGACAGCCCTGTTCATGACAAGAAAGAGTTGAGAGCACACCCACGCGTTTCTGAGACCCTGCTGATGATGTTTTCTCGCACAGGCACCAGTGAAAGCTCCTGATTCGCGGTGCACTTGTACTCTTGTGAACGCACTCTTAAATACATGCAAACATCCATAGGAGTATCGCAGATCGTGGGTTGAAGAAACTTGCACATGGATTCATTTGCATTTTACATGATATCTAAGATGGGTTAACATTTTCTCTGTAATCAGTGTGCTTTGTTATGGCGCTGTGAAAACAAAAACCTGAACAGTGAGAGAGTTTTTTCTTTGAAAGCTGTAAGTGGACACATATCAAATCCTTTTACTTGCTTTTTTTTCCATGACAATGAGTTAAATTCTGTTGCTCTTTCCAGATCTTGAGTTGATATCAAACGATCATAACTCATGTCCCAAGACTGACATGTTGTAATCTGAACAGCACAAAAACACTGCTGCATGTGGACCTGCTGCAGGACCCTGGATCCAACTCCATCCTTTCCATTGAGAGACAACCGACTCTGCTGGTGAGCCACAGCTGCCTCCTACAAGACAAGTAAGTCAACATCTCAAAACGTTCACTGTTTCAAGAAAACCACCTGGTAATCATCATTTATAAATGGCATATAGACGATTAATAAATTGTGAATTTTACAATTTTAAAAGCCTGACCCAAATCCTAATCCTAATTTTACAATGATCATCTAAGTAATGTTTATAGGTGGTTTATAAACCACTTATTAATCATTTAAAAAGTATTACAAACATCAGTTGCAACTTTACAATAACCATCTAAGTAATGTTTATAGATGGTTCCAAACCAAATATTAACCATTTACAAAGTGCTACTGACACACATTTTAATCTGGATGTTTTACAACCAATAGTTAAACTCTATATAAACCTTTAATTAATAGTCCATTAAAAATCATAATTTCATTGCTTGTTAATAGTAAAGTAGCTATGAACTTACATTAATAAACTATTTGCCATTTATAATTGGTCTATATGCTGTTTATAAATGATGATTAAACATTAATAAACTATCCATTTACCATTTAATAATTATGGTTATTTTAAAGTGTTACCAACCATCTTTATTACCATGAGATACTGAGTAAAAGACAACTCTGAATAGCTTGTTGCTGGATAGTAAAGGAGATGAGAAAATGTTGAATGCAGGTGTTGCTGAGGTTTTAATCCCTACTGCCATCTTCCTGGGATGCTTTGTAATACATACAGCTCCATATGTCATCATTATGTCAATAAGTGGCCTCTTGCTGGGTGTGCGGCAGGGTCATAAAGGAGCTGTGGACTTCTTATAAAAAGCAGTGCTCTTATAGTAATATTTCCTAATAATAGAGAACCACACATAGCGATAATCTAAAGAAGAGGTCGTAGGATTGGAGGATAAGAGGCCTCCTTCAATGCATGACCGTAAACAGTATGACATTAATAAGATGCACAGCAGAATGGGTTAAGATCACACATACAGCTGTTAGGCACATTGCAGAAAAAGAGTATATACATAATAGATATGCAGTCAAACATTGACATAAGTGAGCAGTACAAATCCTGGTGTTATGCACTATTTTTGCATCAATGCAAACACACTGGTAAGGCTTATTTGAACAGTTAAATTACAGCAGAGGGATTTTTTAAGTGATTGATTACCGCAATCATAACCCTGAGTATCTGCTTTTTCATTTCAACCCACCGCAAAATACACAGAGTGGGCTGGCACGGTCCATTCTAACTGAAATATTGAGATCCCTCATGTCACATTAATATGTATTACATCACAGCAATCGTTTGCTCATAAATTACAGCCTTAGGCGTAAAAAGAAATTGATGGGTGAAAGCTCCTCTCACTGACAGCTTCTAGATTTAGGTAATGTCTGTGCATGTGTTACAAATGCATTGTATGTTGAAGTGATAATCCTCCCTGAGATTCAGTGATAGTCTTTTATCTGTATTCTTTGTCCTGGCGATTCTACAGAGATGAAGAGCCTTTTGTGTGAAATGTAGGATGTACTTGAATTAAGGAAGGACACCAGACACTAATGCAGAACATTCTTTATTCAGATGCGAGGAAAAAAAGGCATTCAGTGAGATTCAGAATTACACTTTATTCCATTGAAATGCACTGATTAACATAAAATTATATCTATTATGTTACAGTGTTGTCTGCAGAGTTGAAATTATGCTCTGTACACTGGGTTACAATAAGTGCCATTACAAGTAAGCCATGATTGAGTCCGGTAAACAGCAAATGCTCAAAAGAGAGTTTAATGGAGCTTTTAAAGAGCATTTTCTGTAGGTTCACCGAGTTTCTACTGCTGAAAAATATATCTTAGCTGTACATTATACATTGATGACAAAAATGCTATTATTACATAAGTGTCCATTTTCCAAGATCCAAGCAATATGCAGCACAGAAGGCAACACTCTGCTTCTTAATATTCCCATTAACACATAATGTGATTATTCGAATGAAACACTTAATAGACTCTCAAAGCCCACAACAGTCAATTCGGCTGTTTTTGTTATACAGAATTCTCCAGTGTTAGATGACTGGGATCCATGTTTTACAACATTTTTCTGTCTTAGTGGTTGTAGAAGAAACATTTTTTCACAAATTCAATTTCCAAGTATGAAAAAAATGGACCGTATTTACACTACAACATTTTCTGAATTGTCATCAGGGGTGTGTCTCAGGGTTTTGCCCCCCCCGTTCAAATAATTCTGGACAAGCCCCTGCATAGCCAAGAAATATTTTCAACAGTCTCTTATGTTCAACTTTGCATAAAGTTTGAACCCACAGTTTAAGATTTTCTTACAAATGTTGCATGAGGATATATATTTAATTGATATAGTGAATTTAATTTAACAAAGAGTTAAACCGTACTTTAAAAACACAATGACTCACTGGTCGACTGTCTCCTCCAGAAATCTTCACCAGGCAACTGTTATGATTTCATTATTATAAAAGAGCAACATCTTACTTACAGTATTTTACATGAGCAATCATTACAATCATAATCATCTTTACATATCTTTGAAAAAATACTGACAGTACACAGAATATCAAGTAGAGATATTGTAAAGGCAACTGGCAAATATAGTATACAGCACAAGACGTAAGCACAAGCATGTCTAAAGATTACCGCAGATGTACAATCTTGCTTGGCAATAATAAGCAATGGTTAATCATACACGCATTGCACATATGCTCGCACTCTGTGTTCGCACTATAAGCCACGGCAGCACGCTTTATGCGCTGTGCAAACAGACTGATGCATCATCTCCGCTGGTTTATAGGATCCACAGTTAAGCCCAGTTCCCCCAGTGTGATAAACACAGCTGCCTTTTTCTTCTTTTACATTCAGAAATTTGTCACACCCAGCAAAAAGAACATACTGTGCTTTACTGTATGTCTGCTCAATGACGAGTCCAGCAGCTGTAGAGACTATTTCAGAGACAAAATAACAGAAGCAGAAGAAAAAAATGAAGGAGTAAGGACAGAAGGGGGCAATATGATGACGGTAACACAGGTCCAAAACCCAACTGGCTCCTACACCTTAACTCTCCTTTAACATGTGCAAAGAAATCATGGGTGGGAGGGGGAGTGACAGCTGAATTTTCATGATGAATTGTGTATCTTTTTTAGGATCCTTCTATAAATCTGTCTACAGAAAATACTCTGCCTGTATAGATCATACTGTCAGAGTAAGAGTACAGACATAATATTTCAATATCAAGTCATGAAAGTTTTAGTTTACCAGTCAGTGCAACTTCTTCAGTCATGAGGTCATGATGTATCCTGCCTTTCTGTTTAGCTTTCCTTATCTGTTTAAATAAGAGCCTTGCACTGCCATGCTCTAAGTTATTCAAGACTGACTTGTTGGCAGAAAAACTGCCCACACATCTTCAAACTGCTCTGTTTTATCTAGTCTCGGTCTGGTCCTGGGTGGGTTGTGTGTTTAGTTTGTGTTTGATTTGTCAGAGCCCTGTGGTGACCTGTGTGATCTCTGAGTTGAGATCGTCGTTGGCAACGCGAGTGTCCATCGACGACCCCTCCAAGGCTAGTCATACCTGCAGAGACAAGAGTTCAAAAGGAAAAAAAAGATGTAGCTGTGGCTGCATACATAAAACTGATTTCTTTTTACTCTTCTGTTGTACATTTATAAGCTCACATCTCAAGAGGGAGATGAGGGAGCTAACTTGTGTCTCTACTGATAACAGAAAGCTATACCTCAATGTGCCTCTGCCACACGTGACCAAAAATGTTTCAAATTTTTATCAATAATCAATGTTTCTATTTTTTTATAGTCATTTCCCTTTAGCAAAAATGTAAAAAAAAATTTGTGCAGCCCGCTTACTTTTTGTAAGCATACACCAAAATAATCCGTTCATACGTGGATAAAGACTACCTGTTGATTGGATCTTTCTCCTGTGTTTGCACTGTTGTGTTCCCGCTGTGGCAGCTTGCGGCTGGTGGGTCCGGTCCGAGATGAGGTCTGCATCTCCAACACTGAGGGGCTCGGGGTGCAGAACTCACGGAAACAACGCTTAAAGTTCTCATCCAGATAACCGTAAAGAACCGGGTTCAGACTACTGCAAGGAGGGGAAAAAAAAAGATGCCAGGTAAACGCAGGGAAATAAACTCCCCCCTGTGCTAAAAAACATCCTTTTCATGTTGTTTCATGTCCTTTTCAGTGGCTTTATAACTTCAAGTTAACCAAAGTTGTTGCATACAAGGTGTGCAAACTAATACAGTCAGTCAAAACCCAATCCCATTTGCTTTTATCAGTAAAAAGCATAATAAATCGCTGAATAGGCACCCTGTTTTCTTCACTTGTCCAGGCTTTCTTTCTACTTCCTTAGAGCTATTAAATATTTTGCATTTCAGTGATTAAATGTGTCATGATAAATACTTCAAATGTGCAAATGCAAAAATCTAACCACAAATGCAACAATAAAAGGAACATACAGTTAAAATGTTGACAAACATCTATAAAAAACTGTTTTAGCACAACCTTGATTTGCAATTTAGTTTCCATTACTGCCTCTTTGCCTTTTGTGTACCTATTAGTGTAGCCCAGTGCAATGCAGAAGTGCCAGGTGATAGTCTGCAGCGTGGAGCTGGGGATATTGATCAGAGCAGTGATGATTACAAAGATGTGGATGGGCGTCCAGCAAACAATGAAAACTGCAACCACCACCAGGACCATGCGAGTGATGCGGCGCAGATTTCTATCCTTTTCCTGCAAGTGTGAAAGAAAGAGGGGGTTTATTGTCGAATGTTGTTAAGAAGGAAGAGGGATTTCAAAGAGAATAGATGGAGAAGGCGAGATAGGAAGGAAAATCCTGAGGAGAGAGCTGTTTGAGTGATAAAAGAGGAGATAAAGGGGAGAGACTACAGAAGCAGAGAAAAGAGCAAAAGGAAGATCGGAGGAGAAACAGGTTAAGAAAGAGCAGTAATTGTTGAATTTATATACATATATACACACATAGGCTCTGTATCCAGGATTTGTTAAATTGTCTGATTTATTAAGAGAGACTTGATTTTGGGTGGATTATTTTGCTTTCCTCTAAAATGATGTAAACTCGGCCCCAGGCTCACAGTGATTTCCCCTGATTGCTTTCTCTTGAGAGCAACGTGTGCATATGCAAGCTCCGGGCAGCATTTTAGTTTGTTAGTTATTCTTAGAATACAAACAAAATGAATTACTTATTCAGTCAGAGCCTCATGTTGTTCAACCTGAGCTTTTATGACTCACTTAATGGTGTGTCATGCTTGCATCCTAAAACCATAATTGCCAACAGGTATAAAACGTAAGAGTATTAAGTGAGACCCTCTCTTTGCATTTATTTAGCTAATATTACAAAAATGATTTTCATAACCTGGGAGCCCGACAGCATGCGCACGCTCTTGAGCCGCAGGATCATGAGGCCGTAGCACACGGTGATGATGAGGACGGGCATGATGAAGGCAAAGATGAACACGCAGATCTTCAGCAGCGTGTCCCAGTACCAGGAGGGGTGGGGGAAGATCAGCTTGCAGTCGACGATACTGGAGGCGGCTTAAAGTGAGGAAATACAAGCATCATAACACCTACATAATCACTGGAAACAGAGACACAACTATTACTTACTTCTATTTCCACAGGTAACTATTTGTATCTGTTTCATTATCACTAACATATGTGTCACATCCTCCTTCAGGAAGTAGGTTTTTTCTACCTGAATAATTTATAGGTGGTAAATATAGTATTTATGAGCACAACCAATCACTGTTTTGGTTCTCCCTGAGGCAGTTTAAGTAAGACTTATAATTGGTCAGCTCACCATACATTAATATAATGATACAGTGTGCAAACACTCGCAGTAAAAGCACAGTAACAGAAAGTGAAACTAAAGCAGTGAAATAATGGTCTGTGAAACCAAAAGGATGATCTTAAAAGACACTAAAACGTTTGGGAAAAACACAAGTGACATTATGCTGTCACTATTAAATTTACAGCAATCACAAATGTTGGTTTGTTAATTTTCCCTCAACAAATGTTTCAACACTAATCTTTTGATACGGTCCTTTGTTTTGAGGTGTTTTCCCTCTGTATAGCAAAAATGATTGGCTTAATTCCCGGCAATATGGACATGGTTGCCTCAAGGTTAATACTCTCATTATTTGCTAATTTAGCAACAAAATAAACAACTAATTTTTGTATCACTGTTGATTTACCCAGCAATCCCAGGTAGATGTAGACCATGTCTCACTAATAAGTGCTCTTCATTTGCTATACAGAGGTAAACGTCGCACATCATCAGACTTTTAAGGAGCTCTTCACTCCAAACTCAACATTTTACACTCCAGCTATTTCTGGGCCTTTTTCCTCCCCATTACCTTGGCAATTACACAGACACCCTGTCACAGAGACCTGTCTCAGTAGGCTGCAGACACTTATATTCATCACCAGCCAGGCATGGAGCGGTAAAAAGGACTTTTTTGTAGATGCACAGGAAAAAGGGAGTTGTCACCTTTTATCGAGTCTGCTGGAGCACGAAATCACTCCTTTGAGTTGGAATTCAGTAAATAAACTGAATGTGTTTCCTGGCATTTTGTGTTTGTCTAGTTTTAGTTGAAGACCTTTGAAGGATGCGGATCGGATGTGATTTTTTGAGTTCCTCCACTTTTTTTTGGGAGGAGGAAGACATACCCATTTATAGCTATAAAAAGGCTTCAGCATATTTGATTCACAGCCAATATTCAACTCTTTTCCGACTTTGCCATTGCAGATTATTGTATATTTAATTATGCTTTACATATTGTAAGTTTACAGGTCTTTACTGTGAATACATTTTCTCAATGCAAAGTGAGAGTGTATAATGTTGTCCTTAGAGGGTGCCTCAGTGCAGGTCAATACACTGATTTGTCTCAATAATTCATTATGACCTGAAACATGAACAGCTTTGAGGTAAAATATCAATTAAAAATAACAAAAACAGGGTGGTGCAGAAGTGGTGGTGTAAAGTGTGTATCATTGGTTGGCAACACGTTAGCAGTCAGTGTTTTTTCCACTAAGACGATGGTAACCATTTTTTATTGTAGGCTACTGACCTGGGCTGCGTGATGTGGCCTCAAATCAATATCATGATATATTGAGCAGTTCACCTCAATAACGATAAATAGACGATAACTAGTCCACAAGCTGCTCACCCCCTCCCATATTAACTTCGTCTACTTCAGCCGCTACAACTTTTGAACCGTCCTCCATCTCCTCACCTGTCTTTCCCTCTTTGTTATGGACTGGATGGGGATGGAGTCACGTCTCCGATGTAAGACAGCATCTTAAAGGCACATGAGACCATAGCCTACCTAAACACATCTAAAATAAACTTTTATTTATTTATTTTTCGACACTGAATGTATTGACTTAGGCAAAATGATGTTTGTTATTGTCGGAAATTTCGGTATTGGTAAATTTTCGGTTTATCGCCCAGCCCTACTACTGATATCAGAAGACTACTGGACATCTGCATTCGTCGAGGTCTTAGTAGTTAATGTGGAGTACAAACTACTGAGTAAAAGTATTAATGCTTACGAGTGACAGCAGTGGAGGCCATGAACATAACAGGCAGTCCGATGGCGGAGGAGAGAATCCAGTTGCAGACGTTGACGATTTTGGCGTTTCGTGGCGTCCTGAAGTCCAGAGCCTTGACCGGGTGGCACACGGCTACATAGCGGTCAATGCTCATGGTGGTGAGTGTGAAGATGGAGGTGAACATGTTGTAGTAGTCGATGGACATCACCATCTTGCACAGCATGTCTCCAAAGGGCCAGGTCCCCATCAGATAGTTGACGCTCTGGAACGGTAGTGTGCTGGTGACTAAGGTGTCAGCCAAGGCCAGGTTGAAGATGTAGATGTTGGTGGCAGTCTTCATTTTTGTGTATCTGCACAGAGAGAACATCTGTACTGTGAAACATTGGAGCACAGGTCAAAGATACCAGAAGAAAAAAAAAAAGGAAAATAAATGATGGCTGCATTTTTTTTTATCATTTTGTGTCTTTGGCGCTGTTCAGTAATTGCTTAGAGCTCCTTGTCCTTGTGCTTGCTTTTTGTGTTTAATCCTGGTCCTCATGTCTCTTATAAGTCATTTTGACCTCATCATAGTCTTGAGTCTTTTGTAGTCCTTTGGGGTCATTTTGTTGTCTTTTTATGAGCCTTTTAGTTGATTTGTCATCCTTTTTATGTCTTAGGGATAAAAAAGAAACAAACACTGGACAGCACCGAAGCATCTATATCACTTTATAAACACCAGGTTTTATCTTCTACAAAAATCAATGATTCAATAACCTTTTTTCAAATCACATTTAAATTCAAGGTGAATAATGTCTCTTGTCTCTTTGGTTCCTACGTAGTAGAAATAAAGAAGTAATCCTCTCAAACAAAAGAAAGAACACAGCACTGCAGAGACACAGGTGCAGCACCACAAAGTCATTTAAACATATTTAGTTTGTGTCTGCACAGAAAATGACTCAAATATCAAACTTTTGACTTTTTACAAGCTCAGTCTATAGGAGAAAGTGCTGTGTGTCCTGTGCAGAGTATCTTGGGATGTTTTCTGAATAGCTCAGACCCTCTGTGTCAACCACTTTTAGTTTTGCATGAGCAAACCTCATTTTTTAATCAGTTTTTACGTCGGAGTTTAAAAGAAAGCCATACACAGTGGAGTTGAGTTTCAGACCCCAAAGAGTTTTCAAAGATATCACAAGGATGAAACTTTGTTGAGTTTACAGAGCCAAGAATAAAAAGTTCTCATATCTTCACTGAAGTCTTGTGTAATATTGTCTTTTTGTTATTGTGGCTGAGATTTTGTATATTTTCTTCCTCCAATCCAATTTATAGTCAGCCACAATGCAAGTTTTTGTTTTGTTTTGAAGAAATAACAGGCTTGATTTAAAAAAAAAAAATTTTTTGTGAGTTATTGGAAAAAAAAATCTCAGTTAATAAGGCATAAAAATTCAATTCTTAAGGGAAAGAGATCCTGATGTGAACCCCTCCATCAATACAGTTTATTATTTTGGCATCTAAATGAAGGACGATCAAAGCTTTTTGGGGACGACTCCTTTGATGGTATATGAAACAGAAATAAAAGAGAAAGTTCTTTTGATCAGTATGATGAAAACTGCAAAGAAGAGGCAGGTTCAGAAAGAGCAGCGTGTGTATAGAAAACACAAGTAGGGGAGAGCATGGATCCATTAGGACAGAGGATGAAGAACAGACGGCTGAATGGCCAGATTGTTTGGAGCTCTTGTCAGTGAGGATGTATACTGTGTTTACCATCCTCTGCCATGAGTCACAAGTGAAGCTGGATCACATCAAAAAGATCCAAACTTATGAGCATACCCCACTAACTGCAGACCAAAGACCCAAATGAAATACGTGCAAAGCCTGCATCTTGTGACCACACCTGAATGTCTGAGAAGGCAGAGCGGAGGATGACATCTTAATCAAGATTCAGTCAGGTTTACGATGTTAAAAGTCTGCTGGGTTCCCGAGTGAAGTCAATACTCCAGAGTGTTGTTACAGAGCTGCAAGGAGCAGAATTAAAGAGCTATCAACTTAAAGCCAAACAGTAGCTGCATTAAGAAATCAGACCACACTGTAGTTTAAGACAAGACTGTCTTTAAGAGAGAGCTCAAGAAGAATGAATGCCTGCCTGAAACAAGAGTCTTTTGTAGTCCTTTGGCGTCATTCTGTTGTCCTTTTTTGTGCCTTTTTAGTTGATTTGTAGTCCTGCAGTCATTAGACATCTATATCACTTTATAAACACCAGGTTTAATCTTCTACAAGCACCAAAGAACCTTTTTTTTAAATCACACTTGAATTTAAGGTGAATAATTTTGTCTTTTTGGTTCCTACCTAGTAGAATTAAAGATGTAATCCTCTCAGACAAAAGAAAAAACACAGCACTGCATAAATACAGGTGCAGCACCACAAAGTCATTTAAGCATATTTATTTTGTGTCTGCATAGAAAATGACTCAGATATCAAACTTTTGACTTTTTTACTAGCTCAGTCTAGAGGAGAAACCCAATCAGGCTTCTGTCAGTTTCTATGATTGTCAAAAGTCTGCTGGGTTCTTGAATAAGGTCAGTACTCCAGAGTCTTGTTACAGAGCTGCATGGAGCAGAATTAAAGAGCTATCAACTTAAAGCCAAACAGAAGCTGCATTAAGAAATCAGACCACACTGTAGTTAAAGACAAGACTGTCTTTAAGTGAGAGCTCAAGAAGAATGAATGCCTGCCAGAAATAAAAGATTGCAGATAACACAAAGGTGGCAGATTTTTCTTGTTTCTGTTTCTTGGCTTTGAGCAGTTATTTAGTGAAAGCTATAAAATCCAGGAAGTTCATGGTTTCAATGCAGAAATGGTGTCACCCATAACTCCCTCCAAAAACCAAGACACCTGTCCTTTTTACCATTCAGTAAAAAGTGACAGATCTAACAATATTTTCCCAGATAAGAATCAGTTTAGTTTCCTAAATGTCAAAGTATTCATGTGGTTTCATGTCTGAGGCACAATAATGATTGCATTGTTTCTGCAGTATCCTTGTAAAGACCGCTGAGACACGTCCCAGCAGTTATGTCATTGAATTAATCTGGGTAAACAAAGTGACAAAGATACATTACACCCTCTGCCTTCACTTTATTGAACCCCCAACTGCCATTTTACCTGCAAGATAATTTACTTTTGCTTTGTTACGGCGCTCTCCTCAATAACCCCAAATCCTCTTAGCAAGAGATGACAGTTAGCTCATTAAATTCTGATTAACTCCAACACTGACAGCTTAGTGTGTTTGTTATTTCAGGCTTTATTTGCACTGGGACTGGTGAGACACCTGGAGATGAAGGAAAACGCCATCACTGTATGTTGCATTGTGTGCTGGAGCTGGAGTTAGAGGTAATAACATCCCTTTATTATCTTTGTGACTGCTGTTAACATGGCTGCAGATGATAGCTCGCGGGTCTCCTGTGTGTTGCGTGTCTCCAGCTCAAGGATTATGTAGACTCTATGGTACGTTAAGGTGAATGGCCTCATCTGGTCTAAATTAACTGAATGAAGTGTTTCATTAATGAGTTTTCAGCTTAAAATTATCTTTGCCCTTGAGGTTTTAGCTCATGGATTGTCTGTTATTTACTGGAGTCCTATGCAGACATGCAGACATTAAATTTATCTACTCTGCAGAGAAAATTCTAGTTGTTTTCTCAAGATCTCAACTTATTTTCTTCTTTTTTTTCTTCCTTCATGATTATGTTTACTATGTACTGATGACGCTGCTGTTTATTTAATTTATTATTGTTATTATTTATCTATCTATTATTATTAATTTTTTGACATTTTTATTTTTTCTTCCCTGTATTCAAATTTAATATTACCCCTGGGACAAGGGTAGGGGCAAGGGGTGTGGATGAATACAAATGTAATGAAATAAAAGAAAATAAAACATGGATCACTTATTTTCTTTGATATCCTGAGCCAATTAGGGTTTTACAGTCATAATTAGTTTATTTCTGTGCAAGAGGCGTGCATTTTTGTGAGGTTGATAAAACTTCTCGAGTGACAGAAAACAAACAATCGGCTGGTCGCTATGATAGGCCACCACTGGCCACTAGTAAGGTAAGTTTAGTTCGTTTGTTTTGTGCTATTGTAACTCACATTATGGTTACAGTCACAGAAATAACAACATCGATATTCCAAAATAAAAATGCCCAGGATTGGAAAAAAAAATCCTCTACTTATTGAAGAAATATCACACAGATCCAACCAATCGTATTAAAAGTTAACAAGAAAACACGCTGTACATTTTTCTCAAGTTGATCCAACTCCTGTAAGACCCTTTTTACCCGGTCTCTGGAGATCCCTGGACTGTTGAAATTCTGGGTCATTTAGATCATACATTTCTCAGGCTTTTGTTTGTTGCTTTGGAGTGCCTCAAGGATCCACCTTGGGTCCTGTAGTATTTTCTCCATATATGCACCCCTGTGTTAGTTTAAAGGGATACTCCGGTGTAAAATTAATTTAGGGTCGAACACACCACAACATCGAATTAGACACCCCCTCAAGAGATTAATGTTGCTGACTGCTTGCTTCTCTAATTATACCAACTTTAGTAACGACCGCAGGATAGCAATACACAGCAGTCTGAGGATCCATAAACAAACCTTGACCAAAACACCACTCTATAGCCACAAATAATGCTCAGAACAGCACCTAACTTCATCAACAGTACATATTGGGTCCCAGCCACAGCACTAGCCACTAAACATCGTTTTAACTTTGCCTAATTTCTTCAGCAAAGAGACTAAACACAACTCACCTACTCTCTTCCAGCAGCTGCTTGTTTGTAGTGAGACCTCAGGCCAGTCCATTATGGACTGCAGTGGGGTGACGCAGCTCAAGGAAGAACATTCATGATCATTGAGATATAAAGTTTGGGCTCTCCAAACACGTCAAATACTCACACGACAAATATCCTCCATGTCATCAGCCAGTGCTCAAGTAACGTTTTTGTCACACTGTCAACAAGAAGTGAAATCTTAAACAGCACACTCAATGTGGTATGTGAGATCAGTTCCCTGAAGTGGCCGTTGCCTCCAAAAGTCAGTCACAACCATCATGGGTTTAAACCAATCAGACTCAAGTATTTAATTCAGCCATGTGACGGATAACAATGTTTGGTAATTAAATCTAATTCCAAGTGAGTGTAACATATCCTTTGAATTAACATGTTTGGTTCAAAGCTTTCCCGATCCTGCTAATGAGAAAATGTATTTCCAGGAATATTACGTCTCAGTAAGAATATGTGTCATAGTAAATGAGTGGTAATGTGAATTTCTATCTAACAGAATTGAAAGTAAACAGGATAATGCTTCCTGAAAATTACAACCTCTACCCACCAGCTGGCATTTCATCTGATTTATGAGCAACTAGAGTTTTAATTGTGATGTATTATAAGGCCATGAAGAATAACAAGCAAGATATTGACAGAGAATCAGACTCAAACAAGTGTAAAATGAATTTTCACGTCAAATGCAATTATTTGATAAATATCATTTCTATGAAAAGAAACTGATTGCGGTTGGTTTCTCAATTTCAAGGAAGACTTTGATGAGAAAATTGAAGCTCATTCCACATAAACAGATAAAACATTTTCTCATTATATTGCAGTGAACGCATTACAAATGAAAATGTGAACAACAAATATCTTGCTCATTGTTGATGAGAGAAGTGACAGTAAAGTAGCAAAGGGACCAGACAGAAGTAACAGCCTGAAAAAAACGTCTTTTTCTATTATACTGTCTGTAAATGAACACCAACAGACAACAGAAATTGTCCTATCTGCCTCAAAACTACCCTGACACGCATAGAGGCGACGGGCAGGCTGTACTGCAGTAATGGACCTTAAAATCAGCAAAAACAGTCCTTTCTGTGAAATCATTTATAATTCATAGCCCTCCATCAACATGTTGGCTGTAATTCCCACCTGCAGGAAGGAGACTCTTTCTCATTACCTGTTTCTATTCTGTCTCAACAGCTCTCTGTGGCAAAGAAAGAAAATTATTTGATAATTATGTTAAATTATCCATGGGACTATTCTGAATAGAAACATTTTCTTTTTACTGGCAAATGCTAGACTGATTTAGTAAGAGGGGAGAAGTGGTGCGTCTCTGTCACGAACGCATTGGCTCCAACAGCTGTCTCTTCAACATAAACTAGAGGAGCTCACTTCTTTATTTTGTTGTCTACAACACAACAAAGTAAGGAAATTATCTCCTCTCCACACCGCTCAGCCAAAGACAAACCACACACTGACTAAATGCTGCGTCAATGTGTGATAGCTGTAAAGTAATGATGCCTGAGGAAAACAGCAGTGCTTATGTTGACAAAGTTTTACTGAAGTCTACAGAGGGATGGAAGCTGGTTGTAAAAGATTAGATTCTGACGATGGGTTGATATGTAATGAGTCAACTGGAAGACGAATGGATAGCAATAAGCGGTCCACCTACAGACCTCTGTGGTGGTACCACGACGTAGACAGTATTGTTTCATTCCTGTTAAACCCTGAGTTTGTCGTCAATGTGTATCACGGATCATGTCATATCCCGAGGCATCAGCATGTGGACTTACTAGGGCCCAACCGATTTATCGGCAAGCTGATTAAATCGGCATAAACTCGCGGATTGTCGCTGATACTTTCAGAAATAAAATGCGGAGAATAAGATTCGGTTTCACTTCGAAAATGTTCCGCCCTTTGAAAAGATCCCCGACTATCCATCCATAGCCATCTGCTATTAGCCTTGCTACACTGTTGGCCGTGCCAGTAGACGGTAGAACAAACAACAGTACACATTATGTGATCAAGCTACTTCTCTTACTGAGGCAGCTGCATGCCTTCAGATGAGACCGGACCGGAAATCAGTAACATGAGTCAAGACGCGGAGGTACCGATCAGCAGGGGGTGTAGTTGAAAACGCTTTTCTGGTTTGAGTTTGATTAATGATAAATATATGGAATATTACTGAGGTGAGTCGGTCTTCCTGTCGGCGTGAAGAGCAGTAGCTTACAGTATATCGAGTGTTTCTTATTTTTTATGATGTAGGTGAGTTAGCTTTATTTTTATCTATTTATATGGGCTATTTATTTTAGAGGATGACGAGTGTGTGAGTTTGACAAGACAAAGGTTGACAAAATAATCAGACTCACGCCCGCTGCAGTCTGAATAATAAACTGAAAAAAAATTGTTTATCATCTTTATTACAGTTAAAATAAATAGCCAAGGGTGTGGTGTAAGTCATATTATGTAAACGCAACAAAGAAAAATGCTTAATTTTTAGCAATAAAAAGGATTTGAAATGAGTTTTCTGCCTTTAACTCTTTGAAGAGGTGTTTGAAAGGCTCAAAAGCAAGAAAGGCTCATTTGTTAAAAAAACAAGTAAATTTATAGATACATTACTTGAATTAACAAAATTTTAAAACTTCATAAAAAAATTTAAAAATCGGCCGATTAATTGGTGATCGAATCCCCCCCCCCCTAATAATCAGTATCGGCATCAGCCCCCAAAAATCCATATCAATCGGGCCCTAGCACCTACTGTATAACACAGATTCTACATATGTTATGATAAATCACCCACCAGGAAAAGCAAGCAGAATAAAACTTGAGATATCTTTTTTGTGGTCTCCAAGTCCAATAAAACAACTGTAAACAAGTTAAAATGCTGCTATTTGTGAGTGCACAGAGCTCCAGAGTGTAATGTCTCTACTCAACCTGCACTTGGCAAAGCAGCGGAGAGCTAAGTGAGTGAACCCATTTCACTTCAGGGCCTGTTTGAGACAACCATCACTTGGGCACAGGTTTAAGTTGCATGTGCTTTCCTCGTAATTGGGTTAGAGGAGTCCAACCCCAGCTGCTCTAGGACAATAGATAAACAGTTGCCCGACTATTTTTGCCAGCTTCTAACATTTGAGTGTTTTTTCCTTTTGTGTTAGATGGTGACGAACGGACAAACACGCACGACAAACCACACTGGGGAGAAAAAGCACTTTGCACAGCACACGTCTCCAGGTCAGACCACAGAACGCAGCATGGAGCCGCTCACATGGGCCTGCATGTAATTAGTTGATAACTGTCTGTACATGTGAAGATCGTGTTTCACCATGGCAACCACTATGAATAGGCCTATAAGAGACTTTGATGTGGGCATGATTGTAATATGATGATTGTAAAACTTAAAATCTCAGACCAGTTGTGAGATTTTTCATGCGTCACAGCTGCTTCATTTATGACATCAAAGTAAAATGACAAGAAATAATAACCGAACAAATGCAGATATAAAGCTTGCCTGTACAGCAACTTTTGAATAATGATGCTGAAACCTGTCTGAGGAAAAATTACCACTTTCTGTTAGTCCTTTGCTGTTTCTGTCTAAAGGATCAGATTTAATGAGGCTAAGATTAGAAATAATGTTGTTTTCTCTGCATTCAACATCCACAAACTATTGTATATGGGTTCAATTTTTCATTTTCTGTCATTGTACATTTCCCAGTTACCGCTCTCTGACGCTGTTTACATGTAAAACCCTTAGCCCGTGAATATCCACTCGACTGTGTGTAACTCAGAAGCCCCCCTAAAGGGAAAATGTTAAATCTTCATAGATAAACATCAACTTAATTCAGTTTGATTTAGCGAACGGCATAGTTGTCACAAATAAATGCCAAATTATTGAGGAAGAAAGAGCAGAGGCTATTAATTTGTGCAGTGAGACATTAAAAAAACACAATAGCTCATAAACATTAATGTGATTTGGATTGTTTTATACTGACGCTTTTATCTGCTGATTGTAAATTAGGCTTGAGTAAACATCTCCCCCTAGGTTTCTGTTGCCTGGGGCAGCAGTTGAAGTGTCAAATAGATACTAGAAGGCCAACAGATAATGAGAGACCCATAACTTGGCTGGACATTTAGAGTTCAAACCCTTTCAGCACCAGGCTGATCTCTGTGTAATTTGGAAGCAAGCCTTTGGTAGGTCAACAGTCTTGTCACCATGTTTTCACAGACGTCAAGATGAAACCTACGCACTTGTGTTCAACAGTTTGGAAATGGGAGCGGATACATTTTTTTGTGCCTTTTGTTACACACAGACAGCTAAACATAATTCATCATCACCCAGCTAAGCCGGTCAGTGTGTGTGTGTAACCTTGTGTGTGATTCATGGGCTGCTGCTGGGTGAAGATAAACCATTAAGTCGAGGCTGCAAAAACAGGGGCTGCTCATGTGAACAGACATCTGTACGCCTCTGGCTCTCACCAGTAACACTGTCCATGCACGCTGTGAGGACATGATGGATTAGAGTGCACGGTGTGCGAGTCTGCGTGTCAGTCTGACTGCCAGGCATGTGCTTCTGTGGCAAGCATCGTCAGGAAGTCATGGTTTGTCTGTGCCTTCAGTGTACAAAAACGTCACACTTTTCTCAAAATTCTTCCTCAGGCTTTAAACCTGAACGTATCAACTTTACTGCATTATGATACAAAACATGGGAAATCTATTTTAAAAGTATTTGTGAAGCAGTGTGTGTAAACTAAATGAGGTTAAGCTTAAATGAGTTTTCTAATAATGAAAATATCTGATAAACCAAGGTACTTAATCACACTGATGGTCTTAGAAAATCCAATACTGCCACAAATAAGTGCTAACACCTTAATCCACAATGATCCTATTGATCCAGAGATACTAAAGAAAGAGTCGAAATGAATTATATGCTGCAAAACCTTTATTCTTGTGAGTTCATAAAATCTTACCATCTACGTAGTTCATCATCCCCCTCACGTATGGATTTTTCTATCATGACTCTAAAGGGCTGTGGAGACTAGCAAACAGAGAAATACTTGAAAACCATAAATCAGACAAACTGAAAAGTGAAGCTCGTGACGAAGCTCGAGGGATAGTCAGACGATTACAAACTCATTTCCAATCATCCTCTGGGAACTACGAATGTTTGTGCCAAAAACTGTTTCAATCAATGTTAGACCTCTAGAGGTGTATGAAACTGAGAATTCAACCTGTTGATTGGGCCTGGGAGTCATTGGATGAGAAGAACCAGGTCTGGGCGATAATTATGTTTATTAGTTAATTCATATTTGTGGTTCAGCACAATTTTTAAAAATGAAAAGCCATGTTTTCCCTCTAGCTTTCTCTGCCACCTTCATTGAGCTCCTGAAGTTCACCCTATCATTTGATTCGCCTCCTGAAGGCACACACACGTCATCCTGAGTCTGTTTCCAAAAAAAAAAAAAAGCCACAGTTATTTGTTCGTTTATGGTGTCAGACCTTGAACAAACCACAGTCGGCTGAAAACTTTGTTCAAAGGCTGGTTTGACTAAAAGCAGAAGCAGCAAAACAAATTCATTTCAACACATTAAACAGAGACACGCAGCCTCTGGAGGAGAGAGAGGAATATGTCTCACTACACGATGCATAAGACTTTACAACCCCTGCTAAAGAGTACTTAACATTAGCAAAATTATCGGGCTGGGTTAAAAAAAAAAGATTGATTTCGAGATACAAATCAGTTTCTATTTTGCAGACATTCATAAAATCCGGAGATCTACTTTGAATGTCGATTCAAATCAGATTGGAAGTCAAATTGAAACGGGACCTTGTGAACCTAGATTGAATCAATTCAGGCAATCAGTGGCAATCCAAAGTCCTTAGTACGACTTTGATTAAATTTGATTCAACATGACTATGATCAGATATTAGCTTCAAATATTTTGTTATGAGTTATATAAAGTGACATTCATCAAATGGACCTACAGGGACTGAGATAAACACCAGACATTTGCCATAAGAGACAATGAATAAAGGACTCCTCTTTTCTGTTTTCATGACAGCGGATACTAAGTGCTTTATTAGTGTTAATATGTTTGCAAACCATATTTCCCCTGTGGTACTCTCTGAATTGAAGCAAGCCCCAATAATTGTTTTTTTTTTTTTTTTTCCACATATAACCCCTCTTGGAAATCATTCCAGTAAATGGAAGTCATTACGCGGCACCCCATGGGAATACACTGCAAGGAAAACTGCTCCCAGAACAGCCCCCAGTATTGGTAAACGGTCTCACATACACATTGTCAACTGACATGACAGACTGAGATTTTGCACCTATTCTGACATGGACAGAAAGGCTCTTAGAGGTGCTGTGAATGTATTAATTCAGGGACACTTAATCTGCCTAAAGTAAGCTCAAAGCAAAAGGGAAAAGTCTAATATTTGAATGGCTCTAACTAAACAAGAAAACAGCTCAAATTTAAGATGCAACAATGCAATCAATTTCAAATTACCATTGAATTCAGTGGTACATGGATTTGTGCGGGACCTGCAAGAATAAATATACATTTTTGCTGCTTTTGAGCTGTGATTGGAGGAGCCAAACCTGTAGATCATCCAGAGCAAATAGAGTCAAACACAAAGAGTGATGGTGAAGTGAGCACAAACAGTCAAAGAGGCCAAAACAATCCTACAGTGTTATTGAATAAAGACTCTTTTGACTTCGGAGATACAAAGGAACTGAGTTAAATCTTCTTTTGTTCAGTCTCGTCTTTGTTCAAACATGCTGACACAATAAAAGAAAGTCAAGCTTTAAAGTAGAAAGTCTGCTGACACTTTGATGGTTTTTTTAATTCAACTTGAGATTGAATCCTCTTAAAGCTATAAACAAATAAAGGTTTATGTCTCGTGTTCACTCTCTTCGCTGTCTTGCTTGTGCAATCAGTTTATTTGCGCTGTCTCTTTTTATCCAGCTCTTTTTCGAACTGGTCCAGCAAGAAAATTCATAAATGAAGTCAACAGTGGATATTATAATACGGCAGAAAGTTTCAGAAGATGCTGTGTTCAGTCAACCAATACAGTCTGCCCTAGATGGGAGTAAAGTAAGTACCTCCTTACTCACATCATAAAATACAGAACAAGTTAACTTGTAGTCTTGCATGGACCATCTAGTCCAGTGCTTCCATTAGTTAGAAAAGTGACATTCAAGTTGTTCCGGCGAATACCATCTTATTTTGGAGGTCACAGTGGATTGTGCGCCGTTGATTGCAGGAAAGGATAGGTCAACTGTTGGGTGGGTCAGATTGATTTTTTTATAAGAGATAATCTTTCAGCCAGGGGGATTCAGAATTATTTTTTCCTGTCCTAATAATGTTTTCTAGATTCTTACAGGCTCATAAAGTTCATTTTCGCCTGATAAGAGGGCAGTGACTGCGAACTGTAATCTAACCCACTGCTACACACAAGATCATGTTGGGATTGGTCCCTTGATTGCAGCATCTTAAACTGTTGATTCAAGATCGTCCATTTCAGCCCACTCATAGCACCAAGTAAAAAAAATGCTTATTGTGTTTTGTGTATGTAAATGTAAGTACATATCAAAACATCTGAGACAACTTCTCAAATGTCTTTGTGGTAGTCTTCTGGCTGCTCTGTGGTTGTACGCTCAGGGGCGAATTTCCATGAACACGCTACTTTTGCTGATAGCACCATGAATTGCGTTCCACTTGTCATCATTATCTGCTCCATCTTAAGGGCCAATTCAGAAAAGATACATAGAGTATTGATGCTCAACTGAATACAGCCATGTTAAAGTTTCACAGCTTGGTGCAATTTGTTTCTGTCATGAATAAGATATCTGGGGAAATTGTCAGTAATTTCTGCTGCTGAAACTTCGCTCTTTTGCTGCCTGAATTCAATCTAACCTATGTAAAGTCTGTGAGAAGCCAACCACTCTTTTTCCTGCTTATTTCAAGTCCAGGTGTGAAGGGAAAATCATAATGCTGTTTCTGCCCCGGAGCAAACTATGGGCCAGGTGTCTAGCCCCAGGCAGCCCCCGAACGAAATTACTTACTGTGATAAAACACACACATTTTAGTTATAGAAAGTTTTAAACAATTTTTTGAAAAGTTCAAAGAAAGTAGGAACTGTCAAGATTGCTAAATGTCTAAACTTGACACCGCCTTAACACTACCCTGGAGACATCAACAGCTCTGTACGAATACAAATAATTTGAGTTGCTATTCTGACTCAAACCCTCATTTGCAAAACAAAGGCGGATTTATCCTCCCGAATACAAAAAATGGATAAATTAATTATGTGCTTACAGCAGTGGGGCACAATTGCAAAAGCTGCTGCATCATTTTATAAATTTGCTCCTCAGAATGATCAGCATAGTAAATCCAGTTTTTAATGCAGGCAGTGCTCATAATCTTGAATTCCATTACTGAGTACAATAATGAATGGGTGAATAGATAGAAAGCACCTAACTGTTTATTTAAGGAGAATTTTAAAGAGGTGGCATGTTGGTTTACTGTAAATGGTTTCCTCTGAATAGTTTCAAAACATTTTGTAAATGCTGATTTAGTCATCAAACACTTCATTTCACTCTTCAAACCCTTCAATAGTACTTTGACTGTGTTGTCACAGCAATCCTCAAAATAGGATATGATTTTTCTACACTGAAGTTTTGGTTGAAATTGATTTTGTAGAGCTTTTTTATGCGCATCAGACACAAAGAGAACAAACAATGGTGATTTTATCACAAGACGCTCAATTAAAGCAGAGAAATCAAAGTGACAAGCACAAAGTACAAGCCCATGAGCATGATCAAACACAGCTGCTATGTTCAACCTGTGATGACAAGCAAAATGTGGGAGGGAACAAGGAGAGGATCCTGGTGAGGGAGTTATACTTGTGGCAATAGAACGCCCTGGATTTCAGGGGTGGTTAATCAAAAATGGGGTTATATGACATACTTGTCAAAAGTAAGTGTATTAGGTTCAGGGTCGGATATCCAGGTTAGTATGGCTCGTTTTCTCAGAACTGAGCCATCTTACCACATGATTAAGCAGAGTCTAACAAACTCCCCAAGCACCCGATCACATCATTTCCTTTTCCTCAGGTTTGATTTTATACTCAGTGCCTTTTCTTCTGAGTACATCGTGTTGCTTACATTGACCTCAGTCTTTGATGGGAAAATATGGACATATGTCAGACAAAATGGACTGATAAAACCAATAAATATACTGATAAAAAGACCAGGGAGCAGTGTTTGCACAGGATACAGATTCATCCATGTGTTTGAGATCCACCAGCGTGAGTCACTGTTTAAGTTTTCTGGCATTAAATGTCAATATTAATAGTTTGATGTAATTCACTTGTGTGCCAAATGGGTTCAATGTGACAGTCAGTGATTATACGCTGGTATATTCACAGATAGGAGAAAAACTAGACACAATATGAATAATATGACCACTCAACAGTGCCCGTGTCTGAATACAGTATGTGAACAAGTATTAAATCTAACTTATCTTGTTTAAGTTGTATGAATAGACTTCAGCAGAGGAGAGAAGGAAGATGTAGAAAATGACGATTGTGAAGTATATCCTTTGTGAGCCAGGAAACAGTAGAGCCCTTTGTATGTCAGACATGATTCTCAAACACAGTGAAACAGAGGCCCCATCAGCCCGGGTAAACTAATGAATTTTTGTTTATTTGTTTGTTTGTTTTTTATGAACTAGCCCGCAACAAGTTCATTTACTCAATAGTATACCACTGTTTACTAAAATGCATGATTATGACCCATCCAGCATCTTTTGCCCACTGAATCATTTGCCTGCTTCTATGTGTGCCGTCATCTTGGTAAAATAGCCAATACAATAGAGTGCCTTTCCTCACTTTTGATGCTCGTATAGATTAGAAATGCATAAGAGATGCAGCTCACTTTTTGGATGAAAGAAAGGGACTTCAAAGTGCATCTTCTACACCTAACTTTGACCACAGATCCTAGGAAATTGCAATCAAACTAATTGCAGCGGTAGGTCTATGCTTTTTCAGATCCATCAAAAAATATAATCTTATTTCCAGCCGAGTTAAATCAAATTTGTAGATAACGTGCTTATGCTGGATTTCCATTTGAGATGAAATGATCACAGCCTGCATTTCTTCCATATCTATATTTAGTGAAAGAACCAGAACAAATGATACATATTAAATCCCAAACATCAAACAGCTCTCTGTGAAATTGACTGAGAGCTGCTAGGAATCAGCCTGACCATGCACAGTTCCTCATTTGTGGTCGTTTGCATTAACGTAGAAGAAACAAGTCTGTAAACAAACACACATACATTGAAATAAAAGGTTTGGCCTGTTAAAGTCAGGAAAAGACAAGATGTTCACTTGGGTACTTTTGAAGCTGTCAGACAGAGAAAGCCTGTCTTTGTTGTTGTTGTTGTGACAGGTGTGTGCTGTACAAGCTGGTACTTGAGGTTTGTAGTTATGTAGCCACGCTCACATACTCTCTCTGAAGATTCTCACACAAGGTTGAGAAATCACATAAATGCATCTCCTGTCTTTTAAAATGATTTTTCCACCATACACTTCTTTATTATGCTCTCATAAGTACATGTTCAGATGCAGTAAATACGCAACAGGGAGCTATTATCAACGACTACTACCTCCTTTTGTATTTTACCAACCTGATCCAAGGTGTATGAGAGGTTACATCTCATCTAAATCATTACCGTATATCAGCAGGAAAGCCTGAGTAAAAACATTCCCCTTCAACAGATAACAAAATCTGCCCTTCAATTTTTCCATCTCAACACCGGACCAGCTGCCATACAGTAGAAGACATACACAAACAATTTCCCCATTGATGGAAACATTTAATAAAATCATCCATCAACAGTAAGAGGTGACATATTGGAGCACGTCCAATTGGCTTGACTGGAATTGACGAAGAGATCAATATCCATAGACAAACAGCCACAAACTCAAGTGGAGTGGAAACTCAAGCAGATGTACAAGGTGAAACTCAGTGTCCTTGTGAATTAAATGTTTTGGGGTAAAAATTAATTAAATCAAAGGCACAGCTAGTCCTAATATCTGATGAAAAACTGCAAAAATGGTTGTGGATTTTGTGTCCTCTCTAGATAAATGTGGATAATTAAACTGTAATGAAAACTTGTTGCGCTGACTACTGCTTCATATTCTGTGAGGTTTGTGAAATTTGAAAAATACAAAAACCATAAACAACTTTTCATTCCCGGTTAGAAGAACTTCAGGAATCAAAACCTGGCCCAGTTAAGAGGTGCTCCAATCTAATTTTGCCAAACATGGCTTCAAAATGGGACGATGACAATAACATTAATTGCACACTCCGCATCTATTCAAACTCTGTATTGTGTTTGGCTCATGGGTTGGACAATCACTGCCTGCTTCACTGTGACTCATTTGTGTTTTTTCTCCATTATTGAAAATATGAGAAAAAGAAAATGGGAAACTAGTTTGGGACCAACCCAGATCCTCTCAGTTATACTGGTAATAGAAAGATGGACATGGAGAAGAGCTTATCAGCTTGTTGCTAAGGGACACCGTTATTGGTAGACAGAAGATCTCCAACAAAGGCTCTCTCTGTGTCCTTGGCCCCTGTCTTCAATCCATATACAATAAGTGCAATAGCTGTAAACAGCAGCAACATGTTTGGAAACTCTGAGTCCAAAGCAAGTTTTCCTGTGGATGACGTCATCCACAAAACTCCGGGGTTGTTTGTTTTGCTTGCTCGTCCTTGTGCAACAAAAAGCTGTCTATAGCCGAATGAAAATCTCATTTTGAGTCATAGCATTCAAAAAACTAACAACAAAGGGAGGGAGGGTGCCAGTATTGACGAATTAATCCTTTAAATCTGTGATATATACCCCCTGGTGCTTTAAAATGCCAGCCAGAATGAAGACAGACATGTTTAACGCTACCTGTCATAGAGAATAAAGAGCAGAAACCGGGTTGCAGAGCGAGTGACTCAATTATTGACAGATGGACAAAAGAGCCGAGAAGCCCCATCAATCTCCCAGAACATAACGGGACAAAATTTGCTTTCTGTTCCCTTCTGTAAAGTTTGTAATTGTTCTTTACTACAGCTCATTTTTCAGTGGTTAACTGTGTGGCAGTCACGATAATCCTTTGAAAAACAAACCGGGCTCTTATGGTTTAAGAGTTATATCAAAATGATTCTGATGTTCAGTATAAAAATTTAACCTTTGCTCCTATTTTGTTGAGTTTTTCTTCACATCTGCTTACAAAAACCTGAATGGATCTCCTTTTGAGAGTGCGCATTTATCAGAGTTTTACAAAAAGGAGACTACCATTGAGACAGCTCAGGGCTAACAGTAAAATAGTTAAAGCACACTGATTACTTGGTGCCAAGCAGTGCGCCTCCCCACCTATAAGTCTAGTTATGCTCAAGGTTTCTACCTCTAAGTTTTTCCAAACCAGTGTGGTCTAGTATTGGCTCGTCTATGGATTCATGTCATGTAGGTGACACAATGGCAAGTATAGTCTAAATCTGCAACATACAGTGTCTCCCACATCAATTAGTATGTTTACATGACACTTGAGAAAACTGAATCATTGCCTTACTTTGATTTAGACCAGACAACTCAAGTGCATGTAAACACCTTAGTCGGACTATAATCGGAGTTTGAGAACTCCGATTGGAGTCGGAAACCTCCGATTAAGACACCCAGATAACACGATTGGAATTTGTTTTTATCTACCATGTAACCAGCGTAGTCAGAGTATGATTGGACAATGCATGTGCATGTGCGCCACATTCCCGTAAATGTAAACACACTGAATGATACCTGGTCCAAGTGTTACGCTAACCGTTTTAACATTTTTTTTAATATATATTTTTTTTGTTTCATAAGATTTCCATCTGGGATTGTTGATTTAGAAGATCTTGTGTCTCGTGCCCTCTGCCTCTTGTGTTGTTGCAAAACACTACATCATTGAGAAGTCTTGTCAATGCATGGATTGCCTGTTGTGATTTTAAGTTAAACTTTCTGAAATCAGAGATGATCTTTAGGCGTGCTGTTAATGGATATTTCCAAAAGGTTAGACAATTAAGAAATGAAAAAATAATGGGAGGCGAGAGAGGCACGATTCAAGAATTAATGGGAAAGCTGATGGGGTGGTGTGTGTGTTGGGGAGGAGGGGGATATCATTGAAAAAAAATTAGCTGAGAAGATTAAGCCTTAATCGAACACACACTGAAAATAGATTAATTAAAGAGAGACAACATGATGTAATATAGATGGGGTGATTAATTCAGTGCCTTTCAGAAGATAGAGGTACACTGCTACTCCACCTCCTCTCCTCAACATATGGAAATCTTCACGGTAGCTCCCCCTTCTCCTCCTCAGTTTCCTATACGTGTCTGCACTGCTGCAGCTACCTCCCTTCTTGTACACCAGCCTTTGTCTGTCACAGAAACAGCAGTGAGGTTGAAGCTTGGAAGACTTTGCTCTGGGAAGGCAGCTGGCCCAGATGGTGTGTGTCCAAGGCTGCTTAAAGACTGTGATGCAGAACTGTGCCAACCTCTTCACAGGATCTTCAACCTGAGTCTACAGCTGGAGTGGGTACCTGTTCTGTGGAAAACATCCTGTGTTGTATAAGTGTAAAAAACTAAATGTCTGGCTGAACTTTATGACTCCAGACCAGTGGCCCTCACTTCACAAATCATGATATCCCTGGAGCGGCTGATTCTACTGAGGCCTGAGGTCAAAGACAAGCTGGATTCCCTGCAGGTTGCATACAAAGTACACATTGGAGTGGATGATGCTGTCCTCTACATGCTTCACTGTGGCCTGTCTCATCTGAGGTAACATGGAGTTTATGTGAGGATCATCTTCTTTGACCATCCAACCCACCATACTCAAAGACAAGCTCACAGAAATGGGAGTGGATCCTTCTTGTGTTTCCTGGATCGCAGATTACCTGAAAGGAAGGCTAGGACATTAATGAGCAGTACAGGGGCTCCACAAGGGACAGTGCTGGTGCCATTCCTGTTCACACTGTAAACATAAGACTTCAAATACAGTACTGAGTCCTGCCACAGTCCTGCCTCTGTTCTACGCTGCAGTCTGCTTGGGAGGAAGCATCAAACACAAAGATGCAAGACGTCTAAACAAACTGGTGAAAAAAGCTGGCTCTGTGGTTGGATTCAAGTTGGACTCACTGGAGGATTTGTTAGATTGATGCACACCGAGGAAGATGAAGGCTATTCTGAAAAACATGGATCATCCACTTCACTACACCTTGATGGACCAAAGGTGCAATAGTGGTGGACGACTTCCCATTACTTGGAGTTTAACTAGGATTAATTAATTTACCATCACAGGGCTTGTGATGAAGATTAAACCTAATTTTAGACATCAATGGGTAATAATTGCGTCGCTCACTAAAATACCAAGGTGTGCTTGGGCACGCCTCATCGGCACGGCAGACCAGAGGCACAAAAATAGAGCCCCATATCTCCATGCAGGAGATTCAGTCAGAGGGCTGGACAGTGTTATAAAGGTTAAAGGGAAGGGAAAGATGATATTTATCTGAAAGTAGAAAATAGACTAAAAGATCCTAATAAATATTTTAAATACGTTGATGCAAATAATAATGGCTTAAAAATAAGTACCCAGTATTTATTTAGTACAAATTCCTGTTTTTTTTTGTGAACATTACAATATAAAATGCAGAAAGGAAAAATGTCACATTGAGGTCTTTTCAGTATCATGCAGCCCAAGGAGAGTACTGCAGACAACTGGGTTCCTGTATCAGAGATTAAACTAACAAAACACAGCATGACTCTGCAAAACCAATTGACTATCTCTCTTGAGTTCTTTCCAGTCACCAAAGCCAAGGTCCACCACTCGATGAAAGCTTGAACATCTTCAGGGTCTTTGTCTTCTCCTTGAGTTTCTCCCCTTTTCTTGTCCAATGTGACACCTCCCATTGAATCCAGACTGACAGCACACTAATGCTCCAGCAGTGTCCAGTGGTGTTCAGTAGCTCATTACTCCATAACACAGAGACACACTCAGGAAGGGTCGTCCAATTACCGCCTGGACTTTATCCTTAACGAGAAATTGGACACTATACTCCCTGTTGTCTCCATTCACATACATTTAAGAAAAGCAGCATGTAGAATTGGCTTTTCCGCAAACCACACACAGAGCTGTAAAACTCAGATAAGGGTTATAGTAATGATCAATTAATCTTCATGTATGTTGATAGTTTTATTATTGAGGGTAGGCCGTTTTTTTCTTGACTTTTTCATGTTAGCTGAGTTTTTCAGTACTCTTAAGCAAACAGAGTAATGAAGCATAAAATCCACAGCTGTCTGCTTGTCATTGGTTTAACAGCATTCAAGGTCTTAGAACACAATGACAGACTATTGGGCTGTGCGGTGGTTACGAAACTGAGGTCAGAGTGCCAGGTTTAACACTCTCATACCTCAATGTCATTTAATTAATCACATAATATAGAACATAATGAATTATGGTTCTGTGGTATTATGAGGAACAATCCTAGTTACTTTCAAAACAGGTGATACACTCACACAGCCAGCAGCTGAGCAGAGAGAGGCGCAAACATATAAAAGCTGGATTGTAAAATACTATTATTTTCCTTGACCAGATGTTAGGATTTAATAATTAACAAGTTAACCTGCAGCTAACCTGATTTATGCTTATTTTCCCTGCCAGTCACTTTTTCTTTTTTTAACCAAATAAGTATCCTGACACAGCTCCAGAATAAAATACACTGTGCTGTAGTTTGGGTGTGTGGTTTACATTGTGTGACACATTATGTTATTGATTTAGTGTATCGTGTGTCTTGTGTGTACATTTATAAAATAATTCTTACTTTGAGTTTGAGTTTAAGTCTTGAGGGGTCTTGTCCTCTAAGTGAGAGGGTTTGGTGTGATCAGCAGCTCCTGTGCTCAAGAAGAGAGCGACACGCTTCTTGTCACCTGTCTCATAATTTTGTTCAGCACATGTCAAAAATCATACTCAAATAGTCATGGACAGAATTTTGATTTCAAAGGTGGGCGGGACATATGTGACTTGAGTACTGATGTGACACGCTGATTCAGTTCCCGCCTTTATATATGGCCTAGCAAACAGCACATTGGTTAGTAACAGAGGAGGCAATACGTCCAGCAAGTGGATGGAAGTACAAACCCGATACAGGGATGTGAATGAAACCTCTGATGAATGTGACGTTACGCCACCCTCCTGTAAACTTACACTGGCAAATAGCGAATGGGAGAATAGCGATGTTCATGGACTGACTCTTAGAAGCAACTTGCGAAACACTAGTCTGGTGGGCATGGAATGACTGACAGCAGGGACAGCCAATTACACACAAAAAGAGGCCCTGTGGCAGAGCCAATCAAGGACCTTGTGGGCGGTCCAAACCGAGGGAAACCAGTTTCCGGCTTGAGTGGCCGTTTGGTCCTAGTGCCAATTTCACAACACTTACAAGCAGTAGAGATATTTTTGTAGAAGGCTTTGTTGTCTCAAAGTAACTCAGACTTCAAACCACTGCAGGTAGGTTGTTTAAAACTCCGCATGAAACTATCTGTCAACTCTGACAGCGAGAGTCATGAGTAAACCCATTACAGAGAAGCATTAGTGAGGAGAATCTATGGCATTACTCTTGAGAACCAGATTGTGTTGAGTCTCATCATAACATCATATTTCATGTGGCTGGGTTTGAAACACTCAAGTAAACAACAGGAAACCAGATGTTTGGAAACTGCTCTGACATTTGTGAGTGGAGTCATGGAAAACTTGCCTTATGTGAAGGAGTAATAGAAATATAAGGTTACGTTTGTTGTACACGGCTTTTAAAGTAAATGCACATCCAGGTCAGCTGGTTCAGACGCTTAAAAGCCTCTAAGACAAAAAAAAAAAAAAAAACAGTTTTGATTGCTGACTGTTTGCTACAACTAGGTACAGCTGCTCATCTGGCTGTACTGATGGGGGATAGAGGCAGGGGTTTCAAGCAAGGTGGTGGAGTCATTTTGCACTCATCGCCCTTAAAACGCCTCCCTGTGTTTCCATGGTAACGAGAAGCACTCTGCACTGGTGGCATATTTCTTGCGGTGCTCGGCTATTTCCGTTCAACCACGATTGATTTTCTCTGATTTACTGTGCAGATCTCTGCTCATGTTTGTTTGCTCGTAAGAAGTTTGTGGGGAGGTTAAGTGTGGACCAGACAACAAAACAAGGACAACGAGATAAAGAGGAAATGTTTTATGGGCTTTAAGGTCATGAGACACAACATAGACCGTAAGGGGGAAATCATGTCCTATCCTCTGCTGTCTCTATTGAATAATGCAAAAATGCATTCAAGGCCATGACCATCAAGTAGGAAAGAAAAGTCTGAGTCTGCATTTACATTTTTAAGTGAATATCCGTTGTGTGCCATTAAATAAATGGCTGATCATTTTAAATAAGCAGACAGGGAGAGGAAAAGTAAAAGACAAAGAGAGACTGAGGGACACAAAGAGTCTCATGAATGCTGACTGTGACAGATTTTAGTCCTCAGAGTATTGGACGCATCCTTGAATTTTCGCCCAATTTTTCACCGTCTCATTAGTCAAGTTCGAAAAGTCTGGATTACCCTAATGTTTGTGCGCATGCTCACACACAAATGCACTCACACTCCCACAGTGTCAGTGTTAGCACTGATACCTCCTTCATTACTGACAAAAAAAAAGGCAGCTGACGGCTGGGTTGTCCCGAAGCTGCTCCCACAAACAACCAAGGATGAGAGAGAGCTGAGGCTGAAGTAATGCCCTTACATGGATCATCTGCGTTGGAGACAAACACATTTGGAATACATAATAAGAGCCCTAATACCATCTCATACATCATAAACACTCTTGCAACCCCGCCAGACAGCTGCAGACAGAGATCCTGACATACGAATGATACTGGCGCATGACTAATACTTCAAAAGGTGATTTTACTTCTATTTGACTGATGTTTCTTTTCCACTTCATTTGTTTTTTAGGGAAAGGCCAGGGGCAAAACAAAGTGATAAAATTTTATTTGTTGTACGAAGAAGTGCGTCTTTTTCAGGCTATTTTTAAAAGTAAATCCATATAAGCGTGTATTTCAGTCATTGTTCTCTGAGGTATTGTTTTGCTGATCGAGTAGCACTGGTAATAAGAAAAGAGAAAAAAAAAAAACATTGATATACTGCTTTATGAAAAGAAAAAAAACCGTGATGATTCAACAGCTTGATCAGAAAATGAGCTTCTGTCTTGTCAGAGGGACAAGAGGAAGATCTCAGAGAGGAGAGAGTCAGCAGTCATGGTGACATAATCATTAGTTTTGATTGGCAATCACATTATTCTCCATAGACAACTAAAGCCACACACTCTCGAACAAATCAATGCACTACCCAATAAGAATGCAAAATAGCCTGTAGCAAACATACCAGTGGTGTTGCACAACTAAGGGTGCCCACAGGTCCAAAACAAGAAATCAAAATTTAATGAAGCATTATCTATTCTGAGACCTGCCTGAAACAAGTCTTGAAAATAAGTACCCTATAATAATACCTCTAGAATACCCTACAATTCGGCTCCTTTCAAGAAACCAGTTACTACAAATTGAGTGTAAAATCAACTCAACCATTTGCGACATCTAATACAGTTGAAGTATGTTTATTTATAGTCTTAAGTTCAGTCTTACTTCTCTTATTTAGCTCTCCTTGTTTCATCTTTTTAAATAACGAAGGGGGTTAAACATCTTTTATCAGCTTCAACCTCCAGTTGCTCTGACTCAACAGTTTTTCATCCGTCTTTTGGGCATGTGATCTGCTCCTCAAACAGCATAATCTTCATGCATGATTCACCATCAGTGCTCAAACAATACTCCCATAATCAGCACTAACCAAGGGCCTTCTTAAATCCCTTCATGTAATATTCATAATGATTTTCAAACATTGGACATGCAGCAACAGCATGGGATTTCTCTTGGACTTGATTGTCCATAATCACAAGATTTAGCCCTTTCTTTACCTGTGCAGACCAGGGGTTAGCTCTCAATTCATTATTGTTAACCCTTGATTGCTCCAATGATTACATGTTCACGAGTGGGACTCAAATCAGTGAGGCGTGAGAGGCCTATTTTCCCATTACCTGTATAAAGAAGAATGCATTTCCACCTCCTTACACCTGATGCTGTAATACATTTGCAAAAATAAAATCATATGTTTCACAGCAGGACTGAGCTAAAGATGCTGTAGTAGTAGCACATACTATATATAGAATGGATGTCATCTGCCTCCTTGCTGAGTGAAGACTGCAAGAACAAGACCCCCTGTTGACTGGTTGCAGTAAAGGTGATAAACCTTGTTTCCTCCAGCAAAATGAATGGAGCTGTGGACAAACTTTGAAAATTAATCCCCTGGAATATAATTTTTTTTCCCCTTTTGTTGACACTTGATTAAGCCTATGGGCTTAAGAAGTTTGTTTAGGACATCTGAGGAGTTAGCGGTTTAAGCAGAGCGTAAACACAGCGACTCTCCCGCAGAACGCTACTGCGCAAATGCCGGTTTCAGGAAATGGAGAAAAACACAGAAATACAGAGAGCAATTTGGCTTCAAATGGCAAGAGCCACATTGTCTGTATTATATACAGTCTATGAATAGTAGTCATTCAGTCCCTTTGCAAACCAATCCACACATTTAATTCATTTATAAAATAGCAGATTCCTCGGGTCTCTATGATCTGCAGCAGAACAGATTCTCATGCTGGTTTACAGCCGGATCTCATTTTTTACAGAGGTTTGAGTTAGAATTTATAGTATTTTCACTCCATGTTTCTCCTCTTTTCTGCCAACCTGGCACACACAGCATTAAGATAACCACATTTCACATTAATCTAACTTACCATACCCATCAGTGAGTTCATATTCATTTATGCTGGCAGGTTAGTCTAGAATCGTGATCAATCTTAAGTTTCTAGTCGATGACAGATGTACAAACCAAATCACAGTCCTATTCAAGATAACAACAGAGAGAGGTTGCCAAGATGGCAGCTTCCACCATTGGAAGGTCCATTTGAATCCACTACAGAGATCGTTTTAAATTAACCAGATGATGCTTTCATTAAAACAAGACCCAAAAACTGCAAAAGAAATGTTTGGTTCCTCTGCGTGCTGCTGTCTTTTTACATTTCTGGTCTGATGTACTACATCATGTTGCATTAACCTGATTGGTTGTAAGTCTGCACAATGGCCTCCAGAGGCACTTTTTGCAAGTGACTATAACAAACGCCTCCTGGAAAAATGAATTAGTCTCGCCATGTCAGGCTGATTAGTCAAGGCAGTGTGCCTCATTCTATAGTACTAAACGACAAATTTGAACCAAACCTCTTTGAAAAATATTTGAACATTGATCAAGGAAAGAACTATCAAAAATTACAGAAACAATGTTTGAAGAGAAAACTTAGACATATATGTTCAAGTTTGACCCACAACCCATCAGTTAACATGGATCGGGAGGGCTTTCTGAACCAAACTACTGCCAGACTAAATGAAGAGTCCCTAATATTTTGTCTCCACTTCTTGGGAGCTGACATGTTCTCCATCTTTATGTACACTCTTCAGTTTTTGCCTCTAACCACCATTACACTTTTAAAGGCTTAATCCTCTCTCTGTTCATATCTGAAATCCTCACTGATCCCAGAGGCACAGACAGTTTGAGCAAACTGGTTATGTTATTCTCTGGTAATAAATGAGCAGAGAAGCTGAACTTAGAGCTGACTGAAGAGAGTAGCACAGAACTGTCAGGTGACGACAACAACAAACTCACTAATGGATGCAACTCTCTGGAGGAGACACGTCCTGCCCAGCAACAGTGCAGTCCTCTTGGTTTACAGCTGTAGATCGTCTGTACGTCTTTGTATAAGTGACCTTGCTGACTTTTTATTATGTTAAAGTGGTTGGTTATTTAATATTGCTTTACAGCAGCTGCTCTGTCAATAGCTCTGAATTTATTGAATTTGTCCTCATGAGACTTTGCTGAGGAAGGTGAACTATACGGTATATTTATGATTTATAATCAGCTGAGCACACAGGCTGCATATTTCATCTATGGGAGAGTAACTTAATGTTGGTTTCTGACAAGTAATGATTGCTGTTCCTGCTCCTCTTGACTGTGGACTTGTTAATAAGAAATATTTCATAATTCATTTTGATATATTATTCATTAACTCCATTTTAAAACATGGCAATCACAGCCCCTGAGCCTTTGTCTGCCTGAATCTGAGTAATAAGTGTTGCTCTCTTTTACTCCCTGAGCAAGGGCAGGGTTATGGAAAGTAATTTGGAGTGAACATTTTTTTTTAAAAAGAAAACAACCGGGAAAGATGCAAAAGAAACATTGTGAGGAGACTTGTATAAGACTATTTGGGGAAGCACTCAGACTGAAGAGGAGGATGTGTGCAGTCTGGCAAATGAGCATTCAGTTAGTGTTGCATCTGCCCTGGAAACAGAGAGGGAGTGAGAAGAATAATAGGTGTCAGAAAGCAATGATACATTGTAGTGGAGGGAAGGGGGGAATAAATCAAATAAAGAGCCTATTTTAACACTCTTTATTCTTTCATGAAGTGGTCCAAGCACCTGTCTGACAAGTTTAGTGCACTCAATCCTCCACTCTTCATTGCTTCTGTCAGACCTACAAAGTGGGTAATCACAAGGCAGACCACCCTCACCTTCCTCTCAGCTGTCCTCAACTTTCTCATCTCTCACCATCAATCTTTCTCCCCTGAGCTCATCTTATGGCCATGTCCATCTCTCACCTGTTTTGTCCTCTTTCCCCTACCTTTTTCTGACTGGTTCACCATCCAGGGGGACTTTTATCACCTAGGAGAGTCTAATATGAAATGACAGAGCATCAGCAGGGGATTGTTTCATCAACATAAGTGTCATGTTTCCATGCACACTAAAAAGCCTGCTGGTAAAATTCTGCCTCTCATGATGAAAGCTTTCTTTTGGGTGGACGTCTTCAGCATGATGGGTTACCCTGAAAGTATTTGTTGCACACTAAAACAACACTTGAGTGGATTTTGTCAATTCAAATCCACTCTAAGGGCCATTGAAATATTTCCATCTGCAGACATATCGTCACCCTGCAAAAGCTAACTGTGTGTATAATCTAAAAATAATGACAAAAACAGCAGTTCATTTCCTGAGTGAAGTGCCCATGAGACTTAAAGTCCCACATACCCCATGGAAATAACAAGTGGCCTAGGAATTCTTGAACTCTGCACCACTCATTTTGCACCAGTTCCCTTAAGTCAACATGTTCGGCCATTTAACTGTACAAGAGCCCTGTCTGTAATTAAACTGTAAAATAGTGACATCTCTATGAAGTTCATTTTGAAATAATAAGATGTCCTCATGTCAACAGAGGTAATATGTACGGCATGACAACTACATGAAAAAGGAACAGGGACAATGTATGGGAACTAGAAATAGAGCAGTTAATCAGTGAACTGAATAATCAGGCTGTTTTATGGTGATTGGAAACGCAAAGTGGCTAATCTCATTATAATTTTCTTTTTTTTTTCTTTTTTGGGAAACACATTTTTCCCATCCTAAATGACAGCATGTGAAATCTTCAATGGTTATTTGCTGCTGTTTGATATAAATTCTGTTATGATTCATGGGACAAGATAATTTAATGCTGCTTCTGTCAAAAAAATAAAGGTCACGGTCAATCTGAAATCCACAACATAGCCGGACATACTTTTCTATTTCATTAATTAATTAAAGATCCATCCACTGGCTAATAGGGTTGTTAGAGTACAAGTGTTTGAGCCAAACCGTTTCAGTACGGGACTCTCTGGTACAGTGCACATGCGTACTAAACTGAGCAAAATCTGAGTTCCCACAAGGCCAAGCGACTAAAAGAGCATGCATTCCCTGTCATGACAGCCGGCACAAGGACTAGAAGATCCCCCACTGCCACTAAGGTCTCCTGTGTAGGAACACTATGGTTTCTTCCAGAAATATAACAACGGACAAAGACAAGTGGATAAGATGAAAGCAGTTTGCCGACACGGTTCAACAGCCAGTCAGGCATCGGGGCAAGTAAGTAGACACTTCGAGCAGAGTGGAAACAGCTGAAATGAGAGGAGAAAACGCCACCACAAACAGGTCAAAGCAGGGTGAAAAGATTGTCCTTCACAAAGGTTCAAGTGCATATTTTGGTGTTTATGATGAAGTAGACACAGATTGTTTTGTGACTCAACATTATGGCGGTTGCAATGCTGATTCTGTTGGCCTGTTAGTCTGTTACGGTCACAACTGTGTGAGTTAGCATCAAGCTAACAAACTAATGCTGCGTTCCAGTTACCTCGGTAGTCGGATGTCAGAGCTGGGAATGACGCTTTACCCGAGCTGACAGCGTTCCAGTTAACAAGTCGGTAAACTAAGATGGATGCATACCCATTGTTAGCTGTTTACAGTTGTCAGCTGTCGTTGGCTGTTGTCAGTTGTTGTTAGCGGTTGTCAGCGGTTGTAAGTTGTTGTTAGCGATACCAGTTGTAAACAACGCACAACACAGTATTTTACTCTTAGAAACACCATAGCACTACAGTTAGACATTGGGCAGCACAACATAAACCACTTATTTCATTTCACAAAAACAAAATAGAAGTGCTAATAAATAAAACACTACGAGAGCTTTGACTGTTTCTCTTTTCTGTTGATGCACTGTGCTGCCATCTTGAATTATGACATCGTCAATTCGGGGTTGGGGAGTATCGTCCAACTTCAGGGGGGCGTTCCAGACGAATTTCAAACTCGGAGCTCGGAAATCCCGACTTCCGAGTACAACTGGAACGCAGCATATGTGTTACAGCTAGCAATTATGCTAGCTCTGTGGGAAGTTTTATGAGCCATGTGCTTCATTGTTTGAGTAAATATGCATTTTTAACTTTTCCAATGTGACTAATTGTGTTTTCTTTTTGTACTTCTCCTTTATAGTGTATATTTTTGGGAGAGTACAGCCTGAACCAAGAGGAGACTGTTTCTTATTGCAAGAACTGTCTTCAGCCAAACTCCAGGGAGGACAGAAACTATAAATGTTTAAATTTGAATAGCCCAGTATTTATGTTTAACCACTCCACTATATAAACCCTGAGTCAGGTTACAGCTCTGTCAATGTGAAAAATGTTAACATGATAACATTTTTTTGCAATATCAGCCAGCCCTAGCCATCGGATAAAAAAAGTGAAATCGATCAACCCTTTAACATGTTATTGCCATCATACTATATCAGCCATCTGCCATCCTGCTCATCAATCAACATCACCAGCCACTGAAAAAAAAACAATACCATCAACTTCTTACCTGGACATCAAGCTTTTTTTTTTGCTGTTAACACAAGTTTTAAACATCACATAATACTTGAAAAGTGTGCTTAGCTATTTTAAGTGCAGTGGGGTTAAAAGCAGCAAGTTTGTATGCAAATTGCTTGTTCCAAGTGCTTTTCCCAAAATATTAAAGGTTTTTCATCTAATTTACATGGTGACTAATCACAAAGGAGACACTTTGCATATGAAAACAGCAGCGTCTTACAGGATTAATTGTTTCTGTGTAGTGCTCACATGGGACTGATATGCAGCATTCTCCAATATCAGCGCGATTTCCCAGTTCAGAGAGAGTGTAATGGATGAAAGAGACACAGATGAAAAGAGAAGAGTGGGAATAAGCGTGTCCCGTGTCCTCTACGCAGACTCTACTCTTCCTCTGTTGCTGTGCATGTGTTTGTTTTGACAGACATAGGCACTTCTTCCCCTAGCTGCATTTGTTTGTGTTTGTGCACAGGAGCAGCTAACTGAGAGGTTGGATGGATTTTACGCACGAGTGACAGCTGGTCTATCACTGTCAACACAGCATTCACATGGACACCCTCTGTGTCATGAGCGCGCACACACACTCAGCTTTGTGTTCAGTGTACAGCAACAGGTTAATTATCCTGTGAATCGGTTAAAAGGTATACTGGTAAACGATACAGTTCAAATGTGTTTAACAGAAAAATACACGCGAGGAAAAAACACTTGTGTCAGTGTTTTGTGTACTTTCCTTACCTGACCACGATGTACATGACCAGCACGTTCCCCACCAGCCCCACGACGCACACGATGGAGTACAGCGCGGTGATAACAATCGCTATGATAACCGGGTTAGCGTCGTCCTCGACCCTGCCGATAACTCTGCGGTCGCCGTCGCATCTCGCCTCGGCGAAGCTCGTGCTGTCGTTGCCGTCAGTGAAGTTCCGACAGAAGCTGGTGCTGTTGTAAAACACGGGGCTCCGGTAATCCGCGTCCGAGCCGTTTACTGCGCTCTCCATGGTCCCCGCTCGGAAGTGTGTGTGTGGAGGGAAATGTGCCGCGTGCGCTTTCAGCCTGTACTCGGGTGCGCTCGTCGGTGTCTTCGATGTCCCACCGGGAGCCTGTTTGTTGTTTCTTTTACGAGGAGTGCTGCGTCGCACGCGCGCGGGACGGAGCTCTCGTTATGTTGAATGTCCTCGTGCTGAAGAATGTGGCCGCGTGTGATGTGGTGAGAGCACTGACGACCCTCGCGCGCCACGGCGAGCCTTAACGGAACAGAGGCGACGGCGTGAAAATGAATAAGTTTGCTCCCTTGCTTCCTTCCTCCCTAGGTTCCTAATCTACATCCTTTACTCGGAGCCCTCCCTTTGACCACATTTGTTTTATTTATCCACTCTTCCCTTTTGGTCTCTTCTTTGCTTCCTTCCTTGTATCCTTGATGCTTCTTTCCCTCCTTTAGCATTCTACCCTGCCTTGTTTTTTCCTCTTTTCTAGCTTTTTTCTCTTTCTTTTCCTTCACTCACTTTCACGTGTCATCTTTTTCAGGCCTTCATTTCATTTTTCCTCTGTTTGCTTCCTTCATTCACTTCTCTAATCTAGTCATGATCCTGTCTTTCTCAGTCTGTCCTTTCTAATCTCCTTTCCTGTATTGTCTCTTTCTACATTTATGTGCTTTCTCCCATCCTCTCAACATTTGGATCTCTGGCCCTCTACATTTCTCCATCCTTCATTTCCAGTACATGCATCCATGTTCACTCATTTTCCCCTCATTTCCATTTTTTCTTCCATAGATGTTTCCTTTCCCTCATTTACCTCCTCCCCTCTTTTTTATTTCATGCTCATTTTAGATAGTCCTCTGCTTCCTCTCTCTCACACTTCTTTAACCATGTCTTTCTGTGCCTGCTCCTTTGTGTGTTTCCTTTTGACTTTCTGTCTCCCTGTTCTACAAATATTTCATCCCCCACTTTGTCACCTTCCAGCCTTGCACCCTCCCCTCTTTCCTCGTACCCCGCTTCCTCCATCTTACCTTTAAATATTTCAGTATTGTTCTAATACTGAAGGATTTTTGTGAGCTACCCCTTTCAGACTTGAACCTGCACACCACATGTATTTACTGTTACATATCAGATCTGCATTAAAGGTTCAATAAAGTAGCACCACATATCTGACAATCAGACACTAAAACAGCTGCAGTCGCCTTAAGAGGGAACAGAAAGGATGTTGAGGAGGAGTCCGGGGATTATCTGTCAAATTATCCATGCGTGTACATGAAGCACTTCTCTTCGCTTCTGATTTCTGTTTTCAGCACAGTATTGTAATCAGTGAAGCCAAGCGAGGGGATGTAGCACAGTGTAATCCAATAGGGATTGATTTTAATCAAGATAATGTCCCTGCTTGTCTCATTAGAGTTTCAAGAGAGGCACAAAATGGGCAAAGATCATTTACTGAACGTGCTGGAAGCCTGAAACTCAACAAGAGAGTAACTAGTCGTCAAAGTCAGTGTTTATGAGTTTGTTTTTACAGGCGCTTTAATCAATAAAAATCTATGTCATAAAAAAGCTCGTTAGCTAATTGAGGGATTTAGTTTTAAAAAAGTAAGCAGAAACAGAGTTTTTTGTTTGTTTTATGATAAAGACACTTTTTATTTCGTTTAGTGAGGATGACACATTCCCCATGCAGCCCACATAAAATCAATATTCCTTTTAACATCTCAGACTCACATTTTACAAACTCGATCTACTTCACTGGCTCGTACACAAACATCCCTATGAATATAAGGTCATCTTCCAGTTTGTTTGTGTTTGTACCGAGAGGTATGTGATTCACTGTTGTAAGACCGGGCAAGGTTGCGCCAGAGGCTGTACAGACGACATGAACAGGGTACAGATGGACATTTTAAGTTTCAAGGATAGACTTTTTTTATTTATGTCAGATTAATCCAAACTGAAGAGGGATTTTTTTTTTTACACTGAATTTGCACTTTGTTTCGCTCTGACTGCTTAAGGCTTGTATTCGCTTAAGCTTTTGTGTTAGGATTAAGTACTTTGTGTGGGAACCATCGTTGCTCATATTAGAGATACTTTAAGAGGAAACTTGAGGTCATGTCAGAAATGTAGGAATTAGAAGTAGGAATTAGGTGGATTTCAGCGTCTCTAAGGAGTTTAGATTTTACATTTAAGCTTTGAAGACAAAATAGGGCCCAAGATGAACACTTCAGCATTTTAAGACCCAGAATTTCTAAGAGTTTAATCCCCGCCAAAGTAGAGGAAGTTATAAGGAGAAGTAAATAAAAACCTTTTTTAGTAAGGAAGTTATTTTCCTGAAACAAAACCTCAAATCACATATTCTTAGTCTTATCGCACTGATGCAGAGATAGCAGAGTCAGAGATGTATATTTTATACACTTATACCTTCAGTATGTCAAGTGAAATATGTGGAAGCCAAAAAGATATCAAGATATGCAAGACATCTGTTGAATATAAAGTGAAGAAAAAAAACAATAATGGGTGATAATATTTCAATTTTTCTAGGCTGAATTGATTTGAGACCTTTTAAGAAACTGAAGATTCAGTCCTGACTTGAAGAAAACCATTAAGAAATTTGCTGACCTAATGTTATTAAATCCTCACTGCATCAAAGCTTCAGAGCGACTATAAAAAAGAAAGGAATATTACAGCCAATAATAACTCTTTAACATACATGTGGGAGAATAAGGCTAATGCTTTGATCGCACAAAATAAGGAAAAGATCTTGAACGTTTCAGGATAATAAGATAAAAAAGGTAAATAACAAAATGAATTCTTCCATCTGCTGCGAAATAATATGCATTTAAAGAAAACCTGCGCTCCCACGCTCCACAAATTGTTATGCAGGGATGAGATAAGCTGTTGTTTGAAAAGTATGTGAAGAAAATCACTCACTTTGTAAAGCTGTTATCCCTCTGAAGTGGCTGCCTCTGCCTCAGCATTCCTCATGTGAACCCAATTGGAAGTATAGGGACTTCCTTCTGTTGCCACGGTGACAACAGGGACAAGATGAGATTTTTACAGACTCTACAGGTGAACTGTGTCAGGATATGTGTTCTCGTGGATCTGTCACAAGAGATGTTAACCACACAGGGAAATTGATGGATTTGATAGATAGTAGATATGAAATTCAGATATTCATCCTTGCCTTTTATTTCAGTCAAAGAGAGAAGACATGTGCTTGTCTTAGAGGATGTACAGAGGATATAAAGTGAGAGATACAATGATGGATATTGAGGTTCAAACCTGCCTCTACAAGCTTCACACATTTCAGCTTTTTGCACTTATTCCCAAGAAATCTGACTCATAAATCACAAAAAGGAACGCTCTGTTCCTCGACTTCTTTCCCTCTTATTTCATGTTAAAGTCGTTGGCTCGAGAAGGAGAAGTGGAGAGTGTGATAGAAAGTATAAGAAACACATCGAGACTGAGTTAGTCATGGAATTACACAACCTTGTTTCATACCACACCATGAAAGAGTAGATTTACACAGACAGGAATTTTCTTTTTTTATGCTAGCCATCACTGACACCAGTAACACTGTGTTACTGGTCAATTTTCAGCAGTCTAATAGTTCTTGAAAACTCATTTTTGGTTTTGGACACAGCTGTCATCACAGACTCTATCAGTAAAACTACAAACATTGACAGCAAAGAAAAGGCAGGAAAGGTTCAGACTGTAACTTAGGAAGAAGTTTACTCTGAACTCTACGAGGAGGATTTTGCCTCTAACCGTTTCTGTTTCCAGGTGTAACTCAGGCATGTGAACGAATGGAGCTTTGTAATGTTGTCAGTTCCAATGACAATGTCAATGCTGTGTCAAGAAGCTCAGCACAAGCTGTCAAAGCTGTTTAACATCAGCCTGATAACAACCACAGGTGCTAAAAATGCCTCTTATCACTGAAAACCTGTCTGAGGTCTACGATGAAATAAGACCACATATTTTAAGGAGTTTGCTCATCTTACTGACTGACTGGGACAGCGCTTCAACAGCATTGTGATTAGTATGAAATCAAACAAAAAGGAGTCTGTGCAACTAATTATAAATGTGCCACACATGCTGCTATCTGGACTTTTTTATATACCTGTTCTGCGCTGTCAGCGTGTAAGCTGAAGATTTAAGACTCAGAGCTCTGGTGGGTAAACAGTCCTTGGTTATTTTTTCACCTACCTGACACCTTACCCCTCACATCGCTTTAATTTATTAAAATGTATAAAATAAAAATCATCAGTCTCGTCAGTGATGGTCCTGTCTCTGCAAAGTCATTAGACCCTGCTTGAATCAGAGTGGAAAGTAGCCAAACAAACCACAAACTGAATCAAACCTTTCAAATTAATTTATTTATCCGGGTTTGATCTGAACTAAAAACACACCGGATAAACACTTTAAATCACTGTATACTTGAGTGAAAAGCTGAGCTATCATAAAAACTAGGAGTAGGAGGAAAAATCGATAAAGCACAGTATCGCAAAATTTTGTCTGGTGATACATCGTATCATCTCATTTACCACATAAGACAAATAGTAATTAGCTAAACAGTTGGACAAATTGTAGAAATCACAATATATTGTATCGCAATACTCACTATATTGTAAAATATTATAAAATCACAGTAATATTGTATTGTGACCCAAGTATCGTGATAATATCATATCCGGGGGCCACTAGTGATTCCCACCCCTAATAAAAACACATTTGATGTTTGAATGAGACAAAAAGAGTTGCTACAGACTTAGTGTGATCAAGTATCGTGCAAAGATACTTTGCAGAGAATTAATTATGTGAATGTGACTAAACAGTGCGGCCTCTTCCTTCTTTAAGGTGTGAAAAACGTTGGAGGATGAAATATAAGATTAAAATAAGACGAGACTCTTTCAAAAACACTTTGGAGACCTGCATTGTAGTGCTGTTTTTCATATTTTTTATGTGAAGAACCTTAGTTTGCCTTTGAGTACAAAATATCCTTAAAAAAACTACATTTACATTGTGCGGTCCTTTTCTCTGCAGGTTTAATCCCACTTTACAGGAGTATTTGCATCACTTAATCTTTATCTCAAATAATGTTGTTTACACTGAGTATACACTGACATTGTTATGCCATCACCCACATTGGCTTTTGCAGATTTTATGTAGAACTGAATTTCATTTTCCTATTTATTTGCAGCACAATTTGTCAACCACTGACACCAGCTCAAGTCATTTAGATCCACGACACCTTTCCCTGTGCTGCACAGTTCATTCTCTTCACCTCGACTCAGACACAATTCCTCCTAATTTCACTCACCCTGCAGCAGATCAGTCTGGCACAAATGTCAAGAAAGGTTGAAGGGAAGTAGATTCAGGCAGACATCTTGTCTTCCCAGGAGGTGAGTACTTCCTGACAGCGGCCTCCACAACACTTGTAACTCTGTAAAATGAAACCAATAAAAGACAAACTATAGTGGTGCACTCACAAGCTTGTAACAATTATTAGTTTCAGGAAGTGAAACATGGCTGCCAAAATCCAGGAGGTTGACATGCACAGTTATCATAATCCTAAAAATTTCAATAATGTTCTTTCAAACTCCCCCATTCAACTAAAAAGCTTTTTAACATGCAATAAATTCCAACAAATTGATCCAGCCTGCATCATTCACAAAAAAACAAACAAATAAACAAACAAATCTAAGTATGGAAACCCCTCCACTTGGTTTGGCCCAGTGATGTCAGCTGTGACTTCATCAACACCCAACAAAGCAGGAAGTGTTTGGCAGGTAACTCCCAGGTAAAAT